TTGGAAGCTTCCCCTGCCTTGGAGTTTCCTTCTAGCGTGTGTGAGTGGATATGAGTGGGCCACGAATCACGAATAATGGATAAAGGTCCAATTTCTCCAGTGTTAATTGATGTTGGATGTTGGATGTTGGACGTTCTACCTGTTTAAGTCATTGATAAGAAATTCCCACGAATAAGAAGTGGAATATTGGTTGGTACAGTACCATGAAGGTTTAAATAAACATAACGTTCAATGGTCTTCGTGCTTACTCCATTAATTTCAATAATATACGGGTTTTGTCTTTCCCTCATAAAGTCTATAGAAGAGATAAAATAAAATAAATAATGATAAAAAGGGGGTGAAAGACCGTGATGATCAGGATCATCGAGGCCCGACGCTCTGGATTGTAGGGGCGGGACAGTGTCCGCGATTGGATGAGTCTCGCCCGAGCGGCAGGATAAGGACCCACTTACTGCTGGGAATCCATCCAGTCGGGTGCGTGTTGGTGATGACATCCAGGAAGGTGGTTTCCTGTAAATCCTTCCCGTACTGTAATGTCCGGGTCTGCAAGGAACAAGGGACAGGGGATTGCGGTGGCAAATTGGCCGAGGCTCGGTGGATATTGGAGTCTTTACTCCGTATTGTGCTCCGCGATTGTAGATGGGTTTGCTGCACATTTGCTTTTTCTGCTATGTCTGAAGACACAAAAGCATTTGGTAGAATGGCTTTACGGATGCTTATTTGGGACATTTACGGCATTTGCTTGAATGGCTTTGAGGCTCGAGTTTTATAAGTAGCAGGATCATGATGCTGTAGTAAACAGGCTGTACTCCGGCAAACATACATATAGCTCTATTTATGCTCAATACTAGTATTAACATATACATAGTATGTACGCAATACTTTTACCTGCAGCCCTGGGGGTACTTATGTAGTGTCTAAACAATGCAAAGCATGGGTATACAGTGTAAGTACTTTTGGTCTTCAGCCTTTACATCAGTGGTACATTTGCATTACTACATATAGTGTATCTACCTAGTCTCCAGATAATGCATATTTGTCCATAGTATATATCTGAAGGGCCGGGGGCGCCAAAAGACCTCTGGGCGCGGGAGATGCGTTTATATCATGAAATAAAAACCTCAGGCTTGATGCCTGATACCAATTTGGCATTGATACCTAGTAAGCTGCTGGGACAAACTTCAGTAGTAGTATATAGGTACATCATGATATACCCTTTCGATGGCGCCTAATATTGAAAAGCATCCGCCTTGACATCCCAAGACTGCAATCCCCCCTAGATCGAGAACCTGTGATTAGGAATATAGTAACTTATATACATCACGTTTTTTTCATGGCTACACTCATATTTCGACAAACAGAGACGGTAGCTATGAATGCAGTTACATAGTATTTTTGGTCGGTTCATAAAGGCGTGGTGGTTGCCTGGCGATAACATCATGAACTTGAGCCATTACGTGTAAAATTGGTGCTCACTTCTGTCGAATAAGGATATCAATAGTACAGGTTGAATGTGTCAAATACATCCATAGGAACTTCATATCAAATGCTCGTTGCTTGCCAATACCTAGTCTTTGGGTTGACCTGTGCCCAGTCCGAGGTGGAGGAAATGCAGCCTCAGTGTCCGGACAACTGGCGTTCAATAGAAGAAAAATGTTGAAGTCTAGTTGCCAGGATATGCTGTTCTATATAGGCTTTTTAATCACACGCAGCTTGTGGGTGCACATAAACTGTACCTGTGTTTGGCATGGAATAGTTAGAAGCAGGTGAAATCCTCGGGAATCTACGAATGTAGACCTGCAAGTCTGTTATTTCTGAAATTTGAGGCTGAGAGCATTGGTTCTAGACCCAATGGTACGATCGCGGTTCCATGGAACCTGAAAAGCTTCTCAAAATAAAGCAAAGTCTCTTACAGTGAATCGCAATCCCACCCCCGCAACTGAACCAAAATTTTCTGCGCTGATCTACATGAACCATCGTCGTGCGTGCCAAACTTATCGCGATTATTCCGCTGAACTGACGTCGGAACACAGAGAACTTATACCTTCAGGAGTGTCTCCACATCTGAAGATAATGAAGATCTAGCATGGCACCGTTCATTATAGGTAAGAATTCTTCTAGTTAGAATTTGCGACTAGCAAGGAACATAGACAAGGCTGTCTGAATTGGGGATTATATTATTGACAATGCCATCTCTTGGCATGCTTGACTCGTGTCAACGGTCTGGTGGCTGCTTATGTTGACAGGGCGTTGACAGGGTACCCAAATACGGAAGGCATGGGTGTCCGAATTTCTGGCAGGTGCTACCGAGAGCTAATATACATGAGGGGCATAGTTATGAGGGATTATCTGCAGGCGGATTGGACATCAGATGAAGTAGAGTTCGAGATTGCGTATGGAAGGTTGGAGAACGCCCGTCTTTAAACTTACTTCTGATTTGTTTAATAATTCCCAATTCGGAACTACACTGATTAGTGACATACGATAATGAGGTAATTGCCAGGACCATGTTGATGATTCCCATGATGGTGACTTGATGATCTTTTTCTATACTTCGATGGCCATCCTTGGAGGCCGTAGATGTATCCTACAGTTACCAGTCTATCATTTGTGTCTCATGTACGCACGGTTGATAATGACTGATAAGACAACTGCGTAGACTATCATTGGATCAACAAGAGATAATAAAGTAGCAGTATGATGGGAGGCCATAGGAAATACACCCAGAGAGCTAATGGTAGCTCTATTCATTGTCTAGAACAGTCTCATCGGAATGGCGTCGGTGAAATTTCCTGCCAGGTTAGCTACTCTCATTTTCAGGTACTCTCATTTTCGTGGGTTTTAAATTGTGGCCCAGATTTCCTGCATGAGGTATATTATCCGAAAACGCCAAAGCATGGATCCTGGTTCGGTGGGATGACAGGGAAAGTATACCATTGGAAGAAGTTAGTCGCCCAGATGCTGTTATTACGGGTAAGCCAATGGTGTCAGCTTCTCTTGCTGGTGTGTGGGCTTTTAATGTATCGCAGTGCAGCCACCATTAAGTGGAAGAGTAAGAAGAGAAGGGCGCACGGGGATTTTAACCAGCTGAGATTCGGGTATCGACGAGTGTTGGCCACATCAGTTTGATATGGGGTTGACCTTCTAGAATGCATTTGGAACTTTGTAGTTTCTCGGTAGCTTCATGTGGCTTGTTCCATCGTGCAGAGGGAAGCTAGCCGTTTTTCCGGCCCTATTTGGTTCGCGTGGGTGTGGGTAGTCTCATATTGATTTCTTCGGCGTAAAGGTGTGATTATATGACTTGGAAAAATTCAAGACCAGGGGCAAAGATCGAAATAGATTTCTTCGATTTACCTGTCTGGTTTAGTTGGATATTGTCCTGGGGAGGACAATGTACATTTGCCCAAGCTCCACGCAGTCTGTTGGTCAATTATTGATCATTGATTTTTTTTTACCAGCCCCTTGCCTTGAAATCTTCTTTAGGTCTTATCGATTTCTGGGAATTCAATAGCTCCGTAGAACATTTATTTTTAATTGTGTATTTCCTTCCCCTGTTATTTGACCCTATTGACGAGGATTGCCCCTGGTAGAAGAGAGTTCCATGAGGAGGAACCATACCGATCCTAGTTTCAAGATACCGGCATACGTATAACGTATGAATAGCAAGTACCTGGGCATCCAGAAAGGGCAATGTCAAACATCTTATTGGGTCAAATGCACAGGTGGACAATGAAGTTGAGAGTTCATGCTCCGAAAACCCACCTAGGTGTCAAATCAGCGTGAGTCGCGGCTGATCCACATGGGCGCACTTTCCACGAAACGAAAGCCGGCGTAACACGCTTTGGTCTGGATCTCAAAAGTCTCCGGGCCACTTTTGGTAGGGTATATGGAATATTGAAAAGGATTTCTGGGCATTTCTCTTTTCGAAGGGGCCATCTCTATGTATTTAGCCCCTGGTTGCTATAAATTTGCCCCTCAGCGCTGCGGGGATGTGACGGTGACGGGGCAAAAGGGTTGGCTGTCACACCGTGGGGGGAGGGGAGACAAAAGCGATAACAATTGGAGACATGAATCCTGCTGGACCACGTTTTTGGGAGAGGCGGTTAGCGATTTTTGGAGACGATGATAATCAAAACAAGACAACAGTGGATAATGCCCCCCCTGTCCCCCCTAAAGTAGGCTCACTATGAGCCCATAGCGCTCGAAGGTGCCACGGTAGATCCAAAGCCTGTTCTGTCGGGTCGATGGAGTGCCCCGTTATGGAGCCAGGTGCTCAGACGCTGGTAACGCACACTGTGTGCTCCTGTGGTACCCGTAAGACAGGATCGTCACTAGCCTCTAGGAAACGAGGCGAAAAAAAAGAACCAGAAGAGAACAGTGAAAACACCCTAAATACGAGATAAGATGTGTAGGATCCGACGAAGGAATCAGGTTTCCCAGATTTTGAGTCCCATGTGTGGTCCATGTGTTGTATGCACCTAAAATGCATAGAAGAGGATCCCGATGTGCTCCGTAATGCGGTAAGCCAATACGCAGGTATTGTAATGATACCCGCGGCAGATACAGACAAAATACCATGACAGATACACCGCAGATGGACCTAGGACTCTCTCTCACGGCGTAGACGCCTTATCCGTCCCGCCTCCGCTCCCTGATTCTCCCACTTCCTCTCTCCCTAACTAATTCCCCTGAGGATTTTCCTTATATGGCTTAAACTTGTAACTGTTCCGGTACCCCTCTATGTGGTTGTGATTGTTGGTTATCGTTGAATGTACCGTCAGCTGCGAGTCCTCCGTCACACTTCTCCTAACCCCCGGAAAGTGGGTTGCAAAAATTACCCACCCTGCGCCCCTCTCCCAACACACGTCAATTTTAGCCATGAGCCTCGCCGGACTGTGAGAACCACCGAATAACCACACAAAAGTGCCACTTCCCCCCTCCCCAGCTGGGTCTCTCAAACGGTCGACTCTCCAGCCGAGAGAAAGTGAGGTGCTTCCCTTATGTACGAATATCGCGCAGTGGACTTGGCTGTCGACACGGGATCTGCGCTGGCTTCAAAAGCCGGGGCTTTTGCGACCGCTCTCGAGTACACCGACGAACAGGCCACTACCCCCACAGCTGCATCCCGGCACCGTGGTCGGGGGACGAGTATCTCGCAGCACTCCGACCGTCTCAATCAATCTCCCTTGAAAATGGCGACTAGCTATGCGGTTAGCCCTGAGCCTCCCGCGCTGTTCGTGCGGGCCATGTATGATTACGATGCCGATGACCATACGAGTTTGAGCTTCCGACGTGGCGATATTATTCAAGTACTCAATCAATTAGACACCGGGTGGTGGGATGGAGTTATTGATAATGTTCGTGGTTGGTTCCCCAGTAACTACTGCACAATCATCACAGAGGCAGACGATTTCGGCGAACACATGGTGTATGGCCATGACGATACCGACCTTAGCGCAGAATCGGGATTGGAAGATGAGTACGGGAATGGACACGACGAGGATGACGAGCTGGACTCAGAAGGGAACCCGCGCGATTCACAGCCCATGTTACCGATCGAAGGTGTCCCGGGCAAACAGGAGCAAGAGGAAGCTGCATTTTGGATCCCGCAAGCCACACCCGACGGTCGTCTCTTCTATTTCAATACCTTGACTGGATATTCGACCATGGAATTGCCCTTCGAGAACCCTACCTCTGCGACTGAAAACGGCCCTCGAGACCGATCCAACTTTTTCGTCCCCGACCAGACGCGACCACCTCCCGAGTTGATGGCACGGGGATTTGAGAGAGAGGAAGATGATTACGATGGCTCCGCCTCTGAAGCTGAAGGAGAGTCGTTGATGTTGACTTCGCATGACTCCATCTCTCGCCGCCGCCGATCTCTTATGGACGGAGTGTCACCCGCCACCTCTATGGATTCTCTGTACCCCCCAGGGCCTAAAGATTTCAAACTACCGTATGCCAACAAAAGTCCTCAGCCGTCATACAGCAGCGCAGGAGGGACCAGTGCCAACACCTCCGTTGTCGAAATCATCTCTCGGCCCTCTATTTCCTCCAATACCCCCGCGCGCTTTGTCGATGACGGCTTTATTCCGCCTGTTACATGGCCCACCTTGGTAGACAACATGCGACATGCCGTTGAGGCCTACCGCCAGACTCTTCTTGCCGGTGAAAGATCAGAGTACGTGAGAAAGGCCGAAGATATCTCGGATCATCTGCGTATGCTCTTAGCGGCCGGCTCAGACACCACGGACAATCATTCCGGAAATCCATCTATCATATCCACGAACAAGGCGCTTTATCCCTACTTCCGAGATATGATGTCGAAATTCTCTAAATTGGTTTTGTCATCACATATCGCTGCTGCTGACTGGCCTGGTTCGGATTCAGTCAACAAATGCTTGCAAGAGGCCGATGGGGTCATGCAGGGCGTGTATGGCTATGTAGATGTTGCTCGCCAGCAGCGCGGGGAGCAAATACACAGAATCGTCCCTGGCTTTGTTAGTGGTAGTTCCTGCGGCGGAAGCTGGCAGAACAATGGGGTTTCTTTGAATACATCCGGCCCGACATCTTTCCTGGTCCCAGAGGGCGGCGATTCTCGAGCTGAGCCTTCGGTCTCCCTCGACACTCCTCTTCTAGATCACATCGATATCCTCAGGAGGTCCTTTGTTGGTTGTATTCGTCGACTGGAAGAGCGATTGACATTGAATCGAAAGATTGTCACCGTGAGAGAACATGCGGAAATTGCAGATGCTGTTTCGTCAGCTGCCATGAAAGTTGTTGAACAGTTTCGTCCATGGATCTCAACTGTTGAGTCAATCAATCTTGTTCCACTCGGCACAAGTTTCCAGAACCCCCAACTTGTGGACTTCAGCCTACAGAAGCAGAGAGTCTACGATGGCATTGGTGATTTTATCTTGAGCTGCCAGGCAGTATCAGCTCCTCTTCCCGACGAATGGGCGGAGCTTCGTGGAGATTCCCTTGATGACCGAATCACTGCTGTCCGAAGCGTCGCAAAACAGCTGGAAAATTATGTGTCGCAGATCGGGTTCTCCTTATCACTACTCCTTGAACAAATTCCCGACGACCAATCATCCGTTACTCGTGTCGATAGCCGCCTGGAAGAGGAAGATGAGTCTCACAACAAAAATGCCCACAGTCGTGCTGATTCTCAAGCCACCAAGGTTTCCTCCGAGTCCATTGGCATTCCGTCATCTTATGCTCTCGGCAAGGAGCCTGGCAAGGTTCGCCGTAATATGGATAAAGCTCAGAGGTTCTTTGGACAAGCACCGCCTACAACTGTCACGCGTGAGCCTGTTCAGCGGGAACCCATGAGAGAACCTGAGGAGACTCCGTGGTTTTTGAAGATGGACCACGAGGGTGAAGTGTTCCATGATACCAAGGGCGATACACCGATCTTGAAGTGCGGTACACTGGCAGGTCTGGTTGAACACCTTACGCGCCATGACAAACTCGACGCATCTTTCAACAACACCTTCCTACTCACCTACCGCTCTTTCACTACCGCCTCCGAACTTTTCGAGATGATTGTCCAGCGCTTTAATATACAACCTCCTTTCGGCTTGAACTCAGATGACATGCAAATGTGGATCGATCGTAAACAAAAACCAATCAGATTCCGAGTGGTCAATATTCTCAAGAGCTGGTTTGATCACTTTTGGATGGAACCGAACGATGAAGTAAACATGGATCTTTTACGACGCGTCCATGCATTTACTAAAGACTCGATTGCTACAACTAAAACGCCAGGCTGTCCCACACTTCTTGCCGTTATTGAGCAACGACTTCGCGGTCAAGACACAACCGTGAAGCGCCTTGTTCCTACTCAAAATACAGCCGCCCCGCCATCAATTATTCCAAAGAATATGAAGAAATTGAAGTTCCTGGATATCGATCCAACGGAGTTTGCGCGACAATTGACCATTATAGAGTCCCGTCTTTACTCTAAGATTCGACCCACTGAGTGTTTAAATAAGACCTGGCAGAAGAAGGTTGGGCCTGATGAGCCTGAGCCTGCTTCTAATGTTAAGGCCTTGATTCTTCATTCCAATCAGTTGACCAATTGGGTCGCTGAGATGATCTTGACACAAGGTGATGTCAAGAAGCGCGTGGTCGTCATAAAGCATTTTGTCAATGTTGCAGAGAAATGTCGCACCCTCAACAATTATTCCACTTTGACTTCTATCATATCTGCTCTTGGAACTGCCCCAATTCATCGGCTGGGCCGAACATGGGGCCAAGTCAGTGGCCGTACTTCTGCAATTTTAGAGCAGATGCGCCGACTGATGGCGAGTACTAAGAACTTTGGCGAGTATCGCGAGACTTTACATCTCGCCAACCCTCCTTGTATTCCCTTCTTTGGTACGATTTCCAGCCAGAGCATTTGGCTCACTCGGCGTCTTCCCATTTTTATAACTATTTGAACTGTAACTAACCCCAATCCAGGTGTTTATCTTACCGATTTGACATTCATTGAGGATGGAATTCCCTCACTTACGCCATCAGAATTGATCAACTTCAACAAGCGGGCCAAGACCGCGGAAGTCATTCGAGACATTCAGCAGTATCAGAATGTGCCTTATCTACTCTCACCAGTTCCAGAGCTTCAAGATTATATCCTCAGCAATCTACAAGCTGCGGGTGATGTTCATGACATGTACGACAGGAGTCTTGAGATCGAACCTCGAGAACGCGAAGATGAGAAGATTGCAAGGTATGCTGAATCATCAAGCAATAAACACAACACCCAACTTTTTGCAAACACTGTCTCACTTTTACGGTGATGAAAATCCAATCTATTATTTTTCTTTTGCTTTTTTAATGGTGGATAAGGGTAGTGCTTGGCACTTGTTCAGCGATACCCGAATTTGACCACAAATTTCCACATTCTTTGTCTTTTTTTTTGGCCAAGTCCATGTGGCTTTGAAACCTGTTTTAAGCGTTGAGACTAACCGCTTTTGTCTTTAATCGTAGATTACTTTCAGAGTCCGGTTTCCTGTAGTTGTGGCGGTGACGCCCTGTCAAGCTACATCTGCAGGCGGCCGTGGCCAACCGAGATCGCATTCGTTGCCACATCGATCTGTGCTCCAATCAAATGACCGGATACCCGATCGACGCCAGCTCCTGCAGCCAATGTTTCACCACCCAAGACCAACAGAGACTCGCTAGTCTTTGTTGTATGATATCCTGGGCCCCACAATCGGGGTCAAGACCTTGTCTTTGCATAAGTTCATGCACCTGCATGCTGGGTTCACCGGTACATTGCAGGATGCTCAGGTGGGTTCGTCCTGAAATATTGCAGTCACTCCGAGGCCCTCCTTTCATCGATGAAGACGTAAATACCCCCATGATATTGAAAGGACAACACTTTTTTACGACGATTATCAATGACCCCAGCTCAACATCTTACAATTTCTTTTCACCTTTTTGCCATGTGGTCGACGTGCCACCTCATTGTTCTCTGTCAATTCGATATACCTATGGTCATGAAATAGAACTGTTCTGGGGATTGAACCTACGCCTCCAATCCCCTGTTTCTTGGCCGCCCTGCTTAATTGGCGGTTTGACTTTTATATTTTCTTTTCCTGTGGGCATATACTCAATTTTTGTCACCCAAGTGCTATTTTATCGGTGTATAGCCCGTCTTATTGGTTGATACATACTTCCCTCTTCTACCCAGGTGACTGCGACTGTTTACCTTTTTGTTTCAGTCCGGTGAATCAGGTATTTTATTTTTGAGGTTAATGTTTCCACGTCATCCTCTTTTATGACATGTCACGAATTTTTGGATTTACAATGTTCTTATCAAATGGACCTTTTGACTGGTCCATTCCCTTTTGAGCTGGGGACAGAATCGCAGGATTCAAGACCCACTTATTTGTATCTAGTTGAATATATCAATCTCTTTGACTACTGCTTACTACCCATCAAGTTCTTCGATTTTTACTTTTGAGAGCAGATTGTAATTTACATATGGTCACCCTCGATGTCAATAACCTTAGTATGATCTTTCTAGGCTTAGATATGTAGTTGTTCTGAGGTCTGCTTTTGCGCGGACATGTAACCAGTCGCGCCTACAACTATTAACTTGGCTGCATGATCTCCACTCAAACCACACTGCAGCGTACAGCGATGACAAATATTAATAATAGATCATCCCGCCTAAAATTTGTTCCACTTTTTTTTACTTCTCTAGAGCGCAACTAATACTTTATGTATGGTCGTGGTACACCTCTCTATTCGACTTCTATAAGTTGACTCTTCAAGAGAATACGAATAATGATAAGGTAATATACATAGCTACATAGCTTGCGATGAAGGAAAAAACACAAAAGACACCAACCCAAGCATGAGAATGTATTTGAATTAGAAGCAAGTCGTGATAGTCGTAGCGAGATCTATGATATGAAGCATCATGACTCCAGGCCATGGAGATTTAATTTGCCGGTTTACTGCTCCCCAACATTCTGGAACAGCTTCATCTTCACCTCAGATGCTAAAAGACCCTTGACTTCCTCTGAAACAATCCGTTGGCCCCCTCGTACAACCTTATCAAGCTGCTGATCCTTGTTTGCAACGCCCCCGGCACGCGGACCAGTATGCTCGACTTGCCTCGATGCCTTGCGAATTTTCTGACTGAGATCCATCATTTGTTTGCTCGTATAATCACGAGAAGCAAATAGGGGACTCTGACTCAGCGTAGCAACCCAATATTTGTTCCAGAGCAATGACAAGATCTCTGAATCAAGCGTGCTCTTAAAATGTGTGGTCTCAAGCGAATAATAGCGGTTTGCATGTGTTCCGAAATCCTCTGATTTCCCCAGCGGAATAGTCTGGTATTCATCATCTTCATGAGATTCCTTCGCAGGCGTGTAATCAAGTGGAAAAGTCCGAAACGACCCAATCTCAACCTTGCCCGCTGAGATCGTCCGCTCAGGATCAATCACAACAGCCACAAATGGACCACCCATCTGTTGTGTCTGTTGAGTTGCGACATCGATACCAGATAACCAGCATCCGTATCCGGGGTGACTGTGGTACCAACCGACAGCGTTCTCCATGCGTCCAGCATCTCGGCATGACTGCAGATACGACACCATGTATTCATTTGCATCGTCCTGGGCGTTGACTCTTGTTTCGGTACCTTCAACTGGAAGTCGGAATGCGTCTGTCACAACGAAAGTTTCGTGCAGAATGTAGCCTTGCATTAGACCCATCACTTCGAGAGATCCACCTGAGCGAGCGTGCATCACCATTTTCAATAGTGCCGTTGCGGAGATTCGAACATGTTTAAAATAGTAAGGGTCCTTCGCCCACGGCCGTTGGGCATTCAGCGCTTTATTTGTTTGTTCGTCATATTGGTAGAGTGCATCACGTTGGGGATCGAAGACACTGATCCCGTTCTCGAGCTCTGTAGGTGGTTTCATGCTTAGCTTGAATGGTGTTAATGTAATGGCGGGTAAGGAAATACGAACCCCAAGACTGCTGGGCAGCCTGCATTTTGAGGAGGTAGGGAGGAATTTAGGAATTGGGCGTATGCTGGAGGTATCTTAAGCGAGGGGGGAGATCTGAATGGGATGATAAAAGGGCTATGGAAGAGAACCCAATAGCTTCCAGGTTAGATTGATTGAGTGATGATCGTGGAGAAAAGCGGTGGGGCATAAGGGACAAGAAGAGGGGCAGAATAGAGGGGCGGTGTCGATTGCAGTTACCCAAGCAGCGACAAAGTAAACTAGGTGGGCAGTCAAGTCAATACAGGGTTGAGCTACATCTGTGGATATTGTTAAAACCCCACCCCTCACCTTTAACCTATTGAAATGATTGGCCTCTTATCTTGCATTCAGATTTCCCAACTGGAATTATTACCCGAAATGTTGCATCTGTCGAATGTATATAGATATCATTGTGGACCAATTATAAAGTAAATTCCTGAATCCAAGTTGATGGTTTTTGCAACTGCCTTTCTGAATAACTGAGATATGAGCTGCTCTTACAACTTTACAACCTTTCAAACATCTACTTATATTGATCTCGGGATACTTGATGGATAAAGTATAAGCCCCGTCGCAACACTCGAGCTGAAAACCAAGTTGTGCCGCAGATGACTCAGCCGTTGCCCTAGACAACGATCGGCGCCAAACAACGGGGCTTTCCTTGATGAACCTGTTATCGTCCAGGTCTCCAGCTGACTTCTCCATTCCCCTCATAAACAAGCCCACTTCTTCATGTCTCGCATCTGACGACTGTTCTCCAAATCCACTTTCGTTTTCACTTCACAAAAATTGGCTCGTCTCCGTGTGTCGGGACGCATTGGGTTTCTGTGTTTTGAGCCCCTCAGCGTCGTCGCAGTCGCCGACACCTGTCACTGGAAGTGAACCATCGTCCCTGATTCAAGTTCCCTCTCGCTTGTTGCTTGACAGGAACCGCAGCGATGGCTGTCGACACAAGCTACCTGACTACACAGGTCAACAACATTGTTGAGCAACTTCATGGCATCTTCGATGATATTGGTGTCCCTGCGCATGAGCGCGACACTCGTGAAGCAGAGGTGAGTTCCGCACATACTTGAGAAACCCAGTTCCGGACTAACGGGGAGACTGTAGCTCTTCAGTGCTCTGTCAGAGACGTTGAACAATCATCTCAAGCTTGTCGATGAGTAAGTTTCTACATAAACAAACATTAGATTTGGTCGCATGTTTTGCGTTGCTAACACATTCTATAGCGAGAAAGACCAGATGACACAAGAAGCCCAGCGTTTAATCACTACCATTCAACAAATAGAAGTCTCACTGGGCGATGAGCGCGCCAATGGCCAGTATGAACTAAATCGCGACGATCTTCGTATTACCTACCCCCTCACTCGGTGTATCGCCTTTTTGCGCGAGAAGAGTGAGGCGATGACAAAACTGCACCGCGAGCGTTTTGAGCAAGTCAAGAGTGCGTCTATATATCTCCCCTGTCGGTTTCTTATATTAACTTTTAATAGAACTGGTGGATGCCCTGGAATCCTATTCCTCGCACCTCGAGACCTCCTTCCTTATCATTGAACTTCCTCCTACTGCACCAGGCTCGTCTATCCCGCCAAGCTTCGATCTCTCTCCGGACTATGTAACGTCGCTGGATTCCGAGTTTAGTCGCGTCTACGAGGAATACCATCGCCGTGTCTCTTTTGTTCAGACTACCAGCGAAGAAATCATTAAGATGTGGGCTGAACTTGGAACCCCCCAGGTTCAGACTGATTCCAATATCGTCAAGTATTATCGCGAATCGCCCGAACAGCTTGGGCTTCACGAGACCGACCTTGCCAATTTAATGGCCAAGCGTGACAAATTGATGGATGAGAAGAAAGCACGCGAACGCAAGATCAAGGAACTTCGTGCCTCGGTTGAGAGTCTATGGGAACGCTTTGGTGTTGAGGAGTCGGATCGCAAGGCATTCTTATCGGCGAATCGTGGTTGCGGTCTCCGAACTATCAATGAATATGAAGAGGAATTGACTCGCCTCAACGAATTGAAGAGGCAAAATATGCATCTCTTTGTGGAGGATGCTCGATGCCGCTTGCAGGAACTATGGGATGTCTTGTTCTTCTCTGAGGAGGAGATGCTCGACTTTACCCCCGCTTTCTCTGACGTGTGCAGCGATGCTCTGCTGGAGGCCCACGAAGCCGAGATCTCTCGATTAGAAACCCTCAAGGAGCAACGTGCACCTACATTAGAAATGATTGAAAGGCACCGCGGACTGCTGGCAGATCGCGAAGCTTTGTCATCATCCAGCCAGGATGCCTCTCGCTTGATGGCTCGTGGCAACAAGGGCGAGAAGCGAGACCCAGGCAAGTTGCTGAGAGAGGAGAAGATGCGCAAGAGGATAGCCAAAGATCTCCCTAAGCTTGAAGCAGACCTTCGAAAGGAGCTGGAGCATTGGGAGGATGAGTTCGGTCGACCATTTTTGGTTCACGGTGATCGTTACCTTGATAATTTGACTCCTGCTACCAGACAACCGCCTCGCTCTAAGACACCCTCTGCACCACCCTCAACGATGAAGACCAGCGCGGCAAGGCCACAATCGGTATCACGCCCTGGAAGCTCCATGCGTGGTCCGCCCCCACCTCGCTCTGCTACGAAGACCCCGAACGGAAGTCGTCCGGTCAAGCACAACACCATCGGATACGCTGGATCTAGATCGGGTGCGAGTTCTCCTTCAAAACTTCCTGCCAGAGCACCGTTGAGCAATATGCCACATGGGAATAACTCACCCGAGCGTCGCACTGGACCCGGCTCGTATTCATCTAGTACCGTCAATGGCAAGATGGCCCCTCCTCGTGGCCCACCTCCACGTATGCGTGCCCTGACTGTTGAATCGAAGGAGCGCAACAGTCATATGATGGAGCCGCCTCGCTGCAATAGTGCCATGTCCAGTGCTTTCGTTCGGCCCGTTAGCCCTGAAGATGTCTATGACGACCGCCAACGTTCCTTTATGAGCGCGTCTGTCATGTCCAACTCACATCGCTCAATTGGCATGTCCCACTCATCTCATTCTTCCCTCTCATCGTTGTCGTTGAGTTCATCTCAAATGGGATATCCCAGAGCAAACCCTTATTTATCACACGCAGCACCACCTCCTCCAGCTCTTCGGCAAACTTCAAACTCATCTACCGTTAACACCGCTACTTCCGGGTCTGAGAATTGGGAGACCTTCGACGACGCATCAGAGTCGGAAGCTGACCCAGGTGACGTTTACTATGCCAAGTTGCGTGCTGGACCTGGCAAGCGATTTGCACCAGATGATGGGTTGGGCTTAATGGGCAAGAAGAGCAAGGGAATACGCAGTGTCAGCCCTGATGGACCTCATCCAGGTCAGGTCCTTCGCGTTGCGGGCAGCGATACTGAGTGGACTGATGACTTTGAAACGTATTAATTTTTTCCATGCCAAAAGCCACTTTCTTTTGTCACAAGGACCCATAATTTTTTTGCACGTTTCTTACTGGCGCTTCGGACAATTAGCTGTGGTTTCACAATCGCTTGGTTACTAATGACCCGATGACTGTACAGCTCATGGCTCACGATGGACATTGACGATCCCTTATGATTGAGTTCTTCTCAGATTCTTTACGGGCTGGTGTATTTTCCGCACGCATCACTGATCACCGATCTTGCCTTTTCTCTTTCCTTCGTGTTCAAAATTATGATATTGATCATGTCGATCTTGTTTATGCTTTTTCTTTCTCCTGTCAATGCTTTTCAAGCCCGCCAATACTAACTACTTTATTTATGTAGCCCCTGAGGGTTGGTACTCTGTCTTTGCTTCTTTTGCTCCTTGTCTTTTCTCTCGACAGAGCTTCTCTCTTCAATTTTGGATGTGGTTTAATGCTGTTTCTCTTTTTTTTTGGGGGGGGGGGTTGGCATGGTGTTGAATTTACATTTCCTGTGTTATGGTTTTTTCTCTCTCTCTCTTCGTTGGCACGGTGCTCTGGTTTCGCTTATTCCCTTTCCATTCCCCTGGTCTCCGCGCCTTCGCGGGAATCGGATTTTCTTTTTGCTGCTGTTTATTTCACCGCTCTCTCTTGCGATGCTTGATTGTAGCGCAGTACAGTTCTTATGTATTTGTTGATAATATTATCTTCTGATTCAAGTAACTATCCAAACACTCTTCGAGCCCCCTTTAGATAGATATTGCGAGCATACCTACATAGACTCTCATATTGAGCGAGACTTTGTACAGTAGATTTGGAGTAGAATCACTAATATACATACATCATCATCTCCATCAGCATCAAGGACACTGTATCATACAATTTTCAAATCAAGTAAGCTCCAATTATGAACCAGGTGCCAGCGACCCCATCCAGCTTTGGTCATCGCCCATCGTTTGAGCCCCTTTGGGAACTCGTCTACCGACAGATGGAACAAGGTCTTGCGTGAGGGCCTTCGCATCCTTGATTCTGCGGAGCGTCTCGTCTCTCCCGAGGATGCTCATCGTCTCTGGCATTCCAGGACCAGGCGCCGAGGCCGATAATGCCCAGCGAAGATAGTGGTATAATTCTTTCTTAAAAAGCTTGTCTGCTGAGCCGGTAGTCTCCGAAGAACGCACCACGGCATCAGATCCATCATATGAGTTGATGTTGAAGCGGTGTGTTTCAACCGTCCAATGGATAGGTGGAACAAGAGTCAAAGCCGCTGCAGCAGTGTGGAGTGCTTGCATTGGGACTTGAGCTGGGGAAGATGGTGATTTAGAGGTGGTAATTGGCGTGTAGGGTGATCGGTTAAGCTCTGTGGTGAGAAATGTTGAGTTACGATCTTTGAATTCTGATGCTGTGGTGTATGACTTGGCATCGGCTTGAAGAAGTGGCGTTATATACTCAGCAAGGGTGCGACCCTGCAAGAGTGGAGCTCTGATATATGAGGTTAACATCCTATTGCAGGAATTTTATGACCATGAGTGGGAACTTACAGGCTCTCAGATGGGTGGCTTTCCTCGATGGCGGTGCAGGTTCTACCAACCATGTCATCAAAGCCAGGACCCCCAGTTGTGGCAAAGCGCTGGGCATGCGCTTTCTGAAGGAACCAGAGTTTCTCAAAAGCAACGACAGTGTTACCGCGAGTGATTTTGAGATTGAACTGGACGCAGTTTAGTTTCCATAAGCTTGTTCAGGGCTAGGAAAAAGGGGTACTCACAATTTTTTCAAGCTCTTCGAGGCTGAAGATGTCCGACTTTTGTGTATGAGACCAGCCCAGAAGGGCAGCAAAGTTAACCAATGTCGAAGGGAAGATGCCCTGCTTATCCTTGAAAGATGAGAGGTCGATGTCTGCATTTCGCTTGCTGAGCTTCTGTCCAGACTTATCCACTAGGAGAGGAACATGACCAAAGCTTGGGGGAGTCCATTTGAATGCATTATACAATGCCATGTGCATCGGCGTAGAAGGCATCCATTCCTAGACTCATGTTAGGAAAGGTTGAGAAAAATGCGACTCTGACAAGCAGGACTTACAGTTCCTCGAATCACATGTGTAATCTTCATGCAATGATCATCCACAACATTCGCCAAATGGTATGTTGGGTGCCCATCTGACTTTATCAAGATTGGATCATCATATACGCGATCAATAAAGTCCATCTTGCTTGTGTTTGGCTTGTTCTGCCCAGTCTTGCCGTAGACCAAATCGTTGAACATGGGGTATCCCTCTACCTTGAGACGCACAACATGTGTCTCCCCTTTATGGGCCCGGTCCTCTGATTCTTCCGAGGAGATGTCTCCGCACTTCCGGTCGTATCCTGGAGGCAATCCCGATTGGCTTCGATGGCGAGCATGGGAATCGAGTCGTTCAGAGGAGCAGAAACACCGGTAGGCATGGCCATTAGAGATTAGTTCATTAGCATGGGATCGATATAACGCTGTTCGTTCAGACTAAAAGATTGAACATATTAGTAATGATTCAGAAATGAATGTTAACCATATAAGCGATTGACTTACTTGTCGATATGATCCATATGGGCCACCGACAACAGGACCTATAATTCCGTTATTCCATTTGGTTCACTCCACAATAGTAAGATACAAGGTATAAATTACCTTCATCCCAATTCAGTCCTGCCCATTGTAAATCATCATACAGTCTTTGCTCGGCTCCAGGGATCGTTCGTTTCTGTGGTGTTTGTCAGTAGCTGTTCCCAAACTTCCATTTCCCATGCCCACAGACCTGATCCGTGTCTTCAATGCGCAACAAAAATTGTCCGCCGGTTCTTTTCGCGAGAAGATAATTGAAAAGCGCAGTCCGGAGAGATCCCAAGTGGAGGTAGCCAGTCGGCGAAGGCGCAAAACGCGTTCGCGCAGGAGTACCGGGAAGGTTGTTCTTGCCCTTACGAGCTGGTGCGCCTGCTGAGGAGGAATAGGCCCTGCACTTGACGCATGTCCAAGATCTCCGGGCAAGAAACCCACTGTGAGGATATCGCATTGGTGAGTCGATTAGGGATTAAAAGCGTGTAATGCCCTTGGAGGTTGAGAATGGGTCGATTTTTTTTTTGGAATGCGGAGAGCGGAGAGCAGCTCCGGCTCCGCACTGCGCTAGTCACAAGAAAAAACTTCGGTCGTAAACTCCGCTTGATCAACATCTCTCACGAACCTCTCGCTTCACCTGGCCGTTACGTTCTCACGGCTGTGTGACTGTGTTTGTATTAAGGAGTGAAGATTCTATCTATCTTCAAATACCTCTCTCTCTCTTTCCTACCTGTCCTCTTGATCAGCCACAAACACAACCAGTATGTATTCCGAGCCAGAGAGCGCGTTATCTTCTGGCTTTTTCTTTCTTATCCTTTTGATAGCCTCTTACTGACAACGGACTATAGTGGCCGAGGTAGAAATCGACCTTTACGGTATGAAAGCAAATTCGCATCATTTTGATGCTCTTCTGTGATTTGTTAATCTTACTCTCTTGTTGCTACAGAGGCCCTCGAAATCCGGCGGGATGCGAGCAAAGATGAAATCCGACAGGCATATCGCAAGGTACCACTTCGATAACCACAATACTCGGCGACATGAAACTGACGTTATATGATTCCATAGGCCGCTCTAGCCAACCACCCTGACAAAGTTCCCGAAGACCAACGCCCTGCCGCAGAAATCAAGTTCAAGACCGTTCAGGAGGCATACGAAATTCTATATGATGAAGACAAGCGAGAAGTCTATGACCGACATGGAATGTCTGCTTTCAATGGCGCTGGAGAACCCGGAATGGGAGGCGCTCCTGATTTAGACGACTTGCTCGCACAAATGTTCGGTGGCATGGGGGGTATGGGTGGCATGCCCGGTATGGGAGGGATGGGAGGTATGCCCGGTATGGACGGTATGGGTGGGGGTCGTCGCGGCAAGCCTGGAAAGAGTCCCGATGAGCAGCAGGACTATGAGATCAGCCTGGAGGAAATGTACAAGGGCAAGACCGTTAAATTCGCCAGCGTTAAGAACGTCATCTGCAGTCTTTGCGATGGAAAGGGTGGAAAGGAGAAGGCGAAAGCCAAGAAATGTTCTACTTGTGAGGGCATGGGTCACAGAGAGGTGCTCAATTCAATGGGCCAGTTCTATACCCGATCCACTGTTCCTTGCGCCGTTTGCAATGGCCAAGGCGAGTTCTTTAGCCCCAAGGACAAGTGCAAGAAGTGCAAAGGCAAGAAGACTGTTGAGCAGAAGAAGATGCTGGAAATCTACATTCCACCGGGTGCAGTGTAAGTGTCACCTTATATTCCATGTATACGGTGTTAATTTATTAACCATGCTCTTTAGTGAGGGAGAGAAAATAGTTCTGGAGGGTGAAGCTGATCAGGTCCCGGGTCAAAAACCCGGAGACATCGTTTTCCGACTTGTGCAGGAAGAACATGAAGTTTTTGATCGTTCAGGTGCCGACTTGCGTGCCGACATCGTTGTTACTTTGGCCGAGTCATTGACTGGCTTCCAACGTGTTGTTTTGAAACATCTTGATGGCCGTGGTATTGAAATCAACCATCCCGCTGGCCAAATCTTGGTACCTAATCAGATCCTCACAATTCGCGGCGAGGGAATGCCCAAGAAACGCAGTGAGAAGCGAGGTGACCTATATTTGTTGGTGACTGTGAAGTTCCCGGACCCCAAGGAGGGCTGGAAGCCAACACCCGCGATGCTGGAGCAGCTGCAGGGAATGCTGCCCAAGCCTGCGGAGCCTATCCAGGCCAGCCCCGTTGACGAGGTTGAATACGATGCAGAGGGCGATCTTTCTGAGTTTGGCGCTGCCGACAATGAAGGCGCATGGACGAATGTCGATGAGGATGACGATGAAGAGGGAGCGCAGTGCACAACTCAGTAGAACGGAGATTGATCCTATTTTCTCGGCATAGAAGGCGTCTGGGGTTTGCATTTGATTTATTCCCCCCCCTGTCACTTTTGTTTTCAGTTTTGGAATATGGACATCTCCCTTCTTCGAGTATGCGATTACGACAAGTACAGTGCTACATAGGATCTATTGATTAGACCTATATTATATCGAATTTTCTATAGTGGAGACCAGGCTGGGTTGGAGACCCACTAGAACCTGATCATAGAGAATACAAATACATGCCCATGATATTTCCGCTAGTCATCTTATGGTCCGTGGCCACTCATTTAATCTCCCGAGGTTCATGCCCTCCCTAATCTGAAGATATGACGGCATAGGTTGGTAGCGGTCCTTAGCCGATCGCCCTTGGAGGTTATACTTTAGCCATTTTCTTTATTATGAGAACACTGATGAGGATACCGAGGTAGTTCTTGAAATATCTCCTGAGAATGATCCTAAAAACGGTTCTAGCTGGATCCAATAAGGCTGAGGTGGCGGAGCCGAGTGCTCATTTTTCGGGCCGAAGCCTCCCACGGTACATGGTGTATAGTACTTAGAAAGCTTACAGTGTTTCTCAACCCAAGATCATCTCAATAATATGTTATATAATATGATTCATCGGAATACAAGGAGAGCTACCCTAAATATCTTTATTTGTCTACTGAAACGTATAATAAATTTGTTATTATCGACATCTTGTTGACCACCTGTATAATTCGTCTAAGGAAGACGGCACAAGGCAGGAGGATGGCATTTTTCTACTATTAATTGTTTACATGAGGTCAGAGGCTGGTGCGTAATTTGCTGTTCCAAGGTAATTGCTCCATGGAGGTGAGTTTCTCCAGTGGGATCAAGATAAATGATGATAGGCTCTTGAACTACAACATCAAATTTTATATTCAATCAGTGGATTTCATGTGGATCCTTATGACTACCTACGAGCTTTCCTCCCCTGAAGATCTACGAGAAATCCTAACAGCTCCGTGGGTTGGTCTTAGACGCTCTTTTGTCCTATCCAATAAGGTACTTCCTTGAACTGCGCAAATTTTTGAAGCCAATACAAACTTGAGATATGGGGCTATTACTTATTAAAGAGCCTTGAACTATGTCATCGAATATTTTGCTCTGTCATGAAACAGCCTTGTACATAAGTCTGTTTTTGGGTCCTGTCGATCGTCAACTAGGATCGACAAAATTTGATTTCAAGTGTAAGGCCAGTATAAGATCAGTTTTCCCCAGCTAATCTAAGCACTGAAATCAGTTTTACATGCACTAATCTCACCATGATCTCTCTACTTGCATTCACTCTCTTGTTGTCGCAAACGAAAGGACAAAAAGACGATCTTTTAATCCATTATGATATAACCATTCCAGGGTCTACCCCCGAAGATGCCCTTGCCGTACCCTCCAATTTCTTCGGATTTGGCTTTGAGTCTGGGCTATTCCCACATTATGATAATGATTTCTCCGAGAACATGGTCAATGCTATTGGGTCCCGCATGAGCGAACCGATAGTACTTCGACTTGGAGGCTCAAGCGGTGATCATCTCACCTTGGTGGATAATCAAACAGAACCTTCACTTTGTGATCATGAAAAATGGCCAATTTGCGATAGTAACAGCTATTTCACGATAGGCCCTAGTTACTTCAACACTTTGAAGCGCTTTACCGAAGCAAAAGTGACCCTTCAAGCACCCATGAACGACTCCACCCTCGAAAACTCTATGACATTCCTTCGAAATGCCTGGGAAGCGATCGGTCAAGATCGCGTTGAAGCAATAGCACTGGGCAACGAGCCAAATTACTATGATTTTGAGCAGTGGACAGCTGCGGAATATGTCAATAGATCAATAGCTATTGAAGATGCTGTTATTGCAGACTTTGAGCTACTTGATCCGAGAATTTTCCAGATTGGAGAGATTCCTAGTGAAGTCATTCAGGGAATCTTTCCTTTGTTTACCATGTGGGTTAAATACCTCTCAAATCTTGAGATCACTCAACTCTTATAGCCTGTGGCTGACAACTTAAAATAAAACAGGCAACAAGTCCTCGAAGACCCAATCATACCCAACAATCGCAATAAATATGCATCAGGGCATCTGTACCAGCTCGACCTTATTGGCCAACAACCCGGAGCAGACTGGTATACAACAGACATTATGCAAAGTAAGCCAGCGGAAAAAGTCTTCCACCAACCCACTTGATTATAGGCTGATAAATACCAGAGGGCTTGCTATCCCATGACTTCACCACCAAGATTCTTGAGGGTTACGCCAGAGATGCCGCTTTCTTGAAAGAACAAAACTATTCGTTCCCTCTCGTGATATCGGAGATGGGTTGCGCGATTGGGAACAGCCCGCCTGATTTTGCTGGCGGTTTTGGTGCAGCAGTTTCAGCCGTGGATATCAATCTTAAAGCAATGACTATTGGAGTCAAGCAGATTACCAATACTCAAGAGCCGACAGCAACTCACTCCTGGTGGGTACCCGACAACTCCGGACCTCAAACGACGGGCCCATCTGTACAGGGAGTGTTCCCAGCAGCAGCATTCATTACCGACTTTGTCGGAAGGAATGAATCCCTTGGTAGAATATCTCAAGTGCTTGGGGAGGATCTCTTTTCTGCCTACGTTATGCATGATCTCGTGTCCAATAAGCCGTCGCGAGTTGCTCTACTCAATCTGAAGGAGTGGCACTCCAATTCAACAGGAGACAATCGAAACAACACTCGTGGTAATGTGACAGTCTCTCTTAACGTGGGATATGTTGCCCAATCAGTTGTTGTTCAGCGTCTACGCTCAGACTATGGTTCATTTGCCCTTGGATTTGACAATGGTGGACCAGAACAAAATACTAGCTGGGCTGGGGAGCAATGGAGTTATCGAGTGAATGAAGGGAAGGGACATTTCGAAAACGGTCTTGAAAAAAAGACACTCAGTGTTAAGAACGGAAAGGTGGATGTGGTTATCCCTGACACTGAGGTTGTGATGGTGTCTTTGAAATAGAATAGGATAGGCGATATCCCCGGGGTTTTTATAAACTTGTGCACATAGAGATGTGGATGCAGCTTTCCATAGAGTTCAATGCAAGCTTTATTCATGCCTAAAAACCTTGTGATCGTTTGTAACAAAGTATATGCATTTTTCTAGTGCCAGGCCTGTGCATAAAGTCATGGTGCTTATAATAGATTTGGCTTTTGGCCCCAGTGCGATGTGGCTATGCGCCCATGATACATGGCCATTCATCGATTACCCCGACAAGGCGTTAGCCACAAATTCAGCATATTTATTCGGTATAGTGTAGATATTGGCCTACCCTAGGGGCCAAAGATGCCCACAGAAAAAAATGGAGAGTAGCAGATTCAAATTAGTCACGGTTAGACCTTTTCTCTCCCTATTACCACCTGATTCTGATTCAAGTTCAAATTCATCCATCTCTACGAGGATATTACAGAGAATGATAGTAATAGGTAGCAAACGATTGTTGTTTCAGAGATATACTATTCCATGCATGCATTAAGGAAACTCGGTTCCTTTTATAATCGCTAAATAAACATAAGATATCAAATGCAACTTCGTGGAGAGTGAAAAAGACATTAGACCGGATCACCGGCGAGTGATATGTTGTGCAAATCGTCTATGGCAGCTCAGATGCCTGGCTTCGTTCCATTTGTTGCTTCTTGTCAAAATCGAGCTGCGCCTGTGCTTCAGTGACGGGTAACTCTGCCCTTGTTGATGTATCCGGTGGAAGCTCTGTGGGCGCAAGGTCGCCATGTAGTTCTGAAGGCTGCCAGTTACCCTGCATTTCTCGTGTATTTTGCTGTGCTACGGCATCTGTAGCCCCCGCAGAACCGGCACCCACGCCTTCGGCATCGGAGTTGTTCTTGCGCTTGCGGCGAAGGAGCCAAAATGCGAGTGCCCCGATCAAAGCAACTCCAGCCACGGCACCAATAACGGCACCAGCAATCCAGGCTTTGGAGGAGGAAGAGGAAGATGAAGGCGAAGAAGTGGAGGTGGCTGTGGCGGTCGGCGAGCTTGTTTGTGTTGCTGAAGTTGTTGTCGCCGTGCTGGCAGGCGCTGCAGAGGTAGTAGTGGCTGAATGCGCGAGTTTATCCAGTCCTGAAGTCACGTCCACGGTAACATAGCTGATTGTCGGGGATATAGTGAAGGCACTATTGTCTACCGATGACGAATTGGAGGTAGTACCACTGCTAAACCATGAGCTGGTGGATAAAGAGCAACTGGCTCCCATGGAGCCATCCGTGACGGTGCAGACTCCAGCCCCTGTAACAATAAAGAGCGTGCTACCAAAGTAGCTGGTAATATCATAGTTTAAGCCTTGTATAGACTCGCCAACGGTGACTGTTATTGGCCAGACCATGCCAGAGGAGTCGCATTGTGCAGTCGACTGTGCGTTGCAGTCCAGTTGGACGGTGGTCAGTGATGCATCGCCCGTGATCACGCTTCCTTGCATTAGAGTCAGGTTTTGGGCCAGCCATTGTTGCATAAAATCGATCGTCGTTGTCGATGCTGTGCTCTGGGAGGCAACCATTGCCGGCATCATGGCAGCGGCTGCCACCGCGCCAACCAACCGTACGAGATGCATGAGTAAGGCGACGAGGATAGGTGAATATTTTCGCGCCCGAGGCTCCGGGTTATCCTCACCTTAAAAAGGGCTTGGCTTCGAAACCACTTCGGTCATTAGCGCGAGGCTGAATCGCACCATGTCATCTATTTTCTCGGGTAAACAATGGACCCGTGGACTCGTGGACTAATGGGGAGCAAGAGTGAGTGGTGATTGGGCCCTGAAGCCTGTCATCAAATCCTTTGCAAGTTGCGACGTCTTTACTGGACGAGGGGGTCAATCCTTTCTCCAGGAGACTTAGTCCTGGACCTGATTTCAAGATTATTTAGACACGACTGGGCTATTGCGTCCCGCCCAGATTCCCTAGGTGTGCTTTGACTGGTTGTAAGCCTCTGATAAAGTGCGCTAGGATCCACCCCTAAACCATGCCAAGGGTTTAAGCCAGCTTTTTGATCCACATGAGCCCCCAATTAATGCCCGATCGGCATTTGAGCATGAGAAATCGCAATTTGAGCCCCCAAACCCCCACCCACTCCGGAAATGAAGGGCGACAAGAGTTTGAAGAGAGCCTATCTCTCCCAATCCTTGAACCCCACCAAATCAACGTGCGTCGCTCCGTAGGCACAGCTGTCATGCTACAACGAGGAGGGATTTCGCTATATTCAAGACTTCTGGCTTTAATGGGATATAAGGAACATAATGAGGGTATGGTAAACCACAGAATCTACATTTGATTGCGATTTTCCTATCCTGAAACCTAAAATTAGTCCTAAAAAGCTGTAATGAGTATATTGCCTTGCGCTAGGCGAGCCGTCATGAATATTGAACATTTATCCCGTTTATTTTGAGAAATCGACTTCACTAGAAGATCTCGATTGACAAAACGATGTTCCAGTCATCTTCGCTCTGATCTCGTGATCCCCCAGATATAGGTACGGAGATAAGACTCGGAGATAACCCCGATCTCCTCTCCTCTCACCTGACTCAAGAGTATCCCGAACATTAACTCCCAAGTTGTATTTCTCTACTTCACACTTGTTAATAACAATGAAAGTAATTCTCGCCGGTTCAACCGGCTTCATTGGCCGGGAAACCCTCAATCAATGTCTACAAAATCCTGCCATCACCTCGGTGGTAGCACTTAGTCGACGCGACCTACCAGCCCATGACAAACTAAAAGTAACACGGATGAAGGACTTCGCCTCATATGCCTCCTCTGTCCGTGAAGACATTCAAGGTGCCGAAGCTTGTATTTGGTATGACTTTTATTGACGATCAGTATATCACCTACTTACCCACCACTTAGGACAATCGGTTTGATCCCGAGTACGGCATTCAAAGATGATGATGGGGCAACTGCTCGCCGGGTCAGCATAGAGTATACCATGGCGGCAGCCAAGGCATTTGAAGAATCCTGTCGGAAACCATTTCGCTTCATTTATGTCAGTGGTGCTGGCGCGGAGCAGGATCAAACGAAGTCGCTCTGGGTTATGAGGGATTACAGAAGGATTCGAGTATGACATCTATCTTTTGTATATATTCATTGGTTCTAGAGTTTCTGCTTACCATCACAGGGTCTGGTGGAGTCTGAGCTATTGAATTTTGCGAAAACCCATTCTGACTTTACGTCCTACATTATGCGGCCTGCTATGGTGATATCAAACAAGATCACACCGCATAGTCTTCTTTTCGGCCTTGGACCATCTATTCGTGTTGATGCTATTGCTAAGTCTATGGTGGAGCTGGCTATTGGTGGTGGTGATAAGACTGTTTGGGAGAACTCGGAGATGAAGTAGCTGTAATTTGCATCAAAGAAAACAAGGAAAGAGATACGTTGATAGATTATGATATGATCAACAGAAGAAAGTTTATAATTTGTCTTCCAGGAGCGGCTTCAGATAATTTTTAATGCTCTATTCACTGGGTGAAGAACGAACAAGATGTTTGCGTTGATACCTATCTACTACTTCCCATCCTTTTAAGGCTCTATGGAATAACATTGAATTTGAAGGGGACAAGCCATTTCCGAGCAACGGATTTACAAATGAGATTGTGATTCTTTAATATTAGTACCGAAAGCATCGTACATCCATTCATTTATACATCAAATCAAAACATCAAACTTCTGTTTTTAGCGAATAAAGCCACGAATTACGATGGCACTTCAGGCATCAAATTCAGTTCCAATTAAGCACATCAACCAGCAGGATTGGTACAGGTAAAGGGTGTTAATTTCGTAGACTTGAAGGTCTTATGCATCGAAATAACAGACGCCCAGATACCCAAACCCGCTAGCGCTAGAGCTGCAAGAGCGTAAATAAGATCAAAGGTATTCCACCAGAATTTCTTTTTGTAGCCACGGATCCAACGCTTCATACCATGATCCACACGTTGAGCCTGTCCTGTGCGTGGGTCGAATTGCTCTTCTGGTAGCATTGCATCCTTCTGGATGTGATACCCGACCAAAAGTAAAGGTGGAAATGTGTAAGAGAATTGCAAGATGCAGGCAGCACCGACAAACGATGTTAAGTTGCTAACTTGCGGAATAGCAGCGGCAACGACAAAGGCGAGGATCCAATAGACGGGCACTGGGAAGATTGTTAGTAAGGAAGTTGGAATTGGGTTCTCAAAAAAGAAACCTGTAAGGGACTTACCGAGTCCAACCCACATCCATTTGCCAAGTTTGCTGTCGAGAGGCGGGAAATGAAAAACATCACGCAGCACAGAAGAATAAAGGATCTTGATTCCAATATTGCCGTAAAGCAGGGCCGCAATCGCGCCAGTGATAAAAGAAAGAGCATTGCCGAGGGTCTGGAAGCGGTATGCACCCGGAGTATTGGGGATTCCTGTTTTCAAATTAGTTATCATATACTGAAAAGGGATCCTGGCACGGCGTGATAAGCTTACCCTCGTAGGCTGGGTTATAGACAAATTGGCCTTGAGCAGCGTAGACAACCATTCCGTTGACCAGATAGCAGACGTAGATGAACAGCTCAGCACAAACGAAGCCCTTCCAGAAATCAAAGGGGCGTCGCATTTCAGCCATCAGCTCATTGAACAAAGTGGCACCACCATAAGCAAACACTGCGTTCATCATGGCAGTGACCTTGTCGTTGAGGTCTAAGCCAGAAGGCCAATTGGCGCTCGTGACTTTAGGTCCCTCTAGAATTCCGTAGGATGTCCTCACCGCGTCATAATTAGGAGGATACTTGTAGACAACCACCATGGTCATGATAATAACAATAACGTTTCCCCAGATAGCGAGATTTGCTAGCCAAGAAAGACGCTGTAGAGTTCGAATCTGTCCAAGAACAAAGCCGATCACCATGAAAATGATTTCAGCTGCTACAAAGCAGAGAAAGCCACCTTTGTTCTTGACACCAGCCACCATTTGCGCTAGGCCCTGTCCGTTTGTCTCAATCAACAGAGCTACGTTGAGGAAGAACTGGAAACTCTGGAGAACGTTCACTCCGATGCGGGCCCAACTACCAAAAATACGGAAAGCGAGATCGCCGTAGTTGCGCATCGGGAATCGAGTTGAATCCAAGCCAGTAAACATGCGCCAGAGCTGCAAGCCAGAGTAACAGGCCATCAGACCAAATACGGTGTAAAGAGCGAAACCGGGACCATAACCCATTCGGCTGATAGCGTAGGGCACATTGGTAGGGCCCAAAATATCAGTGGTGATCAGATAGAATATTGATCCCCAAGTTGCAGTGCGAGCTGCTCTCTGCGCCTGCTCCCATTCTGTTTCGCTAACGCCCCACCTATCCGTACTCACATCGCTCCTCGCCGTTTCGGTCCCAGGAGCATTGGCATTTTTCGGGTCGAAATTACTTTTCTCGGCCACAGATGCAGGCTCGGTCGGCTCAGCGGCTGGCTCCTCCCGTTTCCCCTTGCGATTTAGAAGGAGGTTTCCTATTCCTGCGAAACCAGCAGTGTCTGTTGGAATGTGTTTCTCTACCTCGCGAGAGCGACCGGCCCAATAATGATAGTTCTCAAAGGTAATATTAGAGTCCAAATAGACGGAGCCTGTTCCGTACAGAATTGGAGGTTCGATGTCGTGATGTATATCAATGTTGGGGTGTTCTTTTTCAGTGCCAATTATATCTGCCTCATCGCCAAGGCGAGGATCGGCAACGCCGCCGATGTTAGCTGCGGAAACGATACCAGCCATTGCGCGGGTGGCGGAAAGAAAGTGCTGATCCCTCCTGAAGACAATAAAGGGGAGAGAGGCAGGGGACGGACGTGCGGACGCTTGTCGGGGTTTAAATAATCATGATTGTGCACGCAAGAAAGACTAAAATTTAGTTCGACGAAAAGGTACCAGATCTCCTGTGGGCTCCCTGCATTTCAACTGTAACCCGCCATAACCTTGGCTTCTTTGTGGAGTAATGGGTACTCGTGGCCGGACTTGAACCCCGTTGTCCGAACCTTGATTGGATTGCATGATGATGCGGTGGGGCGCGTCATCAGGCAGGAGGTTTATACGGATAGCCAGTGTCTCGCCAGTAACTTATCAGAAAATCCCGCCCGGCCCTTATTGTCCGAGACACCAAGACGCGGGTGGTGCTTGTTTCACTGATGAGCCGGGGACGATTCTTGCGCTAGCATCCATAGAAGTGATATTGGTGGCTGTTGCTGACGACTATGCCCCACTTGGGGCCCTCTGGATGCTCGGTAAAAGCTTGTCTTCTCCGCAATCAAGATAAGTCGCCTGTCCTGCCCACCAATGAAATAGAGATATCGGCTAAGGGCGGATGGCCTCTTGCTGCTCGAATTTTACCAGGAGACTCCATTATCCAACTGTAGTAACTCTGCCGGATGACCGACGGGGTAAAGCGTGTGGAAATAACGATCGTGTGTCCACCCACATGATTTATGCATGTACGGGCCAGGGTTACATTAACCTGAAGACAATCCGGGGGCCAAAATTTCGTGTTTCTCGAGTCATAAGAAGTGATTATGAGGAAGGGACTGCCCATGGATTTGAGTGACAGTTTGGTACGGACGTCCCCGGTAAAGGTGGATCAAGATCCACTATAGAATGAAAGGAAGGAACAGCCAAATAATCTCGCCTGCATCTTAAGTGACTGTTAAATCATTTTCCGCCAATACTTCCACGGGAGAAGGCCGGATTTGCGGTCGCAGTGATCGTTCAACAGGGAGAATGACTTCCTATGTACTCCGTACTCTGTATGTATACTGGCATAACTTGACACTTCTATTTTTTTCTGGTTCTCTGGTTGCCAGACGCCATTGGGTTTGCACTTGGTCACTTTTTTCAGTAACCACACAGAATCTACATTTCCGTAGCCCCGTGGAACCCTACTACTTACATCTGTCAAGACGGATCGAGCTGTGGAGCCTCGGCATAAAAGACACTAACTTTATGGATATGGCAGAGAGGTTCATTTTCTAACAAACCCAAGTCTAGATGTCAGAAGAGTCCCGGGCAAAACAGTCACGCTCCGCATTCTTACCAGGACTTGATTGATCATCCATAGTCCACCAAAATAAAATGTGACTTTGATGCATTGTGATGGGGATGTTGAAGTTGAAATTAGTTTCACGCCTATGAACTATCCCAACCTCATCCACCGTCGGTCAACGTTTGCCCACTTAATATTGCAGTAGTGCAGAATTAGCCCTTTCCATTTAGAAGAGATTCCAAGAGAAAGGAAACTTCTTCCGGCAAGCCGGACATTTAGAGCAACTCCGGGCTAGTCATATGTCTGAATAAAGTGGGGCTTAGACAATGAAGCATCCATATATTCTGTGTAGTGGAGCCAATTTTATTGATGAAAAAGCTTTTTTCGCTACTTATTGCCGTATATTCTGAATCATGATAAGGAATATTTGCATGGGATTAGTGTTTGATTTAATAATAGGCTGAAATAGCCACGTGTGGGCAAAATACGCCCCTTCCTGTAGAGCCGCACCATTTGTAGACTGAACCATCACAGCGAAGCGCCTCCAAACTCGCGTCTGTGTAACTGACCTTCTAATCTTTTAGAAAATAATTTCCACTGGAGAGAGAATTTTAGCAACAATTACGACCAGCCAATTAGCCGAAACACCGTAACTAAGTAAAATGATTGTATTACGAAATTCTTCTTGGTTTAGTATTCTTCTATAGTATTGTACTTCAACCCACCTTATTATGTAGGAACTCGCTAATCCGACGATACATATCAACTGGGTTCGAATACATCGGAAAATGCCCACTTTCCGGGATAGACGCTAAATCCACACCTTCTTCCTTCAATCGCTCTAGGTACGGTAAATTCCGAAACTCTTCTCCAGACATGAACATCTTTGGACAGGAAAGACCCAAAAACAGCCCTATCAAATTTTCCTCGTCTGACAATCGTACCATGGAATCGAAAATTGGTCGGACAGCCGCAGGTCGTGCTCGCGCGCGTAGCGTACTCTCATATAAAGGGCTCCCGTAGGTCTTGGTGTTACGTGTTCGCTCGATGAATGCATCAAAGAAAGCGTCGGAAAGCGTCGGAATTATCAGATGGAAATGTGAAGATCTGCCGACTGAAAAAATAGACCTCTGATGCGAGGTTTCCTTTGATATCGATAAAGCTTAGGATGCGATCTGGATGACGGTTTGCGAGTAGAAGTGCCGTGAGTCCTCCCATTGAGTGGCCTATAAGATGGAATTTGAGGATTTTGAAATGTGATAGGACTGCCTCGGCTGTTGCAACGAAGAATGGAATGTCAATTATGGAAAGGTCATTGCCCGCGGTTTGACCACACCCTGGGGCGTCGTAGGCGATCATGCTGAAGTTCTGAAGGCATTTGTGCAGCGATAGATCTGCCAAGTCTTCTTTACATGAGCCGAAACCGTGGAGAAAAAGAATTAGGGGATTAAAGTTCAGGTAATGGAATGTTGCCAGATCAAGTTTCACCCCTTTGACTTGGAGGGAGACTGTCGAGTACTCGAGCGCCTTACCTCAAATTATACTGTAAGGGTATAGAGGTCACCAAAAAGCTACCTAAGTATTGGAAGTATTTATAAGTCATGCTAAATTGGAGATACTTATGACATTTTGATGACAACTCTTGGTTAACAGATTGGGCAAAAGGTCACCACACCGGGGAGCTGATCCGTGGGTATTGCTCAAGTAAATTTAAGCCGCAATTTTTGGGAAAAGCATGATCATATAGAACTTAATACACCCAAAGCAGTGGTCTCGGAAATATTTGTTGGCTTGCAGGTTTAGAGCCCCTCAAGCTGGTATAAGGGTTCGAGCTTCGTAGATCGTTGAAAGAAGACGTAGCGCCGAACGAACCATGGCAACCAGGTGCCAATTTGGTACTTGGCATGTCGATGAATAGGAACACCAAAGGTATAGTCGAGTTCTTCTAGGGTACGTTGCCTATGCCTCGTCAGATAATGACCGATCAAGTGTGAAAATAAGTTTGGTCCCTCCCGAGGTCACTAACATCGTTTCTGGCACCACAAAAAATATAGTTACGAAGGCGATAACATTCAATCCGGCATAGAAACCAAAGGCTATAGCAGCTTTTAGCAGAGTGTCATAGCGTGAATCGTATTGATTGATATCTTACCTCCACTAGGAGTGGTCTTGGCTAGCAGCGATGGGAAACTTAGGGTAAGAGCGCTCCCGACCGCGTTATTGACACAAATTGTGACAGCTGCGCCCAATTCTCGATGAGATAGTGGGAATGCTTCACTAAAGTAGATTGATGGGATGGGTCCCATACCTATTCTTGTCAGCAGATGCCATGGGGCCGAAGACAGACGAGAAATGACCAACCAGGTCCATATAGTGCCGTGAACAGGTATATGAAAAGCGCTATCAAAGGTACCCGAGCACCTGAATCAGTCGGAATCAAGAAACAAAGCCCTGCTGCTAAAAGACACCAAGCCATATTCGGGAATGTGAACAACAACAAGTTACGGCGACCGAAAGTATCCATTGTCCACACGGCGGGTAAGGCAAAAATGAACATAGTCAATCCGAAGCCTAGGGAAGCTAGTAGACAATCACGGGTGGAATAGCCTGCCTCAGAGAAAATTGTGGATGAATAAAAACTCATGATGTTGATGCCAGAAAATTGTTGTGAGATGACAATTATTGCACTGGATATCAATGCGCGGCGGAGGCGAGGAACTGTGAACAATTCCCATAAGCGATGGCCAAGGGATTTCCCTGAAAAGGCGTCTCTCTCCGTCACGACCTGACAATGTGCATAGTACTAGATCCGATAAGTTTCCGCAAATCCTGAGAATATGTACTTGGACTTACCAAATCTCTAGCAGCGATAAGTTCCGTATTGCGCAATCTGCAGAATGCGCGGAAGGCTTCTTGATAGCGACCCTTCTTCATAAGCCATCTTGGCGACTCTAAATGAATCTTGTCAGCCTCGCAATTAAGAAATATATAGTATATAATTAATCGACATACCAGGACAGAACCAAACAAATATTAATACGGGAACAGCAGGCACAAAAGCGGCGGCTAGTTGATAACGCCATGCAAGTCGTCCGACGCGATAAAATATGAGATTAGAGCAGAAACCCCTATCCAGAAGATTAGATATGGGGGTGTTATTGATTATCTAGGCTTGAAACTTGCATGAATGTGCCAAATGCTACCCAGAGCTGGAAACTTGTCACTATTCCACCACGAATCGAAGCTGGGCTTATCTCTGCACTGAAGACAGGGATTGTAGATATTTTGACTCCCATCCCTAAGCAACGAGCCATACATTAGTTGAAGTCTTATGGGAATAACCTGCTTACTACTTACCAAGCCCCATGAACAGGCGACAAAGCATCAGACCCCACCAGTTTTGCGTAAAGGCTTGTGCAAGTACCGGGAAGACACAGCTGTAGATGAATTAGCCGAACAACCCAATATATTCCCGACTCAGACTCGCGCAAGTCTCACATACAATAGCCCAGTGAGAAAAATGGTGCCACGGCGACCTAGCCAATTGTTGAGGGGATCTGCTGCCCATGCACTTGGAATGTTAGTTTGGTTATTTCATGCGGCATATTGATATACTAACCTAAGAAGGCCGAAGAGAGTGGGTCTATGATATATTATTATCAGAATACAGATTTTTGTTAATTATAGAAGATTGACATACCCGGAGTTTATCACGCCAACTAACCAAGTGTTGTCTTCAATGCCAAATTCCTGTGGAAAGGAAAGATTGGCTCCATTTGCGCCCGTGTTGTCCCATCCTCTTCATTCAATTTAGAATATAGACGCCAAAATATAGGTCCCAAACTTACTGAATTGCAGATCCGAGAGAGCACAAAGCAATACTGAAATATAGGTCTTTCGGCAAGTGCCATTTGTCTATCCTCGAGTTAGACTGGATAAAAGCAGAAGGAAGGTTTACATACTTGTATGTTCTCGGCGCAAATGGTATTTATCCTCTTCATTCAGCTCTGATATTTCCTCAAAGCTCCTTTGATTTTGTGCAGCGAGCGCTCCCTTCTGGAATACCTGGACTTGATCCGTAAATCCATATTCTTGACAGAATCGAAGAACGCGATCGTGGAGATCATCTCTAGAGATTCCAGCAAGAGGGTTCAAGATCCTATAGAAGTACGTAGAAGAAAAGCCATCAGATAAAATCCAGACAATAGCAAAAGAAGGTGTATCTGTACCTCGCATTAACATTCTGGTTATAGCTCCCTAAGTGCTGTGCCTGTAGCTCCGCATCCTCCACGAATACCGAGTTCGGCTTGAGATCATCATCCTCACTAATTTTCGACATGGTCATTTTCACAAACTGTACTTTCGATATGCCAATCAAAATAGTTCTGGGACCAATCCACAAATATATACTCCACTAGACGAAGACACCAACTTTATTGGCGTATCCGAGGGGGATCGTCGGTCAAAAATCCGGGGTGCGCTAGTGTTAAACAAAGACGGCGATCGGACCAATTGCGCCTTGGTTACCCCTCGCCGATGGGTGTATGACGCCAAGTGCCCTGCGTGTGTCGACGTTCGCTTTGATCAAAGCGCTTTGGCCTGTGTGAGACCAGAGTACTGTTCACCAATGAGGTGGTTGGGTATTAAAGCGTTTAGCCTGTTTACCCCCTGCTGACTGGGAATGCTTCGGCGTGGCGGTGCCGAGCCGGAATGCCCTGCGTGAGAACATAGTACAGTGAACGAACAGAATTTCGTAATGAGATGCGAGGTTCTGAATACGTTATTTCCTCCCAAGGTTCCAGGCTATCCCCGCTCGTGCCCTGTGTGTGTCCGATGCAAGATGTACTCCACCGGGGGTTACAGGAACTTGAAGGTCGTACATTCACAAGCCTCGAAGTTGGTTTCGCAAATTTCCAGTGTTAATCAAATTCGTCCTTGTCTCCAGTTGCAAAACATATATATTCAAGGGCTCTGCCAGCTTCTAAATTTTCATCAAGTACTTCACTTTAGAAAAATCTCACTCCTACTAATTCAAGATGGGTAGCGCCGGGAATGTGACATGGCTGCAAAAGCTATCAGAGCAGCGTAAGTGGGATTCTACTCCATAGAAATTTGAAGTGTCTTCGGAGAGGATAAGAAAAAGCTAACATTGTTTTGTTTTCATGGCCAGTCAATGTGGATGTTGACTGGATGGACCCTGCGTACACACTGAGTATGCCCATTGTTCCTCATGACATGACCAGCAACCAAGGATGGGTTCATGAACAGATGTGCAACCCAATCAACGATGATCTGTTCAAGAGCGTGGTTAAGGAGTACAAAGATCAAGGCTGGCTAGCAATCTACACTCGCATGGTATGTTGTGAACATTCAGCTTTGAACTTCCCAATAATTTACTAACATCATCTTAGGCTGTCTTGATGTCCAAGGCTAATATCGATAATATCCAAGGCCGAGTACTTCTTCAGACCCTTCCTTCCAATGCATACAACACCGAGGAGACACTTGAGCATGCCCGGGCCTATGCTCGTGAGTTTGAGAGCGTCGGCGTCTCCAAAGACCGGTTTTGCATCAAGATCCCTAGCACTGGGCCTGCACTGAATGCGTGCCCAATTCTGCTACAAGAGGGTATCCGGACTCTTGGAACTGCGTTGTTCAGCGTGCACCAGGCAATTGCTGCTAGCCAGGCAGGATGCTTGTACATCAGCCCGTACTACAATGGTAAGAGTTCCCACATCTTTCTCAAGGGGAAGAAAAATTAATCGTCTCGCACAGAGGTTCGCGCACACGATGAACGAGAGCTGTGGCCCCAGTCTGACGACCCAGCGTTGCTTCATCCAATGTCCCCACGCTTAGTTCAAATTCTTGAGACATACAAGCGCCTGTATAAAGAAACCGGAAAGGAACAGCCATTCCTTAAGAATGCGAGGTATGCCAAAATCATCCCTAGATACGTTATTCCGCTAACCTGATTGGAATCAAGCTTCATTTCTCCACAGGAAGCCATGGCAGCTGGTGAGCTGGGATGTCAGTCGGCTACGATCTCTCATGAGGTCCTCACTCAGCTCGCCCAGCTTCCGTATGACGGATCCAAGCAGCCGGGAGAGGGCGTGCCGAAGCCGGAGCATCCGTATGAAGCAGCAGCACCAACGCCAGACCGCCTGAAGAAGATTGCGCAGACTGATCCTCTTATTGGACCTAACTGGGATGGAAAGCTGTCAAGAACTGATATCGACTATCTGGGAAATGGAGGTACTGAGCTCGACAAGGCAAACGAGGAAGACCCGCAGACCAAGAAACGACTCAAAGAAGCTCTTACGCTGTTCATTGCAGCAGAAAAGAGAAGCCAGGCAAAGATTGAAGAGGCCATGAAGCACGTCTAGGTGCAGTTGAGCATGTTGATACAGGATGGAGCGTATGGTACCATCGAGAAATATCACTCTTTTAAATAGATCGATCTTTCGAAGTAAGAGGCAGTGAATTCGCAATCGAAAGCGTGGGCATTAAAGATATGGAATGCTCATTTCCTGCTATAGTGGCTGTGTCTATTCCAATATTTGAATACCAAAGACGTGGCATATCATCAGAGAGACCTGCTAAGTCAACTCCATAGTGTATGGTCGTATTTTGAGGAGGCGTAGGTCTGAGAGGCCCAGGATGCTGAGTCCAAAATGATGCTGAGTCGTGAACAAGATAAGATGCATTGCTGTTTGGACGTATATCAATGACCTTCGGCCAAGACGGCGTCAGGGGATCGGGAGAGTCATTCCATACAAAAGAGCCTTCATCCGATAGATTTTGTGGGATATCATTTGCAGAATTGTTGGGACCAGGCCAGGTCCACCCAAGTGGAATCTGTGCAAGCGGTGGATTTTCAATAGTGGCACCGGAATAACTTGCTATATGGGGTCCCTCATTTGCACGGGACAGTAAAACTGGTGGCTGAAACTTAGTGTGTAAATGATTAGATTGTAAGTCATCGATATTTTGAGTTTCATGTGCTTCATTTGATCTAGTGCTTTCCGCCATAACCTCGAGAACAGCTGGGTCGACTGGCTGGGCTTGGCGTGGAACAGAAGCATCAGGCTGGTACAAAGTACGAAGGTTGTTAACCTCCCTTAATAGTTCATCACGCTCAGCCATCAAGGCCTGGATGGCAGTAACGGCTTGGTCGCATCTTGCTTGCTGTGCTTTATGATGAGAGATGCTCTCATCAACAATAATATGCTTCGAGGGCCGTGTTTCCTCCTTGAGCTTGGGTAGTAATCTTGTCAATTCCTGAATCTCGTTAGTGACAATTAAAGCATCTGTTTTAGTGGGTGGACGGTCACCAACCATTAAACGTTCACTGAACGCCTCTCGGCGGGACTTCTCAAATTCACGATGGCTGGCTCTATCCTCCTCGGTCCAGTGCCGGACGCGTTTTTTCTTGGGCCTTTCACTTTCTTCCTCAGTCATCGATGGGAGATTCTCAATTGTTAACAGTGTCTCAGCTTCCATTTTTTAGAGAGCAAGCTATGAGGAGAAACGATGAGGTGCTTGGTGAATTCCGGGGAAAGTGGGGGACGAAATGCGGAGAAGACCCAACTTCCGCCAGCCCAGACCCACTTCAAAAGCAGCTGGATGAACCATATCAACTTGTCACGGACAGGTTTTTTCTCTCTCTTATGGGGAGTTATATAGAAAAATAGCGGTCATCTTATACTTTGTTTTTAGCTTAGCCTTTAATCTTCACCTACCAGCTTCTTAAAGAGGAGCATGATAAGAAAATTTCGAAAATGTTGACTCCAAAACGCGAGGCTAGGTCACCTGATCCCAAATGAAAGACATTCGCATGAGATATTCAAAGAGGAGGAGCCACCTTGGTGGCATCTTGGTCTTTTTAATGGCGAGTGTTTTCAAAAAGATCCCCAATATTCTTTCTGCGAGACTCTTCAGGCTGGTTGGTTAATATTTCACTGAGGCATTATTTGCACCGACGGGCATGGTTTTGGAAGACTAGTGAATCCAGGCTGTTTTCAATGGATAGAGGGGGAATTCTCTTCAAGTTATGAGATGATCGTACAAAATACATGAGTTCCGACTTTGAAAGTCCCATACGTCTATTAAATGTCGTCCTGGGGGATCATACCCTAGTCCCAAAGCCTCTCAAATATCTTTACGCCGAGCCATCATTTCCAGCCTCGGTAAGAGTTGACAGAATTTTGCGTGTCTCACTATCTTTGTAGATCAAAATTAATATAATTAAAAGATGTCATACAATCTCGCCGGATCAAGCCTCATAAACTCAGGAGTTGCTAGTACATTTTCAATATTCCCGTGTACATTACCATCCTCTATTCTCGGAGAGAAAGCCTATTTTTCTCGGGGGCAATCCCGAGGGTATACCAACAAAGATTCGGCAATCATCTTATTATTGAAGTTTCTGCCTTGACCTTCAATACTGGAATATTAATTGGCCTGATCGAGAAGAAGGCTTGATTTTAGGTTTGATCCTCTGATGGCAACGAAGACAATCGGAGTTGAACCGTGAATGGTGAAGTGAAATCGGATATGATCCGGGTCTCATTATTTCAAGTATCTTCCCTGATTGGCCTGTTACTGCTAACCTCCAGCTAGTCTGACTGTATTATCCGAGAAAGCAAGTTTACCCACGCTAGTATGCTGTGGGGTTTCTCTGGGGAGGATTTGCGGGGATATGGGGCATTCGCCAGCCTTCCTGATGGTACATAAACTGGAGAAATTCTAAGAACCAAGAATATCATAGTTTCCTATAGAAATCACACTTTCAAGATGTTGTCTTTACGAGGCAAGCCTTTGGTTTACCTCGTCACGGTTGTTAGCTCAACGGGCTTTTGTCTCTTTGGTTATGACAATGGCCTGATGGGACAAATCATCTCGGAGCCCAATTTCCTCGATTTGATTGGCAACCCCAACTCCGCTGTTCAGGGATTCGTGGTCTCCTCCTATGATATCGGGTGTATGCTCGGGGCTCTTTCAGCTGTCCTGATCAGTGAGCAGATTGGCCGTCGCCGCACCATCCTCCTTGCCTGTATAGTTCACCTTATCGGCGATGCGATCAATGCCTCGTCATTTTCTCTCGCCCAGGTCCTTGTCTCGCGTATCATTCTCGGTGTTGGTCTTGGCCTATTCACCAGCGCTTCACCCGTCTGGCTAGCTGAAACCACTACAGCCGAGATGCGAGCTGTAATGGTTGCAGTGCAGTTGACTTTTCTTATAATCGGCACGAATATCGCGTATTGGGTTGATTATGGGCTTGGTTTTCTGGATAATGAAATTAGCTGGCGGGTTCCCTTCGCGCTACAAGCAGTCTATCCTCTCGTTGCCTTCGGGTTTACGCTCTTTCTTCCTGAGTCTCCCCGGTGGCTGGCTGCCCATGGACGTACACAAGAAGCAGTAACCGCTCTTTCTGCATTGCGTGATCTACCCGAAGATCACGAATTGATTCAAGCCGAGGTCAACGATATCTCATCCGCTATCGAACTTGAGGCTGGGGGTTCCTCCTGGGGTGCGCTATTCCAGCAAGGCCCGGCCAAGGTCCGAACGCGAGTGATCATCGCATGTGCGGCTCAGTCTATGCAGTCATACTGTGGAATCAATTTTGTCGAATACTATTTCCCTTTCATTCTTCAAAACTCGGTCGGCCTGAGTCCTAACTTAGCGAATCTGGTATCGGGGTGTTCCCAAATATGGTTTCTTCTCACGTCACTCCTCACATGGTTCCTCATCAATCGTTTAGGTCGCAGGCGGCTCTTTTATCTCGGGAACGTGGGAATGGGCAGTTGCATGATTGCCGTATCTATCACCTTGTGGTGGGACTCCCCATCATCAGATATTATCACCATTGTCTTCTTTTGGCTTTACTTACCTTTCTTCACTTGGGGGTGGATGTCTAACATGTGGACATATCCGGCAGAGATTCTACCATTGCATGTACGAGGCAAAGCGCTTGCACTCTCTGTCTTCTTTCTCTGGGCAAATCAGTTCTGGACAGTTGAAATTGCCCCGGTCTCTATCGATAATATCGGGTGGCGCAGCTATGTTATCTGGGCTGTTCTGAATTTTGCCTGCTGCGCCGTGGTTTATTTCTTCTTTCCGGAAACTTCATCTATGACTCTTGAGTCTGTTGATTTTCTCTTCTCCTCCTCTAATGGCATCCGAGATGTTGTTTCCAAGAGCGAGAACCTTTGGAAGAACAAAATACACTTGGAAGTGGGAGCTGCAGCGGCAGCAGCGATTGACGAGGAAGATATTGGAGAGAAAGCAAATACCCAGCAATTGGAGAGAGTTTAGGCTAGATGTTGGTAAATAAACAAGCGGAGGCGCGAAGTTGCATGAATCGCGCCAAGAAAACAGCCTTCTGTAGTATTCTTTTTGTTGATTGTATCCTGTATATTTCCCGCACTTTTGGTCACAACAATAAATAAATTTTCCACATATCACTGGCACCAGACAAAAAACAGGCTCAATATGCACCGCAGAGCTAGTTCATAGTTCTTATTGGTAGATATCTGCATTGAAATCTGTGTGGCTTAAACAACTTTACCTGTAGCAACTTGATTGGCTTAAGCGCAAAAGAAACATGCTCAAATACTCTCTCAGCCTATAGATCATTCACCGACGTCGGAATGGCATGTGTCCCAAGTAAAAAGAAAAGCCCACGTTTAATAAGTATATAATAATCCTCGTAGACTCGTTTGTATTCAATTTTAATCTGTTAGTTTCTTAAATACTCAAGTCATCATGGATATGTCTTCTGTGACCAGTACAATGACAGACATGACCATGTCTAGTACAGTTACATCGGCATCCTCATCTGCTACAAGCACTGGTAGTGGTATGAAGATGGGGGGCTCATGCAAAATCAGTGTACGATTAATTACTCTGCATACTTCAAATATTCTATTTTAACATTTCTTTTCTAGATGCTTTGGAATTGGAACACGATCGACGCGTGCTTCATATCGCAGTCATGGCACATCACTTCTAAGGGAATGTTCGCTGGATCCTATATTGGGGTCATTTGTCTTGTTATCAGTCTGGAATTTCTTCGCCGACTGGGCAAGGAATACGATCGTCTTTTACTAAGACAACACAAGTTACAACATGTGGGAGAATCGACTACGTCTATTGAAGCTTTATGTACGAGGGATGTACCATTCAGTTTTACGCCCACTATTTCTCAACAAGCCTTTCGCGCGCTTTTGCACATGCTTCAGTTTGCAGTTGCATATTTTGTCATGCTGTGAGTCTTCCTTAGTTACCAATCGGATATCTCCTTCACCTCCTAATTGATCTCGCTCCTTTTTGAAAACGAGGCTGACTTGTAATTTGCCAGTCTTGCCATGTACTATAATGGTTACTTTATTATTTGCATTTTTATTGGTGCTTATATTGGTTCCTTCATATTCACATGGGAATCTATCAGCCTGGGGTATGTGATTCAGACTGAACTGTGACCTGGATAGACTTTGAACTGAGCCCCTTATAGTAAAGAAAACAAACAGACAAGCGTTGCTAATGAAGCAACCGTCTGCTGCGGATGATTTACTTTAGCGACCGACCCTGGCAAATCTTTGTGAAATGGAAAGAAGTTTCCTTTCCAATGTTGACATGCCTCAATATTGTCTTATGTACTCTTGAATATTGCATTGAAGCTTGCGCGTCCGAATCTCACGCTATATGACACTGCTTCCAAGCTTTTTGGTCAATAGCTTTTGAAATTGGATAGATTAATCTGCCCGAGGATCAAGAATGGATCTGGTTCAACTCAGTCAAACAGCGGGGCTCTGCGGGAACTGGCGCACGGGTTCTCGGGAAGGATGTTTCTCTCATATTCCGATGCCAAGCGCCTGGGCATGGGCTGTTGATCAGGCAGCAATATTGAACTTGAATAGGGTTATAAGATTTAGGAAGGAGTAGCATTTGCAATACTAGGTCCTGTATGGAAGTGTGTCTAAGATGTCGAAGCGCTCGTCCAGCAGTAAGAATATGTCTAGATCAACTCACGATTCATTTCGTAAATAGGCGGAAACCGGCGAGTCCCTATTATGAAAAGAATGCCATCAGGAGCTAGTTTCTTAGGTGGTCCAAACGTTCGAATGTTCAATTTGAATCTTGGCACTTGACAAATGTGAGTCTCGCTTGACAAAGATCTTTTTGAACAGGTCATAATTTTCGTTTGGCCCGATTTCTTGAACGGGTAGGGGCTTTGGAACAGTATCTATTAATGTTCCAGCCGCAAGGATCAAGGATTCGGCCGCATGGAAAGACAAAAGATAAGACGATGCTGTGATATGTGATCTGGCATAAACATTTCCTATTGCAGCATACAGATTCGAAGCTCTGGGCCTCGCCACAGTATGTAAGGATGGCGGGCCTTGTTGATTGGGTCTTTGATGAGGAAAAGGAACCCTGCTTCGCCCGCCCGCGAAATATGCCCCTATCTCCACTTCATGGACCGTTCAGTACTAGGAAAGACACTAACCGATCCAAGGCATACGGTGACATGATATTTTGGTGATGTCAGATGACAGCAGCCTTCAAAAAAAAAATTTAAAATTTTTTTTATTGTTATTTTTTCTCTCATGGAACCCAAATAAGGCTGAAAATCCTTTCAATGCTCAGCCACAGCTGGGATGCCAAGAGCCGCGTGAGCTGCCGACTGGCAAACCGGCGACACCGACAATTATCCCATAGGCAGGTGAAAGTGGAATAAAAGGGGCAAATTAAAATAGAAAAAGATAGAAAGAAACATATGGAAAGTAATAATAATAACAGCCATGATATTGAAATAGTAGAAATTCTATGACAGCATGTACAGAACGGCTAACTATGAGGCATAATCGCAAAATGCCACACCCAAACAAGGCAGTTGGAAATGGAGCTCGGGTGGATCCGCACGTAGAAAATTTTCGATCTTTAAAAAGTCAAAACGAGTCTAGACACCATTGGTTTAAGGTGATGGGGCCGTGGCAAGCTGTTTCACGGGAGCTAGGAAGTCCACCGCACATTACGGAGCATTTATTATTATTTCTTTAATGAAATATTCGAATCCCCCTTATAATCCTTCCCTTTATAATAACTATCAATGGCCACTTTCCTCCAGTCATATGCTTCTTTGCTCCCATGCGCTTTCAGTAAGCCTTAACACCGGCTGTTTGACGCACTGCCTCTGCTGCGAGTCGCCGATTCTTGCTCCAGCCCATTCGTGATTATCTAGCTCTCTGCCCCCTGATTCGCCCCGGATTGTTCTCTTCTTCCCCGGAATTATTAGGAATCTGTTGCTCTGGCAAAGGAGCTGCAAGCTTCTCATTACTCTTTCCGACTTGGCTACCCAGCTTTCGGGGACGTGTACTCCGTTCACACCGCAACGATAACGACATTTTTGGCCCATCACTGCCAACCAGTCCTTATCCTTACCCTTGAACCTGTGGCTGCTATTATCGTCACCACCTTTTACACACCCCCAAGGGCCCTTCCCGGAATTTCTTTAAGTGGAAGACAAAAGCCCCAGCAACTCTCTTCACATCGATTTCGTCCTATTGAACTCGAATACCTTATCACAATGGACGTCGATTTGTAACACCGTTGTCCTTCTTTGGATCTTGTTTCTTCACATATCTTATCCGCATTTCAGCGCTTTTTACTCGCACGGCCATCATATTTCTGGCCCCCTAATACCTCCATCTGTCTTATCCAAAAAGCTGCTATCCATCTTCAGCGCCTTCCAAGCCATCATTGATCATGGCCCCCAATCTCTTCCTGTGCCTTCGCACTCTCTGCTGTCCAGTCTACTGGTTTCAGCACAATGACCGCGTCGACAGCGAAGAAAACCGCGAGCAACATTGGGAAACCCCCGTTCCAGGAACTTACCGGTTCCTCCCCGGTCAAGGCTGGCACCTCATCCGTCGTGATTCACGCGACCACGATGAAAAAGTTCCCGCCGCCCTTGTCTACTGCCGTGTTCTGCACCGCTACATGTTTGAGTCGGAGCTTGAAGACCGCTCCCGCTTCTTCACTGCGCCACTACACAAAGGTGGATGTCCTGAGAAGCTGCGCTTCTTCCTTCTAGACGATGGCGTGCACTGGGTTGCTGGATGGGATGCCAAGGGACGTTTCATTCCTGGCCCCTACCCCAAGTGGTGGCTCGAGGAAGACGGTATGACCATGCGCCGTGGTGTCTCGCCACCCACCAGTGCCAATGTTTCTCGATGCAATAGTTTCATTGCCGGCAAAATCGAGTAAATGATTATTTTTCTTTGCTATTTTCTCATCGATTTGTTTTTATTCGTTTCGTTTCTTTTATCTTGATTTTTTGGACTTCATCTATGCTGCTATATATCCGGGTTGACTTTCACGCTCTATCTTTGGGTTTCCATGCAATTATTTCGCAATTATTCCCCATCACATGTTCAGCGCTTGAATTTCTATGTTGAGGAGCGTTTTAGCGTGGTTATTGGCTATCAAAAGTGTTTTAAAACTTGGGTTTTGTGTGAACTGGGTCATGGGTATATCAATAATCCTCGGGCTATTTTCGGCAATGGTGTTTCTCTCCTTGGTTGGCTTTTCCCCTTCACGAAATTAGATTTACGTTATAGACTAGTCTAGACTTACAGTTATGGGATTTCGGATATTTTATTAATATTGCTTGAACTAACCGGGTACAAATTGGCGATGACCAATTCACCTCTTTCTCTTCTCTCATTAGTGTATTGCCAACTTCAAGAAATCTTGGTGCGGATGTTCCCCTCCCCCCAACTTGTCACCGCAATTCTCCGAGAGAATCAGCTCTACCAAGTAATATTTAATAATCCATGCATAGCCCTGCCTAACTTCGCGCGGGTTGCCTGCGGCTTGTGGGTCTCAAAGACGAGCTAAACCACATTGGGAGAATCGATATGGCACACTCATGGATCTATTGCCGGTAGTAAATGCTGCATCAAACGTATAGAATTTTTATTGCAAACAAAAGAAATACACTACAATTCAACAATAAATATAGGTCTCCTATCTGGAGACAAATCTCTTACTCCAACTCCTCAAGCCTCTGGAATTCCATCGCCTGCTCAGATCACAATGCAAGACAACCCCGTCGCCCTTATTCTCGGATCCGGACCCCGACTCGGTGCCTCAATCGCCGACAAATTTCTTCTCTAGAACATATTTGATTCGAAATATTAGATATTTGTAAAGTAGAAATAGTAAGCTAAATAACACGTACTTGCGAAGTTCTTGGCTGCAGAATCTCTAACGAGATGGCATCGCCGAGCGTGCGAAACATTCTTGAATGGTTCCGAGCAATTGGATATAGCTCATCTGCATTGTATTATATACAGAATTTCTAGTCGGAACGAACAAACATGATATGCTTTTTGAAGTTCTTCTCTTCAACTACGCTATCAACATCCACCTGTGATCCACGCCAGTCATGCATTCGTTCTGCTTTTGTTCGAACGGCTTTCCCGAAGACCAGAGCACCAGATGAATACTTATCAAGACTCTGATGGCGCGTCTTATTGGCTGGCTGAGAGGTTTGAATTTCTTGCAGGAAGTCAACATTTTCCCAACAGGGATCAGCATGACCGTGATGACTTTGAAAAGGCGAACCAGTAAGCTGCAGGTAACAGCTCTGAGAAAGCCGAGTAGCCTCTCCATCTATGTGTCCGCCATGTCTCTTGGAAAGAGCCTTCAAGCTTTGTACGGAGGCGGCCATATAATCCAAACTCGGGGGTAATGTGTTGCATGATGGGAAATCATCACATTTAATACGTCCGACAATTGCATCGCCGAGGTTTGAACAGAACAGACAATTAACCTCGTTTAGGAGGGAAGTCCATGCCAGGCCCTCTTTCTCCAGTGTCGTCTTTTTGAGTTCTGATCGTGTCGAGTCCATTACAATATCCATAAATTCGTATCCATATATGGTAGACTTTTTTGGCTTCTGCAGCGACGCCTTCGATAAATTTACCGAAAATCCCATAATAAGTTCTCTGATCGTTAATGCGTCTTGGCCTGATTTCTCAACAGTTTTACCACCACTGCCACTCAAGGCTTCCAATGAGCCATTAGAGCCATCATTCTTTGCTATTGGTGCTTTTGCACCACGTAAGCCCTCATCTATCGTGTCGCAATAGACGAGGAGCATATGGTGTAGTACTGAGAGCAATGAGACAAGCCATGCTCTCTTTGAAGTCACGTCATATAGCACAATTGGAACCAGAGCACTGCTGCGCAAACACTTAAGGTAGTTTCCAGAGGGGCTGAATTGGATCGTGTTGATAGTACGGTCAAATGACATGCCAGCCTGACCACCAATCTGCAGAGGTGCAGAAGACTGTGCGAGGAGCTGTAGATTAGCTCCTTTCCAATGCCATGAAGTAGCCTTGATCTTCGCATTAGACCAGGTTACATCCATGGCGAGTCGGTCAGTGCCAAGTAAAATGTTTGATGCCGAACACCAGCCTAGCAAGGCCCTGTGAGATCGAAGTTTATCAAGATCTTCAACTCTCAGCCATGTCTTGGGATCTTTAATAGCTTCTATATCGGCAATTTTGATCTGAAAATCATTTTTGGCAACCTCAAGGTGCCACATTATCATCCCATCTTCCGTCTTTCGTATAGGAATGAGTGCTGTAGAATAGCCGATGAGGACGAGACCCGAATCAACTAGAACAGGATATTCAACGGCTGATAGCTGCAGCATGACATTGAAGTTTAGCTCTAGCCCTCTAATATTTTGTAGAGGTTTCCTTATTTCAGGTCCAACGGCAATGATGGCTGAATCAAAGAGACCACGCCAGCAAAGATTGTCATCGCCGGATAATGGTACTTCTTTTAGATTGGCCAAGGTGTATTTCTCTCCGCGTCCGTCGTTTTTAGCTTCCATTATCGATTCTGAATAGCACAGTGATCCAAGTTTTGGCCTTCGGGCGGCAACAAATAGCCATCGAAGGGTGGTAATTATGTGGTTGGCAGTTATATGGCAGGCCACCTTAAACTTTCCATCCAACAACTGAAACATTGCAAAATCATTGACTGGTTCATGGGTCAACATTGGCTATGTAATGGGTATAAGTAAATGTACTGACCGTATAAATGCTTCTTGTTTTCCAATACTTTCACAATCATATCTAAGACCAAGCTATCCGGGACAGTCAAATAGTCCTTCACAGTAGTGAGCTGCACACTATCCTGCTTTCTGGCTAGCATAACTATATTTGATAGCCAACTGCGTATATCGGATGCTGGTAGAGCCATGAACGATAGCTCGCATGTAAACTCGACTTCACTATAATTTGGAATAAGTTCAGCAGTTTTAATCCCAATCTTTTCAAGGCTCTGATAAGATCTGGGATCCTCTTCGGTGTCAGAGACATGCCTCGACAGTAAAAAGCTTGCAAATGAAGTCGAAGTAGCCCCATAGCTCAGTAAAAGGGTGTAGATCGGAACGTTTCCTTGATGCGCCGCTATCAATAATGGGAAGAGATACCCACTGGGATCACAGAGGGGCTCATCAGGGTTAGCTCCTTTTTGCAGCAGCAGCTTTACCATGGCTTCGTTTTCACATGAGCAAGCTGCAGCGAGGGCGCTGCCATGTTCACCATATTGAAGTACCATGTTTACATCTGCCTCAACTGCAAGCAAAGCCTCCACTATTTTCAAGTCACCGACAACCACTGCAATAGTGAGAGCATTGCCATATCGCCCCGTCAGAAGAGGCAAGTCGGGATCAGCTCCAGAGTCAAGGAGAAACTGGATCGTATCCGTATTCCTTTGAAATATGGCAGCTGCTAAGGCACTACCCCAACTCCCAGCAGTGTACTGTAGATCAACATCAGCGCCGCGGTCAATAAGGAGTTTGACTATAGGGAGTTTTCCGTGGAAACAAGCCACGGCGAGAGCGTTGTTATCTGCATCAAGCTGGTGTATATCTATGTTCTTGCCGTTGTCTAGTAAAAGCTTGACCATGGAAGCATCTGCCCGCTGGGCGGCCACAAATAAAAGATCTCTGCTGAATGGTGGCTTTTTGCTTGGATCAACACGGCCCTCCAAGAAGCCGGCTACTACCTTGAGGTTTCTCCTCCAAATGGCCAGGTGAAGCTGCCGGGCCCGTTGTTCCTATAAACGAGAAAAAAGAGGCCTTAATTAATCGCTGGGTATTTGGTTACTTTGAGGGTGCCTTTGAATTTACCGCGAAGGAAAGCTCATCTTTTATCCAAGATGGTACAGCTGGCTGAGGGGTGTCTTGTGTATCTGCTTCATCGGGTGTTGCCGTTTTGAGTGTCTTCGCATCCTGGCCTGGAGAGAGTGACTGTTGGTTCGGGCTCGGGTCTCTTAGATAGTGTGGGTCCATGATTCGAGTGGTAACTCCGAGTCCAAATGGATGGAAGTGACCTTGGAAGAAACAAGAACCCTTGAAAACAATAATTGGAGAGTCGACAATTGAGATCAATTTCAACTTGAAGTTGTCGGTTTTCAAAGTGGTCAGCACTAAACTGAGCGGGGTTGATCATGGATGCTCCAGCCGCATTTTACAAAGTATATTCTTGCCTACGCTGGCACTGCAGCACTACACATTGCGCAATATATATTGATAGAATAGTGGCTGAAAATTTCCGAGTCAGATACGGGGTGAATTGATTTATGTGTAGAGATGGTTTCTATACACCCAGGGATATATGTACTGTAGACCCTTCCAGCGGGTCTCATCACAGCTTCGATGCAGGTCCACCAAGTAATTTCTCCAGTCCTTGGCGAACCTGAGTCTCCATTCCACCTTTTCCAACTCGCATAGTCTCTCGTAACACGAAGACATGTATGTATGTCCCCACCATCTTGACGTTCTCTTCGCCTTTCCGGAACACACCGATCTCCCACGTCACACTCGATGAACCCAACTTGGCAACTCGGAGCCCAACTTCTAGAATATCGGGGTATGCGACAGAAGCGAAGAAGTCCGCGTGACTAGAAACTATCAACCCGATCTTATCTGCCCCGACGGATAGGCTGGATGCTTGTCCACTTTGGCTCTTCGGGGTCGGGTTGTTGACGTTGAAGGGATTCATGCCACATTGTTCGATCAAGTAGGAATTGGCAATTGAGTCGAAAAGAGCTGTGTAGACTGTGTTGTTGAGATGTGCGTACATATCATTGTCGAACCTGATGCGATTCCAGTATTAGCTTGTTTCAGTCTTTGTTATCACTCGGGTGTTGGTATTAGCTTTACCATCTTGTCTGGTGCACTTGGTGAAATCCGTAGTCGCTGCGCTTTCGGCCCTTCTTGGCCTCGTAATCAGGTGTTGCCATATCGAACTTGGAGCTTTACAGTTCAGTTGTCAAAGGGATGATCTAAAAACACCGTCCAGCGGGGCCAAGAGGCCTTGATATGCGATCGCGATCATCCACATCTCCTCGGGCTCGGAGTCGATGAACCTCGGTCCACGCGATTAGGTAAGCCCGATCTGCATTTCAGGTGAATTTGAATAAAAAACATAAAAACAACATGAAATTGAAACTAGATTGACTATATTTCGATGTATAACATGGCTATAATGGACAGCAAAGATTGCGAACGTCAATTGCAGTGGGATTCCCCCATTGGGGAGAGAAAGTGTTGTCTCCACCTTAAGAATCCATTCTCCGTGGATTTTCTTATCGTCCAATCTCCATATTTTTTTTTCTCTCCCTAAAATTTCCCCGCTACATACAACAATTATTCTTTCTTGGCCGTGGAAGAGCCTCACGTCGCTCTTTAATCTCCCCTCCTGGCTCCCTCCCCTCGTCTCACGGCCTATTTACTGCGGCGAGGTAGATATCCCCTGCCCCCGCCTCCCATCATGGCTCTCGTCAATGTCGAAACCCCTCCTCCATCGAAGGACGTTGCACAACCCCCCGATGTATGCGTGACGCCCTGCGACCCATACCCACCTCCATACTATCTTGATGGCGGATTCCGTCGCGTGAAGCCATATCACTACACATATAATACAAATTGTAAAGAGCGATGGCGCGGCCGGAAGTTGGAAGATATTTTTACTTCGGAATTTCGAGACCGAACACCAGAATACTATGTACGATCATACCCTGAGACCCCAAATCAGCACTTGTTTTCATACTAACCTATCCCAGAGATGGGCCTTGGATCAGGGACTTGTCGCCGTCAACGGTAAGCCCGGTGCCCGTGATACGGTCCTCAAAAATGGCCAGGTGATTTCGCACACCTGCCACCGCCACGAACCACCCGTGTCTTCCCAACCTATCGGAGTTATCCATGAAACCGACGATCTCATTGTCATCGACAAACCCCCCGGTGTACCTGTCCACTCAGCCGGTCGATACCACTTCAACTCGGTTGTGGAGATCATCCGCGCAGAACGTGGTCACAGCTTTCTTCCGCGGCCCTGCAATCGTCTCGACCGTCTGACTTCGGGTATCATGTTCATCGGTAAAGATCCCAAAGGAGCCGAGAGAATATCTAAACAGCTGCAAGAGCGCTCTGTCCAGAAAGAGTACCTCGCGCGCGTTAAGGGAAAGTTCCCGGATGGTGTGGTTATCTGCGATCAGCCCATTATGCAGGTTAGTCCCAAGCTAGGATTGAACCGTGTGCGCGCCACCGGTAAGACCGCTACAACCAAGTTTCGCCGTCTGGCGTATTATCCTGCCTGGTCCGATCTACCAGCTAGCACGGCAGGATCGAACCAGCCCTCCGACGATCCGGAACGCCCTGCCACGCCTCCCCATGCGCTCGCAAATGAGTCCGATGGATACAGTATTGTTCACTGTTTCCCTCTGACGGGACGCACACATCAGATCCGCGTTCACCTTCAGTTCCTGGGTCATCCAATCTCCAACGATCCTATCTACTCAAACCGACGTGTCTTTGGACCCGATCTAGCGAAGAACGAGTCGAACGGTGATCGCGATGAGGAAATCATGGACCGTCTACACAACATGGGTAAGACCGAGCTTCCTGATACTCTCTCATACCGTCACCACTTCATGGCGTCACCGGATGTGCCGCCAGACACAGACCCGGCTATTTTGGCGCAGCTGATGGAGCGTGAGCAAAAGGCTGCGGCAGAGGACTATAGCAAACGTAAGGGTGAGCGTCTTTCCGGTGCTGCTTGCGAAGTATGTGACACGCCGTTGTATACCGATCCTGGTGTTCATGAGCTCGGTATCTTCCTTCATGCTATTGCTTACGCCGATCGCGATGGCGAGTGGTCCTACCGGAGTAAAATGCCTTCGTGGGGACTGCCTCCGACTGGATTTGATGGGCCTCTCGAGGTCCCAGACTGGGCTGTTGGTGCGGAGGGAGAGGCGGAGACTGTCGTTGGACATGGGACAGTTCCACCCGAGATTGGTGTTGACGATGAAGGAAAAACCAGGAGAGGGACTAGAGTCCCCACTGGCCCTGTCCTTCTTGAGGGCGTGGGGATGTTAAACGTCTCTGATTTATCAAAGGCTCCTAACTCTACCAATCCGTCTAGTTCGGATGTGACCGAGTCGGTGTCTCCGGCAGCGCAGTGAGATAGAGGAGCATGTCTATTAAAAGTTGCATATTTGTTTACGTTGATGATCTCAGCGATATCATTTCATTCGAACTGAGTTTGGGATTTAAGTACCCTCTTGGTACATGAATATAAAGCATAGAGTGGGGTTCACGGTTGCATCTCAATTTGCATATGTATATGGCGTTTACATATGCTGACTTCGCTCGATAGTTTAGTATTAACTCTGGTTTTTTCTACCTACGCTGGAGCAATCAATACAATCCCATATAACCTAAATAAATTGTTCGGATGTCGAAAGACAGAAGAGTGTAGAGAGTAAGTAGGCTTCGTGTGTATGATAAATATCGCCAACGTCTATAGATTGCAAGTTCAAGCTTATAAACAATGCTTTTCCGACTCCCAAATGCAAAAATCCCATGTACCGTAGCGCCAGTGCAATGGTCCCAAACGCCAAAGACAGAAGAAACAACCTAATGAAAGTTTGCACAACGAGAAAAGTGCTTCAAATGATGAATATACGATCAAGTTGGAATCACCCATTCAGGGTTTTCGCACTCTCCCAGAGAGTGTACTTTGGAGTCCACACGCCACATCATAGTGCCAGCCGTCACACCAGGTGAAGGAACGCCACGAAGGATAAGATCAGAGGTCTTGCATGTACCAGCCTCATCAATGCTGTATTGTATACACTTCGTGTCTTGAGCGCATGCTTCCGCGCATTCAGACAGAGTCCATTTTGCTTCCTCGTCGCCTTCTTTTATTAGTTCGGTTCCAGCTTTGTTATCCCAGTCATCCAGGCGATCTGCAAGCCTTGGATGAACAACGCGAGAAAAGACATCACTATATAGAAGATGGGAGTGGTTTTTCTAGGGAAGCATGTAAGTATAACCGAGAAACGGAGAAACAGCTGAACAAAAAGATAAAACTCACGTCGGAAAACCATTCAGTCTCAAACTTATACATCATCTCGATATCTGTAGGTGTCATGTGGTGAAATGTCACTGGTGCATGACACCAGGGTCTCTCTCCATATGCCTCATTCACAGCATCTTGATCCCACACAGATTGACCAGTCACATGTGGCCAGGACCAGGTCAGGGAGATACCGATTTCTAACAGCGCGATGCCCAGCATACAATCTCCAGCCCAACTAGCCATGGTCCTATCATGCCATGCGTCCATACGCTTCGTGTACTCATCCGCAACAGCATTAATAGCACCGTTAGATAAGGCAAATCCCGAACCACCATGTGCAAATACGTCGCCGCTAATCATCATTTGATTCCCGAGATACCATTTCTTAGACGAATCGAAGTTCTCAAGCCAAACGAGCAAATTTGACCAAAACGGGTATGTATCTGCTTCCAGCACGAAATACCATTTCGCAGTTGGGTGGTAGTTGCGCGCTTCTACTACCATCGGTAAGAACTTCCATTTATCCAGCGCCCAGCCCGGATTATCACCCATTCCAGCTGCGGAATTGGCGACTTTTACAAAGTCTTGCTCTGTGAGGCCGGCGCGACCATGATTTCGGGCGCGATTGTATAGTCCGAACTCCTTGTTTTCTCGGACCGAGTTGCTCATGTTGCGGAAAACATCGTGGGTGCGGATACCGTCAATTTCTTCTTCGAAATCGGATACGATAAGGACATTTGGAATGCAGCGGAGTGTTGTACGGACGTGCACTGGTATTTTGTCGAGTGCTTCTGTTATTCCTGTTTTGACGATAACAAGTACATCTTCAATGCCCGGGAGTGGGCGGCACGCCGATGCCGATGCGGGGATTTTGTGGTCGGGTTGAACTGTCTGGTTTGAAGGCTTTATCGAATTGTGGTCGGGTTCAATGATGACTTCCAAGGGTTCCGCTTTAAATAATCCTGTGCCGACTTTTCGGAGGTGTTGAAGGTCCAAGATGATGAATATAAGAGCTGCGCCGGCGAGAATGGGTAACCAGCGGGCGTACCGGGAGGAGAAACTGAGCATCTTGGAGATGACGTGAGGGGATGGAAGGCCTGAGAGGGGATTAAGGTTGTGAAGGCGTCGCTGATTATCTCCCCTCCATTTCTGGATGAAATGATAGTCTCGAATAATTGTCTTGAGGGGAAGAATGGTTTTAAATATGGATCATTGCTCTCCTCGGCGTGGCATTAGGGGTTTTTCTTGTTTGAGGGTTTTGCTTGACACTGACATTGGCCAGATCAGCGACATGTTCCACTTTTTTTTCGGCCCTTGATAGCTGAACAACCCAAGGGTTTGTCGATGCGCAAGCTAGGGAATACAAGCTAGTTGCTTTTCCAAAGAGACACAAGGATGTGGATTGCAACTGTCATTGTACTTCCTTCTTGTCATCACGTAACCTGGCACTTATCCTGACACTCTTTCTTTTCTAAGCGCCGTGTTATCATTGTGTTACAGAAAACCCCCCGGGGCCGCCACGAGGACCCCTGATGGAGTGGGTCTGGCGATCAATCCATATGCTGCACAGACAATCTTGGAAGCAAACCTGGTCAAGTGGTGTAATTCAAAAAGACCCGAAAATACCAGACAGAAGCCGATGGGACGCGCCATACAAAAGATTGGAAGTAACTACATAGGACTAAGGAGTAGGCGTGATATAGATGAATGTGTAGATAAGGCCGACAACTGGCACTTAAGCCACCAGCATCATCATCAAATTTTGGAGCCTAGAAGGTGTACTATGGTATCGTATTATATGACGAGTCTTCTCTTATCAGTTCAATGTTGAGGTCTTCTCATACAGGGGTTCCAAGGTTGAAGCTTATTACGAGCTTGGTAGCTAGTATACCTATGGTCAGCTGCGATGAATTGACGTACATCGGGGGTTCTAGTTGCAATATTGTTAATTCATGATGAAAAATGACGCAAACCATCTTGACTTTTTCATTTGTTTCTTTTTTCTTCTCTCCAAAAGAAGAATACGTAGAGGAGACTAGGTTTCCTAGCAGATGGCCGGAAGATAACGAGCCTATAGATGGGTGTCGGGTGAGAAACCGCTAAGTCAATGGTAGGAGAACTAGTGGAACCAGCCTATTTAGATCCTACTCTGGGGTAATATGGCAGAAATAGAGTATAATTCAACTTTTAATGAAGACTACATGCATATGTAGTTGCCTGTCTACTCAGCATTCACGCACAACGCACACTTGGCGGCATGAATCCATCTATAGATCCTGTTTTCTTATGGAGCTATCAGTGCTCAAGGTCGTCAAGAAATCAGATATCAAAGTTCCAGCACAGATGCTCATGAATTGCACATCAAGAAGAGAATTTTTGAATTTTTGTTTGTCATTTCAGAGAAATTTCTCTTGCTCTATCCGCCCAGCACTATGACCAAGCGCGAGCCGTACATGGTATGGCATGCACAATCCTTGAAATTCGTTATCGCCAGAGAGATAGTATCACGACCGTACAAAAACCCCGACGCTCTCATGCTCCTGCGAATCCCCGCCACCAATTAACAAAACGAAAAAGAACTTTTGACGTTCATTCCATTTAAGCCTCAGTGGTGACACGGCCCTTGGGGTTGGTAACCTTAACGCCGAGAGCCTTGGCCTTAGCAATGATGTCGACACGCTTGCGGGAAGAGACGGCGTGGCCGATCCTATTAAATTCAATCATTAGTATATGTTTGGTCCGTACTGGCGAGGAAAATATGCAGGGTGGCGCATGATATTGATATGGAGCGAGACATACTCAGCAGCGTAGGTGCGGTTGTGCATAAGGAGGAGCTCAACATCCTTGGGGTTGTGGACGAGGAAAGCCTTGTGGCCGGAAGGCATCATGTGACGGGTCTTCTTGTTGGTACCGTAACCGATCTAATATCAAATGCGTCAGTGTTGCTGGTTCGACGAATATGAGGTTGCAGAGGGGATTCGTACGGAGGGCATGGCAATCTGGCCCTTGAAGCGACGGCGGACGGCATTATCAATACCCTTGGGCTTGCGCCAAGAAGGATCAACACGCATAAACCGGTCAGACTGGTGACGGGTGAAGCGGTTGGTGCCTATTATATCCAGTCAGTTTCTTCCATCCTGAAAGGTGTATGATCGCGAAGAGATAGTCGTTTGATTTGTGGTGTGTTCCAATGGATGACGGAGTCACCCTTCAACCGGCCCTCGACGAATTGGTGCGTCCGTAAAAATCGAAATCGAAATCGAAATCGAAAATCCTCCCCTCCAAAACGAATTTTTCTTATAGAAATTGTCCTCGCATTCCTCTGGCTTTTCGATTTCGGTTTCTCATGTCGTCTTAGGGCAAGTCGAAGGGTGATGGTATCCAGGCCACAATGGGAGTCGCAGGTCGAGCGAGATCGGGGTAACATACGCTTCTTGACGATAGGGATGTGCTTCTTTGCGGCGACCATCTGTGAAAAACAAGAAACTCGTCAGGATGTTGAAACAGTTGGTCGTAAAGGCGTGAAAACTCACTTTGTCGGTGTTGCAGGGTCTCGCCGGGCGTTCAAGAGTTGTCGAGTCGGAGCGAAGTCAATCTCGAAAACTTCCAAGCAGAGCGGCGTGGGTGACCCACACTAGTGTGATTTGAGCGACCTAAGCGAAATAGGTGCGCTTATGTCATTGTAGGGCTTGCTGACACATAGCCCTGTGCTTAGTCATCCTGCCGTCGATCATCAATATTTGAACTATAACTACGGCAATAAGACATCCAGACAAATTTGTCAGGCGATTCAATGTTGTTATTATCATTATCATGGTTATATTAAAACCCAGTTGAAGAAATTAACATCTCTATTTGAACGCCGAAAAAAGTGCACATTTTTTCCCTAGCTTTCAAAGAAGCGCCTCCCCGGCGGACACGGATTTGCTTAAAGCTCATCTTTCATAGCCAGCAAGACCGATTATTCTTATTTTGGAGAGTAAATATTTTCTAATCTAGTTTAACATCTTCATAAAAGTATAGGTACTCGTGGATGCTGAAATTGAATTCAACTTCCGTTCCTTTATCCCTGAAAAGCGTGCTTCATTTCGAGTCTGTCAAATGAGTGAACTTATATCGAAAACTAGCGTAATTTTTGAGGACTTAGTTCAGAATCAATACAACGAAAGTGGGCCCATTTTTAGCTTATCCATCAGCCATCTGAGCCCAAGAATATTTATGAGGGTCTGAATCCCGCGGCCAATGCATAAGTTGATTCATATGTGAACTCCGGTAATGCAGAGACCCTTCAAAACTTTCAGGTCAATACTCGAAATCCTAGGTATCACGTTGTCCCATTGTATCAGGCTGATGGAGATACCTGCAACTTAAATCACCTGGCTATTACATATTCATATGTATAATTTGTTCCTTCCCATGTGCTTCAAATAGAAATTTATGCCACCTTGAGTGTTCTCTCGCATTCCCCCATTTGCTATGCAGTGGTTCAAGACCGTAATATCCGGGCACTTATCATTAGGGTATGTACACAAATTTCAGCAAATATCATAAAAGTATTAGATTACTCAATATGGATTTTTTAGGGGCAAAATAATATCAGATCAAGTTCTCACTGCCACTGCAGTTTCAGCTTCTCTCCGTCTTGCTCTCCACTCTGTAACATCTGTTCCAGAACCTCTAAATCTGCTAGAGCTTCCTCAGGCGACTGCCTTTTCGCAACAGGCCTCATATTACTGACCGCTGCTGCAAACTCTGCGATTTCAGGAGTAACTCCCTTTCCATCAAATTCGATAACATGGTCCTGGCCATTAACAGTGACTCCATCAAAGTGCATTCTTACCATACCCTTCTCGCAGGCGAACTCAAAGATATTGTCATCAAACGGTGAGCCCCACGACAGAGAAACAACACCCGTGGCACCGGAGTCGGTCTTAACAACTGCATCGACCGTATCAACTGGAGGTAGATGCTTCTGTTGTTGTTGTGAGTGTGCAGAGACAGTTGCGATCTTCTCATTGCCACCAAGGATAAGTCGCAGTCCAGCAACCATGTGAACGCCTCCATCAAGAAGGAAACCACCTTGGTACTCTGGTGTCTTGCGCCAGGCCGTAACTGATAACAGAAATTAGTATATACTTATCACTAGAGGGGATTTAAGGATGGTATATCTCATATGGAACACCCACGATAATATTTGTTATCCTCCTTTACCATCATGTGCACATTCACGCGGAAATTTCGCACCGCTCCCATTTCTCGTACTTTGTCGGCTGCAAACAATAGCTTGGTCAAGTACCTGTAGTTCTCACCAACGGCCCAGAAGACCTTTTGGGTGTCAATGTTCGCGTGGTACCAATCCAAGAGTTCTCGAGCTGCCGCCACGTCCTTGGCAATGGGTTTCTCAGATAACACATGCTTGCCTGCTAGCAGTGCTTGTCTAATAAAGGCTGGCTGGACCAAGATTGGGAGGCTAAGCTAGGTTGTTAGATATATTGAGACCCTGTATGCCCAAGTGGTGAAGAGAAGTGCGAAACCTACCCGATAATTACGGCCTTAATGTCATCACGAGCCAGTAAATCTGCGTATGACTTTCCAGGGCCAGAATCCTCGGAGTAAAGATCAATACCAGAGACAGTACTAGCAAGATCCTGGGCTGATTTGAGTGATCGAGAGTATATAGCCTTTAGGCTCAAGTCCTTGGTTGCTTTCACAGCAGGCTATTTGAATAGTTATTGATTAGCATTAAGTCAAGACTTGAACAAAGTGAGCAAATGTTTCCCTTACCAAGTGCTGCTCTTTGGCAAAAAGGCCTATATACAACGATGGTCAACCAGCTGTACACTCCCGAGTTTCATCATGAAACAGTAATCAGCACCGGAACAAGGTCTTACCACTTCCAATGATAGCTAGCCCAGCCATTATCTAATTCAACTCGTGGTACAGTGAGATTTCAGATAGTGAAGTGAGTTCTGAAGAGGATACTTGTAAATTTTATAATCCCTCGGCCCTTCAGATGTCATGCAGGTGGCCACCGGGGCAAGTGGGGGTTTAACCCACCGGGTTTCCACATCCGAATGTCGGGAAGGTCCAACCACTCCCTGAGAAGCCGAGCCCTGGAATCGCCATACCAAATTTTGCTGTTCCTCCCCTGTAGACATTCAACTAGATACACATGCCCAGGTTCTTGAGTTTTTATATATAAGCCAAGCAGAGCCGAATTAGGCCTCTTTTGGACACACAGCCACGAAATGGGGGAGCAAGAGAAAGAAAAAGGCAAGAAGCTGTACTGCCATATTAAACACAAAATAAAAAGGGATTCTTAGTAGATTTTCACATCTTTCTGTACTTGTGAGATGCCAATATGTTAAAAAAAAAATTTAAATAAAAATTTGGCCAGGCATACTTCGTATCTGTATCAACCTGAGAGATCGAGACAGAGCTCGGAGGATAAAAAGTTAGTAAGAAATATGATCGAACATCCCCTAATGATGTAGGGCTTTAAAGAGAGTTGGCTCCCTTGAAAAAAAGATACGGAGTAGTTTCAGTTCAAGTTCTAGATTTGTTCACACCTGGGCATAACTTGACGTTGATCGGCCCCGGTCATGATCCCTTCATATATTTTCTCTCAAATCGAGTACAGAGGTAGCAATAGCACTCTTTACAGCACTCACGATTTATTTACAACATTTCGACCCTGGAAATCTGCAAAATGGAGCAGCTACAAAACTTATAGTTAGAAATATGTCTCCTCCGTCAATGATTGATATGTACTCCGTATACCTTGCGCCTCAATAAACCCTACCTACTAGCATCGAGCATCATTAATTATGCACAGTAAATAAAGACGGTTGCAACGCCGCACATATTTACAACACAAAAATTAACAAGGCATAAGTGAAATTCAAGGGGTTGCTGGTGAAGCAACAGGTCAGATATAGGTAGTGAACAATAAGCTAATACCGACACCGAGCTGCAAGGGGTTTGCATAAGAACAAGAGTGGTTGTAACCAACCATGAGAAGTTAAATAGGCCATAGCGGAGACGATCATCAATAATCAGCAAAGCTACATGAGAAAAAAAATTTAGTTGCTGGGGAATATCCATGCGCATTAACCTTGAAGCCCTGACTTTGTGATGTTTTGCTTTACCGAGAACTTGAACATCCCCCAAATCTCTGTGATCTTTTCAGCTGTTGATAACGGAAGATAGACCTTTTTCATCCTCTGGCGAAGCAATTTTTATCTGATAGTATTTAAAATGCTTAGGAATTTGCTTTTTTCCACTGCGTTTCTGCCAGGAAGCCAGTTTCTGGCTCTTGCGACGATTCCGAACAATGTTGAAGGATGGTATTCTGAGTCCAACTCTTGTGAGTATTTGGGTGCCTAGGCTCTGAAATTCTCATACTAACATACAAAAGGGTCAGCAGTGACTTGCGACTACCCCCAAACATACGTCTCAACTAGCCTCTCATCGGGGGTATATGGAAGGTGCTGCACAGGTGAAAGTTCGGACTGTGATTTTGCGACATCTTGTGATGGCAGTACAATTTTTACCACAGGTAGAACATCAGGCTCATACGCCTGGTAAGTGATGTATTTATACCATGTATTATGTTGAGATTCTTCTGATTTTCGTGCTTCTTATCCTATTAGCCCTACCGGACAAATATGTCATGTAATGGCTATTTACGAATCCTCCACGACCGGCCAAGCAGCACTTGATCACTTTTGCGGAGATGCAGATTCAAAGAAAACAACTGAACTATTTCGAACTACTGATGCCCCAACCGCTACGCCTGGTAAGTCACGAATCCCTTTGCGATGCCATAATCTAGGTTTGGAAATACTAAGCTTGTCTAGGTTTTGCTACGGTCGTCCCCCGCGCACCTCAAACAATACCTTTTGGAATCCCGACTTCTCTCTCTTCAAACAATGACGATGACTCTAAAGGCTCTGGGAGTAAGGCCTGGATTGCTGGCGCAGTACTTGGACCTGTGGTGGGATGCGCGCTCCTTGGCGCCGGAGCTTTCTGGTTTATTCGGCGACGCCGTGCATCGAAGTTAAGCAATGACTCGGAGAGTGAACTTTATCAGGGCTCACAGAAAGCATATGAGTTGGATTCAAGTTGCGAGGCCCCGGTTCCAGCTCCTATTGTAGAGGCACCGGCATCGGCACCTATAGCTGAAGCCCCGACGCCTTCAACGGAAGTCTCCATCCCGTCACCCATAGCAGAGCTTCCGGCGCCAACAAAGTAGCTCGGCATGGATTTTGCGGGGGGAGATGGAGGTGATGGGATTAAATCCTAATGTTGGAATTTGTGGATTGTCATTAAGATGATGATCAGGAGCGAGCTAGATATTGATATATGACAAGCACCGAGGCTAGGATTTGACCATTATAATGCACTCTAAAAACACTACTTTGTCTAAGCAATTGAACAGAACGAGGGGTTCTCTCATCTTGATTGGAATTCAATTCAATGGTAAACGTTCCATGCTACTTAGAAAGCTTCAATTTAAACTGCCTCATGCAGATGAGGGACAAAAGGACAAACAGTCCCAATCAATTAATTATTCATGACCAGCCAACGCCGTCCTGCAAATCCAAACCCCATGATGCGAACCGGGAATAAAAAGAAAGCAAAGCCAGAACAAACGTGAAAAATAATTAAACCCAAGTATCGAGTTCGATTCCGTCCATGCGCCGACACCACAAATGAAGACGAATCCCAAACAACAGAATCATAAGTCATCACGCAATAAGACATGCATCATAGATGCAAGAATTTCATGAAATAGGCGAGTCGAAGCATCTCACTTCTCCGCCATCATTACCACACGGTTGATACATCCACCGCATACCAAATTAGCCAACCAAGGCCTTCAGCCTCTCTACTCTCGCCATAGACTTCTCCAGCCTCTCCAATCTACTTCGTTTCTCTATATCCCTTCTTTCAAGCACAGCAACTCGTTCTTCAAGCTTTGCGCGTGCTTTTCGCTCCTGCGCAACCATTTCATTCGCCTGGCTAAACAGCTGCACTGTTAATTCTTCCAGTTCCGTACTAGCCAGCGAAAGTTGCGACTCGGCTGCTTTGCGAAGGTCTTGTTCGCGCGATAACGCATCTTGGAGCTCTGTGTTCGTTTCGCTGCTGGCTGGGGAGGTTTGTGTTTGGAGGGCGCTAGGTGGTAATGAGGTGGGGGTTGTTGGATGAGCGGGGATGGGGACAGCCGCGGGGGCTGAAGAAGCTTGTGAACTCCCACGGCGGTAAGGAAGGAGGGAAGTTAGAGTTGAGAGGCGGCTGTGGTAGGTTGGCTGGGAAGAGGTTTGGGAGGTTGCATCAGGTGTGCTTGGGGTCTGAGTCGGTGAGAGTGTAGATTTGTCGGTGTGGGAGGAGGTTGGGGGCAGGGTGGAACTCGCGCATGGTGTCGGTGTCTCGGAGGCGACTTGGGTTCGTGAGTGCGAGTGAGATTGAGAAGCGCGTAAACGACGGATCTCGTCTTCGTAGTCTGCAAGTTTGTTCGCTGTTCATAGTGGGAGATCGTCAGCGCGCGTTTGTTTCATACAGGTGCGGTGAGGATCTGGCTGCAGATTATGTACGTAGAGCCCAGGCCTTGAGGGCAAGTTCAAGGTCTCATAACACGTTGTATTTTCCGCAGTATCCGGTAATTATCAGCCTCTTCTGTGCTCTCATGTGTCACTTACCAGTAAACGCCGCGCGCTGCGTCAGATCTTGAACTAGCCCCTCCAGCTCCTGGATCCGTAGCTGAGCCTCAGAGGGGTCATGCTCCTCGCCATACCCGCATGTTGGACAGTGACTGTCAACTGCTGCAACAGTTTTCATGGTCGAGGCGGTTCCAACAAGCGTGGCAGTCGCAAGTGTGGTGGTCATAGTAGACATGACAAGATGATGGGGCTGTTACCCCGAGATTTATTTTAGGGTGGAGTCGGCAAGTCCCGAGGTTAAAGGAATCAGGAACAAGACAAGTTGGCAGTATGCAGGTACACGTACTCTGCAAAAATACAAGAATGCAAGAAGTCACAGATGAGGGGATGTGGTGAAAATATGAATGATTAAACACATTTCTCTTCAAATCGAAGGACCCTCTGAAGGGGTCAATAATAATTTACTCCATACTGCGCCACCGATTTTTACCCCCAATCATGGGCCGTGTCTCGTCTCAGGTTAAAAGAGCCTTTTTTCAAAAGGTTACCTTTTCCGGTTATTACTAGTAAGAAGGGGTATATCTATGTACAATTTGGGCCTACTATTAAATCCCTTCCTAACGTACTCCTCCAGTAATATAGTCCAACAAGCTGTTTTCCCAAACATTCTCCTTGTAGTCATGGTTTCATGCTTGACATCATCGGGGCCAGCTGAGCCGTCCCTGCCCCCATCCGCCGATCCATAATTTAAATACAACATTTGGACATATGGACCATGTCCAAAGTTGCCAATAATCATAGCCTTATAGTCTTCTCGGCCATACATTTCAACACATCAAACATATTTACACGTGCTGTAAAGTATCGCAGAATATAGCCATATTGATATATGAAACTAACTAGAAGCCAAATCATGAGGTGCATTGAAGTTCATTGACCGAGTAAACCCGCCATCTATAGATATCCGGTGCGAAGATAATCAATGCCTCTATGTAACATTAACAATGATCTATGAACAATATGTCTGAGAAGAGATATGTATGGTAATAATGGTACAAAGCTGAAGATCGAAGGACGAAAAAGCGACAGGATATTTAAACAATGGTGAAAAGAAGATATGTATAAGGCGTAGGTAGGATGAAGAAAGAACTTTTAAGCGAAAGCCTTCTGCTCAGCCGGAGGGGCAGGAGGAAGCTAGAATCATAAACAGTTAGCAATTATATATTCCATTTCAACGTAGCATTGTAGTCATAAAAGGAAAAGTTGCACATACCTCGAGTTTTGTGTTATCAGCCATCATGCGCTGGAAACCAATACCAACACCCTCAATAACACCAAGGAACACAGCACACATAATAGCAGAGTTGCGAGCTGCTTTGAAACCACCACGAATAGCAAGCGAACCACCAGTCATAAAACCAGCCATAATGGCATTCCAGGGATCTTCCTATTTAAATGAATGAAGTATAAGTATACGAACTCAAAACGAACAATGCACGTCACGCAGGCTAGATGCTCGAAACAATTGTTTGATTGAACATACCTTCTTACGGATTCCCTTAATTGTGCAGTCCCACACAGAGAACATACCACCCCATACTCCAAAATTTCCTCCCAACACGGGGGCTCGGGCCTTAATAGCTGTTAGGGCGCCTACCCTTCGCTCGCCGTAAGGGCTGTTTCGATATCCCTTGATACCGTGCCAGACAGAACCACCAATTGCACCCATACAAAATGCACCTCCGAAATCACTGAGAGCCACAAATGGGCAGGGATCGCGTGTGTGGTCCATGGTGTTGGAATATGTGCGGACGGGGAGGATCGAAGAAGAGAGTGCCGGGTATCGAAAGAGGAGGCGGGAGGAGTTGTATATGCGCGCGGGTCGTAAACGAGTGTGTCAAAGCTGCGTGCTGCTAGGATTATATTAAAAGGAGCAGAAAAATTAGCGGATTGCAGCAAGCTCCGATGATAGATGCGGCGACGCGATCTTTTAAAGATAAGCCCGGATATGCGGGTCGATGACTTTTTTTGATTGGCACGTGACCTGTTCGGTCTATGTACTTCCAAGGTTAGAGCTCAAGGTGACCGAGTGTATGGGGCCTGTTCCTGAGCTCCACACTTCCTGAAGCGGTAGGGCACATACACTTGCAGTTACGCATTCTATCCGAAGAATTCACCTGTCAATGAAGATCGAATTTCATTCTATACGAAATGCTAAAGGGAATTGAAGGAGGGCCCAAGAAGACACACACACAGACAGAGGATATAACCAAAATTCGCCGAAGCCCATAGTCTTGCAGTGTATACAGAGTTATAAGATCCGAAGGCAGGAGTGAAGAGGGGGGAAGGTAGGAAAGAGCGTTAACGATGATTTATTTGGTTTTATCATCGAGAACTCGAGATAAATTTATGACGGCGAATCCTGGTGGCCACCTCATTCTCATGAAGTCGTCGATATGCATATAGCAAGTCAAGAATCAGAGGCAGAAGGCCCAGTATGGTAGAGGAAGAAGAAGAAGAAGAAGAAGAAGAAGAAGAAAGGATGATCATGCATTCGAGCTCCAACTCCATACTCCAGAACGCTTTCTGGTCATATCGATGATATACAAAGACATGATGCCGTCGCTCGGTACCACTCAGAGGAAGGAAGACGGGAGAAAGAGAGAAAAAGAGAAAAACAGGTAATCTTCATTTCGCATCGGCTGTAATGGTCATGGGCAAATCACTCGAGTCACACGCATGGGAATAATAGCTAGATAGCGAACATTGTACGACACATAATGGGGAAACACGTAACAAAAAAATAAACTTTTCAGACTGCCAGATCATCAGAGCGAAGACTAGATGTGTATCGAGAATCTAGCCTGAGAAGAAAGGGAAAATCATGAAACAAGCGACAAAGAGAGGAAAGGTGAGAGGGAACAACCACAGTCATCTGCAGCGCGGTGTGCAATAAATAAATTGACCAAAAAGAAAATCATGTTCACAGAAAAACAACATCAAGGTCGTGGCATGAAGGCCTGAGGCCCTTGTGAAAGAGCTTTAACCGGAGGGGCGCGGGTAAGGATTTGACAATCTGTGGTCTCGAGCCAATGTGCACACTGGCCACAGTTTGGACGTAAGCTGAGGTTGCTTTAGGGGTATCGATCATGTCTATCAAAATCCACGACCACCACCGCGACGGTTGCTGCGCTTGTTGGTGCTGACAGTGCTCCAGCCGTCATCTTCAACCTTCTCTTCGGCCCTCCACTTGCCGTTCGCAGTGGACTCTTTGGCTTCGGTGGCCTCGGGGGCGGAAGCAGGGGTCTCATTTGACTCCTGTTCGGCGCCCTCGCCACTCTCATCCTCACCAGCACGCTGGAGGATCTCAAAGTTACCACCGCCACGGGGGGGTTCCAAGCTATCCTTGTTGGAGTCAGTGCCGGGGACACGCTCCTTGCCCTCTTCCTTGGGTTGCTTTTGCTTCTCTAGCTTCTCGGCCTTGGCCTTGTCATCACTCTCCTTCTTTTGGCGAATAGCAAGCTGGTGCTTCTCTTCGACTTCACGCTCACGGGCGGCAGTATCAATAGGGCGAGCCGCACCGAAGGGGCTGGCCTTGGAGTCACCACCAGCGTTGGCGCTGGTGCTGACGGCGTCAGAGACGGTACGCTTCGCCAAATTCAATTTGGGGCGGGCAGCGGGAGCAGTAGGTGAGGTGGGAGTGCTAGGCTCCTTGGCTGGCTGATCGGGGCGCATCTTCGTGCGCCACTGGTTATCCATATCGGCGGCGGTGGGAGCACGCTCGGGGCGAGGTGCTGGGGGGCGTGATCCCTCGTCCTGTGAACGGCCCTCTCCCCAGGCTGGAGAGTTTCTACGGAAACCAGGTCCTCCTTCGTTGCTGCGAGGGCGACCACCCTCACGGGGTGGGTCACGGGCTGGGTCACGGGCTGAATCACGGGCTGGGTCGCGAGCCGGGTCGCGGCCTGGGCCACTGGAGGCCGCAAGAGGACCCTTACGCTCCCAGTTGTTGAAATCACGAATCTTTCCATCCGATTCGAAGTTGCTGCGACGGGCGCCACCACGGTCGCTACCAGCATCGGAAGCGGCATCCATGTTGCGGCCAAAGCTAGAGCGCTCAGGAATGCGGCGCTCGGGAGGACCAGGAAGAGGTCCACGGCGAGTCCAGTCAAGGTCGCGGCCCTCTAGGCGGGATTCCTTGGCTAAATATTCCATGTCAGTGTCAAGCAAAGATAAATTAGGTTATAATAGCAACTTACGAGGCTCAGCAACGCTGGTACGGATAGTACGGCCCTGCAGGGTAGTGCCAGAGAGATCCAAAGCCTTCTGGAGACCATCAACAGTCTCAAACTCCACGTAGCCGAAACCCTTAGGAGCATGGGTCAACTTGTCCTCAACAATGCGAACATTGGTCACACTACACCCAGCGAAAAGATCGGAGATATCGTCGGCAGTGGCTTCGAATGAGAGATTGCCAACATGGGCTGTGAACGGGGGTTCAGAAGGCAAGGCGAGCGGCTCGCGAACGGCATATCCTCCACGGGTCTCACGCTCTAGAAGGGAGAAAAAAGGCAAATGTCAGATTCCCTTGTTTTAAATCTTGGTTATATTGGATTCGCATACCGAAAGGAGCAGAGCCGTAACTGTTGTTGCCGAAGCCCATCCCACCGGTGGGGCGGCTGCCGCCGAAAGAAGACGAAGAGGGGACTGTTCAGAATATCAGCAGGCGATTCAAAAGCCGATCGCTGGCAGGTATCAGCGAAGTATATTATGCGACATACCGGCTATATATCTTGTTAGCCACCACAGTTCCAATATAAAGCGGGGGAGATCAGCCACTTACATGGGAGGGGCATATCCTCCATCTCATCAGCCCAAGAGCCAAGGCCTTTACCCACAAGTCAGTATGCATGGTTTATTCACTTCCAATCTTTTCCAAAACCTACTCTCGTCAGCCAAGAAGCTGCTCATGGACATCTTCTGTCCCTTCTGTTTAGGAGGCGCTAGTGGGAAAGAATCGTTAGCAAGGGTCGGCTAGCACAGATTATCGGATCAACCAGGATAGCAGAGTCCAGAGCGACTGCTCGATAGAAAAGGAATAGAGATTTGTCGCATACCCATGATTGCGGTTTAGAGTAGCAGGAAACGCGCCAACGAACTTGTGCGCGCTTCACACAGAGGATTGGAGGGGTGAAAAAAAAAAAGAGAAAAATGGCAGACACCCGGGGCGAAAGTCCAGGAAGTCGGTATCGAGGAGGAAAACGAATTCGAATATTCGTACAGGTCAAGGTTAGTGAGATTTGGCTCCACGAAAAAGTTGGGTAGAGGGGAAATGGGTAATCGGTGCACGATGGAAGTGGTCGGGTTAGTTAATCCGTGATAATTTTTAAGTGGTGCCGCTAGTCCAATCACAGCCCCCGCTTGCCTGAGATCCAGTTCTCACTCTGTCCCCTCCCATGTCTCCTCTCGGCTCCCACTGTATTGAAGAATAAATGGTGCCCCTCATCATTGTTTGACTTTTGGAATTGAGCCGATCGATAGGGAAAGTCTTTGGTAGACTCCATGTCTTCGAACTAGATTTCTTATGGTGATCGTGGGTCGATGTGGGCCATTCGAGACCTAAATTCTTTGTTTGTGATTGGATTGGGTTTGGGCCATGAGGTACGGGGACGAAATGACTGGCAGAAAATTATTCTGGTGCATCAGACGCTAAATACAATATATTGAACGGATTTCTGTGAAAATATCTATAGTTTACTATATAAAGCAGCCCATGTATACCTATTACTAGTAGGTACTACATGTACTGGTAGTACTATGTACTCTATTTATGTGTTGACCAACTTTATTGTCATCAGCTCGTAGTAAAATATACATATATAGTACTACATACACATTATACACTAGATGCAGTACAGTGAACATACTATTTGGTTGACTAGTATCTATAGGCATCCACTACTTACACCCTTGGAAGCGTTGAGCTTGAACTTGGAGGCTGATAGATATAAATTGAGACATGAAAAAAACTCAACGTATCACTGGGCATGTACATCATGATTTCCAGGTTGATTTACTTAGACCAGTGGACTAGACTTGATTGGTGCAAGTAGGCGTGGTTACCCGTTACATAACCAGCACGTGACCATAATCTGCTTGAATGTTGCGGACCATCAATTTCAAGGTTCTTTCGATTAGTAGAGGAAACTTTTCAATGCTTGCATTGAGGCTCATCTGTTCACACAATGAACGGAGGAAACCCTCCTCATATCAGCTTTGGGACTGATGCCCTACTGTCGGCAGCGAAAGTGGGTGCTTTGAGTGGTTAGTTTCAGCTTATGCCTGGTTCAAATCGAATCTCGGATATTGTGATGCTCGCTGTTCATCTACTAACGGCATTTCTAGGTGCTGCGGGTTTGATCTATGGAGGGGCAGCCGGAGTCATCAGATCACCCAACCCAGTTATACATTCGCTGTCCTGCGGTATCCACTGGGCGGCCTGTGGTTCAACATTTTGGTGTACGCTCATCCTCAACCATTCCATTTAGGTATCTGTGTAACGACTAATTTGGGAACACAGGGCTGCGGAGCAACATAATCAAACTTCATTTGCAAGATCAGGCTTCCCCACAAGAACGCGCCTATGTTAGCGCTATATCGGGTGGAATCTCCGGCGGAGTTGTCACTCGGTTGATGGGTATATATGCTCCCACTAATCCTATGTTGGACTATGGTCACTAATGCGGTGAATTTAGGAGGTCGACTTATTCCTGGCCTTGTTGTCTTCTCCTTACTCGGGTATGCTGGCCAAAGCGCTTTTAATAGAGTTGACGCATGGCAAATGCACAGGTCCCAGAACCCTTCCAAACCACTGGCGGTGCGCATGGCCGAATCCAAGTGGATTCCCCTGCGGCATTTGTCCGATGAAGACTATCGTGGGATTCTCAGTGAGAAGCTCCTGAGTATTGAGGCTGAGATTGCTTTGCTGGATGAGAAGATTGAGGAGCTTGAGAAAATCCGGCCCGAATCAACTTCCGCTACCAAATAATATATATTTTTTCAGATCACCCCTCCATGATGCCATGCATGCTGCGGCTCCTATTCTGCCCGCCGACGGTTTCGGCAGCGTTGGGGGCTCGGGGGATGCAGTGCACGGACAGCCACTACCATGTTGACTTTGGATGGGAAGCAACCTCAGAGTGATAGGGTGGACTGCTGACTCCCAATGACATTATTTTTTAACCCCCCTTACCCCTTTGGCTTGTTGAGTGTGAGGGTCCATGAAGTTGTATGACTTCTGAAGGCTTTTGACACGCGTCACTTCAATGGGTCCGCGGGGGAATTATTGCTTGTATACATACCATGTACGATACCACCGAATAGAAGCCATTGTATTTTTAATTTTTAGAAATTTTTCTTTTTGCTTCGATTAATTTTCTAACAGCCCACTTTCCGTCAAATATTGGGGAAAAGGGGTCGAATCAGCGCACGCCGATCGCAGTCAGGGAGAGCCCCACGCGAATTCTGCGAAATGAAATCATTTGCGCAGGAGGAGAAAGGTAGAGAAAAGAAAGAAGAAGACGGGGATCTCCTGCTAGAAAATCAGTTATGGCATAAAATGAAGTATATATTTGAGAAGCCTCTTCTCGCGGAGAAATCAGTAAATAACGATAGGTCGTGACACAGGAGTATATACAAGTTAACAGATCATCCATAAAAAAAGTTCCAGAACATCGGATGCCGAGAAAAGCCGGTTTGGGTCAATCAGTGGTTCACTCTACTTTCTCCGGGCGCGTCCGAACCATAGAATCCAATCCCTCCCACACTTCGAAGCTATGACTTACATGGGGATGCGGTGTTCGTGCTACTGAACATTGGAGGTTTCTTTCGAAGTTCCTTGGGAACATCTATGCAAAATCACCCACCCAAATCACCCCCCGTCTTCACTTCCGCCCCTCAGTCACCAACATAACACGATTACCTAGTGGAGGAGGAACCAAGAAACTGAGCTTCCCCAGCAGTGATCGGCATACTGAACCATCAGAAAAAAACAAACCGAAATAAGAAGAAAGCCAACCATCGCCAATTCCCCTCGATGTCCTATTTGCTGCGCTGTGCTCCTGTTCGACAGATCAGCCTCCGCTGATCGCGACTCGCGATGACCCTCTTCAATCCGACCTCGATCCTGGTGGGCTTCTTGCTCCTTTACCTCTCGTCCTTCTTCGTCTTCGCGATCGTTCGTATTGCAACCGGCATATCCATTCAACGTATCGGTTATTTTTCGCTTCGTCGTATCGCATACGCCCCGAGGGAAGGCCTGCTGATTGAAATCCGTGGACTCGGCTTCTCACTTCACCCCCCGTCCTTCGCACAGCCAACATGGATCAGCATTCGTTTAACAGACTTGAAGGTGACGGTCGATACGGCTACACTGGCAAAAGGCAAAACAGAAGGCCCGCGAGATCTGTTGGGATCCCCGAGTCCTGGCAGCCCCATCCCTGAACAAAGCGCCACCCCCGAGTCGACCACCCCGCGAAGCAAAACATGGCAGACATTGACACGGATAAAGGAGCGCTTGAAAGCTTTGCATCGACAGATCAACTGGCTGGCCCTTGTCGATGTTTCCGCTATCAACACAACCGTTCAATTTGTCGGCGCTGGTCAAATCCAAGTTGGGTCGTTGTCGCTGGCGGTGGACACCCGAAGTAAGATGGTGGAGCGAGGAAAGCTTTTCCGGCGCAAGAAGGATATGTCTCAGGAGCAGCGTCCGGCTGAATGGATAATGAATGTTCAAAACGTCCTACTTGCTGTGGATGGTCGCGAGCCAACTGAAGTCCTGGACAATGTTGGTGTGAACCTCCACGGTCTACTTTACAAAGATCTCGAGGGCCTCCGTGACGCATCCGTGGCACTCAAGGTCGGTCGACTACACATTCCGTACGACGACTTCAGTATGCTTCTGCAACGCATCAAATCCGCCCAGAAACCATTGAAAGTGCCGGTGCGCAGCCCGGAGACCGATGATGAAATGTCATTTGCCGACTTTGTGGAGGAACTGGACAAGCCTGGTAGCCGCAATGACTCTATTGTCCAGACTGTTGCGGACTCGCGAGAGTTTGCCAGCTCGATTTTACGTGGTATCCAGGAGTTTCAGGTTGCTTTGAGTTTCTTTCGATTGTCACGCAGCCTGGGCTCTCTTTCTGCAGGCCAGAACCCTGTATTCTTGAACGTGGTTTCTCATGAGCTTGGAATTGACCTCCACCGAATGGACCAAAAAAGCCCGGAGCACCGCATGTATTTTCAGCGAAATGACGTTGCTCACCAAGCCCTACTTGCTGCCATTTCCCTGTCAGTCAGCTTGGATGACAACTCGGGAGAAACTGACAACATTCTCTACATTCCAATGGCCACGACTACCATCAAAACCACGTTACCTTCAAAAACTGTGAACGCCTTCGACGACGAAAATCCCGAAGAACGTAACACCAATATCCTCTTCGCCAACTTGGTTATCACATCCCCATCGCTTGATATGCAACCGCAGCATGTGTCTCGACTGTTAAAACTGGCGCAAGCCCGAGCGTCTTCTCCGCGATCCAAAAAGCGAAGTAATCACCATCTTATCTCTCGCTTGCTCCCTAAGGCTAGCATCAAGCTGTCTGTCCATGAGCCCGTGATTCGATTTGTCCTTCCTATTGAAAAAGAGACAGGCACTCCAGATGACTACAACCTCTTGATTTCGTCAATATCGTCAATATCCCTAGACATCGAGTCTTCTCATTCGTCCGAGGGCGGCGCCCATTATTCCCTTTCGGCCATTTATCGTGTTGCATCTCACAAATTCTACTACCAGACACCTTGCGGCGAAAAACATAATTTGCTCACCACTGAAAATCTGGAGCTTAAGGCTCATTTGAACGCAAGTCCGGAGGTATATGTTATTGCTTCAGGAAGCGTAAATGACTGTTCCGTTCATATGATCAATGGGGAGGTTAATCGTGGAATCCGTGAAGTGCTTGAGCAATTTCGAACACATCTCAAGCCAACCAAAAGGGTTGCGATGCCTCCAAACGAACGAAAGACTACTCCTTTACGAAAGATCCCACCTTGGCTCCTACAATTTTCGTTCGAGTCCACTGGGTTCAGTCTCGAAGTCGCCGGCGTGGACAAAAGTGTATCTGATATCTCTCGTGGTGTTTCTCTGCAGCTACAGTCCTGGACCGCAGAATATAAAGCACTAAAAACCGAACACAATGTTGGCAGCATCGTCAGGAGACGAACCTCTAGCCATTCCACAATTGGTGATGAATCTCCATTCCGGTTTACACCAACTTCGCCCCCCAAGAATATTCAGCGCGGTGCCACAGATGGTAGACGACTCGCATTCCATGTGCGCGGATTTGACGGATTTGTCATTGAATCAGATGATTATCTTGAACCTGAACCTTTTTTCTCACTTCCCCGATTTGAGGTTGCTTTGAGTACGCAGAGTGATCGCCTTGGACCTGTCTTGCATGTCAACTCAGTCTTCAAGGGTATCTACCTACAATATTCTCTCTATCGATTTTATTGTCTAGGTGTAGCTGTGTCCGTCATTCAAGATGTTCTTACGCCGCTACCCCAGGAGTCTGACTCTGAATCAACTCGAAAGAAGCAAAGAGGAGAACCAAGCATATCTCTACCCCCTCCACCATACTCCCCATCTTCTTCCTCAAAGAATGAGCTAGTCACATTTGATGTAAAGGCTACTGTCGTTCAACTGAAGCTCAACTTACCAGCCGATCCTCCGATGATGCTTCAGATTTACGGCCTTGCGGGTGGCTCTCAACGACTCAGTACTCCTCACATTAAAGCCAATCTTGTGCGTATCCACGCCGAGGCCCCCAAACTCAAGGGTGTTTGGGCAAGAATTGGTAGTATGAATAATGTTAGACTTGATTTCCGCAAGATGAGGTTCAAGCAAGGATCAAATCTGACCGAGGAAAGATCGATTGATCTCTGGGCTGACTTCATCCGACTCGGTGTCCCGCACCATATGGTCATGCATCGCATTTTTGATAATCTTATTAATACATCAAAGGCCTTCAAGCAGTTGCGTCATCGGTTCAAGAGCCGGAGCAGAGAATTTGTTTCTGAGAGAGCGCCCGAGGAGCCGAAGAAAGTGCCAAGAATATCACTACGCACGAAGGCCCTTCTTTTTGAATTGGAAGATGATGCCTTTGAGTGGAAGTTGGGATGCATCTACCGAACTGGCTTGATCGAACAGACACAACGCTTGGCCCGTGAGGATGCCTTCGATTTGAAAGCACAGAGGGTTAAAGAATCCGATCAACGGCGTGCTACGTCTAGACTCCGCGCCAAATCAAGCCATCGGACCCTTCGGAGTGAGCGAACAAGTCAAGATACTCGCAGAAGCAAGAGCGCAGACACCCGAACAAAGGTGGATGATGAACCCCAAACCCGTGGCCGAGCCCGCAAATATCGCTATGATACCGAAGGCGCAACCTGCTTGACAGCCGAGCAAAAGATTTCCACGGATGCGGCATGGAACCGTCTCCAGCAACACAATGCTCAAGTTTGGAAAGAGAAAATCGACGCAGCCATGAAGTTCCAAGGCACATCAATTAAAGAAGTTCGAAACTTGTTCTCCGGTGCAGACGAACCTCCAGATGATGCCAAGGAGACTGAGACTATTCTTGCAATTCCAAATAGACCGGGCTTGCTGTCTGCCTTGATCAGTGATGTTAATCTGGTCATTGACAAACCCTCTTTCCCAAGTGACGAATTCCGCAAATTTCTTCACCGTATTGGCAAAGGTATGCCCATGTCAATGAATTACGGCCTTTTGGTGCCAATGAGCTTCAATCTTGAGATGGGCGAAGCGCGTGTGAATCTACGAGATTATCCTTTGGATCTTTTGCACATTCCAGGTTTACGCCCTGGGCAATCTCCAAGACTCCCCAGTTGGTCATTGCGAACAAATTTTGTTGTTGCTGAGGAGTTCCGCGACGAGGAATCTGCGAGACAAGTTGAAGTGGAGCTTATACCCTCAACAGAGGCAGCTGATGGCTCTCCTGTTGATCCATTTAAACTGAAGGTCTGGCGTTCGGTGACCCCCGTCAAAACTTATTCCGATCCTGTTATCGAGATCAATACAAGCCTACCCACGAGTATCTCTTGGGGTGTCTCTTACCAGCCTGTAATCCAAGACATGATGAAGATCATTGAGGGTTTCACCAAGCCCGAGATTGATCCATCCGAGCGAGTCGGCTTCTGGGACAAGATCAGATTGAGCTTTCACTCGCGGATCAAGGTTCTTTGGAAGGAAGACGGCGACGTTCACTTGCGCCTCAAGGGCTCCCGTGATCCTTATGTGGTGACAGGGTTTGGAAGTGGATTTGTTATGTGTTGGCGCAGAGATGTCAAGTGGGAAATCCATACCAGTGACGACCCCATGGAGTTTATGAGCGTGACGAGTGGTGAATATGTCCTGGCCATCCCAGACTACAGTTCAGAAGCGCGATGGGCATTCGAATCGAGTACGGAAGATCTAGAGACCAGCTCTGCATCCAGCGAGCAGAAGAACGCAGCTCACTTTAAGAAGGTCATCATGAAACTCTCTGGTGACGTAAAATGGGCCGCTGGGTTGGTTTTTGAGCGTGACGTTGACGCAGACTCTCGATCCTTCGCCTTCAAGCACCATTACGACGTTATTCTCAAGAATCCCAAGTTTTTGACCGCAGAACAACGTGCCAACTACGATGCCTACCGGGGTTTCCGGAGCGACCATATCCACCTTTCAGTGTCAATTATTGCACCCCAGGGTAAGAATTGGTCCGTTGATGGCATTCAACCATCGTCGAGTTACAATACAACCCATTTGTCTCCGCGCTTCTTCACTCACTTCTTCAGCTGGTGGTCTCTATTTTCTGGCGTCATGTCTCTCCCCGTTCGCCAAGGTGCTCTCTTCCCGGGTATCACCAAGACAAGCAAAAAGTTCAATCGTCACCTGGCTACTGTCAAATACAAGCTCTTACTTGCACCGCTTTTTGTTGCTCATATCTATAAGCACAAAGATCGCGAAGATTATGGTGAGGATGCTGTCACAGCTACTGGCATAAAGGTTCGCCTTGATTCCTTTAAGCTTGATATCCATCAACGCCGCGAGCAGGTCAAGACCCAGGCCCGTGGCCGCTCCAGACAGACAAAGACAAGTGCAATGCGTATTAATCAGGCACTAATTGACCTCCAATCTGCTGATTTCCGTGCTGTTTCTGCGAGCATTGAAGGCACATCGGCGGACGACATTGCGAATAACAAAGATGATATCATATCTACATTCCAGCAGCCCGTGCCCTCGGTGGACCTATCCCGGTTCACAATTCCTGACCAAAACCTGGATTGGATTGATATGGACGATTTTGTTGAGCCTGATTGGATTTTACCCCAGGAGTCTAACCCTCGAACCCAAATTCTTCCTCTCGCCTTCACCCCACGTTTGACCTACTTCCGCCAAACAGACCATGCTGATATTGGACCTGAAGAAACTGGTTACAGCAGCTTTGGAAATGAACCTACCCATGAATGTGTGATGTCGGAAACAAATGACCCTCGACGCGTCCAGATTGAGTTGATCAAGGATCGCCTTGCAACTGTTGAAGCTCAGATCCGCAACTATGATCGTACTATCGGGGAGTTAGAGCTGAAGCTGATGAACGGGGTTGATGTTGAGCCAGATTTGAAAACTCAACACGAGACTTATGTTCGCCAGGCCGAATCCCTAGCTAGACGGCGTAAGTTCTTGACATCAACATTGAACCGACTCGAGAAACTGTTGGCGCGTGACGAGCGGACACCAGGACGAAGTCGATTGGGAGTCAATGGGGCACCTAGTGAAACCTCCTCGCGTACAGGACGCGATGCTGATGGTATTGATGGTATCTATTCATCGGCCACAGATGAGTTCTCGAGTGACTTCAATAATCGCTTCATGATTCATAATGTGCAATTGAAATGGAACAACTCTCTCCGGAACATTATACTTCGATACAGCCATCAAGTGAGTCAGCGTCGAGGATTCGTTTACTACATGTCCAGACGAGCTGTTAAGTTTATCCTTGATATTGTCGAAGAGCAAAACAAAAACAAGAGGAAGAACCCCAAGATGTCAAGAACTCAAACTCGCGGTGATAATGATGATGAAAATGAAAATGAGAATGAGAATGTCGAGGACCGCATTGAACAATTGTTGAATGATGCAAAGCGCTATGTGAATGCGGAAGAAAACGAGCCCCCAGAGTCAAACACTCAATCACCCTCACCTTCAGACAACTCTAGCGAAAACATTGCTCCAGAGTTTACTGCTCAGAACAGCTACTACTTACGGCTCATTGCTCCCCAAATCCAACTTCTCAGTGAAAAGAATCGCAAGTCAGTTTTGTTGGTGGCCGCTAAAGGCATGGAACTCAAGGTCGTGTCAATTATGGACAAACTGCGTGTTGCGGACGATGTCAGCGGTTTAGTTCAACGTCGCTTCTCTCTTGAGATGGATGGTGCCCAGTTCTTCGTCGCGACTCAGAAAACTCTCATGGCAAATCTACAGTTCTACGCAGGCAACAAGTACGGCAACGTACCGGGATCTGCATGGCCTCCATGGTTGACGCTTGAAGCCATGTTTGATTTTGAGCTGAATCCTTTCGGATTTTCTCGTATCGTGCAGAAGACATCTGCGACTCTTCGCTATGACAAGTACAACAATCTTCGTCTCAAGTACAATGAAGAAGTTGCCAAGGGTAATCACGGTGGAACTCACCCTGATGATGAGCCCCGGATGGATCAGATCAGTGTTGATTTCCCACACTTCCGTGCTATCTGCGACTCTGCAGAATATTATTCCATGTACATCATCGTTTTGGATCTTATGCTCTACAGTGAACCGCTTGAGAAGGTTCGAAATGAACGCTTGGAAAAGATCATGCTCACATCCGATTTCAGCGATCTTCGTGGAGCACCGGAGATGGTCTTCAAATTGCAATCACGCATTCGTCAGCTGGAAGAAATCAAAGAATACTTCCAAATCAATGCTAAATACTTGGACAAGCAAGGCTGGGAGGACCGTTTGGCGCTGGAGCACGATCTGTCTCAATGCGAGGATGAGCTTTTCTTCATGATGAAAGCTATCACTACTTCCCAAAGACGTGCTGAGCCCAGCTCAAGCGCGACGAATGGCGTTCTGCGGTGGAGCATTTCTGCAAGCGAGGTCGTCTGGCATTTGATGAAGGAGGCATCTGCACCTTTGGTGGAGTTCCAACTTCAAAACGCTCAGTACGAACGAACGGACAATGCCGATGGCTCAAACCACAATCTGGTGGCCGTTGAAAGATTGAATGGCCTGAATCTCTTGCCTGATGCCATTTATCCTCAAATTATTGCGCCCTACCTGGATCAGCCAAGTCCCCTGGATGAATTCTTCATGCTTAAAGTCAAATGGCATATGCTGGAGGCTGTTGCTGGAATTCCCGTGGTTGATAATTTTGAAGTTTTACTCTTCCCACTCAAGATCCAATTGGAGCGCGAGCTCGGTCAAAAGCTTTTCGAATACGTTTTCCCCAACATGGGATCGGGTGCATTTGAGAGCGGTGGTTTCTCACCTTTCATGATCAAGAATATGAAGCCACTCGAGGAATCAGATGACGAAGATGACGACTCTAACAGCCCATCGCTTTCTCAGTCTATGAGTGCGGACGATGATGCTGTGTCTGTGGACGATTTGTCTGCATTCAAGGGTCCCGGCTCCATTGAGTTAAGACTGCAGCCAACTCTTTCTCTTTCCGAGGAGGGCAAATCCCGACGTCCCAGCCACGTCAAGGGCCTTGCTATGACTCCCATTCACAGAAGCAATACTCGCCTCAGCGTGCCAGAATCCTCTCGACAGACAGGTCGTCCTGCAACAACCGGTGGCTTGTCCAAGAAGAAGTCTGCTGAAAGCATCCGCATGCTAGTTAAACAACCCACCGAGCGATCACTGTCCAGCCAAAGCGCGAACGAAGAGAGGAAGAAGTTTGCTCTAAGCAGGAGCTCAAAGAATGGCAAGTCTAAGGAGCCTACTGATGACCTGTCCCAAATGATGTCTCGCGCTTCAAACTACATGACGCTTGCTCGAGTTAAGGTGCATGATGTGGTTCTCAGTATGAGCTATAAGGGCAAAGGCGAGCACAATATTGAAGATCTCCACGACTTTGTTTTCCGTCTTCCAGTCCTTGAATACGGAAATAAGACATGGTCGAACCTGGATCTTGCCTTGCGTCTCAAGAAAGATGTCATCAAAGCACTTATCTCACATGCGCCCGCTATCCTTGGAAATAAGTTCTCTCACCATCGTCCCTCCAAGCAACAACAGAAGAAATTCCGTGAAATGGCGTCTTCGTCCCAGCTGCTTCCCAGTTCAAATTCCATTGCCAACACTGCGCGAAGCCAACCTGCCAGCCTGACGAGCTTCGACTCCAATAGCGAGTACTCCGAGTCCCCGTCACGCAAATCAATGCAGTCAAACGCATCACCGCTGGCTAGATCGGTGTCTATGAGCTCTGATGCCCACGGCAACGCAGATCCTCCACTATCAGACTCAAGGTCTGCGAGTGAGGTAGATGTTGATTCTCGTTGGGAGGTTAGTTACATCCACCCTTGAACTGAAAATAATTTATTTCATACTAAAGTTTCTCTCAAAATTTAGGAGTCTCGTCGCTTTGTCAATGCCCCCAGCAGACCCATGACTGCTGGCCATACAGTGACCATGATCGAAGCTAATGGTGGCGAGCAGGAAGACAGGTAAGTTCTTTTCCAAACAAGAGCCACGCAACACAAACTAACGCAATCATCTTCAGCTCCAAAAACAAAACCATCCGGAATCTTGGCCGCAAGTTCACTTTCCGCAAAGGCTGATTGATACACTCACCGTCTTTCTCCCTTTCTACTCATCTCATACTCTACCCACCTACCCAAACCCTCATCCTCCTCATTCTACTACCCTCCTATCCCATCATATCCTAATCTAATGCCGTGGCTTCCAACCCCCCATGCCACTTGACTCAAATCTACCCAACGCATGTAAAGCATTCACTTTTTATCCTCATCATTCTACTACTATTCCCAGGTCCCATGTCTTCTCTAGATACCCTCTATGTGCAGCGGGGCCGTAAATAGGCGTTTATCTGATTTAATTCTTGTTGTTATTGATTTCACTTTCTCTTATCTTTTGCTTGTTTTCCTACAAGATATCATAGGGTTTGCAGGTGGGAGAAGGAGTTTCACTTTGTGGTTTTTTTTTGCAAAAAAGAACTTTCTTCGCTTCGTTTTCTTCTTGCACTTCCTTTCCCCATTGTTTTTATATCGCTCTATATCTCGGTTCGTCATTGGCTCTTGCATGCATAGAAGGAGTGGAGGTTACTGTTTATTGATTCTATAACTCATATAAACCTTTTCCTACTGCTGCGGCAAAGAAGCGGCGATCTTGATACCCAAATTTTCCTCTTCTATTACCATAGAAATGCTCCTACTTTCCAGAGTTCAATTACTTGTTGAACGTTGAGTTCTTTCTAGAACTTCACGACCATGCACGCGATGTGAATGTAGGCACATTAATCGCTTGGTCTACATAATGACTTGGAAACTTCAATTCTTAGGATATGAATACATCACTGTCAGAAATATCAAAGGGTATCTATATACAGCTGGAATTTTTGAAATCATAACATAACGAGCACGGCACCAATCTTTTCGCCTGCTAGGTTCCCTCTATAAGTAATTTGGAAACTGTGAACCAATATGCAAATGGCAACCAAAATAGAACAAGTACAAAACAAAAAGGAGGTAAAAGAATCGCTGATCTGGCTATTCAAACGTTATAAAATCAATAAATCACCTGACTCCAAACAAAAAAATCAAGTCATGAGTTGTTACAAAATTAAGAGTAGATGGCCTGTATATTCTCTCCTGGCTTTCAAGATTGATGACTCGCCTGATCATTTGTTGTTGTGTTATTTGCGTCATGAGATGTCTCTTTGATTTTCCGTTCAATCCCATTAGTAGCACTATCATCATTGGCATGATCATGCCCACGCTCAGGTTTACCTTCCAAAGCCGCAGCCGCAGCATCAACGCCATTGTGACGATCATGTGAGGCACCATCCGCACATTCCGCACCATCAACCGATGGCGTAGACGGTGCGGTTTGCTTTTCTCTCCACGGATAAGGTATCCGCGCATGTACGGAAGCGAAACGTGTTCGATCCGATGGCGCAGTGATATCGTCGACCCAAGGGATTCCGCCCTGGCCTCTATTTTCCGCCCAAGCCTTCTTTTCACGACGAAGGTCACTTTGGACCCAGGGAATCGTAATAGCGGTCCATATCAAAGCCCAGGCGAAGGGGAGGGACCAGCCCAGCTGTGAGAATGACGTCAGTTTGATCTAAAAAGCTGCGTAAAGAATGGGAAATTTGACGTACTGTGAATGCAACGGGTTCTGAAACGGTGAAGATGACTGCTGTTATTGCGGCTGCGCAGATGATTGACCCTCCACTCCAGAAACAGTTCATTTCAAAGAGCATGCGTCGGAAGTATGGACTGGAGAGGTATCGGGTTCGAAGGGCGTAGCGATACATTTGACCGCCACCGCCGTCGACGGCGACAACATCCTCGATTAGAGCGTATAGAGCTGTTGGCATTGCGGAGCCTTTGGGTGTGGATGAGATGCGGAAAGGGGCTTTGTAGCCGGCCATGCGGAGGATATCGAGGGAGAGATGAACGATTCCAAAGTAGAACATCACTGTTGGGAGGACCATGGCGACAAGACGGACTGGGTTCAATAGTTAGCGATTAGGATTCAATTCGTGGGTTGATTCGAGAGATGTCTAACCATATGGCTCTTGAGGTACCGTTCCACTGGGATATTATTAGCTTCGTATCGTGAGCAAGTTGATGAGCACCACTTACACAATCAGCTCGACGGCAAGAATCAGCCAGACGATAGTGAAGTTTATGTGAAAGAAGTCCAGCTGTGAAGGTTGTCAGCATGCGCCCGAGTCTTCTTTGTCTCTCCCCCCCTCCCTTGTATGGTCATTGCATACCCGTGATACCCGCGCATTCAATGGTCGAGCTCGCGAGTTCTTGCGGAAAAGGTGGTGTAGTCGGTAGAAGTATTCGAAAACAGAGATACCTCCTAAACAAGCCGTAACGATGGAAAACACTGCCGTCAAATATTAGCTCAAATCCCCCGCCTCGGAGTCCTTCTCTGCCTGATATCAAGTTCCTCAACATACCCAGATTGTGCGATAAGTCAGTGCCATACCACAGTCCCCAATACAACGCGACCGGTTGGCCCAACGTATCCAGAATAAATATAGTCCAGAAAAAGGCGATGGACTTCTTCCGGGTGTGTAATGAGTAGGGCAGTGGAGGGGGCTCATTATGCACAGGCACAGGTGCTTCCTCGGGGTCGTCCATCAGCGTGGCGATAGGTGGCGGAGGACGCGAATTTGGGGATGGTTCGATGTTTCCAGGGGAAACGGGTTGAGTGTTCATTGTTCGGTACAGATTTTCAAATAACAGCGATTAGGACATGGTGTATTGTTTGGATAAGAATTTCGAGTCGAATCGAATTAGGAGGCAAAAGAAAAAGGAAGAAAAGGTTCAAAAAAGACTAAAGAACAGAAATAAGATGATCACGGTGTCTTAGCCAAAACGGGATTTTCTAGTTGCGGCGCCGGAAACGACGGCTGAGGGGGGAGGTACTTACGTCCTCATACATTTTACTATGGCAGAGGAAGTACCTTGACGTAAGTTCGCCCGTGATGTCATGCATGAAATAAATTCATCACTGGGAAATATGAAAGTGTAGTTTCTATATTTTGTTTCGATTCTTGTTCCTAGAATTCCCCGAAGATGCTGATCTTTATCTTTTGAATTATTATGAATGTTTGACATCATTGAACTCTTCATAATACAGTATTCATGCGCATAGCCTCGTAAGCCTTGTAGTCTACGGGTGTTAAAAGTACGAATACGAAGAAGGTCGAGACTTCACAATCTGCTCACAATCTGTGATATTTGCAGTAAGGGAGGAGCGGGATATCTGGGAACATCTATAGTATTAATGATGGTAGACTGCATCGATGTCACAATGGAGTCAAAACAGTGGGGGACGCGTTATCCCTAGCTACTAGATTGCCAGACGTATGCCCAGGTGAGATGCATAGAAAAACAGGAAATCGAGATGTTTGGGACGTGGGCCTTCCCGAGTTAGCTCGGACGCCGATCCCAGCCAAACAATCCGGTTCTAGTTCTGGCTCTGCTGATGTTTACTTTGTTTTGTACTTGCGGTGTACTATACATACAGTTTTCTGTCGTTCGTTATTTTGTTGGAATGTTGTGCTAGTACAGCGCTTATAATATATATAATTTCGGCGTATTCATGAGCCACCCATTGAATGACTCTGTAGATACTGTATAGGAAGCCTGGGTATGGAGTACTCGGGAGCACACACGCCCAGATGAAATAACAGCCTCCCGGGGTCTTGAATGGGCAGGTTCTTAACGGTCTATCATGTGGATCGCTTTAGAAATTGTACTATATAGTATCCTATCTCCGGACTTTTCATGCAGGATGATAATATTTTATTTTGTACTTTCATGATGAAGTCACAAAGATATGCAGAGTACATAACTTAGTTAAGTTGGTTGCCTATGAGCCTTATTCGCCTAAATTTGAAGACACCAAACAAAGGGTGTATCACGTGTAGATAGGAGGAAAAACTTTGCTGATAAGCGGGAAATGAAGGTGGCGCGAGTTCGATTCACAGTCTTTCCTTCTTCAAATTCTATCCCTCCATCATTCTTTTCTGCGCTCTTGTCTCGACGCGCCTATTGATTCGTTTCCCATCAATCCTCAATTTGTTATGGACTGATCATGGCGCGTGGCCTGCAAGAGTTAATCGACTTCTTGCTAAATGAGGTCGCGCTTTGCGGCAGCCAAGGTGCGTATAGCTCGAGCTCTCAGACCCACTTTACCCAGTTTGGGCTCTATACTTTCCCTCGTCGCCTTGCATTAGCTGGAGAACGCATATCAAGCTCAGCTTTCAAGTATCCTGGCTCTTGCAGGAAGTAAGAAAATTTGCATCGTTCAATATGCACGTGTGAAATTATAGCCTAATTCTGCACATATTACAATTGTATCATTTAATACGAGCTAACCCATCTCCAGGCGCGACCGTGTCAGAGGTCTTGACATCTATTGACTCATTTTACCAATCTTCCAAAGATGCTGACCCTCAGAGACATCAAAATGTGGACTATCGCTTTCAGTTCAAGGTCTGGTCATGGCTAACACGCAACCCTGAGGTGTCAGTTGGCGAGAATAATGAGTTGAACCACCTCACTCTCGACCAGGTGAAAAGCCTCGACAAAGCTGGCGATAAAGACGCAAATGAAGCAAACCAATCAACTGAAAACGAGCCAGAAGAATCTACTCCATCGACCGCCCGAGTTTATGTTTCCAAAGAGAGAACTTGGTATGCAGTCGCTGGCCACGAGCCCGATGAGAACAAACTTCCGGCGTCTGAATTTGCATTGCTCTCCATCATTGCCATCAGGAAATCTAGTGGAATCTCCCAGATCGAGTTGATTAGGCTGAGCGGTCAAGACAAGCGATCAGTCCCTAAGAGAACGGACTCTTTAGCCACAAAAGGCTACGTCGATAAGCGCGCTGTCCACGTAAGAGGTTCACGAACCAGCCTCCTGACCCATCGTCAATTCTTGAACACACCTACCACTGAGAAACCTGGGGGGCAGACGGCAGACGACAACCACATGCTCGATTTTCATGATTTCACCAACCGCTTGTTTGATATCCTAAGAACCAGTGAAAATGGGATCATCGGTCGTAACGATCTAAAGGAAACCTTGGGGTTCACCGAACTTTGGTACTCCAGAATTCTCTCCCGAGCTATTCGCAAATGGGAACAAATTGGAGTCCTCAGGCGAGTGACAGCTGAGTCGCAATACAAGTCAATGCATAGCTGCGTTGAATTGCTCAGGGACCCCACGGAGAAAGATTTTGATCGTTTCTACGAGTACAGCAATGAAAGTATTAGTAAGGGAGCAGAGAATATAGCAGATCCTGATGATGAGATGGAACTGGAGGCCGGGGAAAAAGATATCAATATGGGTGTGGTTCAATCTGGGTGTATCATTCCGAGCTGGACTCCCGATAGAAGTATGTCGAATCAAATATTCGATGTCATTGATAATGCTGGGACAGCTGGAATCACCAACGATATGATCAATCGTATTTGCTTTGGGCGCTTTTACAAGAGATCATCTGAGAGTCTGACCCATCGTTTGACTGATTGCTGGCAAGTTTCTCAGCCACCTCATCTCCGCCATTTAGCGCTCGTTCGGGATTCTGGCGTACGCAAGACCATCATACACTATGTGCATTATTCCGCAAGAAACTTTGGCAAGAAGGTCGAGCAGGGTGGCGCTTTCTGGGAAGCTGTTGAATTTCCAGTCAAGAATCAAAAATCTTCTAAAGTCAAGATTCCCCCTGTTCATGCTTCATTTCCAGTCGATGAATATGGCTTCATCTCCAACAGCGTGCCTCGAAATCTATTGAAGAATGGAAATGTTAGCTTGTTTGAAGGCATATCGAGCTGCAAGCCGCCCAACTATAGCCTTACCCGCAAAGATCCCATGGGCGTCTACGGTGCGGATGGCTCATATCGTACGTATCTCTATTTTGTCGTGAAATTTCTTACATAAAATTGTCGTTAACTGTTGGAGTAGGGATTCAAGCCGGCAGCACCGTCCCCTTAGAAAGTTTGCCTCGTTCACCTCGACCAAACGGCAGTCGCAAATTGGGCCGTCCAAGAAAAGACGCACAGGCTCCCACACCGAAGGGGCTCAAAAGAGAGACCTCTGAGCCCCCAGAAATCAATGAGAACAGCATAAACGTGGACGTGACCCCACAGCGGCCAAAGCAAAACCAGACGAAGCATGAAAAGTACAAGAACTTGCCCACGAAGGAAAGATACGAAGCAATGGGCTGGGATGAGACGTGGACAGAATACAACGCCCTAGTGATGGAAAAACCGACGCCAGGCATATATGTTACCCCCCACGGTAAACGTAGACCGGCAGGAAAGAAACAGGGTCGTCCAAAACTAAGTCGAATCGCGGTCTTCAAATCCTCAAAATTGTCTTCTTTGCCTTGGTTTACCGAAGCAGACGAGGATTCAGATAATACAGATGCATCCAATGAAGCTACCACACAGCCCCCTACACTCCAAATCGAAGAGTCTACACCAGATCCCATGGTATCAATTGTTCCTTCGTCGCCCGTGGAAGCTGTGAATCCAACTCCAACACGTCCAACACATCCAAGAAGAGGCAAGAGAGCTCAACCACCTGTAGATTCTCATAATTTGACTGCAGATCCTATCATTTCCAATGGACCCAAGCGCTCCGATGAAAGATCTACGAAACGACCACGTGTTGATGGCTCTAGAGACAAGATGAATAAAACTCCTCAGACAGCCCCAGGCTCAAATCGATCTCCGGCGCCAAGCGTTGATGAAGCTGCATCCGATGCAACCCCAGCGAAGTACCGCAGAAACGGATCATTAACGGACACTGTTAATGGGAAGGAGGCACAGCTTCAAACTCCGAGACAACATCAAAATGAGCCTCAAGAAGCCATACCAATCGAAGGCCCATCACAGAAGTCGACCGATAAATCCATGGGACCTCCGAATATAAGAACACCAAACCCGACAATAACACCCGTCAGAAAAACACCCAACGCCGACAAAGAATCCGCCAGAAAGCATGCTTCGAGTGACCGAGGAGGTTCTATTCCGTTTATCAGAAGAAGGATTATCATGGATCTCGTGGAAAAGGCTGGTGGTGCATATCCCTCGGGTATTGAGCTCTGGTATGCATTTGCAACTGAATGGATGAAAATGATGGGCAAAGAAAGGCCAGACAGACGAACTGTTAACGCGGCAGTCAAATATCTGGTCGATGACGGTAAACTTCTTCAATTCACCTTTAGTGGAAAGAACGACAAGGGCACCTTTGTCACAAAGACGATTCTGAGGAAACCGGATACCTCGCCTGATGAGTCATTCATTAAGAAAATGCAATCGGAGCTCATGCTTCATGATCGCGATCCTAAAAAGTCGTTCTCACCGCACGTGGAGACGGATCAAAATGTTTCCAGGCATAGTCATGGGTATAGCCGGTATGGTGCCCACAAGGGTGCGCTGCCAACTGTATCTACTGCCACCGTTCACATACACTCAATGCCTGCTTCAATTCGCGCACAAGAAAAACGAAAGGAGCGAGTGCTTCAGAAAATACTACTCAGAAAATTGGCCCTGAACCAAGATTCTGAATCCGATGAGGATGAAGATGAAGGCCAACAGATGGGTGAAGCGAGAGAGGACCGACACAAGGACCAAGCAGCCCGACGATTAATGAGAATCACTACTGCACCTGACCAGACATCTGAGGCGGCGAAAACACACATATCTCGCCCGAAGTCGACAGCGGTTGGCGCAAGGAGACAGGAGAAGAAAACGCCGCCGCCGAGGAAGATCGGAAAAGCCGTTGGCCGTCCTCGAATGTTGCCCATGATTTCTATACCCGAGGCAATGGCGATGGTGATGAATCCTGGTCAGATATTTCATCCTGGAACGGGCACTTTTGCCACAGGATCTATCAAGCGCCGAGGCTATCGAAGAGTTGGTCACTTTGCAGACACTTCATCCCATGTCAATATTGGAAATCCTATTCGTGAACTCACGGCACTCGCACGCCAGCCTGATGAGCTGACAAACTCGACCGCCAAAAGCACCGCATATGCCCAAAGATTTGCACAAGCCAATGACTTGATTATGCAATGGGAATTGGATCATGAGGCAATGCTTGATTCAGTCGTTGAAGAACATGCTTTCATTGGGCAGAGCGTCCAAAAGAATTTCCACGCGGAACCTATTGAGGGCTCAATTCGTTTTGCCATCGACCAGCCAGAGCCAGACACGCCTGTCAAAAGATCACCCATGAGAACGCGTGGAATGGATGGCCGCAAGCCCAATAAACGCCAACGCGCAACAATGGAGGACCCAGAAGGCAAGGCAGTGGAACAGCGTCCTCGGCGCCGACTTAACCTCAAACCACTCCCAGAGGGTGTAATTCGACGATACATGGTTGCTATTGTTGCTGTCCGAACTTTAGCTGGTGGTCTTGATGGAAAGATTGTGGATTGGGACCTTGTGACGCTTGCTTTCCCCAATAGTGATCCGGGCCACGTCGTCCAGTATGGTAAATCCATACTAGCCAAAAGTCGGATGGAACTTTACAAGATGCAGCATGATTTCCAAGAGAGATACCTCAAAGCGTACGACAAAGGTGATGTGCCTCAGATCGACTTTGCAGACCTACGAGAATATGATTGGCCAGCTCTGGTTCAATGGGCCAGCATTGAGCTCGAGTTTTCTACATCTGAAAAGGCTCCCACGCTTCCTGCAACCCGTGAACAGTTCGACAGCATTTTTGAACTTCGTGAAGATCCCGTGACTACTGAAGAGGAGCTACATGCGCTATCGGGTAACATCACTGTTATCAATAGACGTCGCTTAATGGGCCGTATGCCATTCGTCATCGAGCAACCTCACGAAACTCCGCGCCCGCAAAGACCGGACCTTGTCCAACTTGAGATGGCCAAAACATGGGTTCGTGCCAATGTCACTACACCAGAAGATCGGTACAATGCTGCTGCCGCCGCCCAAACGCTCAAGCCATTCGGTGATTCTCTTCTCTCGACCGCTGCTCATTCTCTCGTAGCAGAACGGGTCATCTGCGTCACGAACCGCGGCCGCGCTATCCCGGGACGAAATTACATGATGCATGACGTCTTCCACCAGTCCATCGAACGTCGTCGTGGTATAGACGGTAATCAGCTCGCCCGAGCCGCAGAGTTCAAGACTACAGTCCTTGATCCTGCCCTCGAGAAAGATGGCGTATTCCGTATCAGCTATCACGCCAGTGACGGCGATGCCCTTGTCATCCAAGAACTTTTCGCTCATGGCCATCTCGACATCATCTCTCTTGACCCTCCACGGGAGAAATTCGGCCTCATGGATGGTGGATATCTTACGCGGCAGATGGACAAATCCCGACTTCGATTCGAGGTGGAGGTTCGCCCACGGTCGTCATATCAATATGGCAACCCGATTCTCGACCTTGTAAATCTTACCCCTGCCCCAATACCCCCACCTTCAAGGCATATGCCGCTATGGTTTGATGTACATGGCTGTTTGATTCATGAGTGGTGGAAGAAGTCCGTTGCCGCGGTACTTGGATCTATCATTCTTCGACCTGATGTTTCGGTGGATAGCATTGCTTCTATGTGTAAGCCGAGCTTGATGAAGTGGGAAATTGAGCTTCTGCTCGAAGATTGGCTTCTCAAGGTTGGGGTCGTGCGGAAGTCTGACAATGTGCCGGCGAACTGGAGACTAGCGGAGTGGTGGTGGTTGGCTTTGAGCCAGTCAGAAGCTACTTGAAATTTGAATCTTGGGAATCATTCGCATGAATGACTTCAAGGTTTTTTGAGATGTACATGTATTATTAGCTTGCTAGGTTATGCCCAATAATGTATGAGAGTTGTTTTAATTGATTTGATACTTCCGTAGTCCGACTTTCTTCAAATATTGTCAATCAGATGCAATAAGTTCGAAACGGGTCAATTTAAAACTACAACCCCACTCAGGAATCTATGTTATAAAAGCCCTGGGGCTACAAGAAATTGATAAACAGAGAATGTTTTGATAAAATTGAAGCCATCCAGGTGTTTAGACTAGAGCCCGAAGTTCCTTAGCTGAGAGAATACATGATCTATAAAATATGAAAACGGTAGAAAACGCCAAAACCAACTATACCCATAAACGCTAAGCTGTATGTACGAATCAAAGAAAGCTAAGAGAAAGCAAAACACGGACAGAAAGGTATAATAACGCCTCTTTACAGATCGTCGACATCCAGTGTCCGCCGTAACATCAAGAGGATCAATGCAAGGACAACAGCCACAATAGCCCTGTCTAACCATGGATTATTCGCAGGCTCAGAGGGCTGTACTGTTGTCGAGGATACCGGCACAGGTCGATGTTGCAGTGCAGTTGATTGTAAGGATTGGGATGATACAGAGGCTGGAGCTGCACCTGTAGTGGGCAATTGCGATTGCACCGCGGTGTCGACCGGCGCAGCTGCTTGTGATTGCGCTTCTATTCGTGGCTGGATATCAGCTTGGGATTCTCCATTTGATGGTGAGGTGTGATTTGTCGACGATGAATCATCCTGTTGCGCCGTGCTCTCCACCGCCGCATCAACAGCAGGTGTAGGTACACTCTCAGTCTTCGTTTTATTTGCAGTCCCATTACTTTCAGGTCTACTTCCAGACCCCGTAAAGACCTCATCATCAACCTCAACACCCCGTTCAGCACAAACATCCCACCACTCTTTCATGATCGTCCCATTACTAACACCACACTCTCGACAAGACCACTGTCCACTAACCCGCGCAAGTTCCTTTCTCATTTCCTCACTTCCCTCCATCCCACCAACCTGTCCCTTGCTTTCCCCGCCCATGATCTCCGATCGAATAGCCAGTAATGCTGTCCGCACTCCCCACGCAGGTTGCCACGTTTCCTCATGATGCCCTGAGATACTTAGACATATCTCGCGGTTTGTTTCAAAGCGGCCAGACGGGGTGAGGAATCGAAAGCTCGGTGGTCGAAGTGGATAGGTTGGTGGAAAGGTTATCCGTCCATGATAAAGACCGCCGGCGTAGGGCGTTGGACTTGGCGGTCCCGTTATAGTGAAGTGCCAGTCATGGAGGTTTGAGTCGCTTGTTGGTGAGGCGGTAAAGTAGGGGCTTGGATTTTTGTGAAGGTCGGTTGATTCTTTGAGGAGACGTTTCGTTGAGGGGCTGGTCATCTTCTTGAACTTCTTTTGCTCACTGTTTTGTGTCAATTTGAAGCAATGTGTTTGTTTGGATGTGGAGGAGGTTGGGGCGATAAGGATAAGGATAATGATAAGGACACGATGGATCTGCACCGCCTTTTAGTGCCAGGCTGGCTTGACTCGTGGAGAGAACCACGTGACGATAGCACAACTAGATAGCGTCGTTACTGTTTATTGTTTATTTCTACAACGTCATACTAATAGAAAGCAACAACTTTGTCTAACAAAGGTCGAGTTTCCTTGAAGAAACAAATGTCTACTACTGTCCAAGCAGCATATCTGCCACTGCTTCTCCAAAGGCATACATCGGGGCCTGGTAATGACCCGCCACTGGCACAGGAAGAACACTAGCATCGCAAACGCGCAGATTTTGGACGCCCTTCACCCGGCATTGGGTGTCAACCACTGTACCCATGGCGGCCGTGCCTCCATTCTGGAAAAAGCTACTCCCCACAATCTGCATCCGCCGGTCTAGGTCCGAATCACTGCATGCACTAGTAAGTGGCTCGTAACCCGGTGGCGGAGTCTCGCCCTCGACGACACCCCTCACAACGTCAGCCTCCATTATCCGCAGAGCGAGCCGCATGCCAGCACGCATCGCAGCACGATCTGTCTCTGTGCCGAGATAGTCCGGGTTCAGTACCGGGTCAGCCATAGGATCAGTGCTAGCCAGCGTAATATTGCCTCGACTGGTCGGTAGGAGAAGCACCACAGGGCTACTGATGTGCTTTCCGTCAATTGGAACTCGGAACTCGGAGCCCCCGCCAGCGATTGGTGCGTAGGCTATCATCACCTCGACATTGCCTCGGGGTTCCTGGAGGTATGGATCCTTTAGATCGAGCTTATCTACCTCTGCGGCCTTGACAAGTTCCTCGTGCGGAGTAGGGAATGTCGCAACCCATTCCATAGGATTGCCATGCCGAAACTCGGGCTTATTAAAAGCTGGAGAGCCTAGTGCGTACCCGTTCTCGGGGTTCTTGAGTTTCCAGAAGAACGTGGCTGAGATTTTATCGTGATAGTTCTCTCCGACGGGAATATCTGCGATAGTTGGAATATCATGCTCCGCAAGGTGCGACCGGGGACCAATGCCAGACAGCATCAGCAATTGAGGCGTCTTGAGAGCACCACATGTGACAAGAACTTCCTTCGTTGCTGTATATTTCGTTCCATCGGATAGAACAATACCAGTAGCCGTCTTAGATTCATGGAACTCAATACGAGCGATCGCCCTGTTTGTCAAAACGGTAGCCTTTGAAAGGTCGTACGCCTTGCTGGCTGGTTGACGCTGGGCATCTTTCCAGTTTTCTGTGAATGGGCCAAAGCCGAAGGGACTGCCACCGTTTGTATCTGGGTTATACTCCAGACCGGCCGCCAGCATTGCCTCGCGGATGGTTTCACGAAGCGGGTATTTTCGAGCAGCAGCTGTTGTCGCGATCGGGCCACTAAACCCATACTTCTCTGGACTACCATTAGGATCGTGGTGAGTCTGTGTCGCTTTGAAGTACTTGAGCATGTTTTCATAGCTCCATCGATTGTCCCCGACTAACTCAGCCCAGGCGTCATAGTCGACTGAGTGGCCGCGTGTCCAGAGACCGTAGTTAACGCCACTAGATCCGGATAGAAGTTTGCCTCCGTGGTTAGGAACAGAACGATTTCCCAGTCCTGGCTGCTTGACCGTCATCATGTTGTATTCGAATTGAGTGCCGTGCAGGTGTGGAGCAGCGACAGGACTCATGATTTGCTCGTTATAGTCCTCTGGCCCAGCCTCGACAACTAGGACACTGTGGCCGGCATGAGAGAGCCGACACGCGAGAACACATCCCACAGTACCACCGCCGCAGATGATATATTCATAGGATTCGCTCATGTTCTGTGTTGTTTTGCTGGTGGAATTGGAATGCTTGGTGGGTTTCGCCCAGGGCCGCGGAGACTAGACTTTATACTAAATCGACATTACGTAGGCGAGACAGAAATTGGACATCCTGCAAGGAGTTAAATCCGGATTTACTGTCGTTGTCCGTTGTCCGAAAATTGGCCCCCAAAATTTGATGTATCTATACCTAAAGAGAAATAACGCACAGCCGCCTTTTGTGCGTAAGGCTGCGATTAATCGAGATTGGCTCATATTCCATTACGTTCTTCAGTTCAACAACCATAACCCTTCCTAGTAGTCTCTATTAGCCTCTAAATGTGAATATGTGTGATTGCAAATGAGCCAATTATTTTTCATGTGTGCATGTAGTGTGCATACAGGTCTCGAGAGCTCCCGGCCTGTTCGAATGAAACCCTATAATCGCATACGAAGTGACCGCTTCCTGACTCCAGATATCAGAGCAGACCTTCTAGGAGCTACAATAATTCTTATCTTCGGGTCTGTTTTCACGTTCGCATGGAACTATTCCTTCCCTTCAGCCCTTGAAAGAACTATGTGGCGAGTAGCCAGTCTGTGTATGATCATATATTCAGTGGTCGGTTGCGGATGCGCAGAATTTTGTCGGAATTTTGTCTTCCCTGGATAGTTCCAGTCATCAAACTTATCTGTCCGATGTTGTGGTGGAACTGGGATCCTTCAAGCTGGCAGATCGACTGCGCACCTTGCATCCCTCACGAAATCGTCGCCTAGTTATTCCCCAGAGGCTGTTGATTCCTGTAAGGACTCTTTGTGTTTTTTATATCTTTTTTAGACGCTTTTTACAATGTTAGAGGACTTTATTAGGCTTCGTTCATTACCTGAAAGTGCCTTTCAGATAGCGAGCTGGTCAAATTATATACCCCACTGGTGATGGACGCTATCCAAACCGATGGAGCCGGAGGTCGTACCTATGCCCAGGTGTTGCAATTCATAAAGAGCTAGGTGCAATGCGCGATAGAACGATCTGAGCCATGTATGAAAAGGCTGTTATATGTTTGCTAATACTAATGATACATTAAAATGCCCATTCGGCCTCATGGCACATGGCTTCGTCGCTTTCCGACCCAAACGCCAGATAATGCATATCAAGTCTCAATCCATGAATTTGGAAAATGAGGGAAACGTAAGAAAACAATATTTATTCCCAATCTCGCCACTCATCCCTCTCCCGTGTCCGGGCCGGACGGCTAGCTGCTTCTGGATCCAATAATCCATTCCCCTCGGTATCAAGCTCATCCTCAAAATCGCTATCACCAGGTCTAGGCCGTGGGGACGCAGGTGCAAGCGTCTGCATAGAGACACTAGTCGGTGGACGCTCGGGCGCATCTTGTCTTCCACGACTAGCGATCCAATTGGGCTGTGTCGGTGCTGGTGAACTACCAGTGCCAGCAGGAGGTCCAGCTCCACCAGTCCAGGCGTGACTATTGTCCATGTTCCGCTGGTACAGATCTCTGTAATATTGTTGCTCGTTGTAAGTTTCTTGTTCGCGGTTGACACGAAGACGTTCACGTGCTTCGAGGAATCGCTGGCTTGGTTCCCAGCGCCATCCGTCGCCGGTTGTAGTGCAGACGGGAATGAACCAGAGAAGTGGGCGATCACCAAATAGGTGGGCGAGGTTCCCGCGCCAACCATGATCGAATGCGCTGGGTGTTTTTTCACTATCTTCCTCGTTGAGATACTCTTGGTACCTATCGTGTTCGCGCTGGCGCTCCATCTCCGCGTATGAGCGAGAAAGCGCTTGCTGTGCTGGTGTAAGGTTGTTTGTGTTGGAATGAGAGTTTTGAGTGGAACTGTGGAACCCTGGGCCTTGGCCTGGGCCGTACGGCGCTGGAGAGAGTCGTTCCTCGCCTTCTTCAGCGCGGGTCACGCCGGGAATCGCATTGGCATGCGCATCGATGATCTGGTTTCCGTATCCTTGTAGTCGGTGAGCGAAGCTTTCCTGGGAGGGATCGCCATTGTGTTCGTTGGCTCCGCCGGATTGGTTGTTGCCGGGGCGCGGCCGGGATAATGCTTTGCGCAGTGGAGAGACATATCGCGTTTTCTCTAGACATTCGATGGTTGTTGTCCCGCGGACAGCAAGACTGATATGCCATGCTGTAAATCCACTTAGGACTAGCCCAATGATTCCACCAAGTATTGTGAGGAGGACCACGTTGATGGGAAGGAAATTGTCCATGTAGACGGTGTCATTTAATACCTCCTGCCACGTCCATGTACCGGCGACAGCGAAGCAGACCCAACAGAAGAGAGATGTGTAGATCAAAAATAGAAGGAAGGCTTTGTAGTTGTACAATCCCACGCAGGTTGCCAGCCAGGGGCAGTGGTGATCCATCTTTAGCACGCAGCGTTTACATGTTGAGCAGTGATGAGCACGGTCCGGCTTGGGACATTGGCATTTCTTGCAGAATCGTGAGCCCCCCGATGAACTCACGGTGTATGTTGTGAACTCCGGGTATTCCGATACAGGCAGGGCACTGTAATTGTGGCGATCATTTCCTCGGCGCGTCGTTAATGGAGATCCGGGATCGGTGAACACGGCATAGGTATACGAAGCGTTAAGAGCGATGTATAAGAGCAGACTAAGGAATGTGCTGGGTATACCTGCAAAAACGGACAGAAAACATCAGTGATCATGTTCGAATATCATATAATGTTAGACCAAATAGGTCAACCATACCAATCCATTTACTATTCTCTGACCCTTTGACTCCAAGACTAGCTTCCACCCAAACTGCCCAAGTTGTGAGGCCATAGACAAATGCGAGCGGAAAACAGCCCGCTATCGCACAGCAGTATCGCTCACAGCGTAGTGCCCAAGCTCTAGAACGTCGTTTCGGCCATGACGGTGATGTAGGAGGAGACGAGGCCAGGGTGGCCATGATTTAAGCTTGATCGGGTAGCGCGATCCCTAAGGGACGGCTAGGTACATCTGTAAAGGCACAGGCGTTTCGTTCGTTGCAAATGCTGTATTAGATATTGATCTGTTCAAAGAGAGACCCGCATGGTCGAATGAACGACTTCTTGATGAGGCTCGCCTCTTTCTCGGCGCTGGAACCTTGATGCCTTCATGTGCTGCGTAAGCCGTCCTGACTCAGCCACTTTGGGCTCAGCCACCCATAATTGTCCTTGTGTATTTTTAGGTTAAGTGGAGCCCCAGATAGTGGTTCGTTCCTGGGGGAATGATGTATAATCAGTAGCATTACTTTATACATGTACATCTTGCAATGTTTAAAGAGCCAAATTGAACAAGGCTCGTAATAGCAGTGGTCAATAAGACCGATTTTGAGCGCAAATGTAAGGCCCAATGAATGTTTACTGGAGAGAACTTGCAATGATACATTGCGGCATCGGCATCTATACAATATATTCAATTTTATTTACAGTTCTCATGCCTCATATCGGCAGAGCTAACCAACGTCCAGAGTCATAGATCAAAGAATAGATAAAGCCGCTTAAGAGCCGCTAGATGTTTGGTTGGTAATCTCTATATTACCTTCTTCGCACCAACCATTGACAGGCTATAGAAAAGCATAGTTAGTGAATGTGTTCAAGTAGAAAGATGGTGGCTGAGGGTTATCACATACCAAGCAGCTCAATCGGTAACACCAAGAGCAGTTTGAAGAAGGGTATTTGTAGAAATCAATAATGAGTAAAATAAATCCGACGAGGACGGCAACCAAAGCACCGGCACGAACAATCCACCAGGCCCACCACAGCGGCTTTCGGCCCTTAAAGAATGCCAAGGGACCTCTAGGCTCACTGGGCTCACCCATGTCGCCGTTCCCTGTATTGCTTTTCTTGCCCTTGAAGAACTCCACGAAGGAAGTGGTCTTCCGGTGAACTGGGACAGACGGGCCAGCACCGCCGCTCATAGCGACGTAGGGCTGACGCGCTAGACCAATGCGTTCACGGAGAGCATTAGGGGATCGCATGATTGTCAAGCCAAGCGCGAGACCCATAGTGAAGCCTCCGATATGAGAGAAGTTATCAAGTCCCGGGAGAAGACCAAGTACGAACGATATGGCCACTCCCAGGACCATGATGATCAGTTCCACCCAAGGAGACGGGCGGTTCTGCCAGTCATATAATAGATCGAGTAAATAAAGAGCGAGTATTCCGAAGAGAGCACCCGAGCAGCCGTCACTAGGCTGTCCTTGCGCGGCGTAATTTCCACCCAACACGAACCCGAATATACCACTAGCAAAATAGGTGAGTGTATATCGCCAAATACCGACCATCAATTCCATTTCCGATCCCATGGTCAATTGAACTAGTAGATTACATCCGATGTGAATGAATCCCGCGTGAATGAATATCGGAATGATGAACCGGAACCACTGGTTCGGCGCGGGGGTCTCGTCCAGAGTACCACCTGGGTGAGGATTGGGTACACCACCGAAGCCACAGGCCTGAGAAAGGGTACACTCGGACACGGTACTTGTGGCATTTGGACAAGGAAAGGCGATGGTTGTGTTTGCGTCTTGGATGTTTGGGATATTCTTCATACAAGGATCGTAGCGCGCGCCAATGTAGATTTGAACATACGCAGAAGGACCGATCATCGGGTTAAAGCTAGGTTTAGTTTCAATGGGCGAGCCAGTAAGCTGAGCTAAAATAACGAAGAAAACCAGTTAGCTTGGCTGGTTCACGTTGAAAAGAATCATGTCTCGAGCATTTCCACGTACCAGACTTTACTAGCTCCACAATGAAGACAATGACTTGAATTAACGTCAATAACCAAGTCACATAAGGATGCTTGCGCTTAAAAAACGATTTCTTGCGTCCATTCTGCCCCCGCTGTCGTGAATCTTCTAACCCCCCTGGTGAGGGTGGGTATTGCGTCTGTTGCATCCACTCTGGATTGTTTCCGAGCTGGGTTTGCGCCTTCAGCGGGATATTCTCTGCGTAATGATCGTTTCCTCCTTGACCGGCTCCCGTGTAAGCCCCATGCTCTGATGCAAATGATTGTTGACTTTCGCGGTTGTGATAGGGGGCGGAAAGGTCGTCGCGGTTGGAGAGGCTGGGGGCGGCGAACCCATGTTCCGAAGGCGCGGGGGTTGCATGATCTAGTCTTCCTGGATTTGCCTGATCATAGCTCGGCGGACTGGGGATATTCGAGTGGTAGTATTCATTGGCGGCCATGTTGGGCGGTTGCCGAGGCTTGGTGGAGGGGATGGAGCGATCGGGGGTCCAGGGCCGCGAAATTTCGTCAAGTGTGGAGAGGGAGGAAAAGAAGGGTTTAAAGAGTGAAGACGAATGAAAGACCGGAAAGCCCTTAACTGAGAATGGACAGAATCAAAATGAATGAAGGATGAAGAAGTATTGAAGGGAGAAGAAGAAAAAGACAGGCAGTCACATTAATGTGGAAGTTATTTTTGGTTCGATCAACACAGCCGCGCGTATCGTCATTATGGGGTTTCACACTATGGAGTATGTAGATTATTGACAACCTTACAAGTCATAAACTCGAGACTATTCAATTAGAATTATTATTCTTAAAAGTATTTTTGAAGTCAGACGAACTTTGTTTAATATTTATATAATGATAATCCAGCATTATCCCATAGTTAACAGTCCATTCTACGCCTGTTTTCCCATAACTAGAGAGTCGATCATAATTAGGCCTGGGCCCGCGCGTAGTGTGTTGTTCAGCGACCCGTACGTAGAGCCTTAATCTCAGCCACAATGCCAAGCACACGTTATTTAAGCCCTGACCGCAGAACACGAAGGGCGCTTACGTAGTATGAAATAAAATGAGTGATAAACATTTGACATTAAGGTATTAGGAGGTTGGGAAGCAATAAGGCCCAATGGTCCTATGTATCTAACCAAGCTGTGTCTTGTGTCAGGGTATTCTTCCCTGAAAGGGAAAAAATGAATCGAGCCTTGTTCGTTGTGCTCATGTATCATCGGCCGCGCCAAGTAAGGGCAATGCGCGTGATGAAAGGTCTGTAGGGCGAAGATGATACCGCCATGAAATGGTTCGTTGTTCCTACCATCAGAGGGAGGGAGGGATAAATAAGAGATAAAACGCCGAAGGTGATATGGGAGGAATTAAGAATAAAAAAGAAAAAGAGTAACGAAGGAGTCCTCAATTCACAGGAACAGGTGGCATTCACTGCAGCCATCTGCTTTGATGTGCCTGCCAGGACCACTCATAAAGCGTGCAGACAAAGTAGTCCTTGCTTGCAGGGTAACTTGAAGGCCGAACCCTCCATGGAGCGAGACAAAACAGCACAGCGCTATCATGATGGGGGTACAGGATGGATCGTAATTAGTTTCACCACTCTGCTCTCATAGAATCTTTCTCGAACCTATTCCGAAACACGCTAATCCATCTCGGACTTTATTCAGTTGCAAATACTGAATGGTATTGAAAGTCACTGTCACGTGATAGAAGATTCTATAAATTACTTGTAATACTCTTGCAGAGAATACTGGCACCTCACAGGCCCAAAGCGAGATTAGCCATACTAGCAAGCGTGTCGGGATAGTCCTCGCCGAGCTTCGTCTTGCGAGTTTCCATCACCTGCATCTCGAGCTGCTCGGCCTCTTCCCAACGGCCTTCATCATAGTGTACCCTTGCCAGTGTTCTCCAGGTGAAAATCTCTCCAATTTCTGTAATGCTAGTACAGTTCAAATCAATATCCCTCACATCCGGAGATGCAAAATAAGATGCCGACGTAACTGTGGCTGATGATCTCCCACAATCTAAGAGCATGCAGCAAGTACAAATATGGTGTACCACCAATGCCATTGTTGATTTTGGTCGCGACGAATTGCCCGCCATTGAACCAGGCTATGCATTGCAGTACCAGGCCACTCTCCTTGCACTCGCTGTACTAGGCTGTAGCGGGCTAAGACATCTACACTATGTCGATACATGAAGTTGTCCCATGTCCTGTGGGCCAAGCGAAGTTCATTCAGAAAACATTTTGCGTAGAGTAAACGTCCTCTTTAATCTTAACATAAAGGGCGAACTAATTTTACCAGGTACGGTAAAGTCTTTAAGCCATCTTCCTCTGTTTTCATCAAAATAGACTTTAGTACCAGGAGGGGAAGATTTCAGCCATAACCCTTCTTCTAGATCAAAATACGCTTCGCCGAATGATTCCGAACACATACAGGGGTTGCCGCTCTGGTCGGATGTATACGATTGACCACAGCCACAGAGTGGAGGCCGCTCGGATCGAAGAGCTTCTATAGATCTTTGGGACGGCCGTTTCTTGTTCTCCTTGCCTAACGGTTGTAGGTACATCTCGGACATATTAATAGAGATTTTCTTCTGCGAAAGCTCAGGTTTGGGGGGTGAATCCATCGAGGTTGAATCCGCTGGGGGTTCTAAATTAAGTGCACCCATGATATTTAAGATCATAGCCCTCTGCTTTGAGAGACTCTGAGATTGCACTTCAAACAGGGTTTTCTGTTCTCGGACCTCATCGACGATCATGCTGATGAAACAGTTAGTTAGTTGGTAATGCTCAATGTCGCAAGTTTTCCATCAGATCGCACCTGTTTAAAAGGACCTGATATGTCCCATCGAGTGTAGCTCGAGTTTGCAACATGCCTTCAACGACCTTATCCATATCTTCCTTTGTAAAAAGATAGGATCCTTTCATAGCAATCGACTCACGACGCCTCTCGGTCTCTGTTGGTTTATATCCCGGTTTACTTAGCAGGCCTTGCTTATACTGAAAAGCCCAGTACCTGGCATCTTCTAGTAGCAATCCAATCTCTGGGTTCATACTCAAATCAAGTGTAGAGAAATAAGCCTCCAGTCGTTTTTGTGCCTCTACAAGCGAACTATGCATTCTTTCCGCTCGTATGTAGAATCTCTTGCTCTCATCCTTTGCTTTGATCAAGGTTTTGGAGCGATACAAAAGTGTTATGAAGATGGCGTAGACAAAGGTTAGGATCCCGATGACGTTGCCGGTTATTGAAAGGGGGCTGTCTGAGCAGTCGAGGACTGGAGATGTTGTTGAGTTGTTAAACATGGCAGGAATCAGGGGGTATGGGATTACTGAGAAGAGATGAAGGAAAAATAAAGGAAAAGTGAAGAAAACACCCTATTAAGTGACTCGGGGCTGAGGCTGATTCTCGCGCTAATGCGGGATGAGGGGCACGTGTGTGTAGCTTATGTAAGCAGATATAGATTTCACAATTCATAGATAAATTGCCTAAACTTCTTCATTTCACCTGTTTGAGGGCTTTCTAGAAACTGGTATTGAGTGTTTCGAAAGAGGTTCGAGAAACAATATCTGTGAGGAAATGATGAAGCTGATTTCGATCCATCCTGTATATATAACGGAGAACACAAAGCGATTTCCCAGGCCATGAAAGAGAGCCTGCTAAGAGGCAATGGCATGTTTAGCGATGGCTATAGGCGTTGATGGATTGTCGTACTTATCGAGAATGCGCAAGACTGTACTGACTCCCTGGCTATTATGACCAGTCAACAGCCACACCAGGCGACTCAGCTTGGTGTACAGCAACGATGGAAAGTATAGGACAAGTGCCCACAGTAGAAGTATCAACACAGTCAAAACGATAGTATTGGTGACCCATTTCTCGCTCGCAGTCATGACATAGATACCGAAAGTGACCTCATACCGGTAGTACTCGAGTCGCACACGCGATGAACCAGGCGTTGGAACGGACTGCATCGTTTGTTGTGCAACGTAGATGGAGCGCTGGCGGCCGTATAGGACGAGTATTTGCTAATCAACTCGTCCATTGCCAGTGATGCATGGGGCACATACGTCGAGGTACCGAAGGTATAGAAGGATTGTATCTCGGTCGCCATTGTGCGATGTAGATAGACATGCGACGGCGGCTGCTAGTCACGATAATCACTGAAATCGCATATGGAAGGGGGATGGTATCCCTTTCTTCATTCGATGTATGTGTGTTCGAACCGCCTCGTCCTCGTGTCCCTTCCGGGAGAGTGCCGCGCAGAGCCAGGTATACGGAACCTAGTCTGAGTTAAAATCTCCCATGTTTTTGATAGTGATGCCAGTTGGACACAGAGGCGCACTAGCCTCGTAAACGAACCTAGAAGACGCGATCTATAGAGACTTCAGGGATCAATGTATCCTCGAGGGGAGACAACCAAGCACGAACTAAAGAGTATAAAAAAGGAAAGAAGGCCTGGAGAACCAAATTAAACAGGAGGTTAAATTAAAGACAAAACGAGAGAGAAAGTATGCGAAATCAAGGCCGAGGGGGTTTGATTTCTAACAAAGAAAAAAAAGGAGAGAAAAAAACGAAGCGATAATTCATTCGGCCATCGGAGAAGTCGGCAGGGAAGACGGGGGTGTCTTCTTCGCCCAGAAGTTTACTTGCCTTTTAAGTCCAAAGCTGGTCGCAGATTTGGCTGCCCGGAATTTCAGTCTCCGAGAACCTATTAGTGGAAAACCCGCAAGAGTTTCGATCTATGATCTATGGCACGTTGACACTCTCCATAAGTGCTCTCTATACATTTCTAAATAACTTCAACCACTTGGACAGATAGGGCTGTGTCGAAAAGCGGATCGATGCGCTCTCGGACCCAAGGCCGAAATCGATGGTCGGTGCGCGGATGCATAATTCTGTGTGTCAAAACTATACTGGGATGTTGGGCCAATAACATTAGGGAACTGGGTGGAAAGAAGTTTGGGGGAAAGTATTATATAATTCAGAACTAAGGGCTTCACCAGAACTATATAAAGGTGGAGGGATATCACTGTAGATCTATACTATGTATACAGAGGCTGGAAGTGATGACGCTGTCCAAGACCGAAGGATAGAAGTACTCGGTACATAAATTGTGCAGATCTTGAAATAGTATTGGCATAGTACTATGCTATATGAGGCTAGTACCAGGTACATCCGGGCTCGGGTTTTGGTGCCTGGTGCCTGGAAGTAGTATGCTTTGATCTTATTATCACTTGCTATTATTTATTATGGCTATTACTTACTACTTACTACTTATGAGTTATTCTTTATTATATAATTTCATACTCATAATTAATTTACTATACTTACTACCAACTTGAACCTCTCTGGCTATCTGGATTCCCCTTTGATACAAGCCACCGCCACCAGTGGCTTAACCGCTGTGATGTCATTTCTCCTGTCCCGCTCTTCCCCGCGCGCCATTTCAACGCAGCCTCAACAACTCAATCTGTACATACAATTCGCATTATGGACCCCGACGCTGAAAATCCGCTCGTTAAAACATTGCCTCCGGCAACCGACTATCTCACCTATCTGACAATTCTTGAATACCAACTGACTCCCGACCGTCTGCCATTGCTGCACCGCCTCTTGCAAGATGAGAAATTAACCACCAATATCGGCTGGGACCTTGTCAAGCTACTTCTGCCCATGCTGCCGGCTTCAACAGAGTGTCTTCACGATGTAGCAAGATTAGGAAACCCTCGAGAGGTGATCTTGCGGGTATCAGAAGCCCTCATGCACCTGCAGCCGGACGACGAGGATCTCGACGACGACGAATCCGTGGACGCCAAACCCCTTCCGCTGCACGTTTCCCAATTCAACTGCCTACTAGCAATGCTCTCTGAGCTGCATACTCGCATTAAAACCAAATCTCCAAGCCGATTCGTTGCGACTTCGCTACAAGCCGCCCTCGAAGCATACACCTCTATGCCGAGCGATGAGACCACCCTAGCCCTCCTCGAATTCCTAAGAGATATATCACCAAACAAGAGACCTGCGCCTCCTCCACGAACCAATAGCCAGTCGACTGTTCTACGAGTTAACTCTATTTCTGGCTCTGCCCCAGATCCAGAAGCAGAGGTGGCAGCACCATCGCCAGCGGGAGACAATGAAGCCTCGTTGGTTGAAAAGTTTATCCAATTCGGCCTCATCGAGGTACTGAAGGTTTATTTGCTGAGTCACTCAGACCCAATGGATTCAGGCCTGTCTTGGACTGTTCGAATGCAGGAACATTTTTATCCAGCACTGAAGCTGCCAGAACAGTCCCAGACGCAAGCATATTCATTGACAAAAGAGCTCAAGGAACGTGATATGATCATTGGAAAGATAGTGGTACGTGAATTTTCAAACCCCACTCGGAAATCATTCTACAAAAAACCACGCAAGGGAAGGAAGGGAATACTGATGCTGTCTGTCATTTTAGGCTTTGTCGCGAGACGTTGGCATTGATTCCACTGATCTTTTAGATATCATTAAACGATCCCCTGACGATCAAATTCAACCATTGGACTTTGAGGAGCCTCCTACCAACGCAGATGAGATTCCACTAGAACGCCATGGTTCGCTTTTGCTACTTGCGGCTCGTACTGCAGGCGCCACTTTATTTGCCTCAGGTCAACCTGTACCCAAAATACCTGTGTTCCCTGACCTGTCTTCAATCTACAAGCGTTTCCTTGGAGAGACCGACACCTTGGATGAAGTCGCATATGGACAGCCCCAGGCTCTTATAGACTCTCTCTTGGCATTAACCGTATACTCCTTACAAGGACCAATTGCGGCATCCTCCACGGAGACCGAGTTTAAAGACTTCGTCATTACTTTAACAGGCTGCACTTCTACCAAGGACTATGCTATCGTGCGCCAAATTCCGGCGGGCATTGTGCACAGTCATCAATCTGCAGTTACCCGATTTAAACTTATTCGAGAAATTTTAGAAGACTCTCGTTTGCAATCTGCTAGGGACAGCGCCGTGTCATGGTTGAAAGATGAGATTATTGGGACTACCGTATCTGACACGGTATTCCACGATCCGATTTACTTTTGGACCATCTTCCCGCTGCTTTTCCAATCGATTAATACTGCTGCATCGTCCAAGCTCATCGACAGCTGGATCAGGTTAACGCAGACGGATGGCCCCGCCATTCACTCCGCGCTGAATCTATACTTCCTGCTGCTCTCGTCTCCCCTTCGAGACCAGCTTCAGCTTGAGAAAACTGTTTTGTTTTTCCGCAGCCAAGTACTCAGTCCACTTCGAATTCTATTCCATACTTTTGAGGCAGACCTCACTTCCAAGGGAGGCGATGGGATCGTTGAGTCGGCTGTTGGAGAAGAAATGTCTCAAGTTGGACTCTCTCGTTCCGTAGGACTGATTGGTCTCACGATTGATCAAATCGAAGATGTAATTGGTGAGGCATTTGGCACAGACGATGCAGACTTGGCAAAGTTCTCAGAAGCAGATGAGAAGAAGGCCGAGGAGATTCGTCAAGCGACCGAGGGTTGGAACTAGATACTTTAGCTGTTTTATTGGATACCTATGGCCCCGCAAATACGACTCTCAATTTATTCAAACAACGTGACATGATATTTTATACCTTATATTTCTCTACATTCTTCACACTGCACACTACAATTTATCACCCGTTTTGGTTTAGCGCCCCTTCTCCTCACGATTCCCGGCATCGCGGAATCCCGAAGCACATCACCCATTCACCACACAACTACATCTGTCGAAAGGACTGCATGTCTATCATTTGATGCGTAAGTATAAATAATGTCCTCGAGTTGCTCGGAGTGAGAGGATTTTGCATCATGTTCAAGTGTTCACAATGCGACAAAATATACCAGAGGAAGACACACCTTCATCGCCACGAGGCTACCCGTACGCCAGCCCATCTGTAAATATTGATGTGACCTCGTCCAAGCTGACGAATGACTTATAGATACGCAACAGCCTGCTTCCAGCTGTCCATTCTGCAAAAAATCTTTTTTGAAGCCGTAGGTAAATTTACTGGTTGCCTCCGCAGTACTCCGTGATTAACTCTGCCCAAAGCGAGGTCACCCGAAGACATACCAAGCTATGCGCAAAGAAGCATGACCAGCCACTTCCTCCTGCAGCAAAGCCAGGAAGAAAACGTCAATCATGCGATACATGCTTCGCGGCGAAAGCGGCATGCGATAGAAAATCGCCCTGTTCTCGCTGTGAAGCCATTGGTCGACAATGTACCTTTGGGATCCAACAATCCTCACCAACGTCCACGGGACCTTCTTCACTAACGAAACTTCCACCATCTTTATCTATGACTGCACCGCGTACAACGCCTAGAAATAGTGGTCCCTTTTTCTTTTTGCAGCATTTTGCCAGTCCCTCTGTTAAGAAAGATAGGCTCGCTATTGGAGAGACTGCCAAGTTTTCTATGCGAAGAAATCTGGAGTCCATATATTCTCATCTGGAAAATGCCCTTGTGCCATCTGAGCCATTTTCAACTTCAAGTTTATCGGAGAGTCTTCAAGGACCTGAATTTTCTTTCTTGCTTCCCTCCACTATAGATGATTCCCTTCTTTCTCAGTATTCATCCGATGTCCTTTTCCCTTCTAAACTCTCCAACCAATTGACTGATTTGACGACTGAGCTGGTCGAAACATCGAAATCCATGGCATCCGGGACAACAGAGTCTCCACGAATTCTTGATATGATGGAACTTACTGCATTATTCGGGGTACCTAATATTTCGACCTTCATCTCAGCTTTCTTCCAAACCCTCCATTGGCATCTACCGATCGTCCATTTCCCAACATTCGATCCTGGCAATGTTTCAAATCCGCTTCTTCTTGCAATCTTTCTCGCGGGCGCATCGTATGCAACCCCGCTGGATGGCATATCCCTCTCGCCATTGATCTTCGATGTGGCAGAAGAGTACATATTTCGCAAAATCCTGAATCTGACGACTACCCAATCATCTAAGGATCCTAGATATATCCTACCCACTGTTCAATTGATTCAAGGTGCTCTTATCATGGAAATGCTCCAGTTTGGTCGAGATGATATGGCAACCAGACGGCGTATTCGCATTATGCGACATCCATGCTTGGTGTCGACTATTCGGTCATTGGGTATATTCCAGCTCAAGCGAGGAACAGCCCCGAAGGCACATGACGATCGAACGTGGAATATTCTAGTCGCAGAAGAAGTTTGCATACGGTATGTTTGTGGTTGATCAAAATCATGTGCCTACCTGTTAACTTCTCTGTATAGAATTGCCTGCTGGGTCTTCTTGGCGGATGGATTTCTTACTGTTTGTTTCAAAAATCATCCAGCATTATCGATTTTTGAAATGGACTGTCATTTGCCATGGCCTGCCGAACTGTGGGAGGCTGAAGATGCAGCGACTTTTGCTAAAATTGCCGCGACGCAATCAAATGAACACACAATACCTCCTCTTAAAGATGTTGTAACCCAGTTACTTGAGGCTTCTGAAACAGAGCCACTGATTCCATGGAGTCAGTCCTTATCTCCGGAGGACCTTTTGATTTTAATATACGGTATTTTCATAACTCTCCTATATCGCTGTTAAAAACGCTAACATTTCCTGTCAATAGCATTGAGCTCCCTGGCCTTCCAAACTCGGACTGGTCTTCTCAAATTCCTCCCCTTTGACACAATCTTCAGGGGAGCGAAAAATTGGAAGCGAATCTGGGATTCAGTGATAGATTCCCTAGACCAAAAACAATTCCTACATCTCGGATACCCTAAACATGCCGAGGAGCTATGGTGGCTGCTAACTGCTACATTGGACATCGCCAACAATCCTGAACAGGGGTTTGCCTATCTCAATAACACAGCAACCGATGAATTGGGTAATCTTAACGACTTTATACAATGGTGTCATCAAAGCACAACGTGAAATAGCGTTGATATTAAATATTAAATGAATAAATAAATAAATATGTACAATTCATCAGCAGTATCCTCAGCTAATTACCCTTCTTTACAACTGAGGCACTTGCCAGTGCATCCCGTTCCGCATTTTGCTTCTTCTTAAACGCATCCTCCTCTGGTGTGCGGTATGTACCACCAAGCCGATCCCACAACGTAATATACTGCCCATAATTGTAATTGAAATAAAGATGGTGCATGGTATGGCACGCAGCACCATTGATAAACTTCGAGGTAGACAAATACTCCGCATCATCTAAGAAAAGCCAGTTAGAAAACGAAAACAGTCGAAAGCCCACTGGCGTATAGGCCATAGCCCGAGACGACTTACGAATCAAAACAGTCCACAACGTAACAAACATAAATAATCCCAAATAAGCACACTTCTGCAGCGGGAAAATGAGCGGGAAAACATGATACGGCAAGCTTTGTGCCCACCCATCCAGAGGATGAAATGCATAACTAGCAAATGGAGTAGGAACAACCCATTTATGATGTGGCTTGTGACACCATCTATACACAAGTGGATGGTGCAGTCCACGATGGATCCAGTAGATACCGCTATCTGTGAATAGGATGAAAAGCGGATATTGGAGGAGTGAGTAGCCCCAGAAAGGAGATTGAGAGGAAAAATCGTATAGTTTTGAAAAGCCTCGTATCTCGGCGACGAAGAATGGCGCTGTTAGGAGAGAGATTACGGGGATGGAGGTGACGCCTTGCATGATTTCTTGACTGATTTGATTTTGGAGGAAGCGCGGGTGGGACATCATTCTTTTGTCGAATATTGTGTGGTAGAGGATTAGACTACCTAGTAGGTATAGAGCCCAGGCGAAGATTCTATAGGTTGGTTTTAGTTAGTCAGGTCTATTAAAGCTAGGATTGGAAAGGTGGATATTGTAGGTTGGTTGCTTACAATGCAATGAAGAAGAACGAGATGAATTGTCGAATAATATCATCTCGTTTCCAGACGCTTGCATAGGCCCATTGCGATGCTTGGAGAGGATAGTATAGTGAAACATGTTGATTCACAGGGGAACTGAGCTCGAATGCAGTTGTATTCGCGAATGTAGGATCTGGCAAGAGAGATGCATAACATTTATCAAAGACGAAAGTATCCAGGATATCCAGTATAACATCCATCTTGAATGAGTCAATAATTGATCTGAATTCTAGATGTTCGAGTCTGGAAATACTAAAAGGATGTCTCCTGTGGAGATAACCCTTTATAAGTGTTCTTGTCGGGGAATCCCTACTTTGTTCTCAGTACTATGGAGAATCCCTACATGGGCCCACTAATCGCGATCAACCCACCACGGAGATCACCTACCACGGGGAATACCTACATGGCGATTACCCACTTATTTTTTTCTTCTCTGTCGCGCCACTCAACGGTAAACCGGTTCCCGGAGTCAGCTAACCTTATTGTTGAATATTTTACCCCTTTTCTTTTCTCCGGGATTTTAACCCAATGGCGCTGTTCCTTGCATACACTTATTCTTCGGGGTTAATATTTCTCCATCGAGACTAGTTAATTGACGTCTACAGTCTGCAGTACCAAATCAATACTTCATGTGGTGAGAAATATAATATTTCAATCGTTCAAATTTAAAAAAAGATCCCGACAATACTAACCGGCCCCTAATCATCGATATTTGAACAATGATAACCTTGGAAAGGAGATTCGTCCACAGAACGAAATATAGTATGTTACGCTAACTTCGAATTAAGCATGCATTTTATCCTTGGGAGAAGACTGCAGTGGGTAATTTGAAAAGTGTTAATTCAAACCCAACCGTTCATGAATTGACCGAATCAAGATAATCGCGATGATGTTGAATCGCACATCATAAAGACCTGCCAACAGCTGAGAAAATTAAACCTTAAAGAAACGCAGCAAAAAGAAAGAAGAAGAAGAAGAAGAAGAAGAAGGAAAGAATTACAATGGGTTGACTGGGTTGGGTAAAGATAAATCCCTCTATACTTTTACACAATAAAAATGTTAAATTGGGCTAATTCTCACCGTTAATTCTTTATAAGTATATTTTATTTCGAACATACGGGACTACTACAAGCATCTAAGCCATATACTGTAAGGAAGTTCATACTAAAACAAATTTGAAAGGGATATTAATTATTATTCTTTCTAAGGAAATAAAGAAGACTATATACAACGAGAAGGGACAACGCGAGGCCGAGGCCAAGAACATCAGCTGTCAACTGATCTACTCACTCTATTCTGAAATGCCCAAGAGTCGAACGCACGAAGTCGAGAGCCATCATTCCTCAGTAGCGGTGCATCATGTTGTCCATCTTGTGGACGTTCCACTTGATATCTGCAAGGCTCACTTGCTCCTTGTGCCCCCTTATCTTCCAACAATTGGATAATTTCGTTATCACACCCATTTTGATAAGCCCAGGTGAGCACCTTATTCCCTTCGAAGTCCTGAGACTCATTGATTTGCTTCTCAATACCATCGACGGCTAGAAGAGCTTTGATAATCTCAATATTTCGTGGTTGACACTTCACTGCAATCATCAATAGGTCCTTTACATATTGATGATTGATATCGAATTCCGGAACAGTAAGAAGAGACCTCACAACCCGTACACTTCCAGACTTTATACCATCCGGTAGGGCCAACATGGCCGACTTGCTGGGGTTATGCGTTTTTGGGTTTAGTAGACACCCACCTCTTTCAAACTTCTCATCCCCTCCGTCTCCAACTGTGATTTGGGAATAGTGATGTATCATCTCATCTAACAAGAGCTGGACCATCTCTGCATGGCCATACTTTGCTGCACAACGGAGAGGATTTCCAGCTATCTCGGGACATGCTCCTCGCTCCATGAGCAGGCGAGCACTCGATAGATGACCTTTCGTCGCAGCGCACACGAGGGGGTGCTGATTAAGAATCAAACCTGAGATTTTAGTACAATCTATCTTTGCGTTGTATTCAAGAAGGATTTTTATGAAATCATCATTCCCATTCCATGCCGCCAGAGACATTGGAAGTCGGCATCCTGTCATCGAATCCAGATGTTTGCCACGCTCCTTCAAGCCGAGTCGCCAATTTGATTTCACCATTGCACGCTGTTCCTCACTTACATAACCATCTGGTCTTGCGCCATTTTGGAGAAGCAAACGAACCAAGGCAATCGAGCCAGTTCCCTTCGCAGTGGCCCAGAATAGAGCACTGCGATAACCATAGTCGAGAAATTCGATATGGGCACCATTTTCAAGTAATAACATGATGACAGCGAAGCAATTATTGTCCGAAGATTGCATATCACTGGATAGGCCTTGTACTGCCCATATGAGTGGCGACTGACCAAAGACTTTGTCTTTTGAATTTGGATCGACAAGATTTGTTTCAAATAATGATTTCACGATATTGGAGCATGCCCGTTGTGAAGCGTATGACAATGGTGTTCGAAGGCTTGATGTGTCCCTGTTATCTGGATCGACTCCTTCCATGAGCAATATGGTGTTCGCAACACTTGTCTGTCCGTGCTGTGCCGAAAGTGAAAGCGCACGGTTCATATATGGTGATAAAGACTCCAATCCTAGATGGGTATTTGCCTCCAGGAAAAGCTGCACGACCCGACTGTAACCATGCTCCGCTGCCCAATACAAGGTATCTGCCTCATGGTCTTGGTAACTTTGGCGATACAGTTCCGGCATGACCAACCCGTAAAGATTGCGACATGTTTGTCCGAAGTGAGCGACGTCAGCTTCTGATCGAATGCACTTGATAACTGCCAGAACTAATTCGGTGGGAAGAGCCGAGAAAGGCATAGTGAGAAGCATGTGGAAAGATTTACAGCATATAGCTTCGCGCTAGGGGTGATCGCTGGACTTTGCAGATGGCGGGGAACTTGAGTGGAGAACTAAGTAGACGGAGAGAACAGGTGGAGATCCGAGATAAAGAATCCATCGAGAGTCGATATGTCGGGTAGATGAAAGTTCAGCGGTGTTTAATTCGTCAATGTCGGCCTTAGTGTGATCATAAGACGAACAGCCCCGTAGTTAAAGGGGGTTTAGGTCCATCTCCACACGGACTCAAATCTAATCAAGGCAGCTAACAACTATGTATCACATAACAAGTATTCTGCAAAACCAATATCTCCTAAGCAGACTAAAATAAAATCCAGTAATATAGGCAAACTACGAAGTAAAAAGCTTTTTCTTGGTGGCAATAGTTGTATTTCTGACACTCATGACCAGAATAAGTAACTAAAGAAATACTGTAGAAACTTGAAAATCCCAAACAAAACCATCCCACAACAGAAAAGAAACCATGACACTCGCACATTCACAAAAACCAGTAAAGTACCCATCGACCGTTTTTTTTTGTTTTTAACAAAATCCCCCTCCAGCTACAGAAACGAAATCACCATTGCACACCATTTTCAATGGTCATCCCCTTTTACTCGCGTCCACAAAAATCAGTAGAAGTAGAAGATGCACTTGGTAGCACCGACACATCTTTCCACCACTGCACTATTCTGAGCATCCTCAACAGTCTCAACAGAGACATCCAATGACAGATATCCGAGACGTCAAGGAAAAGAAGCACCGAGATAGAAAGTATAGGCGTAAGAAGTAGAAATAATTCCACCGGAAAAGAATGAACTGGACTGATAACAAAACGAAAGAACTGGTCATGTTGAAGATTTTTTTTTGTCGGTTGATGCTGTTATTGTTTTTTGCGCGAATGTATTATGTATTATGTTGTGCGTTTCTTTCCATCCACGATCTGACAGGTCAGGTCAAGGGTGTTGTGTGGGATGGCGGAATGGGAGGGCGTTCATGTAAAGAATTTACATGATAACGCAGCCACCACCGGGAGAGGCTAGAGAAATGAATATTAGTATGAGATGATTGAGATTGAGATTTGAATTGATGTATGTATTGTGAAGGAGAAGATGCTTACCCTTAACAATGGCAGAGTTGCGGATCTGAACGGGAGACATCTTGTTGGATTGGTTGCTTGAAAAGCGAAAGATTGGATTGAAGATCGAAGTGGATTGGAGTGAGAGATTGAAGCGGATGATGAGAAGAAAGTCGAGATGAGGCGGGAATTCAGCAGATACTTATACAAATCTCCATGTAGCTGACTAGAGAGTCCGATATACTTCTGTGCTATCTAGACTGGATTCGAGTGCCAGGGATAATGTAGTCTGGTGATCCACGTGGGGAAAGCTTGATATTGTTGTTCGTATCGGGGTTTTTCTCTTTAGTATTGTTCGTGCTACCGAGTCCTCCGCGTTGATATTGTTCTTGAATCGTCAATTGAGATTGACAGCCTTGGGATTAGGCGGTAGGGCGCCATTTGGCTTTGTGAGAAAGAGCTTAAAAGAACGTCAGGTCGACTTGCTTTGACTGCATAAATATTGTTGTGGGTACAACAATCTTGTCATGAGGATTGAGGCGTATAGCGGTGTTGACATGTTCTTTCTTTCCGGGGGAGGTGGCGGTAGGTGGCTGAAAGGGAGCGTTCGATAAGATAAATGTTTGACAAGAACAATATTAAGAGACTAAAATTAATCAATTTGATGGAGGCAATCTAGTCATATCATTAGGCAGTGATAGTGAGTGGAGGAAGGAAAACAAAGAATCTAGGGCCGAATTTACTTAGTATTGTTCCCCACAAGAACAATGCTAGCGATCGGTCTTGGCGGTGATTATGCACAATTTCAAGTCCTGAGTTTAGAACGTGGGTATGTTTGTCTATGTCTATTGCAGGAAAGGAAAATGATAGGTTGAACGTAAAATCGCGGTTTCAATTTAGAGGAAAAGTACAGATCTCGCAAATAGTAGTCATAGAGTCATGTCAACATCACACCTTCATCTCATCGACTTCAAGTGTAAATCGGCTCGGTCAACTCGTTCAGAGTCAATCCAGTCTTTGCAATATCCTCCTCACCAAGGAACATCAAAGGCATCTCCACCAAAGTTCCCTTAACCGAGCTCAGTAGCTCCTTGACCTGCTTCACTCCATCCGGACCAGGGGGGAAATCATCCCGCACAACATGGCCCCACTGGTATCGGGCAGGTCTGCCAAATCCTTCTCTGCCCTCGGCCTCCCTATCAGCATCATGGAAGTAATACTCGTAGAACTCCTTGTATGTGGCCCAGTTACGAATATTGTCATCGGGCACAGCATGGAATACCTTGCGGAAGACCTCGGTGTTGTTCCGGGCACGAGAATTCCACAAGCTCTGCATCGCGTCTGAGAGGGGATCCGCAACAATCTTACTCTCAGGGCAGTCAAAGTCGAACTGAATGGGGACGCCAACGGGCTCGAAGCTTGCATCTGGGCGCTGGTAATCTTGTGGTGGCAACAGACCGAGATGCTTGCGCATCAGCTCTCGGCGAAGAGACGAGGCAAAGCGACTGGCAGTCCAGGGCTTGCCGTTCATAGTGGACTGAACTGGAGTAAAGTCCTCAATAATAACCGCAATCTCAGAGTCATGATCTCCCAATTGGGAGCGGTCGTTCAAGTTGGCTGATCCGCAAATAACAATGCGGTCGTCGGCAACCATAACCTATTATTCTACTGTCAGTGAAATTTTCAAAATAACCATGGAGTTTATCAACATACCTTGGAGTGAACATAAAGTTCTTCGCTCACGAATGCATCAATCTCTGCTTCTGGGTGACCATTCCATGGCACGTTGCGGATATCCTCACCGCCCAGCATGTAGCATGAACTAACACTATCCCAGCGTCGAGCACCAGCTGTCTGATCCGCGGGCGCCTTCTGTGCAGCGTGTTGGTATTGCTCAAATGGAGCAGTGGGGTCGAAAGCGCTTCGTGTAGTAGCCGGCTGGCCAGGATTGACGGGCGCGGCAGCCTGCTGCTCATACTGATGACTAGCAGCACCGTAGTTGACACCACTTTGTTGCTCAGCTGTGGCCATAATGTTTCCATTGTTGATTCGATCGTAGTTTCGAAGGTTGTAGAATCGGATGTACTCCATTGGGTTGTAACCCTCCTTAGCGATCAATTCCATAATACTGTTGCCACCACGGTTGATGGAGTTGTACTGGAATTCCATGATAGCTCGAGTGCCGAGAGTTTCATCATCGTGGAGATCGCCTGCGAAGCAAGGTACAGATGGAATGACTACAATGATCTTGAATTTCTCACCGGCGCGGGCGGCGCGAAGAATACGCTCCACAATTGCGGCTCCGATGGTGTTCTTCACTGGACCTTGATGATCCCCAGTTGCTGTGATGAAAAACTGATTTTCGATGTAGACAAAATGCAGACTGTTCTTAATAACAGCAGCGTAAGCATTTGCAATAGAGTGTTCCACGGGACTACCATTGCTCCACTTGGCACAACTGCGCACAATTTGGCACGACATGTGGCCTTGGGTTTGGGTTTGAGGTTGGCCATAGGTGGAAAGGCGGTCCTGGTACTGATGAATCTGTCCAGCAAGCTGTCCACGAAGTGGATTGACGTATTGACTGAACTTGTCTTCGAATCGCTTGGGCACAAATCCACGCTCCCCTTCGTATTGGTGACCGCCGCCAATTCCACGGGTAGCGGAATGGGTCTCCTGGGACGGAGGAGGGGGGTAGTAAGAGTGTTGGTCTTGTGGCTGGCTCTGGTAGCTCGGAGACTGCGTTGAAGATTGTGGGTAGTAGGGCGCCTGGCTGTGACCCTGGGATTGACTTTGAGGGGAATAGTTTTCAGAGTTCTGGGCTGGTAACTCGGACACATTGCCTCCCGGTGGCGGGTAGTAAGATCCGTGTCCTTGCGCCTGCTGTTGAGCAGGGTGAGGAGTGTTACCGGGCGACTGGGTGGGTGGAGCTCCAGGAGGGGGAGGGGGGAATGAGTCTCCAGTGTAAGAATACTGGTGTACTCCATGAGCCTGCTCCGGAACCCCGCTAGTGTATGCGGGAGGAGGGTCTTGCGAGTTGGATTGAGGGCGAGAGACTGGCTGAGAAGAATAATCTGTCTTTCCAGACTGCCAAGATGGTGCGGAGCTTTGTTGGTATTGGCTTTGGTCTGTGCTTTGGCCAGGTGGTGGTGGGTAATCAGTTGGCTGATAGCTCTGATGAGATGGAGTCTGCGCCTGTTGGGGCTGCTGGTGGTGGTATTGAGGCTGTGTACCGGTAGAAGCCTGGCCTACAGCTGCAGAGGATACAGCAGCCCCAGTTTGCCAAGAGGGTGTGCTACTCTGTTGACTTTGGGTTGAAGCCTGACCGGGGGGAGGGGGGTAGGTCTGGGACTGCTGCGGGCTGACAGAAGACAGGCCAGTAGATGAGTGAGTTGGACCGGTCTGCCATGAAGGCTGCTGGCTTTGAGTAGAGGCTGCACCTCCAGCCTGGGAAGATGTATTCTGTTGGCCAGGCTGTTGGGTCTGAGGGCTAGATTGTCCAGATGGATACAGGTTTTGCTGTTGTGGGCCACCCTGCGGGCCCGTGGAAGAGTTTGGTCGACCATACAATGCCAGTCTTGCGTATCGCGAGTTGTTCTTGGTCTGATACTTCGCATCGTAGATGAAGTTCCATCGCTCGACAAAGTGTCTGCGAAGATCTTCCACGACAGGACCGTGGAGACTGAGAGAGATATCTGACCATCCCATGCGAGATGAGACTCTTCGGTCTAATTGGTTGCTCTCCCATTGAGCAACGTTGTGGAAATCGAGAACCCGAGAGTTGTTATAATCTTGACCTGGGAAGACAGTCTCATTTAAGTCCTCGGGGTGCACATCAGCAATAGCATGTTGGTGGGTATCCCAACGACCGAAGCAAAGGTCCAGACCACCCATAAAGGCAATCCGGCCATCAATCAGACAGAGCTTTTCATGGTGAGCCCAGTAGAGGATCATCTCGTCTGTTGCGCCATAAACGCCCTTGAGGTTGTCTTTGTTCATTCTGGCCAGGGTGCTGGAGTTTAGCGACAAATGCTGGAAAGCGCTCTCGATCTCAGATGCCACTTCATGTCCATTAGGAAGATGATCGGGGTGTCGAAAAACGGCGATATTGGGATGCAAAGCCTCCAAGGCTTGCTTAGTATGAGAAGAAGACAGAGTCAATGCTTGAGTAACCTCCTTGTAAACAATGATGTTAACGCGGACGCCGCGCTGGGCTGCCGCTTGAAGCATGCGATCTAAACGGTAGTTCTCGTTCTTGGAGGGTGGTCGTCTCAGATATAGTTCAGGGGAGAGCCACCCTGTTCCCGGTTAGATACGGAACCCCATAGACCGAAACGTTTGGAAACTTACAATCCAAGATCCAAATAGATTCCCGTGCATTCTCTAGGGCCTTGGATACGGCATAAAAGTAGCTGCAACCATCGACATACCATTTCGCGTCGTTGTGTTCCCGAGGGGGCGCAAAACTGTCGAATCGATGCTCTGTGGTGGGTTTGTTGTGGCCATACTGCGCATATGCCTGTGGATCGATGGTAGTGCCGATTTTCGTGGCCCACTCAGAACCATATTCGGTCACAGTACCCTGGATCTTGTTCAGGAAGCCGGAAAGTTTATCTTCCTTGCGACCTTGTCCTTGGTGAGGCTGCTGTTGATACTGAGGATTGGGGCTCTGGCTGCTGTACCCATACTGAGAGGACTGATTCTGGCCTTGGTAATTTTGCTAAACGACAAAACACCAAAGAGGTTAGTGGTATAATCAAATGCGATCAGAGTAAATGGGTGTGGTCATACACCTGGAGGGCCTTGCTGGTTGGAAGGTGGGTTGGAGGATTGGTTGTAGGGCTGATTATAGGGCTGGCCGGACTGGCCGGGCTGACCCGAGGGTTGCGACGAGCTTGAGTGAGTCTTGTAATTGTCGCGAAGCTTCTTAAAGGTGCCACCAAGTCCCCTCGAGTTGTCGCCAGATCCTCGCGACGATTCATAATAGCCGCCGTAGGCTAGGTCATCATTTTGCTGCGACATTACGAAAGTATAAAATGTGTAAAAGGGAAGAATGAGCCAAAGGGAAAAAGAAAATTAAAACTGAGGTGCCTGGGGTGCATGGGGTGGGGAGTGTTTTATGAAGCTCCGATGCCCCGCTGCCCAGCCACGATGGAGACGTGGCTGTGTTTTTTCGTAACACGTATCCTAGAGCGGAACGATGAAATGAACGAATAGATTCCCACTATTGGGAAGGAATTCGGTTTTCCCTATGAGACAAGCCAGTTCGGAGTACCTTAGTGAGGATCCATGCAGGTGTTGGCGTCATTGGCTGCATGTGTACCGCTTACATGTATTACGGCCGCAATGCAATGTGGAGCGTGAGGGGATCGACATCATGATCTGCCCCGCGCTTGATCATATTATCCGAGAATTGTACATTTAATTAGTATTTGAGGATTGAGCTTTAATATGGTATCCGATTTGATAACTTCTAAGCTCTTATCAATTCTCCAGATGATTCACCATCATTATGTGGGATCCCACTGTTGGGGGCGATTTCTGTATACATGAAGTCACTTTGGGGGCGGTATCACCCCGCTGACCTTGTTATCATCCTTATTCTTGAATACTCATCGTTCTCAAGAGATTTCAAATTATGGTCTCAGCCTTGGAACAGTAGTACCTGGGTGCGCTGACCGTCTAGGCAAAATATCCCTATTCCTCCATGTGTTCATGGATGTACCCGTGGGCCTATGGTCATAGCTACAGTACTCCATAATGGGAATAAACATCAAGTTTCCGAACTCTCAGAGCTAGATATATCGCTCTGAGTTGATAAATATGTAAAATATCCAGAATCTCCATGTTTCGTGGGACATGCACCCTTGCCGAGCTGTACAAGGACGGATCCCCGCATTGCATGATCTAATGATGCTTCATGGCTGAAACCCCGCAGATAAGAACCTCGACAACTTGATCCTCTTCGTAGCTTTTTCTTCTTCCTTTCCAAATATTTTCATCAACAAACGCCAATATATATGCAAAATGTCGGCGGCCAATCTGAATGTATGTATAGAAATCTATCTACCTTGGCCTCAAACCACCAGTTGTATACTGACCCTGCCAGCCATCATACCTGGACCAACCTAGTCATCCACGCATTTCAGAAACCCTATTCGCTTTCAAATCGGACAAAAAACTAACCTTTGAGCAAATCGGCGAACACCTTGGGCGGAATGAAGTCGCAGCTGCCGCTATCTTCTATGGGCAAGCAAGAGCATCTCCCGAAGATATCAGCAAGCTCTCGGAGATATTAGGCCTCGACCATGATCTCCTGACACAGGAGCTTGGTGGATTCCCAGATCGTGGTCGAACAGTTGAAATGCCTCCGAAGGAGCCCTTGATCTATAGGCTGTATGAAATTGTGCAAAACTATGGGTATGCGTATAAGGCGGTGCTGAATGAGAAGTTTGGTGATGGAATCATGAGTGCCATTGCCTTTTCGACGAAGGTGGAGAAGGAAACGGATGCAGATGGCAATAATTGGGCTGTTATTACTCTTCGAGGGAAATGGTACGTAGCATTTCTCATGTTGAAATATTGGAACTTGGAACTTGAAGGTATTCATATTCTGACATTCTTCCAACGCGGCAGGTTGCCCTTCTCCCGCTTCTGATCAATGGGATATCTCCGATATGCCTGTTGGTATCGGTATAGGCACCGGCAGTATTTTAAGTGGCTTTAAGTATTTATTCATTGCTAAATTGTAATTTCTTTGATTTTTCTCCGTTCTTCTAAATCTATTATCCTGAGGCTGCCTACCCAGCTGTCATCCGACTATCGCATCTCTCATTCACGAAGACGCAGTCATCTCCCTTCTTCCTTAATCCTTCTCCCTTTCTACCACCACATGAACTTAATCTTGAACTTATCCCATTCCTTCTCCATTAATAACCCCGCAAGTCAAAATGGAAGCTGAAAGAACGCCAAATCCTCCCCAAAACGCCGGTCCCCCCGAAAGAAAAGGCCCTCCAACCATAGAATGCCCATACGAACAATGCCCGCGTCTCTTCTACACACAAGAAGCACTGCGCGAACACAAGCAGTCAGAACCAACCCATCCTTACTGCTTCCAATGCAAAACGGACTTTGCCACTCGTGCTGAGCTTTTCCTTCATAAGCTCTCCAGTCCCAAACACCATGCTTGTCCCATATGCAGTCTCGACTTTCGCAGTCGCGGAGGTCGAGATGTTCACATTCGATCTGTAAGTTTGATCTGTTGCCACGTTATCGTTATCCCTCTCCATAGTAGTAATATGCATGCAATTGATATCTTTAAATGAATTCGCCATCTCCTATACCCACTAAATCGAAACTAACATGACATCCCATTAGAATCACCGGCCAGAACAAGAAATCGAATGTACTGGATGTGGAAGATTCTTTAAAGCAGCCTCAACCCTCATAAAACACATCGAATGCAATGACTGTCCTGAGATTCGCATTTCGCGCATGCTGCTCGAACAACACCGCCGAGAACAGGTACACAGTGGTCTCCACCAGCTAGCAATGGAGGGCCCAATGACAGGATCCTTCGATCCTCTCTCAAAGAACACAGTCGCCGTCCCTGCAGGTGCTATCGATCAGCCTATTCCAGCAAAAGAGCCCGATGACGACCCTCCTTTAATCGAGTTCTCCTCTGACTCCGAGGGCTCACCAGTGAACACCAAAAAGACACCATCAACCACAACAGGTAAAAAGCAAAATGAAAAGGGAAAAGGAAAAGGAAGACGATTTGAAGCTTCAAAAAAACCCTCAAGCCCGCAGCCTTTGCGAATCGCGTCTCAAAACATGAGACATCTTACCCTTGACGAAATCCTCCTTCAAGCACTGAAATTAGATGAAGAAGGGTGTCCTGTTAACCCCGATGCGGTATTTCCTTCCGAGCCAAATGAGCTGGTTTCATACGAGGAGGCCACAGAGGATCCTCTACCCAGTGGAACCCAGTCAGATGGTCAAGGTAACTTTGGTGTCCCTCTGATGCCCATTTCGGAATTACTTCGCGATAGATTACCCGGGTGGGAATCGAATATGTTCTTCGATGCGAATAGGGGTGAGTTTGTCTGTGCCTGTGGATGGGGTACTGTCAACGTAGCGGAATTTGAGTACCATGTTGCTATGGAGAAGCGGTGGATTACAGTGACACAGTGAGTTTTCTTTCTTCCTCCACGGTTCATACTGGTTCAGTTCTTTATTCTCTTTCCCTTCTCCATGCAGTTTAATTTATCGGAACTTTAAGTATTCCGAAGCTAATCTTTATGAACAGATGCCCGGAATGCGGTAAAGTTTTCTCTTCCACCGCTGCACTGGTTGCGCATATGGAACAGGTACGCAGCCGCTGCAGGATCCGAGATACGAAGGACTTTGCTCGTATTATGGGCGATGTTACTGGGGGGTTGGTTCAGATTCGAGGGGAGTTGCCAGATGGGGGAGATCGAATTATTGTCCGTCAGCTACAAGATGCTGGGATGATTGTTGAGCCAATGTTGCAGTTGCATGGTGCCAAGTAGCGAGAGGGTATTTGAATGGACTCTTCTCTTGCAGAATTTCTTTCCTTTCAAGATTCATATTCTTAGAAAGTGGGAATTTGCTTCTAGGTGCTTTTTCGGTTTATGGATTTGAACCGTTTCTGTTGGTGGATAGATTGATCGGGTGCGCATGGGGAATCCTAGATTTTGATGTTGAGTTTTGATTTTGATCGTTGACACATTCCTTAAATCTATTTGTGGATTTCATCATGTTTCTTTTCCTTTTTTCTTTTTCTTCTCAGTCAAGTACAGTCTCATAAATCGGGATGCTTCAGAGTCATTCAACCCACATCACTATCAGTATCATCTCCTTAGAATGAGGATAGTGTGAACTGGGTAGCTACTCAAAGGTTCCATAATGAAGACATAAGGTAAAAAGAAATAATTGCATGAAGTTATCTCAACTAAAACTTGAAAGGGTATTCGTCCATCGGGCCCGACTCCACAAAACCAGTCCTAAATCTTTAAGACTGCTCAACGCTCGGGAAAATCAAATCAAAGTAAATCAACATCGAAGATAAAAAGAACCCAAGTCACGCGACCAGTATCCTCAATCCAAGACACGCAGCTCGATTCAAAACGAGAGATAGGTGCTTGGGAACTTCGTCGCATTGCATTTCGTCGTGATCGTGGAATGACTAGAGCTGCTTAGCAGCAGTCCTCACAGCATTCGAAGCAGAGAAGACCAGCGCAACTATAAGCTAAAACAGTTAGTGACCTTCTCTGTTTTCTGACTTTGATCCTAGTTCCTGGGCCCATTCTTTAAAGAGGAGTGGGTTTGTGCCTGTTAGGCGTGAGAGATACTTACAGCCCACAGCAGACGTCGCCTGCACCACCGCCACGGAGCTTCACCATATTGTCCTGCGAGTTCTAGTAACTGTTAGTATGTGTTTGGCGAGGTAGGAAAAAGTATAGATGAATGGGATCAGTGCCGAGGTTGAATTTCTTTCGGCTAAGAGTAGCGCATAATACGTACGGGCTGTTCGGTGACGACGCGCTCAGTTGAGGGAGCATCAGGGCTAGTGGGCTGCTGGTTTTGAACAGTAGCTGTGGCGGAGTCCCAGGTGGGGGAAGCCTCCTTCTTAGAAGAGAACCAAGAGAGGTTGAACATTTTTGCGAGTGAGTTTGGGATGTGTGGAGGAACTTAAAAAGCAGTATTGGGCGTGGAGAGAGATAGAAGGGAAGAGAAGGGAAGAGAGATAGGCAGAAAGGAAAGTGTGGTGAGGGGGTTTCAAGCTCTTATATGAATGGATATGGATAACCCTGTATCTATTATGTAGCCGTGTAGACCTCCAGCTCTATTATTGAAATAACCTTGGAATAGACCTATAGGCAATAACACTACAATAGAGAGTGTACGTATCCACCTACCTCATCATAAACCCTGGGTGATACAATCCATGGCCTAAATGGGTTAAGTGGGAGGTCCTGGCGTCGTAATGGACAAGTGCGTAATCTAAGTTGATGCTTCTGAGTGGCTGTTATACCTCCACTTTGTCGATCAACGCCCTTTGCCACGTTCATCTTGGTAGATTGCATCAGAGCAAGGTACTTCGATTAACTGGGAATGAAAAGGGTTTAGCGTTTTGAACAAATGCCCCAGGTACCTTTTGACTAGTTGTCCCTGACGCTTGCATCAACTGTCAGAGCAGAATATTTGATGCCTTCATATTAATAGATGTACAACCTTTAAGTTGGAACCTTGCTCCATGTACATAGTATACACTGTATTATGTATAGAGTAAGAAAATGAAACCGCCGAGATCCACGTTGCCCCACTCTGCCGTGGTTAAGCTTTAACAAGAGATCGTCATTTGTTCAAACTCGATATTTTTAGTCGTGGCTCAGCGTCTCCATAATACGTCCATTTATTCTTGCAGGCGCCAACTGTGGCTGCATGAGACCTCGAGGAGACTGTGCTCCAGGCCAGGTTTCTTCTTTTCTTGTATGTAGATTCGCGAAAAGTCGGGAGAAGCATTATTTTCGCCTGCCATGCATCTGTTAGAGAACCTTGGCATGTTCAATCGCTCAGACTGGTGGACGCATGTGTCACGTTTGCCGAAAGTATCTCAGCAGTTGGAGTAATCCATATAGTATTTACAAAATCACAAGCGCCGAGAAACCGGCGTTACGCCGTGATAATGACCAAAGGCTAAAATCGGTAGTATAGTCTGCACGCGTGGGGTCATAAGAATAATAATCTCTCTATACAAGACACCCGAGGATTCGAAAAGCCATCAGAACGAGTGAATAGGATGGAGCTGTCCCGCTTAGAATTTGAGAGTCGTCTCGTGTCTGTGGGCGCGAGACGAGGGCTCATGAAGTGATCTCTAGAGATCCACGGACTGAGATACCCTCATCCTTCTGTCCATCCCAAGCGTAGTTTGTCACCGCATCTTCTTCGCCTTTCTCATTCGACCGCTTTCAGCTCCAAACCCTGCCTGGCCCTCATTTGGTTCATTGCCCACCTTTGCCAGCTTCTTCCGACGTCGAGACGACCCAGGCGACATGCTCTCTCGTTTCCGTTTTGCCGACTGAGGAACTTCTTTTTTGCGACGCCGCTCTTCTTTGATTCGTAGTCGTCGCTGGACCTCCTCCGATATGTCTTCTGTTTCGTGAGATTCGGGGGCCTCGTGGTATAAAGGTTGCGAGTAATCTGGATGTGGGGTGCTTTGTGTATCCCGCTTACGCTTCGAGGCTCGGGGGTCATCGAGCACAATTGGAGATGGCTGCCATTGGGAATCCACAACAGTAGTGTCTTTTTCAGTGCGAGATCGTTTGCGGCGAGTCGTGGGTTCTTTGTCGCTGGGTGGGGAGGACGGGGTACCGGGCCCATTAGTTTTAGATGTGGAGGGGCAGTCGGAGGATTTAGCTGTCATGAGTGCAAATATTAGGGACATTTCTTCGCTCTCAAATACCGGGAGTGTAGCTTGAATGGTGTATATGTGCATCGTGTGCTGCGAGACAGTGGGGCTTGGATTTTTGTTTGTTATGGTAAAACGTACTGTTCAACTGAAACGCATAAGTCAGCTATGAGTTCCTTCACATTGTCTCAGGTAGAGACCAAACATACCATATGTTTTCGGACCATTTTGAACTGATTCATCGCCTGGACTGTCTTGTTGACCATTGTAGACACAGCCCGTACGGCCTCATCGTCTGAGGAGAGGTGATTCTTCACTTCGTCTAGCATTTCCAGATGGGACGAAAGAACGTTTTCATGTCGGGAAAATATCTTGAGGGAATGTGGAGGTCAGCCCATTTGTCAGAAAGTCGGAAACAGGCAGCAAGTCCACATGAAATGCTCTTTCTATTTGCTCTGTGACATTTGTTTTCGTTTGACACAGCAAACGGGGTCATGACGACATACCTCTGCCCATGGGATATGGGATGAATTGGAAGGACCACGGGAACCTGCAGGTCCATTGCTCCTATTATGATCCCCGGTGGTATCCATGGTGGAAAAACTGGGTGGTTTCATTGTCGATTGTCAGAAGGGACGAGGAAGTCGGAGATTGTGCAGGGATCGGCGGAGACAAGAGCTTCTCCGCGCCAAGAATTTCCCAATCTGGAAGCCGCAGATCGCTGTGAGAGACTACAGCTGCTGGAACGATAGGCCATTACCCAAAATTCAACATTGAAAAAAGTTTTTTACATTTACAAGATCAAGTAATTAGACTAGCAGTTAGCTTAAAGGAAATTGTGTACATGGTGTTAAATGCAAATTGTTTCGACTATGATTATCAGTACATTCATTCCACTGGGTCCTTAACGCCGAACAATAGAAGAACGAGACCCAACACCCTGACGCCGCTGCAAACCCATAATGATCATACAGTAGAATTCGAGAATCACCAGAATGCAGCATCCTTGTCAAATCGAGCCAATTCTTTATGCGAATCCTCGGCATCTTTCTTGGCCTTCATACGCATGTAGAAAATAGGACAATCTCGCGAAGAGCAAATAACTTCACAATGCAGACTGCCTTGACATCGCTGACACTGGGTCCATAGACGCCCGAAGCGAATTTCGAGATCAGAAGCTCTCTCCAGAGATTTGCCGTAAAGTTCGCCCAAACGAGGGCGACAATCCAAGCACACGGCACCGGCCTCATTATCTTTGCTCGAAAGTGGCTTTTTGCAACCCATGCAGGTTTGTGTTCTCTTCGTAAACTTCATCAGACCACCCACACTAGGTGCAGCGACAGAGATTGATCGGGTATGATCGCCATTGAGAAGCTGGTTGGCCTTCTTTTCACCCAGAATGGGCTCGAAAATACGATGAAGGGGGTTTGTCAGCTGATTTTCGAGGTAATATTTGGTATCGATTGGAACGTTGTGCTCGAGGACGAAGAGAGGATCCTCTGCGCGTTCGTAGTTTTTGGAGTTCGCAGCACCACGAATCATGACATAAGCCACACGGTCACCAAGGGCAGGAGCCGAACCGGCATCACGCTTGGCCATACGCTTGGCAAGTTCAACATGCGCTTGCTTGGCAGTGTACTCTTTTTGCGCATATGCCTTAGTAATAACAAGCTTCGACAAATCGACCTTGTTCTGGAGGAGGTCCGAGATAGTCGATCTGACATATCTGCGGCATTGTTAGCGTCATACCTCAAACAAAAAACACATTCGGTCATCACTTACTCTTGCGCAGCGTCAATGTTTCGCTCGATGAGAATTTTGTTCAACACCGTTTCAATAACATTTTGCACAAGTAAACAGTTGTCACGTCGCACTGTCTCGATTCCCTTGGTGTCCATCTTGTCGTGCTTCACTGTATTCGTCCAGTAAAGACCAGCATATCGCTTCTTGTTGATCAGAAGATAAGGAAAGTACACCTTTTCGAATTCTAGTTTGATGGGTTTGATGAATTTTGCGGAAACATAATCCGCAGCCTCTTCACCAAGCTTCATGGCATCGGCGAGCTCAGTGACTCCGAATTTGACCATTACAGAATCAGTATCACCATAAATGACCTCGGCGTCATGGGAGTACCCATTAGCAATCGTGTACTTTTCTTCCACCTCTTTCTTGGTTTTCTCAATCATCTGACGGCCGTAACTGGTTGTACTACTGGCAATGGGAAGACACGGAAGCTTTCCGACAGTAGCTCCAGTCAAACCATAGACACTGTTCGCGCTGACTTTCAAGGCAAGCTGTCGACCGTTCAGCACAGCTTGCTTGAAGGGATCCGTTTCAGTGGCAAGTTCCTTCTTTGCGCGCTTTCGTGCACCCAACAACTCTTCGAGAATTTGTGTTAGAAGGCCCTTCCGGATCTTTTCAGTACAGAACATATCTCCGTTCGGAGTCACAATGTAATCGTCATCTTTCTTGTAATTCATTTTTTCGACAATGGTCTTGTTCAGAAGGGTGGTATAGCAAAGATTGTGTGCTTGAATGATAGAGGGATATAGGGACGCGAAATCGAGTGTGGCAACAGGCACACCATAGTAGCCTCGCTTCGGCTCGATAACTGTCGCACCCTCATAATCTTGCTCATCTTGGGGTTTTGAGTTCGGAATAACAAGATCTTGTTCAAGGGCTTTGCGGAATAGCTGACTGATGAACTTGACCTGCTGACCGCGAGAAAGGAGATAATTGAATGGAACACCCGTAACTCTTGCCATTTCCGTGTAGTTTACCAAGCACATGAGCTTGTCCATTAGTCGCTGTGGTAAATAGGCATCTTTTAAACAGTAGACTGCTAATCGTCGTCGAGAGTCGGGTGTTCCATTGAAGAGTTCTGTGATCATGGTGTGATGGACATCTTCCTTTTGCTCCCTCAGGAATTCATAAGAGACAGAGTTTAGGGTGTAACTTCGCAGCTGATGGTCTCTCTGAACTAACTGCAGTAAATCCAGCTGAATTCGACCATTCGTATTGGTTGCTTTGGTTTCGCGGTTACCCATTTGCTTGCTAGAGAAATTTGATTCTTTGGCTTCGGTTTGAGTCTTTTTGAGACGTGTCCAGTATGGAAAACCTGTGCATTTAAGGTGCTTTGCACGGTCCAGAAGATAAGGGAAATCAAAGTTTGCAATGTTGTATCCAATGATAACATCCGGATCAACCTTTTCAATGAAGTTCCGCCACTCCATTAGTAGATCGCTCTCTTTTGTGAACTGTAATACCTGGGTGTTGATAATCAAACTGGTCTCATTCAGACAAAAAACATTTCGAATAAAAGGCTTGTCTTCACCATATCGAGTAACGACGTTGGCGATTTGAATCACAGGGTCAATGTTCGGCTCAGGGAAGATACCCTGTCGACCAGCACACTCGATATCAAAAGATAGGACTCGAAGTGGAGCCATCTTTGCCCATTCGCCATTTGGAGGGTGGGCGATCATGTCGCGGTAGTCGACGATAGCTTCAAGTTGACAGGTGGATTGTTTGTCGTGGTTTGCTATTAGTTTATATTTTCCTGCTTTCGCCTCCACCCAAGCCATTCCAGATAGCCCGGTATCAATCATGAATCTCAGCAAATATTGAATGTTGTCGAAAGTTTTCAATCCCCCGTCCAGGTTTCCCCACAAGCCTTTATAGTTCAAGTGTGACGCCCCGGTTTCCAACTGACGGCGGACTTGGGCAATGAATTTCGGATCGCTCACTGTAATTTTCAAATACCAGCTCTTTTCGTTTCCTTGGAAGCCATAGATATTTTCTCGTAAATGAACGCCGACAGACTCAATGGCACCCATGGCTAGTCCGAGTTTCATGTCCAAGAAAGCCCTGTATGGACCGCAGTCTTCTGGTGTGAAACCGATAGGAGCGGGTATGTAGAGATAGTGCTTGAAGCCCGTGACGTGAAGTAAAACTGATTGACCAGCCTGTCTCATACATGTTAGATATTATGGACCATGGTAATAAATCCTTGCTGGGAGAATTTTACCTCTGTGACACCAAAGAGCCGGACAGCCATAGTCTCTCCAGTATTCAATCTCCCTTCCTCTGCATCAATTTGCTGGAAGCAGATATTCTCCTCCATGGGATCCCATTGTGGGAGAGGTGGGCGTTCCCATTGCTGGTCCTTCTCCGCGTTATTTTCCTTCAATTCCCCGATATCCTGTGACAATTTCTCTAGGACTTCTGTTTCGAATCGACTCTTTTGTGGTTGACTGGCACCGAACCCTTTTCTTTGAAAGGGTTTAGGTGGAACTTTAAGGTTGTTTGGATTTCCATCTTCCAGTTTTCGCTTTTTTAACGCCGTAGGAGATGTGGCGCCGTTGCGGGCATTATTGGTCGTGTCCGCTAACACCCGTTTCTGGGGCATAATAGCTTCAGGCATAATGAGAGAAGCGCGAGGTCAAAAGTCAAGTGGGATGGGATGAACGTCTCCTGTTGACAATCTGCTAGGCTTTACGTTATGACCTGTCAAAACGCGTCGCAGTGTAGGTGATTTCGCGTCAAAGTCCCGATGGTCTCGCGTCGCACTCCGACTGGTTGTTTCGCGTGCTACTCAACGCGCATTGGCGTTGCTCTGGCGTGACTCGGGCGTGACGAGTCACATGGCGATAAGATAATGGACCCGCTTTGCAGCCCGAGGCTGCACTGCATAGTGTAGATGCGCCTCGCTTTACAGAGTTCAAAAGACCTGAGCTACTCTCGTAATTTTTGCTCCTCCAGAGTAAGATCTGTATCTCTTTAATTTGTCAGATCGGGTTCTTAAAGAACAGTGGCGAAAGACGCCAATTTCGTTATAGATTTCATCCCGTCAATGCTACTTCTACTGCAATTCCTCAAATCACTTTCACAACTTGAATCTTTCTGGCGTACTGCGACCTCCAAATCCCGGGAGGTTTTTTGTTTTGTTTTTGTTTTTCTCTTTTTTGTAGCGGCTGGATCTCAAGGCTCTGGCTCTGACATTATGTTCACACACAAAATTCACTGCATATAACGTCCTGCTGTTAGCTTGAATGAGCATTTAGACAAGCAATTACTCCGAATTAATTTTGAATGCTTTGATCAAATCTATCATATCAGATGCATTCCGATTATCGGATACGAAAACCACTAATCAACGACCGATATGGGCTTTTACGCGAGATGCAAAATTCAATCTATTCATTTTCTTGCGATAACACTGTCTCGACTCGTGCGTGAATATCTTCGTACTTACTTAACTGGTTAGTTTTGAAGATGATGATAAGATGGAAAGCATGATTTAGTTAAACAAAGATAGACTTTATACTGCATTATTTTTATTTTTTGGGCATCTAGAAGTAGTTCGTTCTTTTGGTCCCAATCCCTTGTTTATAGCTTGGCCTTGCTGTCTTCCTCTCGGCCTAGCAAATTGGGGTGAGGAGTTCGCACGGGTCGAGTGACGGCGTAGAAAGCGAGACCCTCGAACTTAGTCGAGAACTAAATATAATTACGCATTAATGACTGCTTGTCACGCCCGAGGGTCCTATGCAAGAGATAAAAGAATCTGACTAACCTTGACCTTGGATCCAACATGGAAGAAGGCAAAGTCACCTGGAACTAAATGGTGGGTAATACCAGTCGCTTCATCCTATTACGAAGTGATTAGCTGCCATTGAGTTCTCATGGATATGAATATTAGTCTCAAAATGAAAATCTGAGACCAAAACAGAATCTCTGTCGATAGATAATCATACCAGAATATCGATTTGCCCATTGAGGACATACTTGGTTTCCTCGAAGGTGTAATGCGCAGGTCGTTGGGGCCCAGCCTCAATTTTATAGAAACCAGAGGTAAAGTGCGCAGGGGACTCGGTCTTGGTACGAATAGAATGGAAGTCGGCCGTAGTTGCGTTCTCCCCATTAGGCAGGGGGATGAACTCATGGCCAGCGCCTTTAATGATGGTGAGAGGGACGAGATTACCTGACACTGTGCAGAGATACCCCAAAGTCAGTATATTCACTTTATGCGCCAGGGATATGGGTAGTTTCAATGATCTCAGGCTTACTTTTGATGATTTTAAGTATTGTTTTACAAAAAATCAGTTCTTAGAGATATGTAGAGATGGGCCATCCTTCTGGTTAATATAATGAAACATGGCAGGAAACCCGGCTTCGTTTCCGGTGATGCAGTGCCAATCTGGCGAAATTGACCTTTGATGGGGGGGCATGAATAATCCTAGTGAGGGGAACATTGAATGTATAGTCATATCATACTAAAATTCTGTGAGATCTCCAAAACACGGTCTACATCTCCCGTCTCCCGTTTCCCGGTGCGGGGGAAAGCTCGGATGGGCGCCCGATACCCGCTAGAACGTATCAGTTCACTTCTCGATTTGTTGATCTTCAACCAAATCTGACAAGAATTGATGGTCATATCTAGGTCGCTATATGTGTCTTTCGCCCAGTTGAACACTTTGTATTACCTGGATATACTACAACTCCAGCTGATCGCTGATAAACATTCCACATACGGGATAGCGGCTAATCATCCAAAAATGGTTGGCGGTGATCGAGGCGGTGATCGAGGCGGGACCATCCCAATGATGACTCATCTATTCATAGCATCAGCGGGACACTTTGGGGATGCCTTCGCGACGTCTTGTGTAATGATATGGTTTACCAGATGATATTTATGGGTTGTGAGCGGGGCTGAGGAATTGCATTACACCAGGGTTTTAGTTGCTGCATATTGGGAAAAGTGGGTAACAACACATTGTCCGCATGACACGCCCTTCCAGAGACAGTTAGAATCTGATGGAAGTCTGAGTCCGTCATCGCTGTACCCGGAACCAAAACATGCTCTATTTGCAACTCCATTGGCAAGGAAATATCAACGTGGCATCTTATTGTGAAAGGGTCAACTCACTATCACCCCCAATCTGATCGAAATCTTTATTTCCCGCATACTCTGACAAAGTTACATACATATGCTTTCGGACTGACGAAGAGATTAGTGCTTCGTGGATTGCAATATTTTGAACTTTAGGGAGTGCGGCTCTACAGTCGCTTATTTCCCTTGTCAGCCAACAGTTTAATGGCACACATGCACCCGTGATCCCAGATTTGTCTCATTTACAGCCAGCATCAAAATGTCCATGTTCAGACCAGCCGGAGAGATCTCCTCATCGGAATCAGAATCAGAACCAGAACCAGAATCAGAAGCTGGAAACTCCTCCAGTCATGAAGTGAAGCCAGCGAGGGCTAAATCATCTGATCATACAAGCAATCAACTTGACTCTGATCAATGGGATGCATCGACTTCGCTTGAAGATGTATCGACAGTGTCTCAGGATGCATTAGACACCAACATAGAAGGACATGCAAATGTCATGACCGCTGCATTACTCGAATTCTACTGCCAGACTCGAGCCGCCGATATTCTAAACGCCCAGCCAGGCTCTAGTCGAAATTTTACCCGTCACAGCCCCGAGGTACAGTACCTTGGGAAACAGCTTTATAAATACAAGTCTCAATTCTTAGCATCGCATGGTGTGATGCCAGAGGGGATTGATAAAGAAGAACTCGGTGCTACAAGACAGAGCTATCGTGATAACCTTGATTTACTTGGTCTCTCTGCCCTGGAGAACATCGACTTGAATCAATCGCCTGTGCGGTCACCTATCGAAGCTGGCGATCAGCTAGCTTTGGTGTCTAGACTGCCACAAACTCAACACGGAGCGAATGAACTCAACAGTCAATTCTGGCGAAGGGAGGAAGATGGTGCACAGCTTCCACCCATTGAAAGCATCGGTGTCCTTGGAGGAGTTCCGAGCATTCCAAGAAATCTTTCAAACTCTTCAATACCTCTGTTTGGAAGTTCTCCAGTCAGCGTACCTCTATTCAATGCCCCTGCTGGACCATCATACAATCATATGTCTCGTTATTCTGTTGAATTTAGTGAACTAAAAATCCTGGGCCGCGGGTCATTCGGAGAGGTATACCAGGTCAAGAATCACATCGATGGTCAAGATTACGCGGTCAAAAAAATCCCTCTCAGCCAACGGCGACTTGACCAGCTACAATATGGCGGCCAAAACCAATTGGAATCCATCATGAAAGAGATCCGGACACTTGCTCGCCTCGAACATACGAATATTGTTCGTTATTATGGCGCGTGGGTCGAACAGGCACATGTCGCGAATCACGCACCTTTGAAGCCAAAACCACAAGCGAGATACGAGAGTTCTCACCTTCATATGCCCAGATATGGCGCGAGCAATGAACCAAGTATGGGAATTGTTTTTGAGAACTCCGAAAATTCCAATATGAGTTCACACACAAGCTCTATTCCAGATGAACATGGCTTCCGCGACAGAATCGAACGTCTAGATAGCCATACGACAACATCTTCCCGCCACACAAGAAAAAGCTCAACCGTCGAGTTGGAGGACGAAGATGACATAGAGTCCATACCTCGAAATTTTAACAACCACTCCCATGGACAGACTTCTACCTTTGGAGAGACCGACGATATCTTCACAGATGGATTGAGTCAGGATCGTTCAAAAATGTTACAGCGTCACTATGGATCCCAGAATCAACCACCAGCCGTCATACTCCATATCCAGATGTCACTTCACCCCATCTCTCTCAATTCTTACCTGAACGCACAGTCAACAGAAAGGAGCAGCGATGCTGCCGGATCTCCCTCCAGGCGCCACTGTTTCCACTTAATGCCATCTTTACGCCTTGTTCTCGACATTCTTTCAGGCGTAGAATATCTCCACTCAAAAGGAATTGTTCACCGGGATTTGAAACCTGCCAACATATTTCTTTGCTCCCCTGAAAATTATGCTAAAGACAATTGCACATCTTGTACCGTGGAAACAGATCCAAAACCTGTTGCTCACTACTGTCGTCCTCGAATCGGAGACTTCGGCCTAGTAGCCGACATTTCACATCTCAATGAAAACTCACCAGATGGCGCGATGACTCCATTCCTCGAGGGGCCCAAGATTCAGCGTGTTGTAGGCACTGAGTTTTATCGACCACCGACTACGAACTCTTCACCAGAGGGAGACACTGATTATTTTGATGATTACAAGATCAATGAGAAACTGGATGTTTATGCTCTCGGCGTCATCCTCTTCGAGGTCGTTTATCAGCTCAATACCAAAATGGAGCGCCAGCTAGTCTTGAATGAACTGACTCGTGGGTCAGTCTCTCTTCCGCGAGATTTTGCTAAGAAGATCGATCATGGCGAGACACGGTTGGATACTGGGGAAAGCGTGGCTGATGCCTTGGTGATTTGTATCAATGGCATGTTGGAGCGTCGATCCCAGCTCCGATGGAACTGTGAAGACGTCAGAGAACATTTACGCTTGATCTACAAAGCTGTTAAGAAGATATAATCGGACAGTGGTCATGTCGTACAAAGGAGCGGCTAGAAAAACAACCTGTCTATACAATAAAGAATCTCCTCTACCATCATTCGATATTTCATTAGACCATGTAGAGGTGGAAATTTGAACTACTACAAAACATTTAAAGAATCAACTCATATTACAATTTCTATTTCCCTTTCATGGTTGGATAGTAACTAACAAAGCTTAAACAAGTTATGTCCAAGTGCATAAATGTTCCATATTAGGCATAGATCTGCCACATCTACTCGGGCCTCGGTCTAGTAAAGATCTCGACCATGCGTCACAAGCTCCCATCTCCCCGCATTAAAATGAAAAAACACCACGAGTAACTTCTTCTAAAAACCAAAACTCATATGTCACAATCCATAAGTTCACAATTTCACCTAGATAGTAACTATGGCCCAGTTTCTTCGCGCCCCCACGGCTCCGTATAGTGAACCATTGCTACCACAACTCGATATCCGTAACCCATACTACACCGATTTGCATCACAATCTTCGCGCTTGGGTGCGGGAATATGTTGACACCTCGATCGCACCCTATGCTCAAGAATGGGAAACTGCCGGCCAAGTCCCAGAAGAAGTCCGTCGGCGTCATTGCCAGCTAGGCTTCGGCATCGTTCATCCCTTGACAACTGACGAGAATGCAGCTGGCCTATCACTTCCTGGAAATGTCCCAAGAGATGAATGGGATACTTGGTGTTCACTGATTGTGGTCGATGAATTGACCCGTGTTGGCTTTGTTGGTGTCATTTGGGGACTTGGTGGTGGAAATGGAATTGGATGTCCGCCCATTGCTAAATTCGGCACACCTGAGCAACAACGAAGATGGCTTCCTGGTGTTGCGAGAGGCGATGTTAGATTCTGTCTTGGAATTACAGAACCTGATGGTAAGTATGCTGGGATCTCTTCACGAGCAAGATAGCAAAATGTTGAAGCTAATTGTGTCTGTTTGTTGGCTAGCTGGCTCTGATGTTGCGAATATCCGCACAACAGCGAGGCGTCAAGGTGACCATTATGTCGTCAATGGAGCTAAAAAATGGATAACCAATGGCCTCTGGGCTGATTATTGTACCGCTGCTGTGAGAACTGGTGGTCCCGGTCGCTCAGGAATTAGCCTCCTCGTCATTCCCTTGGCCGCCGAGGGAGTCACTTGTAGGCGAATGTTCAACTCTGGAGTAAATGCAAGTGGTACGTCAACCCGAATTTCTTTAATTTCCAGACCATTTCTGACTTGTTTATCTACAGGCTCTACCTTTATCGAATTGGACGAAGTCCGCGTACCAGTGGAAAATCTGATTGGCGATGAAAACAAGGGCTTCGCTCTTATCATGTCAAGTAAGTAGCGATATCTCCTCTCCCACGCAGACATTCTCTGACTGTTTCAAGATTTCAATCCAGAGCGTCTATCCTTGGCATGTGCTTCTCTACGATTAGCTCGTGTCTGTGCCGAGGACGCCTTCAACTATGCAATCCAACGAGAAACATTTGGGTCGCCTCTGATCAAAAAGCAAGCTATTCAATCCAAGATCTTCAAATTTGGCCTCATGATTGAGCCTGCTTATGCATTCATGGAGCAACTTGTCAATATTCTGGAGCTCACCAAAGATCGATACGTGGACGATGTTAAGATTGGTGGCCAGACTGCTTTGCTGAAGGTCATGTCCACGAGGGCTTTGGAAAAGAGCGTTCGAGAGGCTCAACAGGTTTTAGGAGGAGCTGGGTACAACAAAGCAGGGAAGGGAGCACGCATTGAACAAATTAGTCGTGATGCTCGGGTTCATGTTGTTGGTGGTGGTAGTGAAGAGATTATGCAAGGTCTGGCCCTTCAAGAGGAGACCAAGGCCTTGCGAACACGACGGGCAGCTCTTGAAAAGAGGAAGTCAAAGGTGTAAATAAAGGTATAAAACTTTTTCATAGATGTGCCTATATTTATCCCCAAATACTTCAAGTTTTGTAGAATATTGGGTTTGTACCATAGTAACGCTAATGCCTAATTTAATTAGTTAGAAATCTTAATTTAAGATTAGGGATAATAGAACTAACTAAGGGGAATACTCATTTTAACTCCATCTAATAATGAGACGGTAAGCAGGAGATCAAAAGCGGCCGCACTTTAGGTCGTTTTAACCCTCCCGCTAACTGGAGCGGGCCTCGGCATCAGATGTGCCAAACCCCACGACTAATACTATCTACTTCCTCTCTCGTCTTGCGTTAGCTGGGCCCGGTGCCTACCCCCATCCCCACTCGCCATGCAGCCGTCGCGGTGTCCCGCGAGACTCCATCCTCGCGAAGCTCCATTACGAGGGTAATGCGTTGATGGTGAGATACAGACAGGGTAAGGTGTCTTACTTGGATACATAGTGAGTAGGACTGTGTAGATAAGATTAGCGACGACGTCACTAATTAAGGTTCCCACTATATGTGAATCTATCGATACCGTTGATGGGTAGAGAATGAGTAAGCTAAGATAATTTCCATGGCTTTGATTGAGCGAAAAATACAATCAAGTCGGAATACTAATACATAATGCTATTCGACAAAGGATCATTTCCATAATTCAGAGGGCTGAGAAAGACCTACGATCCCCGTCATATGATCCTGCAACCTCCTCGATATCGGTTTGTTACACTTTGCTTTACGTATCATTCAACGTGGAGGTCGGTTTACTTCCTCTCGACGTTTTCCCATTCTGTATGGAAGGACCTATGTGTAAAATCGAGTCTAGGGGTGGGCGCGATATCGTTATCATTATCGTATCGTGAGGCGTTTGCCTAGCGATCTCGTTTACTGTTTATTCTACCCCTCCGGAGATCTAAAAGATCGTGTACACCCTTGACTAAATAGACGCTCAATACTAACCTCAGAGGTAGGGATAGCAAGATAATCTCTACTGCTGCTACTATATAAAGCATCTCACCACGATAATTTTCGTGCGATATTATCGCAAGGAATTCTTTTAACGATAACGATAACGATAATTCAAAAATCTTGCGATATCGTATGGTGCTCATCCCTAATCGAGTCTTTCCGGGCCCCCGCATGGGGTTTGGGTGATTCGGGGGGCCAGAGTAATCGGCAAAAGCTGAGCTTCATTAGCAAGCTCAATTCATGATAATAGAAGGTTACTTAGCGATCAAGCCGGAAGCCAAATCCAGACTAGCGTTAAGTCAAGACACAATCCAATGACAAGTGAAATGGGGCAAAGAGCGTAGAACACGAGGATTTGAGCTTGATTGTATATGCTAAGTAATTTTGTACATATATTCTGTTGCTAGATACAGGCTCAATAATATATGAATAATTTCATCCATTCGATTTATTCATTTGCACATGTAAGCCGCCATGAGCTTGACCGCTTGTTCGCTCAACTTAGAACCCCGGGCAAGCGAAGGCCACACGGTAGTAGTTGCACTCAGGGTAATCCGAGTCATTGCTAGTGCATTGACCCCAGACACCGCCGGACGGCTCTCCATATCCATATTCCCCATCGCTGTATGTGATGGTGTATTCTTCGTTGCAGCCAGAATCCTGAGCACCAGTGACGTGGATCACGTCAACTGTGTAAGGAAGCTGGGAGTCAATGGAGGCGCCCAAGGCGAAGTTGTCGTCAGAATGACCAATTTGATTGCAAGCGTGATCGAAGATAATTGCCTGTCTTTTGCCAGTAGCTGAGCAATACTCCTTGGAGTTCAAGTAGGAGTACACGCCGAATTGGCAGCTTCCTTCGCCTTGACCAACGCAAAGACTGGCACCATCAGGAATGTATACGTCGGCGGCTGCCACGGCAAAGGTCATGAAGAGACCGGCCAATCCTTTGTAGGCGTACATGGTGAATGTTTTGAGTTGGTAGAATAAAATGATAGTCTGTAAAGAGTCGTCAGTAATGAGAAACGTAAAAGAATGAGGGAAAGAAGTAAATGAACCTTCAAATGCGATGTAGTGAGATTCCCAGTTGAAATTCAATAGTTATGAATCAATGGCAATGGGAATGGGATTTCGTCAACTTATATAGCTGAAAATCATGTTCAGGACCCCAGCTTTTTTCTTAATTAACTTGGATCGTCAGGATCATGACGGAGATGATCTACATTACGGGTACTCTGAATTCCTCTCCACATCGAATCACTTGACTGGGTGTTAAAAGTACTCCGGGGTAGTCATACCAGAAAGCCATATAGATTGTAACATATCGCACTTCATTTCCATTTATGATCAAACTCACCTGCCCAGTATAGAAGGCGTGTGGAGAAGAGTTGTTGGGGGCGAAATGCCGCAGGAATTATTAACCACAAGCACGATGATCGACAGAACACAAAGAAATTGCGCAGCAGCTCAACGATATACTATGTCTGTGGTAGGTTAACTAGTACAAAATTCAATTTGATCTACTTAACGCCAAATAGAGGCAACGCACAAAGGTTTTGGTTGCAACATGGCCACAAGATGATCATTTCGCCAAGCTATTGCTGCAGCACTCACCGGAAAGCTTAGTTGTTGGGAACATTTTCTTATTTCAGTCCTCAACTCGGTTCCACGACGCCATTTTTTAGAGGCTCCACTTTTGGCGTTAGTTAACTTAAGTTACGCGGTCACACCAAACCACATGGGCTCCGGGATTCCGGGATCTTGCGTTTGTGGCTCAACTTCAACAACTTGCTTGCACCAGAATATCTAGCGCGAGATTGGCCACTCAAAATCCAGCATGGATTGTGTTTGGGCGCTACCAAATTTTTGAACATGTGAACAGAACTGATCACACTCGTATTACCCATTCCTCAGCATCTAGCCCATGTTTTCAACTACAGGACTAAGAAAGAATTGTCCGGAGTATGGGCCGATACATGATGCATCTGGGTCCCACCTGTCTCGAAATCTGGATTTTGAGAAGCAATGCACTCCGGACTACCCGGTTAAGCAGAAATTATTAGTGATTTGATCCTACTTGCCTAACGGCGCGTTCGTGGGGGCCAAATACGCGCAACGAGGGCATTACGAAAACATCTACCTTCGCCGGGAATTTTTTTTCTCTTTTTCAATACAGTAAATTCTATCCCATCCCATTTGATTTTCGATTTTTCTTTCTGGTATTCATGAGGCCACCGCAAATGGCGGCCTGAACGAAAAGCCACTAACTTTTCAGTACTTTCCATGTTAGTCACACAACAGGCGGGCGTCATGGCCCCCAAATCGAATCAGGGCGCCCCAATTCTCTGGATGGCGCTAAACCCCACTTTCCATTATGTCTACCCAGTGATTCATGATTGTGGAGACCATTTCTCTCCAACGCCCTGCTATCCGCTTTCCCATTAAATTCAGACTGGAAGAGTCTTCGCGCTAATTCAAGACTGTCAAACGCTTGAGAATCAAAGGTTCGCATCTTGAATTCCAGATTGGTTCCCCAAAAAGCAGTGAGATGGACAGCAGAGAACAAATATCCCCGTTGCACCTGCTCTGTTCTAGCCAAATTTAGCTTCACGAGAATCATACAGCGTAAAGACTCGAAGGCGGCTACAGGTGACAACTCGTGCCGGTCCCGTAGGTCAAGGAGTGCGATTTCTGGTGCAACCCGTGCGGGGGGTTGATATTGGGAAAGAATCGCGGCCATATCGCTGGAACCAGAGCTCTCTGGGCTTGTGAGGACGACCAATACTCGTAAACGAATTGCGATGGGATGAGATCCAACTTGAACGTCATGGCGGGGTTGGCAGAACAGCTTTTGAGAGCACTCTCATTTCCTCAATACTATCTACAAAGAGACAAAGGATTTGAGTCCATGGTAAGACAAATCGAGATATTATACTGCAGTTGACTTCCGCAGCCGAGCAGCTATCTCGTTGAGCAATTGAGTATTGCTGTGTCTTCTGATCTGATCTGTTATGTATGGTAAGATCCACAACGCCGGAGTTACGAAATATACCGCAGTCTGCGAAGAGAACTGGGTAGTTTGTCTTGGCAGATTCTGTGCTTAAATGTAAGTGTGTTAACGTAGAGGGACCTTTGCGAGTCATATTGTTGCGAGGAAATAATGCTTGGAGTGCTTTGACTTTGTGTCTATTCTTAGCAAAACAAATGAATGGTGGGAATTGGGTATTAGGATGGCTTATTATTGTACTAATGTTTCCAGGCCGCTATTATCCACGAAAGCTTAACCTGAAGCGTCTTGAGTAGAGCTAAACCAGGACATCCACCCAAATACAGAAGCGCAATCACCGAAATAGTAAATTACTATCATCTAGATAGATTTTCGCGCTCCTAATCGAGACTAAGCCGATCAAGATATATACCCAATTTTACCGGATGTACACATATGGTTGCAAGAAGACTGAAGAATTCAAGTAATGTGAGGAACTTCAAGACACGAACATTAAATATTCTCCTGTTAGGTAGGAAGTATTTGACCCATCTGTCCACATGTGTTCCGACACATGGTGAAGCGCGGCAAGGACGAAATGCACCGTTAGAAGATTGTTGGACGATGAACGTGAGGAACTATGAGAAGTGAGGTCTTGATTAGTGACTGCTCTTGTACAGTAGCTATTATCTAGCTATCATATGCTATCTCAAGACAAACATGGCTGTGGCGGTCAAGCACGCTTCGTACCTTCGTGGCTTTCTCTCAATTCACCGGGGGAGTGCTTTCCCTCTATTATTTCCCCACATTCTCTGACATGATTCTGGAAACTATGTACCGTATATTTTCGACGCCAATGAAATGGTCGACAATAATGATGAGCTTTGCAAGCCAAGCAAAGGAAGCCCCAGTCCGACAGTCCCGTTTGATGATTAAAAAATGGGGCTCGAATAATATCCATGAAGCGCTTATGATTAGAGCAGTGACCATCAAAGGAGTCTTCTGATCTGGGTGGCCGCAGGTTCGTTCCATTTGTTCCATGAAGTCACGATTTCGTATTGTAGGCCGCTAGTCTATTGGATGCCATTTCCGAAGCGTACTTTCCCCATAGAGCTGATGGTCCTGTGCACAGCGATCCCAGTTTGTCGTGCAGAGGAATAATCAATTAAAGTCTGTCGTTGCAGACATTTGATCTTCCGAGGCGAATAGCAGCCGGGGAAGCTTTTCATGCAAGGTAGACTTGCTAGGTGCTCAGAGCGAAGACCAAATTTGCGAATTGCATCTTTCCGTAGGACGGGAAGATAGTCACTTTTCTTGGTGAGACATAGAAAACAAACACGACGACAGGTGACCAAGTACAAGTAACCGCCGAAGTCGCCACAGCTATCACACTCAGCTGTAGATAGTTTCTCATACAGATCCAGGCATGAAAAGAACCGTGCAGTTTCTATGTTGAGGCTCCCGCGAATTGCTGCTGGTACATGAGCAAGTATACGTTTGTATTGTGGGATCGAATCTATTACCAGTCTTGCTGTTCTGTTGACATGTCGAAAATCAGTCAGCGTCTGCATGTCAAGCTGGATGAGTGCTAGGTTGATGATTTCGAGTGGAAGCCTATCGAGAGCCCCAAGCCCATATCGCGGGCTACGGAAATCGAATTGAGAGGCTGAATGATACGAATTGTCAATATCATCCAGTGTGTTGTCGTTGATGTCGAGAAAAATGTATGTCGATTCAGTTGTCTTTCGAACTGCCGCCATAATACTTTGGTTCCCAGTTATCGCAGACTTTTGTGGAATCTTAATTACGTCGAGAGCTTATATAAAGCAAGACCTAGTTTCAATAAGTAGAGAAACAAGAGTCAAATAAGATATCAATAAGCGCAGAGACTAGGACAATCCACGACTCCTAAAAGAAATTATATTATTTTCTAGAAAGCGATCGGAGGGCGAAAGGCGAGGGAACTTAGCAGCCGCCGTAATCTGTCAGAGAATAGGGCATTTAATTACCTATTGTCATAATATATAGATTTTGTAATACAATGGCGTTTTGGTGGTAAAATTCTAGTTCAAAAATGTAGTATCTGGTGGTGGGCGATTCTCTTTGGAATTACATTAACTAGTTTAGTAGTTAAGTTAACGTGATTTGTTGATGCCTCAGGCATCTAGAACACAGCGACGTCACTGCTTAAGCACCTCAAGTTGTGGGGCAGCTCTCTTCTCCGCACTCACGCGCGCCATCCTTCATGGAGAGCTTCGACGACGCGACCCTGATCGGCCCAGTGTCAGATGCTGCTTTACATGATGAAAATCTTCATTCCGCCTCCCTTGACCCGAATACACGAAAACCTGACGGTGAATCGGGCGGCCCATGTACCCCCACATCCGAGCAGTCTGTGAATGCAAGTCGCTCCCAGATCGAGGGGAATGCCCAGGAGACAGTCGAGGAACCGCCCATTTTAACCGAGTTCCCACCGGAGGAAGAAGATGAAGAACCACCGATTGCCACATCGTTTGAGCGCGAAACGTCACCCTCGTCTGGCCAGAAACACCGATCACGCGTGGACGGCGAAGATGAAGGCATCAACCGCATGCACAAGTTTACAGTATACGAAACGGCAACTAGATTTTATATGGTCGGTATCAATCTGGCCGAGACACGTTTTCGGATCTTGAAAATCGATCGCACTTCGGATTCGGGCGAGCTGAGCATCATCGAGGATGGCATGGTCTACACAAAGAGAGAAATGGTTCAGTTACTCGATACAATCGATGACGGGAATAAGAGCTCCGGTGGCTTGAACCAGAAGTGCAGTGCATGGGCTTTGCTCGGGTTTATTCGATTCACGGGCGCATATTATATGCTTCTCGTCACAAAGAGGAGCCAGGTTGCTATGCTAGGCGGCCATAACGTCTACCAGATTGATGAGACGGAATTAATCTCTTTGACAACACCAGAGTCGAATCGCCTAAAACCAGAAAAGCAATCAGAGGAGGAACGATATAAGGCGATTCTCAATAACCTTGACCTCACTCGGTCGTTTTACTTCAGTTACTCGTACGACATTACGAGGTCTCTGCAGCACAACGTCTGCCGGGAAAGAAAGGCTCATCTGGATGGATTGCCTCGCTTTTTGCCCCAGGACTACAATACCATGTTTGTATGGAATCATCATTTGCTCGCACCAGCAGAGGCATGTCTCAAAAACCCTTATCAGTGGTGCCTCCCGATCATTCATGGCTATGTGGATCAGTCCAAACTAAGTGTTTTCGGACGACTAGTTTACATATCTATCATTGCCCGGCGGTCTCGATTTTTCGCCGGCGCGCGCTTCCTCAAGCGTGGTGCTAACGACTTGGGCTATGTAGCAAATGACGTGGAGACTGAACAGATTGTTTCTGAGCAAACGACAACATCTTTCCATTCGGCAGGCCCGACTCTCTATGCCAACCCAAATTACACTTCTTACGTTCAGCACCGCGGGAGTATTCCCCTTTACTGGACACAAGAAAGTACCGGCGTCTCACCAAAACCCGACATCGAGCTGAATCTCGTCGACCCATTCTACTCCGCAGCAGCCTTGCATTTTGATAACCTTTTCGAGAGATATGGGGCTCCAGTCTACATTCTTAACCTCGTTAAAGCTCGCGAGAGAACTCCAAGAGAGTCGAAGCTACTCAAAGAGTTTACGAATGCCGTAGAGTACCTCAATCAATTCCTTCCTGCAGACAATAAGTTGATATACAAAGCCTGGGATATGAGCCGCGCTGCAAAGAGTCGAGATCAAGATGTCATACAAACCTTGGAAGAGATTGGCGGCGACATAATACCAAAGACAGGCTTCTTCAAAAATGGCGTTGATCCTGAATCGGGCCTGCAGCTGCAGAACGGCGTGGCGCGAACGAATTGCATTGACTGCTTAGATCGCACGAACGCAGCGCAATTTGTTATTGGAAAGCGAGCCCTTGGATATCAACTTCATGCTCTTGGTGTCATTGATGAGACAACAGTTGAGTATGATACCGATGCCGTCAATCTCTTCACCAACATGTGGCACGACCACGGAGACACGATTGCCATCCAATATGGAGGATCCCACTTGGTGAACACAATGGCTACATACCGAAAGATCAACCAGTGGAGCAGTCATTCCCGTGATATGGTCGAAAGCTTCAAGCGATACTACAACAATTCTTTCCTTGATGCCCAGCGACAAGAAGCATACAATCTTTTCCTCGGCAACTATATTTTCACCCAAGGTGCACCAATGCTTTGGGACCTCTCTACAGATTATTACCTTCACCATGCAGACCCACGCTCATATCTGGAAAAAAGACGACCTCATTATATTTCCTGGTACACGCCTGAACATTTGAAGGAACGAGAAATTCCCCCACCTCCAGCTCGCCCTAAAGACTCGCTTTCTCGCTTTGACGATTACTGGCTTGAATATTACCGCCCATTAGCTCTATCGACATTGTCGAAGATCTACTCTTACAAAATGAACTCCACTCTTCGATATTTACCACCATTTCGCGGAGGCAATGTTCCCCAAGACCTCAGCCCATTTGTGCCACGCATATCACCCTATCAAGTTCAACGCGATCGCCCCCCTCAGCGAACTGTGAAAATTCAAGAACCATCAATCAATCGATCTGCGACAACAACGCCTATTTCAGAGTCGGGCCAGAATTGGGTGCGACAACCGCCTTCTTCATCGAAGCAGGTACCGTCGGTTGGGATCATAAAAGAACCAGCCTTTGAGTTATATCAGGGTAATGCTGTTATTTCACCGATTCACGCATCGACAACATCGACGTCCCCGAGTAAAGCCCAGATTGCTCAATGGACACTTGGTCAATTAGTCACTGATTCTTTGAATCCATCTGTGACTGGAACAGAAGCTGAAGAGTATGAACGATATATCAACCACCCCCTTAAAGTCCCGCTCGTTGTCACGTCAGAGGATGAGATGACAGCTGCATCGCTTCGAGAGCACAAGCCGAATCTGGATCTACTGGAGTATGCCAACAAGTGCAATATTGAAGATATAGTCCTTGAGGCTAATGCGGAGGAGAACATGGCTGATTATGCGGAATTTCTCAATGTATCGGAAGAAGGACTCACCGTAGTCAATGAGGACTACGAGAAGAAAAGGTACAAGCGATACCGACAATGGCTACGAGGGAAGAGTCTTTTCAAGCAGCGTGTCGATCTATGAAGATCCCAATTCTGCATGCATTTTCTTTGAATTATTTTTGTATTGTCATTTAGCGCATTTGATTCAAGATTGATACCCAATCATATTTATCAATGCTTTATACAGCATGAACCGATAAATGCCGCGCCTTTTTATCTTGAATAAGCAACAAAAACGCCAGGAGAGCATTAAACCCAGCAATATTAGGGGGACAAGAAAGCAAAATTTCAAAGGGCCGTCGTCCGTAGTAAGATAATTTCCAACTCCGAATCTGCTTCAACGAGCTTTCTCAACTCTTCCGCAATCTGCTCTTTAGCAAGAGCTTGATCTGCATCAGGGGTGCCGTCTACAGGGAGAGGGTTCTGCAGAGCATACTTCAATGCGTAAACAGTTACCTGTAAGTCGCGAGTGATCTTGAGAAGCTCTCTCGCACGATCCTCAAGCTGCTTCGCATCGTCCACATCGCGACCCCCTTGGCGTCTTTCTTTTTCAGCCTCTTTGGTTTCATCCCGAACATATAGCCAGCAAGCACAGAGTCCATCAAAAAGTTCCCCGCGCCATCTCCAGACACGACTATGTGCCATCAACACCAGAGATTGAGTTGCCTGTATAGCAGCAGAAACGAGCGGAGGATATGCTAATCCAAACGGATTGGATAGAGTAGCACGGAGCAATGGGAGGACGTCCTGGATATACTTCGTAGTTTCACGTTTGAGATCTTTCATAACGATGGAAATCTGGGTCAATAGGAAAGTAGATAGTTCTTTGTGTGGGAAGGAGGCGGAAGATTCGACTGTTGCTCCTGAATAGCTGACATGGTTGAAAGACGAGATTAGATTTGATCGGAGAATTTTGGCGAGTTTGTTGTTATATTTTCTTTTGGCGTTCTCAATTTCAGATGGCCCTGCTCTTTGAGAGCCGGTCAAATGGTCCGTCTTGAAAAGAGAAAGCAAAACGGGGTAAGCGACTTGAAGAATGCGTAGAGAGTCCTGCTCTGGTGTGATCGTCGGTAGGGATAGCAGACAAGGTGTAATAGCTTCTTCAAAAACAGAGACGAGGTTTGTGCGAGCGAGGATGTCGGAGCTGCTCTTTTGAATAGGGCCGAGGAGGTTATCCAGAAGAGTACAACCTTGTACCTTGGCAAGCGGATCACTGTCGTCGATCAACGATAAGATGGCGGGTACCAAGAGCGGGAAGTGTTTTTCCAGGTGCCCAATGTTTTCAGTCTAGATAGCGGTGTCAGTTTTATTTCTTTATATAACCACATTCGTAGACATCATGATTATATACCTTGTACTGAGAGACTATCCAAGACAAAGCAGGTGTAGCATAGATATCGGTGTTTTTCCAAGGTTTCGTTGAATCATCCAGCATACTCCCATCAAAGCGCGGTAGAGGCACAGGATGCAAGTTCTTGCGTCCTTCGCTTGTAATGTTAGGATTTCTCTGTTTTGTGAAAAGAGGTTTGAGTTTGTCTCTCAGAATATCCTCAATAGTATCCCATAATCCATATTGACCTGTTACACCGAGTTGGATGGACGCCATTTCTGCAGCCTCATCTGAGGCCCATGGATGTGTCTTCGAGGTGAAAATGATCATGGCCAAAATAACATCCGGGGAATGAGAAGCGTCACGACCTGGTCTACTTCCATCAGTCTTTGCTGTGAGAAGAACTATGAACTCAAGAGCCATCTTCTGTTTGAGGCGGCAGTCGCGCTGTACTTGTATCATTTCTGTGGTCTCAATTTTGTCTCCATAAAGTACAGCAAACTCAATTGATGGAAGAGCGAGTTTACTGGCCCATTTGAACAGGTTGGTTGTTGCTTGGATGTCATCCGCTTCATTATTTGATATTTGTGGATCAAACCCCCATTTAAGAAAATTTAGGGCAGTAAGCAAGCTGTCACAGGCCTAGTAGGTTGTCAGTGTATTCTCGAGGAGCTAGCGCTGTTGTAACTGACAGTCTTATAGTTACTATTGTCATACTTCGAAACATGCTCCCATAATTGTGATAGATCACCTTTCACGCTCATTGAAGATGGGAGACGGTCGGGGACATCATCTCGGTCGTTTTCTATGGCAGACCTGGCCTCTTTTCGTAGCTGGTCCATCGGCTGTTATGGTCTGGGATGATGAAATTGGCCTGTTTTGTTTTTTTCGTTATATCTTTTCGTTCATTTAGAAGAAAAGCGGGAAAGGAACATTGAAGGTTTGTAAGGCAGGTGGGGTTTTATTTCCGGGAGCGTTGATTGTGGTTGGCTCTGGTCCCGTGTCCCTTGCCCATCTCAGTCAGATGACGATTTGGGAGCGGAGGAAGATGAGCTTATTTCACTACATATACTAGATACATATACTGATATTCACAGGATGTGTAAGGCAATTCGTCGAGATTCTTATGGATATGGGTATTTTGTTCTCATAGGTAAATGTTCTACAGCCCCAGCTCTGCACGTCGCCGTCCGATTTCTGCCAGCGCCGCTTCCTTGTCTGTATCAGGATTCAGCAACTGCCATTCTACCACCATGGTGGTCGCTTTGCTCATCCAGGGACCCTTCTTGGCACCCAGAGCGGAGATAATATCTCCACCATTAACGATGGGCTTTAGATCCCAGACATTCTCGAGCTGACTTTTTACTATGTATGAGAGGAATTGATCATATTCTTGGGTCACTGTAAATCGTTAGTATTAAAGAAAAGACTTCTGAAATTGGGTCGATCATACCATCGATGAAGTGGCGTGTCTGCATTACTTCTTGCAGGATGGCCAAGATAATACAAAGCTTCCAGTCTTTGCCCCAAGACCGGATTTGGAGTCCGATCTGTTGCCGAACCTCGGCAGGTGTGCCATGGAGAGTGTTTCCTAGCAAGGAGGACTTGCAGGCTGTAATATTTTGGTAATTGCAAGTAGCATCGCGAAGAATGGTAAGGGTTTTGTTATCAGTACGAAGGCTGTCCTTACCAACCTCGACTGCACGAACAGGAGGGGGCTTGGGCCTCGGGCATGATAAATCGCGGGGAGGAATAGATGTCCACGGCGCGAAGGCTGCAATCATCCATGCGTAATATGCGGTGGTATCGTCAGGCACAAGAATAGGACGTACGCGCTGCAATGTCGCGTTCGTGGTCGAATGTAATAATTCCGCGAGTGCATCGTAAGCGAGAGGCCACTTTGATGTGTCAACTGTAACCGCATCTTGATGGTTGGCAAGAATTGTTGAGTACAGATTGAGTCGGTCAATGAATTTCAATGCACCGTGTGGGTCGGGGCCTATTGTAGATAGTGTTAAAACATATTGCGATGCCAATAGTACGGATGTGGACTAAGAAACTCACCTCGAAGCATTTTCTCCAGCTCTGTGCCAACTCTTTCCTTGCTTATTTTGAGCTTGAGTGCTGCCCTGATATCTTCGTTTTGCATTGCAGTCTCGGTTTCTGAGTCGATTGAATATCCTAATCGGCTGGCGAATCGAATCAAGCGAAGTACACGGAGCGGGTCATCCTTGAAGGTCTGGTATGGCTCCATGGGAGTACGAATCACGCGTTTTTCCATGTCGTCTAGACCTCGTTGGGTCAGATCCTCCAGTTTTGATTCATTCAAATTGTAGAATAAGGCATTGATAGTGGCGTCTCGTCGTAATGCGTCCTCTTCTGCCGTACCAAACTCCATTTGCGGATTTCGGCTATCGTCCGAGTATGTTTCTTTGCGGAGATTGACCAAATCTATGTCAAGTCCAAAAATCTTTGTTGTCACCGTTTCCAGGTGTTTCGACTTTTCTGGGTTCGCCTCGATTTTGTGCAAGCTAACAATCGCATCACTCATGCCCTCGGTCGGGAGACTCTTTTTGTATTTTTCAAGATTTTGAGAATCGTCAAGGTACTCCTTTAAGAACAGCCCAAACTGGTATCCTGTCATATTACTGATCCCCACGTCGATATCGTGACTTTCTACCCCAAGCAGCTTGTCTCTAACCCAGCCACCAGTGAACCGAAGGACGGTCTCACTGGCACTAGCTCCAGCACTGTCACCTTCGACATGGTTCTTTTCGCTTATGTATTGCGCGACATCAAGGAGGAGGGTTCGAAGGGTGCTTTCAATCGGAGTGAGCTCAATAGTGGGGGGAGTAGGAGCCATAGCTTCAACGGAGACACCCCGCGCGGGGGAAGTAGAAATACGACGCCTTTTGCTTATGGGTTCCGGAGAATATGAGTCAAGGTCTCGTTCACGCATGGAACTATGCCAAGTTGTCAATGAAGAGGTATGTCTCGCGGGGTGACAGAGCTTTCGCGGATATGTCTGGTGTATTGAACTCGCTAGAGGGCGGGCGAGTGGAGTTCGGGTTTTAAAAGAAAGAATGTCAAGCAATGACTCAAGGGAGCGCACCCTGGACATCGACAGAGGTCCATCGACCAATCGCGCGTGGACTCGAATGGATTAGTAGGGAAAGAGCAGCTGGTCATGAATGAGTCAAAATATTGATCGCCGATAAAGCTGCGCTCTCACGTGGTTGCATCATCATTCATATCTGACCTGTTGGCGGCTATGTCCCCTTCTCACCCGCGGTTTCTTTGGTCTTCGTAATGCGCCCGAATCTCAACGATCTACATAGTTCTGTGTCCCATTTGCATTGGTGGCCAACAACCCAAGCTATATCTTCTCCGCTGACTACTGTACACCCAACCCTGCATGGTGCTCCTTCCCTTCAACTGTGCCTTACTAGAGCGTATCGGGCCCCTATTTAACAACGCCGCTCCCCTCATCAACAACTAAGCGGACCCGACACTCGTTCGTCGAACTTTGCTCCGCGTCGTCCACCTTTCTTTCTATCTTGACACCCTAGTCGATGGGGTCTGTCGATTCGCTCCTTTAGTTTCAGGTTCGCAGAAAGCAGTCGGTGTCCATGACATCGCCCGAAGATGCCACCCCGGTCAAACCACCGCCATCCTTTTCCCCCGGCGTTGCGCGAGTACCATCCATATCACGATACCCCGATGACCCCGAATCTGCGCATTCAATAGATGCCGAGCTGTCCGAATATCGCTCGGGATCTTCTCCGACGCCCTCTTTGGCCACCACCACGGAGCTCCCCATTCGCTCATCCTCGCCGCATGCTCAGTCCATCCGATCGTCCACCCCACAATTAGCCCGCTCGTCGCTTGGTTCACCTTTTGAGGGCCGATTCGATGGGTCTGAAGATATCAGATCACTCATAATACGAGCTTTCTCTCCAGCTGTTGCCGTTTATGCATCTGACGATACGGATGAGCTCGTTAGGAATAAGGGGTTTAAAGGGGGCTTTTGGGAACTAATCCGTCCGTTTGGAGAGACTGTGCCCGGGAAGGTGGTCATCCGTGACAGTGTTGGGTCCAGCCGTGCCTGGGAGGACTATGGCGTACGCTTCATGAATTTGAAAGGCTTCAGCCGGACTCCCGCAGGTCGTGAGTCCGGACGGGAGTCACCTCTGACACAGATGGAGGAGATATTGGAGCAGCAATTGGAGTCTAGTGAGGGACCGCTTGGAACAACTATGCCCTCAAAAGATGCGCAGGGATTACCGATTGCCAGCCCGTTATGGAAGATCTTACTGCGACAAATACTTTCGACTACCTCGGCGGCACCCCACGAAACATTTAGCCATCCTGTCGCGAGTGTAATTGCTATCAGCTCTCGCAACAGCTCACCTTTGGAGACGCTTCGCCAATTGTATGCAGAAAGCAGCTCTGGGGACAAGCGGTTACCGGATTGGGTTCATCAGGAGTACCTTCGATACTACGTTTTGGTTCATGACGAGGAACGTGACAACATCGCCGAGTCAACAAAACTGTACGATCAAATGAAGCGGCATTTCGGTTTACACTGTCATTTATTACGTTTGCGCAGCAGCCAGTGTGTTGTGACGGATGATGATAGCGTCCAAGTACCCACCTGTGAATGGTTATCCCCGCAAGAGCATCTATCAGGCGTGGGAGAAGCAGGTACGTAAACTCAACAACTTTCATTCAGATATTCGGTAATGACGGGTTTTCTAAAATTTAAACATCACAGAGACACTGGTGGACCTTGGTACAGACGGTACACCGTACCTATTCGATTCCGATGCAACTGCCATCCGCACATTTATCCGCGAACTCATTGTACAGTCCGTCATTCCTTTTATGGAAAACCGGGTAGCTGTCTGGAATGACCAAGTTGCATCAAGGAGGCGGGGAATCAGTGGTAGATTCATGTCAGTCGGTCGACGATTTATGACATTCGGCTCAGGCTCACGATCTGGCGGTGCTGGTTCTTCCGGTGGAAGCGGAAATTATGATTCTACAGACAATTCATATAGCCCAGATTCACCTGAGGCTGTCCTGCGAAAGATGGCCGATTTTGCTTTCATGCTTCGGGACTGGAAGCTTTCTGCTTCAACCTATGAAATGATCCAGTCAGACTACAAGAATGACAAGGCTTGGAAATATCATGCAGGCGTAAATGAAATGTGCGCAGTAAGCACGCTGCTGAACCCATTGGCCGCGTCTACCAAAATCAAGCTTGAAAGCATTGACCAGATGTTTGAAAATGCATGCTATTCCTACCTAACGCGATGCTCAGATGGCCCACACGCATTACGCAGTCTCACTCTGGCCGTTGAGCTTCTCAAGTCTCGAGGTGGATCTGCCACTGAAAGTGCAGCCAGGTGGGCCATGCGGGTCATGGACTTTGGCTTGGTCGGTCCAGTTGGTCAAATTTTATTCACAGAGAGAGTTTCAACATGTTATGCCTCGAAGACTCCCGTGAGCGGAGCCAGATGGGGTGCTCGTCGTCGTAAAGCCGGCATGTGGAGCATATTTGCTGCAGATCAATGGCTCAAAGCTGGGAAGGCGACTCAAGCTTCAGCCTGCCTGGAAGAGGCCGAGCGTCTTTACGCCGATGTCTTAGAGGTGGATGGTGTTTTTCCCATGCCTGAGATGCAGACTTTCGTCGACAATTTGCGACATGCTGTGAAAGTTGAATATCTTGGCACAAGAGGCTTCAATACACAGGATGAGCCAGCGCCAGAGGAGCTCGAAGCAACTGAAGAAACAAGTGAGCAGCTTGCAAAAGTTGGGAAACGTACTCATCGCCACTCACTGATTGGTCTCCCTGCACAACTGGATGCAGGCAGTCTCAACACCACTTCAGGTGTCAGGGACCCGGAAGACCCCCCAAATGATGACTTTGAACGAGCCTGAATTTATTAATATCTCATCATAGCATATAAGAATAAAATATCTTCTTGCACACTCCTCTGTTTATCTAGTCTTCCACTTTATCAGGATTAAGCCATCGAAGTATAGATAGTTAGTCACGTGGTTGTTTCTTATCGATAAAGCTGTCTATCGTGCATGCTGCCTGTTGACATCAACTCCCGCGATACAAATCCCCGCGGGATCGCAAGCAGGCCGCCTTTTCACATACCCTCGCCTCTACCTAATATTCTCACCCCACGGCCTCCAACAGAGGATACAAGTCAAGTGTGAAATCTTCTATGGTCTTACATACTTGTCCACCATGAGCGATCTCCTGAATTACATCCTAAACAATGAGGATGCTTTTCGAAGGTACAGACCCCAAAATGCATGCGAGAGCCACCGAAACCGTTGTTCGGAGGAGTCAAAGCAAAGCATTTTGCTAATGTCGAATTCTCCTTCATAGAAACCGCCTTCCGTCCCTCTACTCCGATTTTGCGACTCAAAAGAGAACAAACCCCGATGGTTACGCTGTCAATGTCGCAGCGTGGGAGTCAGCTCTAAACCACGCAGCGAAGCGTGGATATACCTCGTCTCGTGGTGTGCGGGTACGGTCTAATTCGATAATCTCCCGAGAAGGTCCGGCAGGTCGCAAGAAGACCGACCACCTTCTGATACGGACTGATGAATCTTTACTGCGAGATCTGGAGATTCCTGAATGGGGACGGCCTGTTGCTCTTGGTGCTGTTATTGTATGTTTCTCTCACGAAAGCTTTGGCTTTCGGTAGACAAAGTCATATTTTCTTGTCCTTTGTTTTCCCTTGTTTGCTAATGCTTGATGCTGGATAGGACGAAGCTATGCGCAAACGTACTATGATTCCTTTGCCGGTATACAAAACCACGCCTGGGAGTTTGCGCAAAAGTGAATGGCGCTTAGTTGACCCTGCAGCTTTGAGTCCGTGGAATGTTATGAGCTGGGGGGCTCGGCAGTTGAAAGGGCTTGTGATTGGCGAGAGTGATTCTTCGCCGAAGCTACAGGTACAAGAATTAGTGTTGGTGGATAATTTGCAGGTAAGACCAGCAGTACTTGGCCATTTAGAGCTTATAGACTAAACGATATTTCATTCTAGGAAGCAGGGGACCTGATAATTAAAAAAGCTACTGGTGGGAATTCATCCAAGTTGGACCTCATATACTCCAAAGAAAGCTTTACAGAAGAATTTGCGACTACATTAAACGATACCACGGAACTTTCCGACTCTGATTTTGATGTTCTCTTATTATATCTTTCTCGTGATTGCGGGTCCATTGCTTATGATGGCAAGGTATGTGGGAATGCGTATATGAGAAAATATGTGTGCTATTAGTACTGACCAAACCCGCCAGACCATCAAATTCAAATCTCCACACAACGCGGCGCATATCACGCAACAAGACACAACAATCGCCTCCATAAAAACTCTTCTGTCCACAATCTCAAAACAGGTGACAGGTTTGGAGTCAAAACTTGCGGAATTGACGCAGTCCGCCAAGTTGGCGTTGATCAATAAGAATAGGGTAACAGCTCTTTCGGCTGTGCGGTCAAAAAAGCTCGTTGAACACAATCTCGCGCAGCGGCTCAGCACTCTCGCCCAGCTAGAAGAGGTGTACTCAAAGATCGAAGCGGCTGCTGGTCAAGTTGAGCTTGTCCAAGTCATGGAAGCGAGCACTGGAGTGCTCCGTGGACTACATACTCAGATCGGCGGCACCGAACGAGTTGAGGATGTCGTTGAGGAGTTACGCGAGGAAATGATGAAGGTGGATGAGGTTGGAAGCATCATGAATGAGGCAGGACCAGTCATCGACGAAGGTGAAATCGACGAAGAACTGCAGGCACTGGAGAAGAGCGAAGAAGAGGCGAAGGAGGAGAAAGAAGCGGAAGAAACCCGAAAGAAACTGGCCGAGCTCGACAGCATCAGTGCGGGAGAAAAGAAGACCGACGTGGACTCGATACTAGCGGAGAGTATTGGCAAACTTTCTGATATGTCTGTCGAGGACCAGCCTTTGCCAGCGAAGTAGATCTTCCATCAGAGAAAAACAAGTCTATTTATGGGGTATATATTAAATCTGATCACGCTATTTCAACCACCAACCATGGTCAGGGATGGTCCGGGTGCCTGATACCGTTGCCCTGCGCCTTCTTTGCGGATTCGGGCTGTGATGACGATGCACTTGAGTCCGACGCGCCAGGAATTGTGGATCTGACTTGTGCATCTGTCTTCCGACGAGCACTGGCAATGAGCCGTTGGAAGTCACTTTTATGGTCTGCAGACCATCCAGCTGCATCGAACTCCTTGCTGGTTATCGTATTTCTCTCTGAAAAGCTCGTCACGGTTGAAGCGCCACCTTGCGTATCCTCCCATATCTTCAATTCACGAAGAAGCTGTGATCTGGTTTTTGGGTTTTCGGAGTCACAGTTTGCGTTCCAAAGGTTTATCCACTCCGTGTGGCGTCTTTTCAAGAGATCCCTAGGCCCGTCTCCAGGGATGCCGAGTTCTTTGAACTTTTTCCGCAACTGGGGGTCTCTCATGAGGTCGTAATTTAGAGTCGGGAGTCTTCCTATTTGGTTTGATGGGGAGTTCAGTGGGCGTTGCATAATTCTACAGTGTAATTAATTTAATTAGAACAGTTTCTCCAAATCTTATAACCGAGGCCACTTACCCGAAAGCTGTACTTTTTTGCGGCGTCTTCTGCGGCGATTCTTGTCCAGATAGACACCTATCAACATGACTGTTCACTAGTTCTGCCTTGACTTTTCGTTGACAGATTGGGCACTCGACCATGCCGACTATGGGCACTGAATTAGCTCACTCACGCGTAAGCTTGTTCAAATTTAACATGACTAACCTGGTATATAATCCTCGTCATCGCCTTCATCCTGGCTATCTTCGATGACCTCGGGTAACTGTTGCGATCCTATTGGAACTGTTCTCGAATTAGAATTGCGTGACCTCGTCGCTCGTTGTTCCGGAATGGCCTCGACCACCGATCCGTCCTGCTGTTTTTCCCGGCGATCACGTTTGCGCTTTTTATGAGATGGTTCTGGTGATTCATCTTGTCCCCGGTCCAAGCGCGCTTTTTCCTTTCTAGCCAGCTCTAGCACCTGAGGACGCGCAGTCAAGAACGTCTCTAGAAGTTCCGACACAGCCCAGTTGCGACGCAACTTCAGTACCTGATCACTATCGCGGCAGATCGGGCACCTGTTATCGGCAGATAGGGAGCGGCGAATGCATAGTGAGCAGAAGGTATGGGAGCATGAAGTGATCATAGGCGTATTAAAAAAGTCCTTGCACACTTGGCATCGTAGTGCAGACTCGAGTGGCGCCAGAAGTTGAAGACTTGTCCCCAACCAGTCGGTGGAGTCGCTGATTTCACCTGAAGACTCCATGGGGAGAAAGCAGCAGCGCTGTAGCTGCTTTGAAAATAACTGCCGATTGAAGCAACGGGGAGTGGCTTTGCTCTGAGGAAGTCAAACAGAGGAGCAACACAGAAAGTGGAGTTTCTCCACGCCAAGACACGCTGACTGATACGCGTTAAGTGCTTTGGGCACGCGTTCAAGGCAACTTGCGCTTCTCTACCAGCTGCAATCAAGATGGACGCAACCTTGTATCTAGCAGAAAATGTGCTTAATGAGCGGAATCCGGTAAGCTTATATTGACTACTTACTTGTCTTGGTCATTCAGACGTCTAATGTTAAAGGAAGGTCACGTATCGTTCGTTAAGTCGCGCGCTCAAGGTCAACGCAAATCGCGCCAAACAGTATGGTTACCTGGGCTTCATTACCCCCAAATGGATGTGAATTTAACAGCCTTTACTAGAGTTTTATACGAATTTCATCGCAATGAAAACGCAAAGGAGCCTCAAAGTGTTCGCGCTACCTACGTCATTTCTGGCATTCAGAAACCTCGGGGAGCTGCGCCGGGCACAGACGAAGTAATGCAAAAACACCCTCGCATACGAAAATCGACGCCAAACCAGACTTCGACCACTTTGATTCCATATACCACATCCATTTTACTTGCTCGAGAGGAGGAATTGAATGGTAGGTTGACTACCAGGAACAACAACTATACCAAGTGCTAACGCAAAAACCTCAATGCCGCAGATGCGAAAGCAACATTCCTATCGATATCTACGATTCATGTCTATAGTCTTCAATCGGCAATACTCCAGGATCTGGACGTGCTAGTAGATGTCACAAAGGAAGCTCTGGCCGCTCATTCGCAGGATGACCCTTTGGAGTGCGGGAAACAGTGGGGCATGATCCAAAATAAGCATGTAATGGTATGTTCACTATTGTCTCTCGTTATCAAGACTAGAGACTGATAATACTTATAGCGAAGGACTGGAGCGGGTCCACCACCTCCAGCAGCGTCAGCACCGAAGACTGAGACAAAGTTCGTACCAAAGGTTAAGCCCGAGCCAACGGTGCCTGCCAAGCGACTTTTCCAGAAAGAGAATCCTGCCAAAGAAGAGTCTGGAGCATCAGACTCTAAGCCCGCGCCTTCTTCGGCCAATGATTCCGATGCACCTTCTAAATCAGCGAAGCCAGCTCCCAAGCATGCGAAGGGTAGTCTTTTTAGTTCCTTTGCCAAAGCTAAGCCGAAGACGAAAGCCACCCCAGCCCCCGACACAGTAAGTACATGGTTTTCTTATTAGAGATCGTTCGTCTATATTAATTTGTTGTTCTTAGGCGACATCCACTCCGGGTGAAGATAGTAAGTCGATTCCGAATGTTCGAGAACCCAAGAACGTTAGCTCACATCTCACAGTTGTACTTAATGATGCCTCCGATGGGGAAGAACAAGCAGAGCTATTCCCCGAGAGTAGCGAGAAACCAGCTAGTGCAATTCGCGAGACTAAAAAAGCACGCGAAGAGAAACTTAAACAAATGATGGAAGATGATGCCGATGGTATGTTTGATCGATAGATTATGGTTTTAACCTTACTAAGTGTTATTTAGATGAAGAAATGCCCGATGCAGACGACGAGGAGCCAGAAGAACCAGAGCGAGAACCAACTCCTGTGGAGCAACCACCGGTGGCCAAACCTGTGGAATTGAAAGAGGAGGTTACTGTTCAAGGTGGCCGCCGGCGGGGCAAGCGTCAAATCATGAAAAAGCGCACGGTCAAGGATGATGAGGGCTATCTAGGTAAGTTCCATCGCTATGGGGGGTCCGATCTCGCCGCTATACTAATGCAAGGGCAGTGACTCGGGAAGAGCCGACATGGGAATCATTCTCCGAGGATGAGCCGGCACCACCGAAGAAGAAGCCGACAGTCAATGTGCCTATACGCAAGGGTGCTAAGCCAGGACAAGGAAACATCATGTCGTTTTTTGGAAAACAATGAGTTTATTGGATACATTCTAAGATTGAGCAATGAGGTTATTCAGAGAGTTGATTACAATGTACAATAGACAGCCTGTAAAATCGAGTAGTACAAGAGCGAAGTAGAAGTAGAAAAGAGTAAACAAATGTCGATCACTCCGCTATTTCTCCGCATTTCTAGTGGAGACAGTGCAACCATGACCTTGGCCGATGTCACCTCGCCCAGATTTTCCCCGAGATGAAATTAATTGGAGAAAGAGAAGCTGCAGTCAAACCGTCGTAAAACTGTCATCAAACTCAAAAAGTCATAACCGGAGTCGAAGAATGCAGGTATCCCGGTCTGGTTGGGATCGACAACGGGGCTACAAAAAGCCCACGATCTCCCCTCTTCATCGTTTGGGGTTACTCATTTTCGTGCTGGGTTGTTTGTCTCTCTTGCTGTGAATTTGCCCGTCATGCCTATCTCCACGTTTCTCGCAGCGGGCCTTCTTGCCCTCCAGGTCAACGCGCTGCCTGGACGTGACAACCCCGCAATTGTACGTCGCGCCTGTCCAGACTACACAACTTATGCCGCGACACCGCAGTAAGTACTTGCCCCCGGAGTAACAACAATCAACTTACATTTCCCAGTGGTCCCTACAGTGGAGGCCCCTTGAATCTCCCGTTCCAGCGCCCTTCAGAGGCATGTCGCACCTTCTCTTCGTCGTCAGTCGAGAAGGTCATCGACGATGTTACATCGCGTCTGGTCGACAAGGACCTCGCGCAACTGTTTCGTAATGCGTATCCCAACACTCTCGATACAACAATCAGATGGCACGTAAACGGCTCCAGCAACGCCGTAAATAGCCAAAAGAGAAAGCGTGACACTTCAGATTGGAGCGGCTTGCAAACATTCATCGTGACTGGTGATATTAACGCGGAGTGGCTACGCGATTCTACCAATCAAGTGATGAACTACCAGAAGCTCGCATCTCAGGATAAGAGTCTTTACAATCTCATTCTTGGTGCGATTCGCACTCAAGCCGAGTTTGTAATCAAATCACCTTTTTGCGAGGCTTTCCAGGCTCCCTCTGTCAGTGGCATTGCTCCTGAGAACAACACCCAGATTGACACCGTGACCCCGACATACGATAAGTCTTTCGTATACGAGTGCAAGTATGAGCTTGATTCGCTGGCACATTTCCTCAAGATGGGCAGACAATTCTATGAGAATACCGGATCGACCGAGTTTCTCACAGATCGTTGGTTCACGGCGTTACAAACTCTACTCAATGTGATCGACGCGGAGTCACAACCTACTTTCAATTCCAAGGGCTCGTTCGTGCAGAATAAGTATACTTTCCAAAGACAAACTACCATTGGTACGGAGACTCTCACCCTTTCGGGTGAAGGAAACCCACTTAACAGTGGAACCGGCCTCATTCGAAGTGCGTTCCGACCAAGCGACGATGCCACCATTCTGGGATACTTCATTCCTCCTAACGCTATGATGTCTGTGGAGTTACAGCACATTTCCAAAGTTCTTAAGGCCGCCGGTGGTCATGATGACCTTGCTTCAGAACTACAGGACCGCGGCGAGAAGCTCGCTGCTGCTGTCCGCGAGCACGGAATTGTAAACAATGGCAAATACGGCGATGTTTACGCATTCGAGGTGGACGGGTATGGCTCGCGCATTATTATGGACGATGCGAATGTTCCTTCCCTTCTTTCGCTGCCGTATTTGGAATTCGTCAACCAGACCGACGAGGTCTATCAGAATACTCGCAAGATGGTTACCGATAAGCTTGGTAACCCTTACTATTTGGAAGGCTCTGCTTTCCATGGTATCGGTGGCCCACACAGTAAGTTTATAAAGATATATACTTTATTTGTCTGCTTTTCAAACGCTAACATGGATTATAGTTGGCCTTCAGAACGCTTGGCCAATGTCTTTGCTTATCCAGGCTCAGACCTCCGACAATGAGACTGAAATCATGGAATGCATTAACCTCGTCCGGGACGCTAGCTTGCTGGGTCTTATTCACGAATCCGTTAATGTCACTAATGTCAAGGACTACACTCGTCCATGGTTCTCATGGGCTAACTCTGTTTTCGCTCAGACCATTCTCAAGGTTGCTGCTGAAAAGCCACAACTGATCTTTGGAAAGGATGCTGAGCCTTATAATGTTTCTTAGAAGTCTTGTATGGCTTATTATGGTTTCATTCCTCGCTCTGTACCGTTGGAAGCTTACCTACTAAGGTTGAAGGAAAGTTCGCCTGTTTGTCAAAATGTTTCAAATGATACAATAAGTCAGGGTCATAGGGTAGTACCAAGAGGAAGTGTACAGAGACAGTTTTCCAACTTAGTTCCACTGACGATATCCCGACTTATCCAAATGAAGTTCAATCACTTTTTCCTGAACACTTCACTGGTCGGTCCAGAATATGTTTCTATGGGCTTCTTCTGATGCCAGAATCGGTCGTTTAAGGTTTCCACCTGTAACTTCAAATGTTCGGACGGCAAGCCACCGTGACTCGGGCCGTAGTAGCTTCGAGACCTCAAATTCTTCCAAATTCTTCGACTGGACAAATTTAAGAGGCGGCGCCAATGAAGACACCATCCCTGAGCAAAGGCGAGAACTGTGGAAGGACAACACGGAGTATATCAAAGACTTTTGAAAAAGCAGATGATATTAGAGCATTTATAGCGCCTTCACAAAATGGTGTTTTATTTCTCCCCAATATTTACTGAGTAGACTTGTTGCGGCAATTCGGCTTCCAAGAGGGAAGCCTAGGCCAGAGTGATTCTATGGGTTTTCTTCAAGCATGCAGTGATATGTTGTTTTCATAGTTGACTTCAATTATCAAAGCAAATATTTGAAGTAAAATCAGGAATCACTTCATGAACAGCCAACTAAATTGAGCCAAGTAAGCTGTTTTTGTTTGGTTTTTTATAGATTCTTTCGTATTAAAGGACAAAATTTTCTTCTTTACAGCAAATAAGCATGACAGGTAGACCCACTTCGGTGCATATGACCGTTTGCCAACGCGCACCCTATCGAGATAGTCGGTCTCTATACAAACAAGTCTGCGAGCAATTGCTGTATTTACTCTGGAATGAGTCTCTCGAATTGGTCTAAAAGCCTGTTTCCTATATATAATGTTAAATATTCAAAAGAATTGTTGTATAAACTATAGATATGTGTATAAATCTATTTACCCAGCTACCCAACTTGAATCGGACCATGGCCATCCATCAGTACCCAAATCGGATTTAAGCATTGGAGGAATATTAAATGAATACGCGGAGGCTACGGAAGAAAATCCAGAAAGCACGGTAGTGTAGAGGATATGGTGCCAGTGGCTAAAGCCATGAGAAGGGTTCCGGAAAGGATAGATTTGAACATCTTGGAGACTATGAGATGTTCATATTAGTCAGTATATGATAACAACGGATTTCAGATCAGTGAATTGCCTGAAAAGCTTCACAGGCTTTTGGATTTACAGTATTGAGCTGTTTGGATGTGTAGATGAATGGATGTGGTTGATGTCTATCCTTCTTGGAGCAGAAGACGTTTTGGCACTCTTTATATACCCACCATTCGTGGTCGATGGTCACTAGTGGTGTAGTCTGCTACGCCCCCCCTGCCTCTAGAAAGTAATCTTTCTATCCCAAAAATCTTTACAGAAATTGTAGAGAATTTAAATCTACTCATAAGCTAATGGCTGTAGCCTAATAATATGAGATCATACACTGGATTAGAAAAGTAAGACAGTGAACGCACAATAATCCTCCCCACAACTATCTAATGGCCCCCAGATTGGACCATTTTGGCTGGAACATTGGAGCTAACGATCCCTGTATGCAAATTTTGCCATTGAACCTTTCCTTTGAGAAATCTTGCAGCAGAGTAATGGCCTCTCTCTTCTGCCGCTGCGACAGCACGGATGACTTGTCTTTGAAGGGGGCCTTGAGCGACGTTCCCTTCAAAAACCAAAAGCTGTATCATATCAAGGCGGCCATTCTCTGCAGCCAAGACTAAAGCTGATTTATGATCATCGCCAAGGTTTGGTTTATAGATAGTAGCGCCTTGATCAAGGAGCTGGCGGGCAATTCCTATGAAACCATTCGTCGCAGCTATTTGAAGTGCGTCTGCTCCATTTATTCCGGCAGGCTTGTCATTGGGATCAGCTCCTGCTTCGAGAATAATCTTTGTCAGATCCATGTTGCCGCTTTTAGTAGCAAGCTGTAGGGCGGTTGCACCGTTGACAGGAGCGGGAGGCTCATTGACGTCTGCGCCAGCTTCAAGTATCAATTTCACGAGATCCATGTTGTTTGATTTAACTGCTTGTTGAAGAGGTGTGTATGTCCAATCCAGGTCGTCACTACTGGTATTTAGATTGATGCCAGTTGCAATTAGTCTCCGAACCAATGAGATATCCTGCAACTCAATTGCAGCGATGACTGCGTCGTTACTTATAGCCACGCCGGCGTTGAGCAAGTAAACGACAATCTGCATGTTATTGCACCGTATGCTAGCTAAAAGCGCACAGCCAATCTCTATTGGAGTCCAAGGCGCTTTCTCCAAAACTGCTTTCAATAGAGAGAAATTGCCAATCTTTGTTAGTACTTCAAGAAGAGAGGATTGAGGCATTGCGGTCGGAAGATTCCACCAATCAGTCGTATCTTCAACTTCCTCAGGGATTATGTTAGAGCTTGGCCAGGTGACTAGTCCCTTTGGGCTGAATCCAGCCTCCAGCAGCAGATACATGAGGGCGTCTTTCTTCGCTCGAACTGCTATAGCCATGGCAGTAGGTGCTGAGAAACGAGACTTCAATGTCCCAATAAGCTCTTGAACAAGTGAAACGTCACTCGTTACGCATGCCTGCCAGACAATGGTGCTGAGCTCACTTTGGTGACATAGGAGCCCCGCGTTTGATGAGAACATTTGCAAGATCCAGATTCTTTCTGTAAAGCGCAGCATCTAATGGAGATTTGCAATGTGGAAAAATAGGTGGTGATGCTGTTAGCCATTGTTCTTTTTTCCGGCAAGGTTCAATGGCATGATCTACAGATATGCGAGGTAGAAGAAGGCGGACCAGATTTTCATCTTCTGCTAGAATCGCATTGATCAAGATCATATGTCCGTTGGTCGATAAAATACTTGAAAGTACTCCCAAGTGATCGAGCAACGTCACGGTCGGAATATCGAGATTCAAAGGGGCCTGTCTTCCAGAAACTGGAGCACCAGCAAGCCTAAGTAGACGAGGCACATCGCAGCTGTTTTTCTGAAGCATACTTTGGAGAAATCTTTCAACACTGTCGCATTCGATGCCATTTATAAAAAGGCCTGACTGCTTTGCAAGAGCCAATACCTCGAGCAACTCATTTGAATTTTTATGCTTCCAGTGCCACATAACCTGGAGGGAGAGGAAGTTCTGCATAGCAAACGAGCTTACGCTATCCCCTGCATCGAAAAGCATTCGGTATATTGACATTCCTTGCTGAACCTGGGCTCTTTCAATGAGGGTCGTTTCGCGATTATCTGACTTGAGTCTGAAATTATTCGCAGCCTCTATATGTGCGCCTGCACTTAATAAAAGGCGAACTGATTCGACGTGGCAATTAGAAACAGCGGGTACTAGATGAGGAATAAACCCATCTACCCCAAGAGGAAACTTGATGTTTGCAGATGATTTGAGCAAAACACGCATGGCTTCCGCATGGCCATGTCCAGAAGCCAATCCTAAAGGTGTCGTGCGGAACAAATCTCCTTCAAACACAATAACATGTTCAAAATTCGGATTTGCACCACGCCTGAGCAACATTTCTACCATGAATTGATTCCCGATTGATGCTGAATACCCCAAGGGGTTACTTTTGGGTTCTTCGGGGTATCAAACACCGTGTCCACATCAAGGCCAGCAGTATCCAAAAGTAATTGTAGAAGTCTGATATCTTGGCAAGTGACAGCGTGAATCAAGTCCAATGCCCTGGCTCTGGCCCCTCTTATCAGAAGAAATTCGGCCACTCGGTAGTGTTTGGCTCTCACGGCAATAGAAAGAGGCGACTGGTGCTTATAGCTGTTTATATTCGCCTTGAATGAAAGCAAAAGAAGACTCAAATCTATGCAATCATTCTCATTTTGCACTTGGGCAGCAAATTCGAGTGGTAAAATAAGCCGAGGGTTTGATTCATCTCCAGACTCATTAAGGCATGGTAAAAAGACAGGCCTGTTGGGACTGATACCTACCCGCATAAGAATGCAGAGTACTGGAATGTTGACACAGCTAAGAGCAACATCAAATATTCTCTCCACGATTGCGCTCTCCGTAGGCTGCCCTCTTAGCAAAGACCTCATGTTATGCTCGCTGAGAAAGTCGGTCATTGAAAGCATCTCCAGGATGTGTATATGAGCCTGTTTGGCTGGACGAATGGAGACTGCGCACGGATCATATAGCTCCAAGTGAATTTTATTCGACAGGAAAAACATCAACAGACGAATACATTCAGGGAAGTTAGTTCTCGAGGTGTTTATGAGGTTCGTTGCGAGGGAGATATTCTGGCCATCGTATTCCTCTGGCAATAGTACATTCAGTACTGAAGATATTCTTGGGATACTCTGAACCTGTGTTTCAAACGGATTTGAGCCCTTGGCCAACAAGGAGTCCAGCATATAGACCATCGTGTTTATGATCTTCGATTGGTATAATTCATTTTGGGTGGAGACTGGAGCATTCCCTGGGTCTCAGCTTTGTTGAAACTTCTGTCCGCGCATGGATAGCAAATGCATGATACTCACAATTCATACGAATGGGAAATCCTCGAGAGTATTCAAACGATGGAAAATTAGGCTGCAACCGGTTATTCAACGTGAATGGTATAGGTGTGCGTATTTCCACCCCAAGAGGTGTTTTGGGAAATGGATCTATAGCAAGTCAACTAATCAGATACTGGATTTAAAACAATTTTCAGTGCAAAACATACCTTCTTGAAACTTGGCAATTGTGGATTCGAAGCCTTGACGGCCAATTTCATACCTCACTTTCTTGGGAGATTGGAGCACACCATTGATATAGACTTGACTGTCCTTCCCACTCTCCCGTTTCCTTTTCTCCATCTGTCGCTTTATGTATCTCCATTCTGCAGCACCCATAGGATACTTCTTGAGCCCCCATTCTCTAAACTTGTATTCATATTGCCCCTTTCTAGGTTTCATCAGCTTTGGGCTCAAAAAATGTCAACGGATGGAGTCATACTTCTTGTGGAATCCATAGGTCGTATCCATGATGTTCATCGTCTCTTTAAGAGTCCTGCCTTCTTGTAGATAAAGACGTTCTATAGTCGCCCTATAGGCATCCCAGTCTGAAACTGATTCCATGTGGCTCGTTTTAACGAAAACGGTAGAGGCTTTAGCAAGTGCAGGAGGGTAGATTCATGACTTATATCATTTCAAATAGTTGAAACAGTGTGATGAGTGAATGTTTTCCATCTCATGTGATGGTTATTCTAGCCCATGGATAGCCTGAATCCCCTGAGGCTTTTTCGATATATTTGAGATTTTGACCTCCACCAATAAAAATCGCCATGAAGATGGCCATGAGGTTGTTAATGGGGTGAAATGGGGAAAGCAGGTGCAGCCCCCAAGATACGGTGGATCTCGCGTCTCGCCTGTGATTCGCCTACGTCAAATCTCATAGCTTGAACCCACATCCTTGAAATGACAAATGGCGTCGTAGATCGTTTACTTAACCGGATAGTAAGAATGTGGTCGTCGAATTCATAAAATTCAGTATGAAGAGGTTAACTCAATTCCAAAAGATTGACATAAATACTCCCTACATTGGTCTTCAAAAGTGCTCCTGTAAAAAGCCACCAACTGCATTACTGACACATACCAGCATGGTCGCTATCATCTCTTAGTACGGTCCTACTACCCTTTGTCTCACTCCTCTAGGTCGGGAAATCTATGTAAAAGGGTGCGGGGCTTCTTTCGGTGGAATTCTTCTGAGCAGGCTCAGACTGGGGCTCTGCCGAAAGAGCCTCATGATCAAGGCGATCCGCAATATCCTCACACTCTTCATCAAGGCGATCAGCAAGATTGTCTAATGCAGTATATCAGTTAGTGATGAGAATGATAGGAGCAGATGTTATCTCGACTTACTCTGAGCCTCAGAAGCCTGTATGCAATGCCGCTCTACCCACCAGCGGGGAGTGGGGTTGACTCCAGAAACACAGGGAGACTGGGGATCAGGCTAGTCTGTCTTTTCTCCGGGTCTGTGTTCTCTCGTCCAACCTTTCCATTTGTTAAACCAGCCCTGGGTTTCATCTGGGAACTGGAAGGAATGAGAATCATTCCTAGAAAGAGAAAGATTAGAGGTGTTTCGGAAGGCAATAGGGGATTCAGCATACTTAAAAAAGTGTGCCAGGCATGAGCCGATGGATCAAAAGCGTATTCATGCACGCACATCCAATTTCCCTGGGCCAGAACGTCAAATCTTTGCATGTACCTTGCAGAATCGAAACTCCTCACCTCTTCATCCAAGTTACAATCGACAACCTGATAAGCTCCAAATCGATCAAACCCAGTGATATTCCTACCATAACGGAGAGACTCACGTCTCACTTGAGGCATGAGTCGATTGTCTGGATTTGCATTTTTCTGGTACATAATTAGGGGCCCATGTCTCATTGTTTTAGCAGCCATATTTACGAACCCTGTCTGTATACGACAAAAAGGCGTCCATGGGCGAAGAAAACATGGTAGCTCAACCTTGTAGTAACCCTGGAAAGTCTTCACTTATAATGACAAGGTCAACAGGAATGATCGGGCTCGATGGGTGATGAGAGAGAAAAAAATCAAAATAATGATTGATGGTAAGTGAAATAGAGTGCGGCAGTGATCTACGTAAAAGAGAGGATAGTGGAGTTCTCATCCAAGTACAGTCTGTACATAGAAAAGGAACGCCACCCACTCTCACTAGTAAAGCACCTATAAAGAGATCTTGAATATCCGTTTTTAGAACAACTTTCTTGGGTGGTTCGCTTTCGGCTCATGAAAGTATGTCTAATGTAATATGATATCTTGAGGTCAATATTGCAAAGCTAGGTTCGGTGATGTTGCGAGGAGTATGGTTCCAACATTTGGGAGGTCTTTATGATTGGCAGTGCAAACGGGCCCTGGTGGTCTTAGTAACAGCTCTAGTTTGTTGAAATTCAAAGATTTATTCAAACAAAGGGGTTTATCCCCAGTATATATATGTACAGGACAGAAAAGAAAATTTATATCAGCACTCGTCGTAAGCCCTCAGTTCCACCAAGGACTCTCCTGCCAGTAACAGGACATCTTCCCTTACCACTCTCCCATTTCCCGCCTCGCTTGCGAGAACTCTTATCTCCAGAATCGTGTCCATCCGAGGTCTTCATATCGTCATCATCGCCCGTAATTTCCTCCTCCCAAGCTGCACCTGCTCCTTCTCCGTTCATAAAATCCAATTGGCGCTGATGCTCTCCATTAAGCCAGTGGAATATACAGACATAACAAAAGACGTATCCTGTTTGGCAGGCTGTCGGGTTTGCAAGGCTATTCAAGCAGACGGGGCAAGTATTTGCGCTCGACGTCTCAGCAGGTGGTAGAGGAACTGTGAAAATGGGAAGGTAGGATGTAGCTGAGATAGGTGGTTGGTGGCGACGAGGTGCTTTAAGCGCAGATTTCAGATCCGTTGCCGACTTCTTCTCGAGCTCGGCGGCTTGCTTCTTCTCTTTTTCTTCTTGGCTGGCCTTTCGTCGTTCGGCTGGGTTGGTGAGTCCTGAGACGACGGGTGCTGGGAGATCAAGCACTTCGGTCGCCTTGCGGGCTAATTGTCGTGAAAAGTCACTGGCATGCCACCACTCCAGGAACTTCAAGGCAAAGATAGACGCGGGAAGGAAGTAGCGTAGAGAGGTAAGAAGTTGTGGGTAGAGGTTTTGTGGACTGAGAAGACCTAGAAGACCAGAGCCAGGGCGCTGGGATCTGTTACCACCAGGGGCAGGCTTGGGGTCTAACACAGCAGCGATAGCCCGGTGATCCGCGATTCCAAGGCGGCGGATACGCGTTCCAATGAGCCAGAGAAAGGGAGAAGAATACTTGGTATTATCAAAAAGATAGGCAAGGTTGAATGCCAAAACAGAGAAGTAGTAAGCCGCATTCACTGATGGGTATACATTTCGTAGGAACCACTTGTAGTAGTGGAAGATGCGCTGACGCACTGTTGGACGCGGTGGCAGATCATCGCTGGGGTTATATCGGGGACCACCGCTCATGATAAGCGATGCTTGCGGAGCAGCGTGTATATCATATCCTTCGTCAAGCTTCCGCTTCAAGTAGGGGATACCGACCATGATAAGAAGGTTCTTCCATACATCGGCCGAGTGCAGTTTGAGGGCATCGCGGACGGGGCCACCAGCGCCGACCTGAGCGCGTGGGATCTCGCCATTCTTTGTGCGTAAGACACGTTCGCGCTTTAGTGAATAGAAGTTTTCTGTGAATGAACCGCCGAATGTGCGAAGATAATAGCGCTCGACGACTAGAGAAAGGAGGGCATAGACCTCGTCATAGGAATTGAGGATTCGGAGTAGGTATCTTGGATGGCGGTGTGTCGCGACAGCAAGCAAATATCGGAGGGATGGGGGAAGTAGGTCGGACAATTGCTGTTCAGCAAGGAGTTCTATGTGCATACAGTACCCCGGTCAGTGATTCCATCTCGATATTGGGAGTTCCCCGGGGAGTTGCTTTCCCCGCCTAGGCGCGTTGTCCAGACTTACCGAATAGCGATGGCTTGTGCTCATCGAACTCTTGTTGAAGACTAGGTAGATACTCCATTTTCAGGAGTACCGATCATCCTCAACGTCAGCAGTGTGTTGATGGGGAGGAATGGTGGATTAGGGAGTGCTACGGATTGGAGATGGCGGGCGGAGGTCCTATCCCCCATGGCGGCCGGATCCAGTGATCAGCAGCCGAGGCTCAACTTCCCCGAGCGGGAACCCTGGAACTACATACATCTGACAAATAATTGACCAAGTATCATAGAATAGATGTTGTTCTCTGCTTTTTTCTCGCTAATATACAATTACTATACACTATTTTATGATACATGTTGATTTTACTCCATCATTTCGTCCGCCTGTTCAAGAGCCCGCTGGCATTGGTACCACAGATGCGTGAAGTAACTGGGATTCACGTCCGCAGATCGGTATTGGATCTCCGGGTCTGCGATCAGAATACAGCGCATGATCTCAGTAACTATCGGCCCCTGTAAGATGATTGGTATCATTTCTCGGCTCATCATGGGGACCCATGCCGAAAGGCAGTCTCGAACATGTCGCTCTTCTCCGAGATCGGCATGTAGTCGAAACATTTGGGTATAGTCCTCTTGCGTGCGAGGAGCATTCTTCAGAGGAAACTGTCGCCACAACTTCCAAAACCCATCGTAATCCTGACAGATAAGTTGGACGAACATAAGCTTACGCGCCTCTGTCTCGTCGAATGAAACTTGAGCATTTGCAATGATCTTAGCAAGACGAGTTAACATCTGCCGTTGTTCATTCGCCTCTTGATCGGCCTCTCCTAACGACGGGGAAGGCGCCGATGGCATAGCTGCAGCAGTATAGAGCAAATTGAAAACTCTCAGGTTCATAATTTGGGCACCACGCAAACTCAGGCGTTCAAGAACTTGCAGGGCAAGTTCAATGTCGGCTTTGAGTAAAAATGGCACGGATTCAGGCAAGGTACTGTTATTGAGACGCGGTGTCAACAAAGCAGCAACGACATCGAAGCCGAGTTCGTCGGATACTATGGTTGGTGCTTCAGTAACGTCGTCAAGCACCTGATTGAATGTGCTGACAAGGGAATGTTTGCTATATCCAGGGTGCTGTCGGGATACTGCAATTGTGGATAGTCTCAGTCGTAATTTAGCGCTTTCCTGAGATGTGGCGTTGTCTGGTAGGGTGTCATATATGACCCGTAGAAAATCTGTTGATTGGAAATCCTCAGGACCGGTACCAAGCGCAATGCGAGCATCCTCATGGGGGGACTCAGCTAACTTTTTTATCAGGGGCTGGACGATCGTTTCAAACGCAGCCGCCTCGGATGTTGAATAATCCTTAGTTGACTCATCGAGTTCTGCGCCTTCATTGTTCTCGGTAGCTGCAGTACGCTCTGTGTGAAGACCTCTGCGCTGGCCGCCAAATGACCCTGTACTACCGACAGCAGGACGTGAACTCGGTGAAGTAGCAGTAACAGGAGCATCATCTGAGGCAGGTTGAAGTCTGCTACGCTCAGCTCGATCCAAGGTCGCCTGCCATAGACCATCTAGATCAACGTCGGCTCTCTTTTCTTCGGTGAAAATTTGCACCACAACGCTAGTCCCGATGTCAAGCTGACCAAACCCTTCAAACCCAGCCTCGCTCAATGAAGCCTTTTCAGAGCCCTTGTCGACAGTCCCCAAATTCACGCAGATCCAACCTGTAGTAATACCGTCATCCTTCTCATCGACCATTGTGCCCGCGTGGCTAGCAGCACGAGCCCGCTTAGCCTTACGTCGAAGCTTGATCTTCAGCTCATTTCGACCCAACAATCCATCGGCATGCGGTGAAAGCTTGTAGTTCTTCCGTGCCCATCGACACAACCGATCAGCTGAAACATTTAGATGTTTCACGCTGCGAGCAGTACCAACAATCATGATAACATTAGCACCCAAAGCTGCCGGTGTATCAAGACCGCGTAAGTCGAAAAGTTTCAACCCATCTAGACCGATGTCTTTGTACGTGTACTCGAGTAGTGTCTGAAGCATTTCCGGTGAGTTTTCTGGGAGTGTTGGGATGTGGTCTCCGGTTACAGGGCGGAATTCTTTGACTGGAGCCTCTTCCTGGAGATACCAGGGAACATGAGATGCGGTTTCCTCATTTATTTCGATCTCGACTTCGGCCTCGGCCTCTGGCGCTGTTTCCACAGCTGGCGAAAAGGTGATATCTGCAGGGTTCGTAATAGGGGGTCGATCCGATCGCAATGGCGCTATCACGGAGAAAGACCTGGTGGTCAAGTTGGGGCGCGTAGGATATCGGTATCGAGGGAGTGGTACCCCCGATACAGCAAGAAATGAACGAAGTAATTCATTGCGACACGACTGGCATGTAGCCCCTCGTAGTAGAGCTCTACTCATGACTGATGGGGTGATTTGGCACGCGACATGCGGAAATCTTTCTTCGGAGAAGCACCGCAGCGATAACCAATGCAAACGAATCAAAAATGATGAATCATCAATAAGGCACCAAGGCGCCAATTTGTTTGACTAGGGTGCTAACTTACTACATTGTTACAACTGGTAGGTTTGTTCACTAGAGTATATTTTTGGGAAATAATATTATCGAAATACGAGTAATATCAAAGCCCTATAAATGCGAGAAGAGGGGCCTAGGAACTACCTCCACTTCGATAGTTGAAGGGTTGACATATAGGAACTAAGGCATTTATAGACGGAATGATCACAGAACAAACATGGATATCCTAAATAACACCGAATGAGGTAGAATGTACACAGATACCCCGACTCCTTGATGACGGATCCTTTAGAGTAATATGGAAAAAAGATCAAAAGATCTTGCCCAACACCCTCTTCGCATCATCTCCAAAAGTATTCTCTTTCTTCGCCTGGACAACATCATTCTGCACAAAGCGTCTCCGTACAGCAGCTGGCTTGACTTCCTTTGCTTCCGAATCTTGTCCTAAGGCCTCCAATTTCCGCTTCCGCTTCTCCTCATTCTTCTTCGCCATACCATCAGCGACTCGGCCAGACTCAACACCCTCCACAAACACCTTTTCTTCCCTTCGGGCCCTAGCATCCTCTGCCCGTTGGCGTGCGTCCCTCGTGTGGCGCTCATTATTGATCTGCAGGTTCAAGTTAGCAGGAAATCATTTTAATATCCATGTATTGTAATGTCCAACATACCTGATCTGTCAAATTTGCCCATGTGAATCCCTTCAAGTACTTCATCACCCAGACATCATCATGGTAGTATCCACCCTAAGCATTATATTATTAGCGAAGAACGGCCGTATCTTGAATAGTATTGCAAACCTTTTTACCGCCCACAATATTGGCATTCATCGTCTCAGCACAAATCTTCGCCTGCTTCTTCGGAAGCTCAATCCATCCTTCTCCAAAAAGCTTACGCTTATTCGACTTCGCCTGCTTCGTAGCCTTGTTGGTAATAAGCGGTGATAAGAAGACCTTCGATACAGGAGCAAAGCCATAGCTTTCAATCTTATTTTTCAGCGCCATGGGCTTCATATACGGTGGTAACGAGCTGAGATAGATAACGCCGAGCTTTTTCGGTTTCTTAGGCGCTTTGAGGGGCTTGATAGAGGGTGTTTTTGACTTTGTTGTATCGAGGTATGTGTCGCTTTCACCGAGAGCCTTGATATCGGAATCGTTCTCTTCGTCACCTTCTGTAATTGCGTCGTCGCCTGGAGTATTGTCTGATTTGCGGCCCTTCTTGCTTTTAATCTTTGATCGGGACTCGTCTTCCTCGAGTTCGTCCTCGGAGTCCTCCTGCTCGCTTTCTAGACCGAAGAAGTCATTCTTCTCTGCTGTTCTTCTGCGCTTCACGGCGCGGCCTTTTGTTTCTGGCGCATTCTCTTCAGAGTCGTAGCCCTTAGCGTTGTCCGACTCGTCGTCGCTTGGCAGGTCGTGGAGGTCATGTTTTCGTGCTGACATGGTGGGCGAAGGGGATAGAAGCACAGTAAAGGCTTTAAGTGCGATTAGGAATGCTGTACACTTTTCCTCTGGCACGGAAAAAGTAAAGCGTTCCTTATATTGTTGATTTAGAAAAAGGAATGGCGGAATTAAAGATCTCCGCATGGAACTTTTTTTTCTTTGCGGCGAAACCGTGGTCCGTGCACTCCGACCGTTAACTCGCGATTTGGAGAATAAGTGTATGTCACGTGCTCATATATTACGATCCACAAGGCATAGAAACTACAAATGAGATTTTATGATATCAGGAAATAAACCTTTAGAAAGATATGTAGTTAGAAGCCTATATTTCCATGTGAGCTATGCTAAGCTCCTTCAATGCTGAAAGGTAAGAAAAGAAAAGGACAATCCAGGTAGATATCCACGAACGCCAACAGTGGGAATCATATACAAATGCCGAATATTGAATAAGTATAAACAAGTCGATCTATCGCCAGGGATATATGAAATATGCAGCGGATCACAAAAGAGAAAGAAGAGAAAAGCTAAAGCAAGGGGGAAAGCAACCGAGCGAGTTTTGGCGAATAGGAGGGATAAACATCAAACTAGATGCCCAGCGACCATTTCAATCGCTCGTAAACGAAGAAACTGGTGGCGGTCATTGGGACAATCTTGATATAGCCGATTGTTAAGCCGACGAAGAAGCCGCGGAATCCACGCTCTAAGAAGACCGTGCGTCCAGTCTCGACAATTCCGAGACGGCGGCCATCGCCAACAGCTCCGCCAACCTGCATTCGCCGACGGATAACCTCGAGAGGATATGAGAATGTCTGAGAGACAAGGCCAGATACTGCACCCGAGAACAGCTCCGCGGCGGCTGTAAGTTGAAGTCGCCGAGGGCCTTTCTTATGTGATTTTGCTTCCGATCCGGGGATTGTTGTGTACCGTTCTACGCTACGGTGGCGAAGCCAGTCACCAACCGTATCGTGAGTGAGGAACGACATACCTGCATAGGGAAGCATGCCAAGGAGTGTCGGTACGAAGCCGCGATAAAAGTTTGCGATACCTGATCGAGGTACGACGGCGTTTACTGTTGAGGAAACGGTTTCGGCTGCGGCGACTGTGGAAGGGGGCGGTTGCGATGCGGATGATGCGGCTACGGCTGCAGGGTCTGTGGAGGGAGGAGTAATTCGTTCACCGTATATCTGGCGGCAAATATCTAATAATGACGATCGCGATGATTTCTTCGTCTCGAAAGCAAGTCGAACGCGAACCAATTCTAGCGGGTATGTGAAAAAGACGGACGTGATTCCTGCTATGCTACCGGACACCAAGCGGCGTATCGCGGTTTCTTTATCGTGTGAGGGTATCATGGCAGCGCGGATCTGTTCATAGGCGAGGAATTTGATGGCGGCGTAAGGGAAGATTCGGAGAAGGGTGGCGGAATGGCCTTTGTAAAGACCGCGAGCACCTTCATAGCGCTTGATGTCCCTGATGGCAGCAGCAAGGCCTGCCCAGCTACCGGTGTATTTGGCGAACTTCGGATTTGAGGCCTGGAAAAGAATCTTGACACGGTCAAGTGGCGCTACAACTGTTTTAGCCTATAATAGTGATCAATCTCGGAATTAGTACATTGCCGCACTTGTTGCTTTGTTCATGCCCGGCACGATCGAGCATCTTCGCACACTTACCGCACAGCCAGCCAATCCTCCAGCTAGACCGCTCCGCAGAACATAGTCCAAGCTGCGCTTCTTCACTGTCCCATTCTTATTCGGTCCATCCCCGCTGGTAGTGGGGAGAATCTTTCCCGCCGTATCGCCTGCAATCGCGGCCGAGGATCGTGGATGTGCGATCTCACTCATCTGCGGAATGTGGTATTGAGACGCTCCGTGACAATGCAAATTGAAGTATTCGACTAGAAGATAGCGTTTTCTAGATGCACATGGTCTGCCGTATGTGTGTAAAGGGTAGGACGAGTCGAACCGAGGCCTAGGGCTCCAAAGAGGATCTGGGGAAAACGGTATTGCCCCCTCGTGATTCTCGGCGAGAACCCGGCAGAAAACTTTTGGGGGAGATCTCTCGGGCTAACGGGTGATCATCGGGTTTTATGATGCGACCATGCAGATGTTAGGCTAATTTTATTTGAGCAGATCAATAAGAATTCAAACAGCACTGGTTATTCAAAGGTTTCGAAAAGTTTCAAGAAACAAACAGAGTCCGGAAATATTTGGAATGGGGTAGTTTATGGGGCAGTTTAAAGTCGGGAGGCAAAGAGGGCAATGACGCACCGCGAGTAGCCGAGGAAGAGAGATACGGACCGAAACTGGCAGTGGCGGAAGCAGCAAAAAGCCGACGAGTCCCGACCCGCGAAATGGTCAGCCAAATGTGAAGTGTGGATTCTCTATGTGCTTTCATTCTATCTTGTTGCTCCCCTTTTTGCATACCATAGACGGTATAAAACCAAAAAACAAATAATGATAATAAAACAATCAAAGCAATAGAACAAATGGTAGGGAGAATTTAAAAAAAAAGAAAAGTAATCAGAAGTAAAATATTGAAAATGAACAACCTCCCCCCGACTCCTTCAGTCTCCCAAATGCATGGAATGTGTACAAATCACGAATCACCGGTTCACCAACCCCTGGACAGAAAGAAACAAAGAAAAGAATAAGTTAATACACCAAAAAAGAAAGGGCAAAATTCGTGGTCGCATGAGCTCCTCGGTGCAGAACCAGCCAAACAGCTCCAAAGAAACCCCAATTATCCACGACGTGAGCCGCGTCGGGACAAAGGCTTGCCACGAGTAGCTTTAGCTTCGCGGGTATCGTCAACTGCCCGTTTGTAACGCTTGGCTGGGCGATCAGGGTCTACATGAAGATGACCAATGTCAGAGAGAGCAGCCGTGTTTCGCCAGCGAAGACAGCGAAGGCGATGTTCATTGACATCCACATAGGTCTTGGTGCGCGTAGTCACTCGCTTGGTGGGCATCTCCTCAGATTCAGCCCGCTCGGCTCGTTCACTGAGGTATGCCTCGCGGTTCTTCATATATTTGACAATGTTTCTTTGTTGGAGGTGGAGCTCCTTGAGCAATTTACTTTCCCTGTTGCCACGACCGTCCAACCACGCAATCAACTGTTCGATTGTGTCCGGGTCATCATAGTAGCCCCATTCTCGGGCATGCGAGACATGAGTGGACCCTTCCTCATGCTTCTTGCGCTCAGCTGGAGTAGTCTGGAAATGTTTTTGATATTGCTTGCGCTGTTCATCGGTCAAGTCAATAAAGCCGGATCGTTCCAACTCGTCGGGTCCCTGCACCCAAAGGCGGCCATTGGCGTAACGTGCCTCAGCAGTTGAGCTGTTCGGCATGCCTTCATAAGGCATCGCATTGCGTTCAAACCACCAATAACGGTTACAAAATCGATCCAATCCAAGGCATCGAGTTCGGGGGCAGTCAGCCTCGCGCAAATCATTGTCGACTACTTCAATCTTGTCCTCAATCTTCGTGATCTTGGCCTTTTGCTCGTCGATCTTCTTCAAAACTCGTTGGTACTGCTTGGTTCCCTTGGGCTGTTTAGCCAACTGTTCCTTGCGCTCTCGCTCCTCATCTTGTTTCCGTTTCCTCTCCAAAACCCGATCGACTCCTCCACGCAGTGCGCGGGGTCTGGGAGTATCATCATCATCGGTATCCATAGGGATCTCTGAGTCGCCTTCGATTCCAGTGAGCTTTGAATCATCCAAGCCTTCTCCCTCTAGCTCTGGAATTGGCGAAGGTGATTTCTCTGGCTCTGGTTGAAGTGCCTTCCGATCCTGGTGCAGCTGTCGAAGTTCACTCAAGCTGCGAAAAAAATAGTTAGCCCCGAAAGTAAGCCCGAAGCGAGAGTTGAATTATACTTACGCAGCTTTGCGGGCTTTCTGGTGTTCAATCTTTTCCTTCCGGAACTCCGTCATCTGGTTACTACATTCTTCGAGGTAATTTCGGATTGCCTTCGTCTCCAGACTCAGCATAGTAATCATCTGAAGAGCCTTGGAACGCAAATTGATATCAAGGGTCCGGTATTGTTCTTGGGCGGTCTGCTGAGTAGGTGGTTCGTCAAGTGGAGCAAGATGTTGTAAGATTTCGTTGCATGTCTGTTCAGAGCGAGGGCGAAGAGATAACTGGTGCAATAGCCCAATCATTACGAGTTCCCAGCCACCGTTGCGGAAATCGCGCTTTCGAAGACGATCCACCCATCCATACTTTTCGAACATTTCAGCTGCGCGATGGATGCGGACCTCAGCAGGTTCTTCCTCGTCGATGTGCGCCTTTATCTCTTCTGCCTCTTTCTTAGCTAGACTGCTGCGAGTGGTCATTCGAGTAGCTTTCGCCGGCGGCACTTCATCTTCTTCATCTTCTTCTTCTTCATCTTCTTCATCGTCTCCCTCGTCATCTTCGTCAGATTCATCAGAATCCTCTGAAGGAAAATCTGGAAGTGATATCTGAATTGCACCGTCGTCCTCTTCGGCGTTCACGAGCTTCTTCAGGATAGCACAGTGTAATTCAACGAGCAACTCGCAGTCAATTTCCTCTGATGAGAAACGCATGGCCTGCAAGTAATCATCGAACGTGAAGGAGTCCAACTGAAATACCTCACAGTAAACATTGAGGGTATTCCATGTTTCGAGAAGCAATCCGACAGATTCAGGTTCTACATCGTCGGGTAGAAGGTCTTCGGCTCCGTCGTCATCCGTCTCTCCTAGCATAAGAAACTTCAATGTCGGGCGGGGGCTCTTGTCAGGGCGTGGGGCAAGTTCCAAATCCTCGATAGGATATTTGATCGGCGGTGGTGACGGGGGTCTAGATTCGTTTTTGACAGCAGCAGGCGGTGGCATCTTCTTGTCTCCAACTTGCGGGGGCTTAGTTGGACGTAAGGGGTTAGATGGTGGCAGGAAAGATGGGTTCCCGTTCAATGACCGCTGGTATTCTTGATATTGAGCCTCTCGTGACTTGGCCAATTCCTGTGCTGAAACCTTCGATTTTTGTCCTTTGACAGCAGGCTTCAACTCTGGTAATTGCTGAGAGGCGAAGAAGCCAAAGAAGCCATCTTGGTCGGCTTTTTTCATTGCTTTCTTCTCGGCAACCCTCGCGCCGTATTGCAAGTGCTTGGGAATATCGACAGAGATCTTGTATTCTTCTGCAGCCGAAGGCTTGACGAGCCAGGGCGCACCCGTCCAGGATTCTCGAGTAACATTATTTTTGATAAATCCTCGCAGCATCAACTTCGTGAATGCTTTACGGTCACGGGTGATATGGTCTTGGTCCAACAGTGCCTCCTCATTCTGTCGGTCTGAGACTTTCACGAGATACCGGGCAAACGCTGGGGTCTTAATGGTCCCGTCAGCATAGAGTTGTTCGGCGAAGTTAGCCTTGTCTCGAATTGTACCATGGAGCCTCGTGCTATCCTCTAGTAGAATTAGGACGGGCTCTCCAGGGTAAAAGTCATGCTTAAATTCCTAAATGAGTGTTAGTTGGATAGAGCCCACTAATACTCGACAAAGGAATCTCACTTCAAAGACCTCGTCCACTATGATTCAAATAGATTATTAGTATGGACATGATATAGGACGAATTACAGGTCAACTTACCCAAATTGTCAACCCGTGAAACGGTAGAGAATTGGATACGGCGCAATATGGGCTCCTTCAAAGCCTCTGGAAACGTATTATTTACCTCGCGCGATTCTTCCATCTATTCGCGAAAGTTAGTCTCCTTCCCAGATGTCAATCTCTCAGCTAGCACTGTGATCACCAACCTCACTACGCAACGCCTCGAAAAAGTTCAGGCCCGAATGGCCTGTAATTTCGCAAATAAACCGGCGTTGTTTATAAAAGTCCATACGCGACAGGTATGGCTCGTAGCTTATGAAGACCTCGCTGGTCTCGGGTATAACCCATACCTGTGGTGCGGGGTGCTGTCAATAAGAGAATTCCTGTTATTGTAGAATGCGACGAGATGATACCTCGGAATTGTCATCTTCGATGACGGGTCGGGGGAGATATTGAACGGGTTTTCGTTTGAACAGGACCTGGTTTTCCAATGTAAGCCAAAGCTCTCACTGGAGATCTATGCTTGCACCGCCAGTTTCGTACGCGCGGCCAGCTACTTCTCGCAGTGAATAATTCGGCGTACCATTATCTTATAATTTCGTAAAGACACGCGCCGGACTACCGGAAAAGATCGCAAATAACGTCGAACATGAAACGGCTACTAAACCACGCGACTCTAATTAGCGATTCATGCCGCATCATGCAAGTTTAAAAAGTCGGGAACAGAAGAAAGCGAGTACACAGCGGTATAGAATAGATGGGTATAGATAGGGTGGGACTGGGGCAGCTCATAGAAAAGTCCGATCTTGGACTATTTCTAATCCTGGGAGAAGGAATTATGCCGGTGGTCATCATGGCGACCTGGGCTTGAGCGAGCGGAGTGCAAAGGCGTCACATAAAGCTCAAGCGACGGACTTACCGGAGAAACGCGTCGTGAATAGCGTCGCGATAGTTCAAAAAAGCAGTGGTGGAGTTTATAGAAAATTGGTGGTGGATCAAGGAGGGTGGACGCGCTGAGTTGAAGAGGAATTGGGGAAGGAAAGAAAGCAAAAGGTCGAAAAGGTTCAAGGCCCCAAAAGAGGAGGAAGCGGTAGATCAACCGCGAATCGGCGGTGGACGCTGATTGGCGGAGAGGAGGAGCAGCGGGAAGTCAAACACAGCAGAAAAACCAACTTGGCGCTTTGCAATCCATTTCAATCCCAAGACCCTCCTTGCTCTCCTACTGTCTTCTTGCCCGTACTTCTCGTCCTTCATTATCCATCCACTCCACCATCCACCCTAGTATTTACCCTCTTTCGACTCGTCGCAATCCGGAGAATTCATTGGTGAATTTTGTATTTAATTTAATCCCCGTTTATCCTGCGCTTTTGTCAATTATCAAATAACCCCACAGGGCCACCTCTCCCACGATCATGCTCGAGTCCCAAAAATGACTGTGAGATGCGTGATAACTCAATTTTTTCCTCCACCACAATACTTACACATGCTCACCAGAGACCCAGAAATGGTTAATATCTTTGATCTTGTCCTTTTGACAATAAAAATAGTCATTAAAAAAAACTTTACCGACTATATCTTTCTTCTATAAAGATCTATACCAATTCGGGACGTCGCAATGTCCTTCTAGTTCTTACCCATATCCCCATATCATATGTATAAAGTCTTCGTTTTCGAGCACTTTAATGGATGCTATGGTATTAGGCTACACATCCAATTGTTAAAACTGTTTCTTCTCCTGCAGAAGGACGGCATAAAGATTTCTTCTTGTCGCAAGTACTCGCAGCATGGGCTAATGGCCTCCATGCTACCTCTGATAAGAACTGAATGCATGATCTCAGGGCCTGGTTTTGATCAGTGACAAGAAGAGTTACGAAGGAAATTTGTTCTATCGCGTGTCAGAATGACCCGGTCTGACTTCTGGTATCCATTGGATATGCCTCTATAACAAGCATAACCCTATAAATCCCCTATGATCTGGCAAAGATGACAGACTATGTAGATGAGTTATTATTCTCTTTATTCTAAATTCATATACTAACCCTTCTAATAATGTCTAGTCTGAGACGGCGATGTCAGGGTGACTCAAAGGAAACGACAGGCATCCATTATGACGCGCATGTTCATACTTCAAACACTAAGAGACGCTCTCAATGTGGGCCCTGATAAACTTCTGTCAAGCTGTCAGCTATTTTAGAGAAAACGAAGAGACTGGAACTTGTACGCCAGCCTTGGAATTTAATTAACAGTAATTACAGCCCGAAGTTTTTGCAAGAAACATGTGTATCTTGAGCCTTTTGCAACTATACTATGTATGTATCTCGACTTGAAGTGCACTAGATAGGTACGAACTTTATTAAACATAATTTAGGCTCAACGGGAAATGAATTCCCGCACAGAAATAGTTCCATCGAAAAACACTCGTAGATTCAAGCAAAATATCGAAATAACACCCTGATTCAGCATTGGGATTAGTATCCTGGCCGCGTCCTGCAGGCGGAATGCAGCATGGAACTCGCGCGGAACAGACTAGCCCCTTTAGGAATAGCGTGCATGTTAGATTCCGGTTCCCAGTCTTCGGTGGGTCTGGCCCACGTGGTCAGCCAAACAGTGCAAACACTACATCATCGCTACTAAATAGTCAGGTTAATTAAGCTGATCAGCTAATGTAGGCAATTTAATTATGACACAACAGAGCGTCAATTCTACCTGCGAGCTGGAAAAATAACATTGGAAGTAAGCAGTGAGCTCTGAATTTCTATGGAATGATCGTGCACTTTTTTGTTTTGCTCCAGCAACACCGCTATGCAGTGAAATACACGACCATAAAGCCAACCCAACTGCCGACTACTCCAAGCGCAGAGTAACTGCTCATAAACATAAGGGGCAAAAACTGCAGCTTTTCAAATCCGAAGATAAGCTGGTGTATCAAAGAGCAATATACAATCAGGGGAATTGCAAAAGTCAGATACAGCAAGGACAAGCGGTCGAATACAAAGACGCGGCGGCGTTCGGGAACTGGTGCGACTCGGTCAAATACAAAGAGGAACAGAATCAGCCAGAACACGGTGTACACGATCTTGAGTGGAAATTCGGCGGCAGTGAACAAGAGTGGGAAGAGAGATACGTGGCCGGCTACTGCAAGCGGCCGGAAGGCGCTGAAATAGCGGCGATCCTTGAGAGCGATGAGGCTGAACGGAATGATAATCAAAAGAACGGCTTTCTCGTGGACATGCCAGCCGAAGAGGAAAGATGCATAGCCACAAAGAGTCAGTGCTCCGACGAAGGTATCCCAGTCAGGCTGGAGCCATAACTTCACTAGAGGGACCTAGAGGTGGTATGAGTAGAATATTCGCCAAGGGAGAAGAGAAGAATTGTACTCACCAGTTGGAATATGAATGTGAGCAGAAATGTTTGCTCACTGGCCACTTCAGGAAGGATCGCGAACGACGTGTCTCCCACAAGCCCCCGAGTAACACTGTTGAGTGCCTCTAGATTTACAGGCAGACCAAGGCGTGGGGCCACTGGGAAATCGAATCAGTATACTTTATCATTTTGAATCAAAATGCCATGGTGGAACGGATAGAGCTTACATGGAATTAGAGCTCGATCTGTGAAGGAATACATAGCCCAGATGTTAGGTGCCCAATACGCATGGCACAGTCCTCGCGAAAAGGGGAAGAGTCGGTCTTTCAATTGAAGTATTTGACCCCATTGGACAAAGGGACCGAATGCGATTGCAAAAACCCCAACAACGCAAACTCCAAGTTTGATGATATTGCCAAATCGCGGTCGCAGGAAATTCTTGGGGTCGAGGCAGTATGAGCGCAGCAAGTAGACAAAATAGGCGAGGGAGAGGTAGAGGTATATGTGCTTAAAGCACAAAAGGACTGCAAAGATTATTCCGCTAAACAGCTTGTAATTTTCACGAGCTAGAACGATGGACAGAATCAATATTCCATACATGAACCCATTGTACTGGAAATGGATATGGTCGATGATGAATAGACCCGGCGATAGGAGAATAGAGACACTGGCGACGTGTGCAGCCTGTTTATTGGCAAGCGGAGTAGACTTGATGAAACTAAAGGAGGCATTGAATTAGCGCTGCAAGCTTCAGAGATGTGGCTGCTACCTACCGGCTTAGCGCATAGACTAGAACGAGCTCAGTCAAGATGACGGTAGCTCTCTGGAAGTATATGGTCTCCCATGAGTCGTATCCTAGGTTCTTAACAACTAGCATTGCCGGGTCGATATACGAAGCAGCTTGCGACATCAGCCATTCGAATGCTGCAAAGAATGGGGGGTAGTCTAGAGTCCATTCTGATGTTTTCTTGGAAACGGTTAGGGTCAATTGCGCTTTCGTTTATCGCATGTGGTAGACTGACTTCGTAATACCATTCTTTAACTGGCAGTGAGTGGGTGATGGCAAGCCAATTGCGGTGGACCTCGAAATCAGTGGATTTGCTAGACACGGGTGCGGGACACGGTTAGAACATTGTTGAAATACATCATCCAAATAGGAGGCACTCACTAAGCTGGAAAGAGGAGCACTTTAAGAGCACCCGCAACGATAGCGCATTGCGCCAATGAGGGATAAAGCTCAGCCATTGGAAGAGCGGGGCATTATTTCTGGAAGAATTCGCGTCGATTGGAAAGAAAGAAAATAAAGATGAAGCTCCTCCGCATAGGAGAATGTCACGTGCTTATGCGGAGAACAAATCGGGAGAAGGCCAGGTATCAACAGCTAAACCCACTAGTGCAGCTTAATATATTCCGCATGGACTTAAACGACGTCGGAATCCGACACACCATACTCAACAGTGTCCAACTAAATCACTTCATTGACTTTTCTCCGTCCTCAGCTGTTATTGCCAAGGAACTTCGCCTTTGCGTGATTGCTATCGTGGTTGGGTGGATCACCACTCGTGTTGTATCCAGCATCTGTGAACTCCCCGAAAGATCGACATCCTGCGAACATTGTGATTCCAATCATTCGAAGCGACCTAAGACTAAAGAATAGGTGAAACATAGCCCCACTGGAGCTATCTATATTGGATTGTCTTGCGAGAATTTGGCCCCTCCTTTCTTACAGCTCTTCAACTCTTTCCACCCTATCATTACTACCACCACAATGAAGACTTTCACTTCTCTAGCGCTGCTTGCTGTAGGCGCTACAGCCCAGGTCATTGAAAGCGCAAGCTTTGGCTATGGCAAAACGTAAGGATCCGCATCCCATGTGTCTTTCCCCCTTTGATCCTGTGTCTAACACCTATTCAAAAAGTATCTCCCCAAGTCGCGATTCAATTCCAGGGTGGACTATTGGTGGAGAGGGATTTGACCCTTCTTTGGTAAGTCTACTACTTTTCTATGTGAACTAAACTGCGTCTAACATATGCCTAGTTATCCGATAAACTTATTTTAACGCCTCCATACCCCGGAAATGCTCGAGGATCAGCCTGGGCACAGAGCCCGTACGTCATACTTCCCAAGTCAACATTGGGCAGCGCTAATGACTGATTATAGTATCTCTCAGCCTGAGTGGTCCGCCGAATTCCAATTCCGAGCCAGTGGTCCAGAACGCGCCAGCGGCAATCTTCAATTATGGTACACAAAAGATGGACAGGCACGCGTGGGGACATCCAGCATATACACCGTGGGCCCGTTTGATGGGCTTGCACTGGTGATCGATACACATGGCGGAAGGGTACGTCGCAGTTCTTTCGTGACAAAAGTGAACAATGGCTGACCGAAACAGGGTGGAAGCATTCGTGGATTCTTGAACGACGGAACAACAGACTACAAGACTCATCGTAGTGTCGACAGCTTGGCCTTCGGTCACTGCGATTACTCTTACCGTAACCTCGGTCGCCCCTCTGTGCTAAAGATCAAGCACACCAACGCGTTCTTCGAGGTTACCGTGGACGACAAGGTCTGCTTCTCGACGGAAAAAGTACGCATATGACAACGAAAAGTTACCGATAGATATTTGTCATTAGTACTAACTATCCATTAGGTCGTACTTCCATCTGGAAACACCTTCGGTATCACCGCCGCTACCCCCGAGAACCCTGACTCCTTCGAGATCTTCAAATTTGTCCTCGAGTCCGCGGCTGGCCAAACCATTCCTCAAGGCAACATCCCGCAGCAGGAAAAGCAGCAACCGATCGTGAACCAGGAGATTCCGCCAGTGGCCCAAGCTGGCTCCGGCTCTGACAAGGCTTCCGCGGCTCAGTTCTTTGACCTCAGCAACCGAATTCAGTCTCAGAGCAAAGTCTCCAACACCATCGTCCAGGATATTAGAGCGCAAGGGACTAAGAGTGAAACTCGTCACGCCGAGCTCCTCCGTCTCACCGCATCAAAGGACCAGGTGGCTTCTCTGGAGGCCCGTCTTCAGCGCATGGAGTCCATGCTCCAGAGCCTCCAGCGTGATCTGGAGGGTAAGGACTATAGCAGTCGTTTCAACCAGCTCCATGACACCCTGAGGTCTTCGCATGTTACCTTGAGCGAGGCTCTTCACGGTCACCTGTTGAGTGGTAAGTAACAGAAATAGCATCGAGTCCACAATACTATCAGAAGGGTACTAATTCCATTCTTTTCAGCTATCACTGCCTCGACACCGCGCATGGGATTTTTCATCTTCCTCGTCATTGCATTCCAGGTGTTCCTGGCTGGCTCCTACGTCCTCTACAAGCGTCGCCGTGCTAATATGCCTAAGAAGTTTCTCTAAGCGTATTGCGTTTTATTTCCTTTTTGGAAAAGCCCACAGCTATTTTACTGATGTCTTGCATCCATGATACTATTGCGTATTGAGATAATGCACCTCTGTGACGGAGAAACGATAGGATTCGACTCGGTATTGATAATGGCTTGTTCTTCTCATGTTTTGTGTTATGTATTGGCTTTTATGTCTTTTGTCTCATTGGTTTGGCGCTAGGCTTATGTGTCCGCCGATTTTCGGACTTTTCATGTAGAGTACGAATTCCCCCGTTGAAATTTTATTGAGTTCGGGATTTTGTTAACTCCGTTTGCGTCCTTTCCTTTGTTTAGATTGATGATAGAACATTAAGCCATAAATGAAGAAGAGGTAGAAAGTAAAGGATATTGATGGAAAAAGCGAAGTGAAAAAAAACTTCAAGGTCAAGAAATGGATTCGGCCATTTCTGCCTATGCTATCGTACAGATGATTCTTCGAAAAGGCGCCGTCCCATGCTCACATAACGATTTCGCAGATTGTTAGAGGGAGAAAAAAGCAAGAAAATGCAATCGTCAAAGTGCGGAAAGACGATGAATAGAACTGGTGGTCCAGAAAAAAAAAACGCGGACAGAAGGGCTAGCACCGCGGAGCAAAAAGGGAAGAACGGAGGAAAGGAAATATTAATGATGGGAGTTGAGTTACTCAGCGACTTCACTCTCCTGTGGATCTTCCTCAGTATCAGTAGTCGTAGTTGGAGCCTTTGTGGGCTGCTCGGTCGGAGAACTTTGAGGTTGTTGTGGTTGAAGGGCGGCCTGAGCCAGATCAAGGAGACAATCGGCAGCCTCGAACTCCTCGTCACGGCGAAAGCCAGTTCGAACACGACGTATTTCAGAGTCGCAGAGAGCATCAAATTCATCCAGCCATTCTTTGGAAGTGGCCGAGAATCTGGAATCGTTCGAAACATTTGAGAGAGTTCTTGTAGCCAAGTCCTTCATTGCAAGTTTCGTGACCTTCAACATGTGCTTCTTTACACGCTGGGCAGTCTCATCATTAATGTTCTTTTGATCTGATTTGACAGTCTTCACGAAGTCCATGACCACGTCACCAGCAGGGACACGAATGCGACTTTCGCGCCACTCATCATCAAAGGTGCTTTCATGGTCAGACTGAGGCAGGATATCCAGGTCAATGACGTTAACTTTCTTGGGACGACGGACACGGCGCTCTTGCACCTGGCCGTCAACTATTTTGGTGGCGATCATGTCATCGGGAGAAAGATGGTTGGGGCACATCCAGCCAGTGACAGGGTTAGGGGGTGCAGCGAGGGGAGGGTCAAGACAGTCCAGATGGAAGCGGCAGGTGCAGTAGTCGCATCTGATTATGGGACGTACATTGTCTGAACATCTGCCACACCCGTCACAAAGAACCACTTGCTTGTTGTCAAGCAGTTTGGTCAGGTTGCTGTCATTGTAGACTGGTGCTGCGGTTCCAGCTTTGGGTGGCTTAGTCAGACGGGGAATGTGGGGGACAGACATGTAATAGCGCTGGTTCTTCACGTCGGTCGGATAGCTTGGATCGTACTGAACGCCCTCAGCAACACCAAGGAAATAATCTTTGATCTCATCTGGTGGAGAGAACTCAGTCTTTCTAAAGTGGTTGCCCTTGATGATCGAGAATGTGAATAAATGTTTGGTGTCACACGTTGGGCAGTACCACTCCTGCTCATCTTTGAGCGAGCCCTTGTTCAAGGATTTGAGGCATTTGAGGTGGAAAGCATTTTCGCAGGTATCGCAGCACAGCAATTTGCCACCTCCATCGCATATAATGCAGTTATCCATGTTTTCATCTTCAAAATCTCTGTCGCTGTAAAATATCACATTAGTCAATTAGGATCGGACAAGCTTCCCAAAACAAAGATAACATACATCGATTGCGGTCGGTGCCGCTCATCCCAATCCTTATCCCATTCGTTTACTCGGTTAGAGTAGCATGAATTTGATACATCAGAAAGTTCATCCGTGTTATCGGCAGATACGGATCGTGTAGCTGATCGAAGGCGGGCACTCGCAGAAGTGCAAAGTTCTTTGGCCTTTTGTTTTTTACTTTGGAAGTTTAGCGCGCGATTCTTGTTCTTCTGGCCCTTTGTCATCTTGATGACCTTGTCGTTCTCGGTGTTCTTCGTGCTCCCTGTCGGGCTCTCTGTCCTCTTGGCCCTGCCTTTGTCCAACATCCTTTGCCGCTTCTGAGAACGCTGCGTGCGAGGAGAAAGAGAATGTGATGGAGGAGAAGTATCTGAATTGTCATCGGAATCAGCCCCCGCATTACGATGCTGTATTTCTGCCTCCTCCAGTAAAGGACGGACAGAACTAGAATCAACAGGAAGGTCCTCGGGCTTGGATTCATTTGCAAAGCGAGTGCGTTTGCTTTGGATGTTTTCTTCCATGGATAGATCTGACTCCCACTCGCGACGTCGCTTGAAAGGAAGCTCGTTGGCAGGACATGGTTTCTTGGCACGTTTGATGGGCGCAGTGTTTGTTTTGCCAGTCACAAAAGCTTCTTCCAGTTTTGGACCAGAGACATCTCGATATACGTCAGAGACTTTAAAGGAAGCTTTGTGAGTTCCAATTTCCAGAGTTTTGACGGATGATAAATCAGAGTCACTGCCTGACTCATAACCATTAAGAACGTCTGATTGAGCATGCTTCTCGTTGAATGTGCGGTACCACTTTGACGCATCATCCGCAGAATGTCGTAGAATTGTGCGAAGTGCAAGATCAAGATTGTGGTCCTGTTCATTGGATTTGCGGCCTAAATTATGAATCAGGGCCAACTTGAACTCGTCATCTTTCGCTTCAGACCACAAGTAGACGAGACTCAAGGCTACTGTATCGTCGGTAGAGCATTTGCAGTAGGAGATAGCCCTTTCCAGAACTTTTCTCGCATTGAGAACATCATAGGTCTTTGATTTTGGCAGAGGCAAGTATTTCAACAAAGCGATGAAATCACGCCGCGTGGACTTATCAGTATCTGAAGCCATTTCAGTTTCTGCCCCTGCTGTGGCCGGAGGTGATTGTGTTTGGTGGAAGGGGTTTTCAGCGTGAGACGCAGGAGGCTGTGTGTCGGTGAGGGGAAAGGCTGGGTCAGTTATGATCTCGTCGGCAGGTGTAGAAACAACAGTCTCAGCCGGAGAAAGTGATGGGTGAGCAGTTGAAGGTGGAAGAAGGTGAGGTTCAAACGCCTCGGAGATTGGAGTAGCAAGGGTGGTTTTAAGGGCCTCGTCTTCATTCACTTCCTCCGCCATTTCGGCATCTAATTCCCTCTCCACCTCATTCTCGATAGAGCTCCTCAATGCCACCGGATTTATTCCCTCGTTGAATTTGTCGCCCTTTTTGTCCAAACAAAGAATGTCAGAACTCATAGGTTCATCGGCGGTTGGGGTCATGGGGGTGTCGGTGGTCATGAGGTCTTCGTCATCTTGGTCGGTACGTGTCACCAGCTTGGCAGTCGCAAGTACATGTTTAGGCGGCGGTTTCAAGCCGACACTTTTGTACTCTGCCAGAGAGGGATACTCGCCGATCGGCTTCATGGTGCTGAGGTGTTCGCGGTTCAGGGCGTTGGTAGAATCGGCTTTCGCCTTACTCGAGGACGCGCAAGCGACCGGATGTTCCTGCCATTTGGCCTCGTTGGACTTCTCGGGGGTGTCGATCAGAGCTTCATTGCCCGTGTGCGCGGATTTGGCGCGTTTGCGACGCGAATTTTGCTCGAGGTTGGTGGTTTTCGCAAGGTCGGCGTTCGCGGGTTCAGGATCAGCCCGATGCTTGGAGGATCGAAGAAAGTAGCCCATCGCGGTAGGCGGAAGCGTCTAGCTAGGGTTAGTGCCGCGCCCAGCCGTGCCCTAAGTTTCTCTGGCCCAAATAGCGCTTGATGGACAAACCCAGAAATTAAAATTGAAAATGTTGATTTCACTCGACTTCTTCAAAATCCAGATGGAGACTCTTGAAGAGCTCAGAAATGGCAAATGCGCTGCTGTTTCCAAGCAGCACAGCTGCGACGGTGAAAGGTCGAAATGGAGAGCGAGTAGGTTCAGCTGTGCATTTTTCAATCACAACTGAGGTTTGGAGACAGAGAGGGAAGCGAATGCTTTCAAAGAGTTGAAGAACAGAAAAAGTGCTGCTTAGGTGTGAAGACCAGAATAGCTGAGAGAAATGAAAACGATAACAGGCATCTCGTCGCCCAAGGCTTCCTCCATAAATGACAAGTAGAACCAGTTAGGCGGAGGGAAAGAAACGGATGGCTGAAATGAAGCTAGGACATCTCTTTACGCCCACGACGAACTATTTAGTCGGTGAATGGATATCAAATGAATGGCAGTGCCATACGGTGGCAAAAATTGAAGAAAAACAGCTCTGGCTGTCAAATATCAAACTCGAATATCTAGATCTTTAGGTCTGTGTTGGTAGAATCTCGCCTCCAACTAAAGATCAATATTAGCTCAGGAGGTATAAAGAGATGCTCAAAATCGCTCTTTGATACCCCAAGATTGGGTTGGGTTTGACAATTTCTTTGTGCTCGTGAATCGGTTCATCAACTTCAAATTTCAAAGCTATACCCTACGCCGAAGCTGCATGTGTTTCCATAAACAGTCCAGAGAATAAGTATCTGCCAACCTTTCGATAGGACCCTATGCAAGTAGTCCCCAATATAATATAAGCTTGACCATTCAAGCTGATACTGAGGATGATTGCTTCCGTGTTTGTAGCCCTGGACAATAAGAATAACCAGCATAAGAAGTCTAATATATTGATCTGGAACAGCCCTCTACGTTCAAAATTGCAAAATAATTCTCCGAGAAGAGCTAAGATTTTCTGTCTAGAATAATCCAAGAGCTACTATTATTCTGCTACTATTCTGAGTCTGGGCCATTTATCTCCATGCATCTACTAATTCATCTCATAGTATGCATTATCACAGGTGCCTCGTCTGGAATTGGGAGATCTACCGCTCTTGCTTTTGCTCGGGAAGATGCTGCGCTTGTTGTCTGTGGTGATATTCGCCGTGCGCCAGCTGGATGACCAACCTTGCCAGTACTGTCGCCTTGAGAGAGGCTCGAGCGGGACGTAAGTATCACCCAACGATGCATCTTAAGAAATACCACTGGAATGAGAAAGATAAAGGATGGTACCAGCGAGATAGGGAAAGCAGCAGTTTTTCTGGCTAGTTATGAGTCTGCATGTACATGGAGAGTTTGCGGTCCACCTTTGGTATTCAAATGGAACATTGGAGACTAGATATCTTTACACACGAAAAGGCGTATGACTCTCTTGGGGGGCCTTGAAGTTTGAAGTACTACTTAGAAATTGACCAGTCATCAATACTTCCAAGGCTTGATATTCAACCTTAGAAGTTTCACCCACTTTGAATAAAAAAGTATGTATCAACATCTCTACATACAGGGTTTAATTTTCATTTAGTTTTATGTCATAGTATGAGAAGCTGGTAATGTCCCATGGAAATCTCGTAATTGGATATCTTTTTGTTTTGTTGCTATTTTGTATTACGATTTGTCCCAAGTTTGGAGAGTATGTTGCGTATTTAGACACGACAAATATTTCATACCTTGCGGCATTTACTCTTCACCGGTGGTCTTCTTCTTCTTGTTCTTGTTCTTCTTGTTGCCGGTAGAGCGAGCAATGGGTTGCTCGAGGATCTTGAGGATTTCCTCGTCTTCGATCTTCTTGTCGGACTTGAACTGCTCAAAATCGGGGGCGGCGGGGGCAGCGAGCTTGGTAATACCGTTCTTGGTGATGGCTGCAATATCATCAGTGACTATTCTTTATATAACGTGTCGTATTCAAAAACTTACCAATGGTACTCAGAACACGAGAGACAGGGGAGTTGTCAGCCTCGCCGGCAGGCTCGTACTGGCGCAGAACACCACCACGAACACACTCAACGACACCAACCTTGGCGGCCTTCTCATCCTCGAGTTGGCGCAAGCTGAAGGGGAAGGTACCGAACTTCTTGACGACCTCGGAAAGAGTTTGGCGGGAGCTGGGACGCTTCAGGCCGTAGGTGGTGGTAGTACGGCGGTGCAGAGTGGCGCGGTGGTCGAGGTTCTTGACCTTTCCGGATCCCAAGCTGAGACCGACCTCAACACCCCAAACTTCACCAATCTCAGGGACACCCTCACCACGGACACCGTTGCCAGGGGTCAGAATGATCTTCTTGGTACCCTCAATCTCGTTACGGTCGAACTGCCAGCTAGTGGTGTTCTCGACGACCTTGCAGTCGTAAGCCTTGGCGACCTTCTCGAGCAGGTCGGACATCTGGGCCTGGGTGGGAGGCTTCTTGGCAGCGGCCTTAGCCTTCTCCTCGTCGGTACCCTGGGCAAGCAAACCGGAAGGAACCATCAAGCGGAGCAGAAGCTCGTTGGCGTAGTGAGTAGCGACAATCAGGTCAGCCTCACGTCCAGTGACAACCTCCTTGGGAGAATCCTTCTTGGCAATAACAACCATGTCACAGACGATAGTTCCGAATCCATCGATCTGAGCACCCAGCTGGATCTTGACGATCTCACCGGCCTTCAGAGCAATCTCGGCCTCGGCGGCGTCAGACTTGAGGGGGGTGTAGGGGGTGACATAAGAGCTGGGAGAGACAGTGGTAGGATGAGAGACACCTTTTCACTTTCGTTAGACTTCATTTATCATACAAGTGCCTTTCGGGGGAGATCGAAGAAAAATTAGAAGAACCCACCCTTAGCGATTTTCTTGCCCTTGTAGACCTTGGCGATCTCCTCGTCGAGCAGCTGATCACCCTTCTCGCAGATATCGACGATCTTCTCGCCCTCGACACACAGAGCTATTGATGTATATTAGTATACAGAAATATATGGAGAAGGAGTGGGGTGTAACATACCGATGACAGCGTCCAGAACTTTGTGTGAAATCCCCGCAGCGGTCTTGTACTTGGTCAAGGTATCAGGGTTGTTGAGGGTATAATCTAGCAAAGAAAAAGAGCTCAATTAGCTTTGTTGCCATCTACCAGAGTAGGTAGTGTTGTCTTGTAGCCCGCCAAAGCTCTCCAGCTTGTCAGACAAGGATGCCCACAAACGTCAGAGCTTTAGCGGGAGAAGTAGCATTATACGTACCAACCTCGGGCGCTTGAGCTTCGGCCATTGTGAAAGAAGTTGACCTCGCAGGAAATCAAGAGAATCAACGAGACGGGTTGGTAGAGAAAGTAGACTCGAAATCCACGTAAAACAGAGAAAGAATGGGTCGAGAACAAGTCGTGTGCAGCGAATGAAGCGTTTAGCGGTTAGCCGTGGTGGGGGGGGACTTGTTGCAGCCTTATGATTCAGGCATCCGTAGGGTTACGGACACAAAGACGTCATGGTTTGGGATGGCCACGGGACCTTGAGCTTAACCCCGCTTTTTTGCCCAGCTCAAAGACCTTTTTGTGACAGGTTTGAATATAAATAGTAATAATAGCATATTTGAGAGTTTCCGTTATGTACATGCATTCTCAAAAAATGATTGTGATGAGGGTTATATGCCTCCCATACTGTCACATGGATTCCCCAATATTAGAGGTTTACTACATGGCGTATAAATATGCCATGCTGTATACAGTCAGTTAGCTTCCTTTCATGCCACTATCCGTGTTCACATACTCCCCTAGATCGTAGGTTCATACCACATAAGGTTGTTTGAAAGTCACAAGGTTCAGCCAGGGCCGAGAACAACCTTCCGGAGGCCCTACTAGTTGGCTGCCCCCGCACCACCCCTCGCTTCTCCTCATGGTTTCATTCTTTGAATGACATACCCTTCTTTGACCCGAATATCTTTCATATCCGACTAGTCCTTACTCGGACCCCATTCCAAACTTTGGTCATCCTCACATTTAGCTTCTACCGAACAACTATCAAGCCCGGAAATGAGATCCACTCCAACGCTCCCGATTCGAGTACTGACACATAACATTCGCTATGCAACAAACTCTCCATTCAAAGGGGAACGAACCTGGGCTGAACGCAGGCAAGGCCTCTTGAATGAGTTGGAATACCATTCCCGGTATTGCAATGAGACGTTCATCTGTCTGCAGGAGGTTCTTCATAATCAGCTTGAGGATATTCGTGCTGGGTTAAACCCATCCAAGGCATCATTGACCCAGAAATGGGCATATATCGGTGTTGGCCGGGACGATGGATCCCAGGCCGGTGAATATTCCCCCATATTCTATCAACCAGCAATTTGGGAGCTGCAGCATTGGGAAACAGTGTGGCTCTCGGAGACTCCGTCCAAGCCCTCCAAAAGTTGGGATGCAGCCTCTATTCGCATTGTCACCATCGGAATATTCAGCCATCGTGAAGCGGGAAATACTGTCCTCGCCCTGAACACACACCTTGACGATCAAGGGTCTCGCTCACGCCTCGAGGCGGCACGCATCATCATCTCTAAGATCCATGAATACCAGCAGGGACAATTCGGTCCTTTGATTTCGGGAACATTCTTATCCGGAGATTTGAATAGCGAAGAAAGACAGGAAGCATATTCAGAATTGACGGAGGCGGGTGGTCTGCAGGATACTTGCAAGTCAGTAGCTGCTCCAGGGCTGCGGTATGGCAATAGCAATACATTCACCGGCTTTGGCTACGGGAAAGAGCCACCTAAACGTATTGACTTCATCTTGTTGGACACAGAGAAAACACAGCCATGGAAAGTTGACGGGTATTCGGTCATACCTAACAGATTTGATGATGGAGTATATAACTCAGACCACTGCGCTGTAGTTGCGGACCTTACGTTGATAGGTTAGCATATATATAAACGAGGCACGAGCGTCGATGTTGTTATAATAAACATTTGAAATAAAGAAAAATTACATGTCAAAGCTTCTGTATTTGTCTGCTAGTGCGATACAAATCAGATTATCAGACTGTATACGCATACGCATAAGTATTTCTTCAATCATCTATGAATAAATACCTCCAGGGCTATTGTAAGTTAAGTTAACTAGTTAACCAGGCACATCAGTTCATGCCTGAATTTGCAGGCAAGAAGGACCTCAAAATCAGACTAAATCACATGACTTCCACATACCTTTGGATCAGTCTAGGTGCTGCCCCATATCCAGCCATAAAATTGGTGAGTATACAGTCAATAAACGTAAAATATGGCCCCTTCCCTGAATTTGAATTTCATCTAGCCTAAAGACTTGCTGTCGTTGATGTGGAAGGGTGCGCCGAGGCGAGTCCTTGCTTTTTGCCCGGGAGCGGACATCTCGTAATCCTCCCCTTTGAACTGAACTTCTCTCACACCCGCGCCCTAAGGAACCGCCACCACAGCCTCCGCATTATCGGAGCACATTAATAGGGCAAACCATATTGATTAGCGTGCAAAGAGCTCTGGCTAGCTGGTTTCCGACTCCAAGACCAATAGGTCCCTACTTGCTTTGCCCGCTCTTGCGCCTGTGACGGAGTCAGAGCACAATCGGCATCCCACCCCCCTTCGGCTCCGGTATGTTGTCTACTTGTCATGAGCTTCACTATTGACTATTTTGTATCAATGGCTTCATATTCTATTATTCCTTATACTATGATTCTCTGGAGGGAGCTTGCCTCTCAAGCTATGCGCCCGTCGCGACACGTTAATGGATCGGCGTTGCATCAAGCCAAGCTGACCGCGCAGTCGCGACAAGAATTGAAAAGTCACCCAAGCCAAGCATATGAAAGGTCGCTGACATTTTCGGAACGCGTTTCTAGGATTTTAGTCAATGATGCTCCCGTGATTGGCCTTCAGTTATTACCGTCGCGTTGAGTGCCACTACCACGTATATTACCCATCGAGTGACACCGAGCGCCCATCCTCTACCAACCTAAAAATTCATTATGCCGTCTCCTGTGTCTGCGAGTGGCTCCGTGGCTCCAGATCAATCACCTACCGGTTCCCAACTTGGCATTCAAAATGGCTCTGGTGGGTCTGATACTGGAGCTGGAGTAGACTCCGCCGGATTAGGGGTGCAACCATCGACCAACGGCCAGGCAAACGATATAACTGAGGATGGCAAGCAGAATGTCAAATCAACGTTGCCAACGTCCGGTGCGTCTGCGGATTCTGCCGGTGATGCCCATGGCACGCCCCAATCAAATGGTACCACTAGTTCCGCGCAGAGTCGAAAACGGTCTCGCGACGGATCTGTTATTCAGCCCAGTGATGTCACGGGGGAAATGGTTGTCAGGACACGCGAAACTCCCGTAGAGAAGATTTTGCTAGAAAACTATGTCAACCGGGAGTTTGAGTATTCAGCTGCGACTGCTTGGCATAATCCAAGCCAAGAGCTTCAACGAGAGAAACGAGCTGAGCGTGATTTCTACCTCCAACTACGACGCGAGAACCAAACAAACCCAGCCGCATTGTTTGGTGTAGGTTATGAAGGATTTGGAAACCCACGCACGGATTTGCGAAACCATGCGCCCCAGCTCTTGTACCCATCCAATCGGCGCCGGCCCGGAAATCGAAAGACCAGGGAGTTGCGAGTTCCACGCCGGGACATGAAGGTGCAAAATGAGCAGATAGAGGATTTAGTACCCATTCGTCTGGACATTGACTGGGAGAAGGTCAAGATCCGCGATACCTTTACTTGGAACCTACACGATCGTGTTGTTTCACCCGATCTTTTTGCTGAGAAGCTAGTTGAAGATCTTGGCCTTGCTTTGGAAACATCTGCTCCTCTGTTGCGTCAGATTTCCCAGAACATCCAGGAGCAATTGATGGACTATTACCCACAAATTTACATGCACGAGGAGGCCCTCGACCCACAACTTCCCTACACTGCCTACCGAAATGATGAGATGCGAATCTTGATCAAGCTGAACATTACCATCGGTCAACATACCCTTATTGATCAATTTGAATGGGACATCAATGACCCGCAAAATTCCCCCGAAGAGTTTGCACTCCATATGACCAATGACCTTTCTCTCTCTGGCGAATTTACCACCGCTATCGCCCACTCCATTCGAGAGCAATCTCAGCTATTCACTAAGTCGCTCTACATTGTCGCTCATCCATTCGATGGCCGCCCTATCGAAGATCCTGATCTTAGCGCCTCCTTCCTCCAAACACCTGTATCCTCAGCGTTCCGACCCTACCAAGCTGCTAAGGAACATACGCCTTATCTTTATGAATTGAACGAGGCAGATCTCGAAAGAACCGAAATATCCATCTCTCGGGAGCAGCGTCGCCAGAAACGGTCCATAAATCGTCGTGGTGGCCCTGCTCTACCGGATCTAAAGGATCGCCAACGAACGATTAGGACATTGATTGTTTCGACGGTCATTCCGAACTCGGCAACATCTATGGAAGAAAGTAATGTGATCAAACGTACAGGTTCTAGCCGTCGTCGCGGAGTAGTTGGACAACGGGATGATGAATCTGATGACTTTGAAAGTGATGACTCGGATGAAGGCTCACCGGCTATTGGGCCACACTTGTCTCAGGGCACCGCTCGTACAAGGGGTATGAGAGGAGCTGCTAAGGAGGCCCATGCGGCTCTTCGTGCTGGTTTGGGACAGTCCGAAACTCCAGAGCCGATACTACACGAACCTCGGGCATCTTCTCGACGACAACAGTATCGAGAAGAGAGTATAGAAGAGCCAGAAAAGTTGGTTCTGAGGCTCAAATTACCACGAGACAAATTACTTTCTCTACGAAACGGACAACGAATTGCCTCTGCAGCTCAATATTCTGCACCAGCCAGCTCTATGCAGCCGAGCCCTATGGCACCTCCTTCCGATAAGCAAGGGCGACCCCTTGGACAAAATCCCCCTCGACCTCAGCAAACTGGCGCTGTCGACGCGCCAAATCCTCCTCAGCACGGTGTTCCCGGTGTGAGTAGATACTGATTCTTCATTTTTGTTTTGGTCTCTGGCTGACCGTGTGCGTTTCCAGCCCCCACCTCCCAGCTGGCTCGTGGCCGGCCTCCAAGGGCTTAAACAGGCCCACCCAAATGACTCATTTGAGGGCGTGATGCGTTATTCCGCTGTCGACATGGAAACTTTAGTTCCCGTAACAAATACCAACAACCTACAGCCAGGGCAGAAAATCAAATATCAATATTTACCTCGAATCCGCTGCCATGACTGCCCTGGCAAGCTGTATACACCGGGTCCTGGCATGACAGTCGACAACTTTGAGGTTCATCTTCGAAACCGGCAACACAAAGAACGTGTCGAAGAACGTATTTCGAAGGCTGGCAACACCCCAGCCAACCCTAACCTTGGCAACGCTAGCCCTGCCCCTGGGGCTCAAACCTCTGCTAGTGCGAGCCCTGCCCTTGGCGTGATGGCGAACCCTATTGCGTCGCCATCTCCTGCCAACGTGCCCTAGTCTGAAGTCATACGTTTCTTCATTGACGAAGTCATGACTACGACGTCTGCGCGAAATGTTCTGGCCGCACCCTTTTCTTACCTCTTTTTACATTCGAATTTCTGTATTTTTTATGGGTGACAACATCACCAGATCCAAAATCTTTTCTGGCTCTAGTCCAAAGAGCTTTGGCGCTTTCTGCCTCTTTCATGTCTGTGTGTCATGTCTGTGTGTTGTATAGAACTTTTTTCTCTTCCACACCCAGTGTTCTCTGTGTCAGAGCGAATCAACTAGTGTGTATTCAGATCGAATATGAGATCTGTGGAGTTATCATCAGGGCGCTTGCTTTCTTCTTCAACTTTCTCATTTGAATGTAATAGTTTAGCGGGTTTGATTGTACGGTCAAGTAAATAAGAACGCTTTTTTCTCTACTTTTTTACCTCTCTACTTAGTAAATTTGAGAATTCTCGACCATTCAAAAAATAAAACAAATTGAAATAAGACCACTCATCATGATTATATCCCTTTTTATTTCCTATTTGTCCAGAAATTTCCACTGACTTCATCAACCTCAATTTTCAAGCTGGATTCTTCTTTGATTTCTTCAAGTGATAGATCTGATCAAGTCAAACGAATCCAAAGCCCCATATTTCACCACATGCCCGGCAACTCTTCCTCTAGACTGTCCAAAGGCTCCCAGTTGCGCCCCGACCAGCTCCAACTTCTCTGTTGACGTTCATTCAATATCCCCGGGTCTTTCTGATCATTTGTCCATACCGATCCCCCAACGGTGGTCCTGTGCTGTGAGTCCAATATATGCTGGTAAAGGGGACATTTCAGGAACCCGTCAACGCGCCATAACGGATTTCGGAGTGGTATCAATCCAGATAGACCAGAACTCCAAGTGAATGTGCCTGCCTCTACCATTCGCACGCTGTGTATCTGATTTTTGCTTTTTTGGCGGATTTTCACCTGAACACTGGTCAGGTGCATCAGACCAGATTCTAGTTCGTAAATGGCGTTGCGTTGTTCCTCATTCAGATCAAAGATCAGCATCCCTTCCACGGTTGACTTTGTATCGGACGACTCTATGATCACTGGGGTGCTGGATTTCTTGAACTGATATAGCTGGCACCCAAATAATGTTGCTTTCGTCATGGTTGTATGAATTTGGCACCGCTGGTCGATATCCGTGTAGTATTTGAGGACGGTAGGAAGCATCAAGACTCCGTACACAAAGCGTGGGGAGCTCCCCGGTCGTTGTAGAGACAGGGTGATCTCGTTTTCAGGAATGATGTTCTTCATGGAGAGTTTGAAATCCATTGGATAAGACGGGCTGGGATCCATTTCCTTGAAGCAAGCACCCCGAAATGCGAAATCAGTTGTCAGAAAGTGAAGGTTCGGAAGACTTTGAAGAAGTGAGACAGGAGTGTCGTAGGTGGAGCCGGGTGCTTTACTGATGTGAAAGATTAAGAAGAATGGTTTGGTAAGTCTCCATAGATTGATAGAATAAGGTGGGCGACTTAACTCAGGCAAAGCTGGAGATTCACCAAAATTCTCACACCCATAGCGCGGGAATTAATTGTCTTGGGATTGCCTGGCGATGAATTCAGATTCTGTCGATCTAGATTCAAATAAATGATGATGATCTTGATTGACGTCCGGGGAGGTGAATTTGACATTAGTCTATTCCCTCAGGTCTTCCATGATGTACTCAGGTGTTAGTAGGTAAGGTATTGTACATAAAGTTCTTCCCACTAGTATAACAGCAACATCCTGTACTATACAACGGTATATAACAGTATTGCAGATAAATTCTAGCTGTGTATATATCTTAGCTAAAGACCCTGGCTGTTTTAAGTAAATAAGATTCAAGTTGTTGGTGTTACACTGCGAACGATACAGAGTATAGAAGATTCTGGCTAGTGATTAGTTCCTATATTAACTGAATACCAAGTTATACTGTGGAGCAACCTGAGGGGCAATCTGGGCAATCTGAGCACTTTGAATCTTTTATATATTCTCTCTGTTTATTAGCTTTTGTATTCAACCTGGACATTAGTAATATTTGAAGCCTTGCAAACATTTTGATTGTAATTTGAGCTTCCAAGGTTGATAAACTCAAAATTGGTGGAGATACATTAGTTTTAATTATTGATGTTTATTACATACAAATTTTGATTTTCCGACCATTCAGAAACTTAGGACCTTGTAGTATACTCAAAGGGAGACAAAGTCTATCTAATTGAGGTAGTACCATAGATCACAATGAAAGTATCGGTTTTCTCTAGATAGTACTAATTAGTACTATAGTCGTTTAAAAGAAAAGAATTCTTTTCCATTAGAATCAGTATGATTCTCTGTAGATCCATACCTTGCGGGCATTACCATGTCCAGGACCATTATCGGAATCTAAGAGAACAAAGTGCAAGCTTGCGCGAAGCACTTCATCGGAAAGAACAAGAAATTCAGCGCACCGATGACACAATCAATGGGGTCTATGTTGAAGCCATCTCCTCCAACATCGATGACCGATTCTCCATGAGGCTTACATGTGGCCATTTGCCGATGCAGTCCGCGCGGGGGTGGCATCAGTTATGTGTAGCTACAACCGTGTCAATCAGACCTACGTGTGTGAAAATGAGCGCCTGATAAAGGATTATCTCAAAACAGAGCTTGGGTTTCGAGGCTATGTCATGTCGGACTGGTTCGCCACACATTCCGAACGCTGGCCGGGACATGAATATGCCTGGCTATATTACGGAAGAAAACCCGACGACATCCTACTTTGGTACCAATCTGAGAACAGCAGTTCAGAATGGGAGCATTACCAACACCCGCCTTGATGACATGCTTCGACGTGTGCTCACACCATATTACTATCTAGAGCAGGACGCGGCATCATATCCTACGCCTGATCCATCAACTGAGTATGTCCTCGGTACCACATACGGCATCGATATGGGGCTCGATCTCCCTGCTGGGTGAGATGTGCGCGGAAATCACTCGCGGCTCATCGGAGAGATCGGTGCAGCAGGCACAGTGCTACTCAAGAATGTGAACAACACTCTACCACTCAAGAAACCGAAGGTCATTGGGGTGTTTGGCAATGATGCCGCAGACCTGTCCGTTGGGCTGGACTACACGACCAATTTTGGCACTAGCGCCGTTCCTGAGCTTGGTTTTAAAATCGGCACCATTATGGTTGGCGGAGGATCTGGTGGAGGTCGAGCCTCGTATGTGGTGCCTCTCCTAGACGCCATCAAAGCCAAAGCGAGAAGGATCGGAGCCAGGGCCGTGTACTTGATGGACCATGAAACCATTAGCAATGGATTATTTGAATCCATCTACCCTAGCCTAGATATTTGTTTGGTTTTCCTCAAAACATACTCCCGCGAGGCCGTTGACCGCGGTTCCTATGTGGCTGATTGGACCTCCACTATCGTCGTTGAAGAGGTTTCAGCCAGGTGCCCTGGCAAGACATTGGTTATTACACATTCTGCAGGCCTCAACACTATGCCGTGGGCAACGAACTCCAACATTACGGGAATATTTACCGCTCATCTTCCTGGAGAAGAGACTGGAAACTCAATCGTGGAAATTCTTTGCGGTCACGTCAATCCGTCTGGTAGGCTTCCATATACAATTGCCCAGAATGAGTCGGACTACAATGCCCCAATAGTCAATCTCACTGGCCCCCAGGCGACTGAATCTACTGCTTGGCAGTCAGATTTTGTCGAGGGTTTGATGATGGACTATCGCCACTTCGACAACTCAAATATCACGCCGCTGTATGAATTTGGCTTCGGTTTAAGCTATACCACGTTCGATCTATCTGGAAAGTTAGTTGTTTCCGGGCCCCAGGGAATGTTGTCGAAAAGACCAACACCTCTCACGGGTATGGCGCCACCGGGGGGAAATTCTGATCTCTGGAAGGTAGTCGCAAATGTATCAACCACAGTACAGAACATCGGTGAATTGGCCAGTGCTATTGTGGTCCAACTATATCTATCACTGCCGAGCGACTCAGTACCATCCGGCACTCCAGTCAGGGTATTGAGAGGATTCGAGAAAGTACATCGTCAGGCTGGGCTGGGGAGAAGAAGGCAATCTCATTCAATCTAATTAGAAAATATTTGAGCTCCTGGTGCGTTGAGGCCTAGGATTGGAAGATTCCTAGTGGGGAGTATAATATTACTGTGGGATTCAGTTGGCGACAGCTAATGCAGAGCGCTTCGCTTAGATTATGCTAGTATCTAGGGCTATTTATAGTATTAATTCCGAAGAGGATCTAGTTCAGTCTAATCTTTCAAATAGACTACTGCCTTTACATTAGAAAGAAGGATATCTGGAGAAGCCTATTCTTAGATATATTATAGTGGAAGGGCTACATAACGTCCTACTTACCAAAGCAGTATTTTGTAAGTATATTCGTATAATATTTACTGCTGCTGGATATAGTGAAAGACAACCGACAGTCCACAATATCCGGAATTATCTCGGGAAAAAGGTTAAAGGTGAGTCATACACTTAATATGTCTAATGAAAAGATCGCAATTCCTCAAATCGGCGACTAATTTGATTGCTGAGTTATTTCGAGGAGCTAGTCTCCTCGTCTGGCTGAACATAAAGAGGATCGGTATCAGATCCCTGATAATAGCCATCACACTCCTCTTTGATCAGACGCAGTGTCTCATTTGACAGCCACACATATCTCTCTACCGTGCCTGATCGTGGTTGTATGCTCCCATATACACCTGCTTCCTCATAGTCATCATCCATATCGCCGCGTTGAATTCTATCGAACACAACGTCAATAGACGGCTCCAAATTAAGCTCCAAGCTCCTGCCTATCTCTTCCTTTGGCCCCAGATATTCAAACTCCAACCCCTGTTCCGCTGCACGCTTGTTCAAGTCCTCAAGATAGAATGGATTTTCACTCCGACGTGCCACCTGCAGCAAACTTTCGCGTGGCCTGAGATTAAGCCGTTCGTAAAGCACCTGATCGTTAGATAGGATACAGGCGATAGCAATCTGTGGCCTCATAGATGGACACTTTTCAGCCAGTGCACTAAGGGTATTATGATGAGGCAATAAAGGCCACCAGATTAACCAAGGGCGGCAGTTAGGGTCATCCGTTAGACCAGAGATATCGTTGGTCATAATCCGGCGAGCGTTGATGGCAGTCCTTATCAGGTCACAATCACGCTTATTATCGTCGGCTGGGGTAGAGCCTGGGCGAATGACCCTTTCGGGATGTGTCTCAAGTTGATCGGCCCACCATCTTGCGAACATTGTGTTGTGGTAAATCCCGCGAAGAATAGAGTAAAACTCGTAATCTGTTCTAAGCCTTCGGGGATGCATTAGACGAACATATCGATCGACATTGCCTTCGTATGCGGCCATCTGGGTGATAATATCCTTTTCAAATATAGGAAGATCCAAGGGGAGAGGCATCCAGAGTAGTTTTGCTTCCTCTGGACCCAGTTGTTGGCGAGCTTCATCGACTTCAATCTCCTCGATACCGATGAAGCCGTCCTCTTCAATATCAATATCGTCTGCGGTAGTATTTGGAATATCCTTAGGAGGCGGAAGGCGCTGAGACAAGGCCCATCTGGGCTTCATATCACCATTCAAGAATGCAGGTGTTCCTGGGGTGTCCATGTCAACAGAGCGGGTAAAGTCATTCATGACCGCATATCTTTGTGGCGCCGACAGAATGATTTGATAAATCTCAGAATCTTGTCCGCTCTCTCGGGGATTCCTCGGCGATAGAAACATCAGGTAGAAGATCTAACTCTTTGTAAAGGGTTGTGTACCCTGCTGCCGCGCAGGATCGGCCAACCTGATAACGCATAGATGGATATCGGCGAGCGATTTCGCGATAGGTGTCCTCTCGCGCGAATCCCGGGTACCAGATACAATATGGTTGATGAGATGGGTTTTCAAGATTCGGGATCATGTTACTCATGATAAGCATTGCATTGCGAGCTCGACAGAATGCTGCACCTTGGTCTTCATTGCCAGAGCACAGGGCGGTGACTGACGGACTTGTTGCGAATTCCAGAGACGAGCGGATCCCACGGATTGTCGCGCGGCGATGCCAAGTCGACTCAAGCGTTTCTGGGACTTGTCTGCCTTCTATGGCGGCCTGACATTGATCGATATCGAAACAATCTGAGCTTGACATGTTTGCGTGGGCTAACTGTCATCCAATGCAAGTGACTGATTGAGATTATTGGGCAACTCAGATATGTTGGATTTAGGGAATAAGTAATTGAATAACAATAGGGTAGAATGAGAATGAAAGAAGGAAAAGCCGCACTGATTATAGCGCTATCTTTGAGTTGTGAAAGCGAGGTGGCAGGATAGAAGAGTGGTCGGAGGACAGATTCGCCCCTCGGGTTTTGCTAGCACCAAAGGGACAACTTCCGAGGTCCGTGATCACTGTTTCTTGGCATTTCGCGAAGGCAACAAAATGATTATGGGAAAAAATAGAACAAAATGGAAAGGAAGATTTCGAATGAAAGCCTAATTCCTTCCTCGACTACAAGGGACATGTGGGTAGCTAATGAGACCCACCGGGGGCCATAAGCCACACCTGCAGGGTCCAACACTAATGCTCATATGGATATGGTTTTAGCACTCCCTAGTGTACGGTTTTTAACAAACCGGAAATTAATCTGTCTCTGGCAAGTATCAGGCCATCTGCTGTCAAATAGTGTACAGCGTGAGGATCCATTGACGAGCATATGGGTCCCACAGAACCTCACATTGCTCCATTGATAAGCTGAGGCTAAAAGTATTTACATACTTTATACTGGTCTACATCGCTACTAGTACTTTAGAAAGTACATGTGCAATATGTATTAGGCTGACATTTATGGAGTGTCCGAAAAGAGGGAAAAATTCCGAGTCCCATATTTGAAACTTCTGAATCAAACTGCACATGTGGGTTGCCATCATCTACAAAGTTCTTTGCTTCTCCCTTCATTGTGATCAATAGGATAAACTCTAAAAATAGAGGAGAATAATCAAAAAAGCGCGCAAAATAAACAACAACAACAACAACAACATTGAAACAGAGAAACAAGAAATATCTATGAATACAATGAGGCCAAAAAGTTAAGTCAATAGATCGCCTGGGTCTGGTACTATTGAATAGCAAGATCACAAATTTTGTTCTACGGTCACGCTATTGATTGATCAAATGGGGCAAGGTTGTGAGTTGGCAATTAGCCTCCATTGCTGGATCTCCTTAAAATGGCTCACATTTTCTCGTGAGTAGGCAACCGTCGGGTTCTGGATATCCTCGTCCCCAAGTTGTGCAGCCTTTTTATCCAGTAACGCAATGTCAGTTTCTTGTTTCTTTTATTATAAACTATGAATACAACCAGACTTACCCAATTCGCTAAATCAGCCACACTCGTAAAACCTTTCAGCTGCAGCTTTGCTTCGTTCTTTGGATCGTTATATGTTGCGAGAAAATCAACAGTCTTGTAGTTGGCAACTCCCGGAACACCACTGGGCACTTCCAAAGTGGTGACAGTAGATCGCGCTTGGCTCTGGCCTTCTGGTACTTCCTGGAGATTCCACATTCCAGGCTTATCTCCTGTCATCCATCGAATAAGGAAGTTTTGAGTATCCGCTACCCGAAGTGTGACCATTCGCGAGCTAATCTCGTCCATTCTTACTTTTTGCTCGTAGTATCTCCCTCCTGCTTGAAACTCAGCCCCGTGTTGACTCTGAAACCTCAAAAGCTTGTTGTTGACTGCAGCAATGAACCGCCTATGTCCGTTGTTGCCTCTGTATTGAGGACTGACAACTTTCAAATCAATCTCGCCTTTATATTTGTCAGCATGAAGCGTGGCTGCAGCATCCTGGAGGGCATCAACAGTTGTTGGTTCAGGTAGATCGGCTTGCCATTGCGGAATTTCAAGGGTAGTGATTGGTATGTTTCTTGTCCGAGGCATGAACTCATAGTAATGCAGTGGCCCTTCTTGAACCCACTTTCCGTTTCTCTGTAACCAGTGCTTGTTGTTATTTCCTGGTTGCCCTTGCCGTGTCGCCTGTGGCAGGATGTACCCTAGTCCTTCCCTACTGCCGATGTCATCAAATATATCACTTAGTCACAAAAGAGATCAAGTTAGCCAATGTAGTAGTTACTATGTAGCATGTACATATATCTTGATAGTATGTACTACTATACCGTAAAGTAGTATATAGAGTACATAGTATGTAAAAGTTTGAAGGATCGTTCTTGAAAAACTTGAATTGGTACACATGCATGTGTATGTACCAACCGGAGGGAAAGCCAGAGACCAATTGACTCACTTAAATAATTTATATGCCTCCCACAACCAAATTCTTTCATAGATATGCGCATACAAGTTGAGTTTAGCAACGTCCACAGTGTTGACTTGTGCTCTGGTGTGAAGATCATGCAATTCATCGCCAACATCAGGATGGGACGAGTGAATACCAGTTGTGAAAAAGGAAAGCCATAATATCACAAGACCCAAGATAGGCTGTTTGACGGAAGTTGGAAGCATTTCTTATCTTGCTCAATGAGTGTAGGGAAAAAGAGAGATAAATCGATGAAGGAAATGCCGCTGCGGCCGGAGAAATAGTCTATCAGTGAAAAGGGACCTAGCCTTCTTATGTGAAAATTTCAAAATGAAACCATTTTCGCCCAGCGACAATTCAATACCGGATTCTCCTGGAACCGAAACATCTAGGCACGAATTTTCCTCCGGTGCCCTAATATTCTCGATACCTTGGCATATCTAGCGTCAACCCAAATATACTACTCTATAGGGGGCCGACTGCCAAGCTTTGGGCGGAGGAAAGCCCTGGTTTTATTTTAGAGAGCCTTGGCAGGTCGTATGTTCCATTTTGGCTAGTCGATTAGTGCCATCGTCGGGAATTGCTTTGAAACTATTCTCGTCGCCTAGCGATAATCCACTGTCCGACCGAAAACGTTCTCTTGTAACCGAGGCATATACTATGCGTGAAGACGTGAATTCCTTTGCAGGGTAGATATCCGGAAATGGGTTTGAATACCGCAGAATGCAGATTTGCATTTATCCAAGACGTTGCGTCAGAAATTGAACATATATGAATGCAAGAAGTAGCAAGTATCTGATTGAAGATTTCCCAAGTATACAGCGATATTCAGAATTGGTTTCCATTATCCTCATGCAGAGCTTTCAATGTTGTTCCTGAACCCTGTGGACTTGCCACCATTAAAATCTTGGTATCCAGCGGCGGAAGTAGTCGGGAGTCCAGCTCCTCCGTGAACTTGATTCAGGAAATTACAAAGTCACAGTTGGGGCCTTTATGGGGCCAATGTTGGGGCCGTTACCATGATAGTAAGCTATAGATATTCTTAGCGAGATAAAAAAAAACCCAACTCAATCGCCTTCAGTGGCGTTCTTGGTATGTTTATTTTGTGCTTAGCGTTCAATCAAGCCACTGGCTTGGCCTTTGGCTATTCAGGGTCTGATATGGGGCCGCCCCCGGGGCCGCGCTAGTATCTATACTACATTGTTTGAGAGTCGGATTTGGGATAGTCAATTAAGAACGAGGTAACTTTTGCTCCTTGGCGAGATGGAAACTACGGGCTCAGGACTTGATAATTCTTTTCACGGATGTAGTCTGAATTTTTGTCGAAATAGTATTTACTAGGTATAAGTACCACGGCAAAAGGCCAAACAATGGAGATTTGAAGTTCAATATTATCTCGCGTTCACTTTTCATATTGCCTTGGCCAGTCTTCGTCTTCACTCGTTCACGATGAAGGCTGCTGCTCAAGCTTTTCTTTCTTTCTCTTCATTGCTCCCACTCATTACTTTTCCTTATCTTACCCATGCCTCCTACAATGCTGCTCATCTGGCACATGTTGCCCCTATGGGTGAACTGAATCTGGATGACACTATTGGGAGTGCTCTACCAAATGGTTGCCCTCAGCCCTGTACAGTCGCTGGTCCAGATCCAGGCAACTGGACTTGGATTCCTGAACTAAGGAAACTGAGCAGATGTCAACAGCCGCTTCTATTCGATCTTCATATTGGCAATGAGCCAACCTCCGATACTCCGCTCCGCTCCTGTGTTGTGTCTGAGCACTTCCAAGATGATCAAATCCCCAACTTCAAAGACGCCAACTGGGCCAATGTTGACCAAGAGGACCTTGATGCCGTTCAACAATCGTTGACAATCGCCAACTCTTGCGGAGCATCGCAGCAGAATACGACTGCTTCCGTTCAGATTAGCTCTTCTGGCGCTGTTGAATCCAGAGATGATACCACGGATGCACTGAATATTCTTGTGTCCTATATGAGCAATGCTGCGTCGTGTGGCTCAACTATAATTTTCTCTAAAGTTGGGAATACCGTTGCTGCGCTATACGCCGGTGCCGACGTTTACCAGAGAAGTGTCGGTCCATTCCTTGACTCATTCGCTGAAGACATTGCCAGCGGCTCGCAAACTATCCAAGCCTGCAGGGAAGAGTCGAAAATGGATAAAATAATCGGCCTCCGCATCATAGATTCGGTTGAAAAGATTGCAGATGCTTACACGGCCTTGAAAGCTTGGGCAGAAGGCAGCTGCTTGAGCCTCGACAAGCAGACTTCAGTCAAAAAAGAGGTGACAACCCTTGGAGTTTCCTCTAAAGACAAGCGATCTCTTGTATCCTCGCTTTTGGACAGTCCATTGACTGCAAGAGCCAACTGCAGAACTGTCAAAGTTGTGGGCGGCGATGGCTGCGGTTCACTCGCCAGTCGTTGTAAGATCTCAGCCCAAGACTTAAGTAAATATAACGCCGCCTCCAACTTCTGTTCCAGCCTGAAGGTTGATCAACTTGTTTGTTGCTCCGCAGGCACACTTCCGGATAATCGACCAAAGCCACAGGCAGATGGCGTTTGTGCTCACTATTCAATTAAGCCAAAGGATGTGTGCGCTGATCTGGCTAAGAAATTCAGCATCACCGTTGAAGATATCAACACCTTCAACAAGAACTCGTGGGGATGGGCTGGCTGTGGTAATCTCAAGGAAGACCAGGTAATCTGTCTCAGCAAGGGTAACACTCCTATGCCTGCTGCTTTGACCGGAGCTACCTGTGGCCCTCAGAAACCAGGCACAAAGGCTCCATCTGGAAGCTATGATGGATGGGACCTTGTGAAAATCAATCCCTGCCCTCTGAATGCGTGCTGTTCTGGATGGGGCTATTGCGGTACCACAGAGGAATTCTGCACAGAATCCCCCGCTGACACGAAAGCGCCTGGTGCTTTCCAGAAGAACAAAAACGGCTGTATCTCCAATTGTGGAACAGACGTAATCAACAATAAGGAGACCCCTGATACCTTCATTCGTGTCGCTTACTATGAAGCGTTCAACGTGAAGCGTGACTGCCTCAACATGAACGTCAAAGAAATTGACGATGATACGCTGACTCACGTCCATTTCGCGTTTGCCGGCGTTAGTGCGGACTTCGATATCACTTTTGACAGCGCCTTTTCCGATCAATTTGACAACTTCGTTCAGATGAAGGCTCCATGGAAGAAGGTCCTCTCATTTGGTGGATGGGCAGAATCTACTGACGCGGGTACTTTTCAACGATACAAGGATGTCGTCAAGTCAGGAAATCGAGAGAAGTTTGCCAAAAACCTTGCTGCTTTCTTGGAGAAGCATGAGCTAGATGGTATCGATTTTGACTGGGAGTATCCCGGAGCTACGGATATTCCTGGAGTTCCCAACACTGCCGGCGAGACATCGGACTATCTCGAGTTTTTGAAATTGATGAAGACCACACTCGGTAGCAAATCTCTTTCAATTGCCCTGCCTGCATCGTATTGGTATTTGAAGGCCTTCCCGGTTGCAAAGATGGCCCCTTATTTGACCTATTTCATTTACATGACCTATGACTTGCATGGTCAGTGGGGTAAGTCAATACAATCTCTAATGGATTAATCCCATGCGCTAATCAAATCCTCAATAGACCATGGCAGCGCCTTCGCAGATGTAGGATGCCCTGCTGGCAACTGCCTTAGATCCCATGTCAACAAAACCGAGACATACAACTCACTGGCCATGATTACCAAGGCTGGTGTACCCGCGGCAAAGGTTGTGGTTGGCGTTGCTAGCTACGGCCGAAGCTTCGGCATGACAGACCCCTCTTGCACCGGACCTATGTGTACCTACACTGGCACTCGGAACCACTCGACCGCTGAGAAGGGAATGTGTACAGATACAGCCGGTTATATCTCCAATGCTGAGCTCAATGACATGATCGGCGTTCCCCAGTATCAAGTTCGCTCCTGGTATGACAAAGAGTCAGACTCGGATATGATGGTATTCGGATACGATGGCGCGGTTACAACATGGGTCGCCTACATGTCCCACGAAACCAAGATGAATCGCATTGAATGGATCCTCAGCTTGAACTTCGGTGGTGCTACAGACTGGGCTATTGATCTCGAAGACTGGCATGAGGGCATTGATCCCGACTCTCAGGACGCTGTTGATCTCGACGCTGCAATTCCTCCGAGCTGCCCGTCTAACCACTGGCCCGGCAATCTCGATGACCTTGAGGTGATGGTTGATAACGGTGACATCGATGTCGAATGTCAGTCCCAAGCGGTTGTCAGCATTCTGCTCAGGATGGTTGAGCCCGCTATTAAGGCCTACCAAGAGGCTGCTGACAATATGGATGACTATGTATGCTTGAGAAACTTTAACGTTGGGCTATATGGGGTATGCTAACAATTGGTTTAGTTCACGTACTACGCGGAATGGGTCAAGAACGACATCGATGACTCCCTTTTAAAGTTCATGTGGAGTGATGGAATGAAGTATATGGACTGTAAATGGGATGCGAAGGGCTCATCTGGTGGCGAGGGCAGCGGAGCCTGCACAGAGATGCATGTGAAGCAAGGACAGCCAGACCAAGGCACTGTCACTATCACTTACACGATGCGCGAAGAAGAAGCATTCTACAAGGCCCTTATGGATCAATACGGCATATCCAAAGATTGGATCTATTGGAAGGATATCTGGTCGGACTCTGAAGGCAAACAGTGCCATTGTCCCAATCTCAAACATGATTGTCCAGAATGCCGCCAAGAGCCCGACATAGAAGTGTACCACAATTTCCCAAGGAAGCTCGACGATGACGAGATCGAGGTTGCAAACCCCAAGGAAATCATCGAAGCGGCTATACCCAACATCACCTATCTATCGACTTCAATGGTGGGTACATTTATTCAGATGCGCATGGGCGGCCTCGATGTCTCAGACCAAGACGTTGCTACTTCATACAGTATGCCTGTCTTCCTACTCGGAGATGTAACAGAACAAATGGAGCAAATCACAGAGATCGGTAAAAAGCAAAAGGAAGCGGACAAAAAGGAGAGGATCAACTTCATTTTAAACATCGTCAGTATGGTTCTCGTGGTCATCCCTTTTGCCGGTGAGGCAACCGCCGCAATTGGTGGCGCGACGGCTATTGCACGCGCAGCAGCAGTCGTTGGCGAAGTCAGTAATGCCGCTGTGACCATCGCTGAGATTGTGAATGAGCCCAAGTCAGCTCCTTTTGCGATTCTTGGCTTCTTAATGGGAAGTTCTACTGCCGGTGTTGTTGGCAAGGGGACCAAGAATGCATTCACCAAGGCAGCGGGCGCGCGGAAAGCTATGACAGCTGACACTTTGAAGGCTTTTAGTCCTTCGTTCCAAAAGAATGACGCTATTGTGCAGAAGATTGTGCAGAAGTGTCTTGCACGTGGTTAACTTATAGTGTATCTCAAGTATTGGTTATGTATGATGTATGCCAGTTGCATGTGTTGGGTGGATAGTCAGTGTCCAGCCAGCTTGTATCTCAAGTCCTACTTTCAATTTAAATTCGTGGCCTGCAGAAAATTTGTCTTCGATTATAGCGTGTAGTCAGCAGGTTTGGGTTGTTCTCAGATTCACAAGCAAAACTTTCTACGTACTGAAACCTCTAGTGATCATGAATTTGCAGATCGATTACACCCAGGACAACTGATGAATGATCAGATGTATAAACTATGAACACAGAAATATATACTGATAATCGGTTTCTAGATAGGAGATTGATTGTTTAGTTGAGTAGGTGGGGCGTCCACCTTTTTGCACTAGCTCCGTGCGTTTTATTGGGGTGGCTAGCTCGTACTGTCGGCTTTCTATGATGCGCTCGGTGAGCGTACCACAGCACTGGGAGCAGGATCAGTGAGCCCCTCAGTCCGCCCAGGCCCGGCTCACTGAGCCGATCAGTGCGCCGGAAGCCGTGCTCAGTTCTACTAAGTGAGCAAAAGCGGCGACTCAGTGAGCACTAATCCGGAAAGGGCAACCAAAAATCGGCAGGAGAAAATCAGTACGTAGGTAGTCATAGCGCAAATCATAAGTAAATATTACCTAGATAGCCAGCAACGATGTATCAGATATACTTCCAAGAAGCCGAGGTCGACTCTTGGCCCGCTGAAGGCAAATTACAACACTAAGCATTCTGAAACAGACACTTGAACGAAGCTTCTTTTTATCCATACAACCTTGGAAATAAACCATTGAGCAAGAATTTCACTCAGTATAAATTGAGATGGAGCTCTTCTCACGATTATTCCCTAATCAGGGCGAGGTTTTCATCTCTCAATCTATCCTTTTCAAGTAGCCACTCTCCAGACCACCCGTCATTAATTCAAGGTGTGATATGTCCGGTCGCCCCGCTTCAGCTTTGCCGATTCCGAATTTGAAGGACTGGAACTTAACTAAAGTCTGCAGTGCCCCGACCATCTCTAAACTATTCAATGATACAATGAATCCCTATTTCATATCTTCATTCCGATTAGGTTAGCGTGGCCAGTGATTGTACAGGGCGAGATTGGACGGGTCGAAGTATACCTGTTGACGGCGGTGTTGAGCCGCCCATATCAAGCTTTGGGTATCATATAGTATGGAGATGTGCCCGGTGTTAGTAGGTAAGATATTTTATATATAGATAATTACTTGTCTATCCTTAAATGGTAGTCTTAACTTCAAGCGAGGTCAGTGATGCCTGAAATACAGTCCTAACTGAACAGCCACCTGTGAACACCTGGGCAGTCACTGCATCTCCGTTTGTTTTCTCCACCTCTTTTCTCTTCTCTGCTCAGTAGATAGACTGCAAATAGCCCAAATCTCTGATGATACCAGACTGCAGCACTGAAGCTGGACAAACCATTTTTCCATGTCAGAGTTTGGCTAAACAGTTCTCCTTAGATATTTCCATATTAATCGAACATTCTTTTACTAAGGTGGATTATTCACGGTATTATAAACATGATGCACCTCAATCCCAACCTCTATATATGCAGTCACTTCATGTATTAGATCCAAGGAACTTCGTATAATTCCACCTAGATCTGCGTCATTTCACTTGGATGAGAAAGTTATGTTATTACTCTTTGTGTCCTATTTGAGGGCCTAGGATCCAACTTCGACACAACCCATCATAGCACACTCACAGCTCACCATCCACAAACTGACCGATCGCAGCCGCAATCTTATCCGGAACACTCAGCATCAGTCCGTGACTGGCACCATCAAAGACCTTCTGCACAATGTTCGCTCCAGCCGCCTTAGTCTTCAAAAACATCTCCTCATGCTTCTCCCTCGAGATAATTACATCACCTCCCGGCAGGATCTGCAAACTTGGCACCTCCCTCCATCCTTCAAACCACACTTTCCCATCATAGCTATCGGAGCTGTGTAGCGCCGTCTGCTTCAACGACTCTAGTGCCTCGTCGCGAGGGACATCATTGAAACAAGCAACCATCAGCTCGGCTGGGGGCGCAGGAAGGTAACCTCCACGCACGCCGATTCGATACTCCTCCGGTGCAATGGGACCCATCGTGTCTCGCATGCACGTCCCATTGGGTAGGATGAATGCGGCCATATAGACGATTCCCACGACGGCGGTTGGTTTACCCTGTGCAGCGCGTACGGAACGAGTGAGTCCCTCTACAGCGCAGGTACCTGGGAGGCCACCGTACGAGTGGCAGATAAGAACCACATCTCGCGGGTCGGTGGGGGAGTCCAGTGCTTCGAGGATTGAGGCACGAACGAGCGCAGCATCGTCTTCTAGGGTTGCTGGTGGGAGCTTGGTGCCATCGTTGACGGAGGGGAGCGAAATGGCGGTTGCTGGGGCGTTGGTGGTCGATTGGAGGGCTGCGATGAGCTTCGTGTAGGACCCCGGGAGCGTGAAAGAGCCTGGAATGATAATGGAGGCGTAGTTGCTTGATTTGGGTGCCATTTTGAATGTTGAATGGATTGTTGATGGGTTGAACTTAGGGTATAGATGGGAATGGTGATGGGATTTATATGTAAATATCTATGTGATGAAGCATCATGATTATCAATATTATAAATCGCGATTGCTGGCATTGTAAATCATCGAGGCGCTACAGACATGATACGGGTGTGTATATGTGTGTATATCTAACAATCTTGGAACTCTATCACGATATCTGTGTACTAGTACGTGAGCGCCAATATGTATTATCAAGCATTCCGCTGAGATTGGAAATCGAAGTCAAAGGATCCTGCAATTTAGAAACCCATATATTAGGAGGCCGAACCGAGGAGGCCATGGTACATTACGCTAAGCTTCTTTCAGAGACTCCACTTTTCACGCTAACCGTTTATCGGGTAGAAACATCTCTGATTGAGTGCAAGGTCTATCTATACCTGAACACAAAATCGCGCGAAAGATGTCACAGCCAGAATTATTTATTCGAAAGGATATCTTCCCCTATAAGAAGGAATGCTTTACCCCAAGTTATACTTGAATTACAGGCTCAGTCCATTGAATTCTTAGACCTGCAAACCACCTGACAACAGTCCTAAATGGCCACCCACCTCGCCGCCGTCTGCGTCGGAAAGGGTAGGCCCTTCGAGGTCCAAACTCGCCCCACGCCGAGACCCGGCCCAGATGAGATTCTCATAGAAGTCAAATCTGTAGCCTTCAATCCAGCTGATGGCCAAATGCGTGATAGCGGGCTCTTCATACCCAACTACCCCACAGTCATCGGCTTTGATGTCTCGGGTCTAGTTCTCGAGGTTGGCGAAAACGTCCCCATCAAGGCCAAAAATGGAGACCCGGGCCCTTTTTTCCAACCGGGAATTACCCGTGTCGCCGCCTTTGCTGCCTCATTCTGGAGAGCCTGTGACCCTGGCTACGGCGCCTTTCAAGAACGGTGTCTCGTCCCCTGGCAGCATGCTGTGCCTCTTCCGGATACGGGGATTTCTTGGAATGAAGCGGCAACTCTGCCAGTCGCCGTTGAAGTACCGCTTAACGCGTGGAATATTATGGGTATTCCACGAGTTGGAGAAGTGAATGCTTCTTCTATTTCTACTGCCTCGATCGGTGCCGATACTAGTGGAGAAACTCAGGGAATTGAAAAGCGAAAGAGAGAAGCCCTTTTAATTTGGGGTGCTTCCTCAAGTGTAGGCACGATGGGCGTTCAAACTGCCCGCCTGTTACGGGAAGATCGCGACTCTTCTTTCACCGCCGTGTACGCCACCGCGGGTGCCGCGAACCAGAAGTATATAGAATCTCTAGGCGCTGATCGAGTCTTTAATTACAAGGAGCCGCAAGTTGTGGATTCAATCATTACAATGGCGAGAGAGGATGGCCTAGTGATTCGGCACTGTTTTCTTGCTACTGGGGAGCTGGCGCCCTGCCAGGCTGTGCTTAAGGCTTTCCTCGGTCATGGTGAAGAGGGAGAGAACCAGAAGGCGAAGATTGGATCAGCCCCCGTTGTTTCCCCCGATGCGGCAGAGGTGCATGGAATCGAAACTATCTTTGTGCTGCCGTCAATGGATGAAGAGGAGAGGTTGGCTCAATTCCAATATTGGCTAGGGACGTGGCTGAGGGAGAAGTTGGCCAACGGTACTATCAGACCGAGTCCGGAGCCGAGGGTCGTGGGAAAGGGAGTGGGGGCTATCAATGCTGGGTTAGATATGTTGCTTCGCGGAGTGAGTTGTACGAAGTTGGTTGTTGAAGTTGCGGAATGAGTATTTCTGGGATGTTAAAAATATGTTTATTATTACCTAAATGAGGACGACAAAATAAATGTAGGAGCTCAGAATATGAATCCACGATTGATATCCTCGAGTCGTTAGGGATTCATTCCCGGATAAAGCTCTAGTTATTGTCTTATTTACTCTTGATCTCTTAGTTTTTTGGGTGACTGGGTGGGCTTGTGTTCCTATGGTAGAAGTCAATAACTCTAGATTTGCGAAACACCGAATATCAAGTATGCTTGCTATTGCCTAGTTAGTTATAACTAGTTATCAGTTAACACCGTTTCCCACCGAGAAACCTAGGCAACAAGGCATCAAGGCACACCAGATCGACCAAGTTCCATCACATTCGCTGGTGGCGGACACCAAAACGGGCTTACTTAATGGCCCACCGCTTAGCTCATCGCATATCGTCACTCAGTTGAGTACCTGGGAGCTCTCTGCCATCCTTCATCACCTCTTATCACCCTACCATCCCCTCGATCAGCTTTCTCCTTGTCCTTCTATCTTCTTATCTTTCCCGGGACCTTAGTCTCGTCTGCTTTCTTTATTGAGCTGCTTCCCAGCTCAGTTGTGGTTACCTGACCTTCCTCGTTCCTCCCAAGCTCGCTTCTCGTCAAACCCGTCACACGCTTCACATCCTTCACAATGTCCGCGGAGCCGGATCACAAGCACGAGAAGAAGAGGGTCAACCTTCAGTATGCTTGGATTGTCTCTAATTTACATGAAATACTGGCTAACAACTTCAACCAGGGATGCCTCAGGTGCCGAAAAGAGAGAGGTCAGACAGGCCAACACAGCTACTTTGACTCGCGAACGAAACTGACAAACTATAACAGGAACTCGACACCTCAACTGCCATCCTTAAGAAGAAGAAGAAGCCCAACTCTTTGATGTAAGGGACTCGATTGGGGGCGATAACGCCCGCTTTGCGGGGACGAAGCTGACAACTCATCATTAGTGTGACCGATGCTACCAACGATGACAACTCCGTCATTGCTCTTTCCAACAACACCATGGAGACTCTCCAGCTCTTCCGTGGTGATACTGTTCTGGTCAAGGGTAAGAAGCGCAAGGATACAGTCTTAATTGTCTTGGCCGACGACGACCTTGATGACGGCAGTGCCCGCATTAACCGTGTTGTGCGACACAACCTCCGTGTCAAGCACGGCGATATTATTACCGTCCACCCTTGTCCCGATATCAAATATGTATGTTCGAGTCCCTCTACTCCGCGGGTCTTTAAAGGCACTGGTGATACTAATTCGATATCCTCCGTTAGGCCAAGCGCATTGCTGTTCTCCCCATCGCCGATACTATCGAGGGTCTGACCGGATCCATCTTCGATGTCTTCCTTGCCCCATACTTCCGCGAGGCTTATAGACCAGTCCGCCAAGGCGATCTGTTCGCCGTGCGCGGTGGCATGCGTCAAGTTGAGTTTAAGGTCGTTGAGGTGGACCCCCCAGAGTACGGCATCGTTGCCCAGGACACCATCATCCACTGCGAGGGTGACCCTATTCAGCGAGAAGATGAGGAGGGCAACCTTAACGAGGTTGGTTATGATGATATCGGTGGCTGCAGGAAACAGATGGCTCAGATCCGCGAGTTGGTCGAGCTTCCCCTCCGCCACCCTCAACTTTTCCGCAGCCTTGGTGTCAAGCCCCCTCGTGGTATTCTAATGTACGGTCCTCCTGGAACCGGAAAGACACTGATGGCTCGCGCGGTCGCCAACGAGACCGGCAGCTTCTTCTTCCTTATTAACGGTCCCGAGGTCATGTCAAAGATGGCCGGTGAGTCCGAATCGAACCTTCGCAAGGCCTTCGAGGAGGCCGAGAAGAACTCCCCTGCAATTATCTTCATCGATGAGATCGACTCAATCGCTCCCAAGCGTGACAAGACCAATGGTGAGGTTGAGCGCCGTGTCGTTTCCCAGTTGTTGACCCTCATGGACGGCATGAAGTCCCGCTCAAACGTTGTGGTTATGGCCGCAACCAACCGTCCCAACTCTATCGACCCTGCCCTCCGTCGTTTCGGCCGTTTCGATCGTGAAGTCGACATTGGAATTCCCGACCCAACCGGCCGTTTGGAAATCATGCAGATCCATACCAAGAACATGAAGCTGGGCGACGATGTCGATCTGGAGACCATTGCCGCTGAGACACACGGATACGTTGGTTCTGATCTGGCCTCGCTTTGCTCGGAGGCTGCCATGCAACAAATTCGTGAGAAGATGGATCTCATCGATCTCGATGAGGACACTATCGATGCCGAGGTTCTCGACTCTCTAGGTGTCACCATGGACAACTTCCGCTACTCCCTCGGTGTGTCCAACCCCTCCGCCCTCCGCGAGGTCGCTGTGGTCGAGGTTCCCAACGTCCGCTGGGACGATATTGGTGGTCTGGAAGAGGTCAAGCGCGAACTCATCGAGAGCGTGCAATATCCCGTCGATCACCCCGAGATGTTCCAGAAGTTTGGTCTCTCGCCTTCTCGCGGTGTGTTGTTCTATGGTCCCCCCGGTACTGGTAAGACCATGTTGGCCAAGGCTGTCGCCAACGAGTGCGCTGCCAACTTCATCTCCATCAAGGGCCCTGAGCTGCTGAGCATGTGGTTCGGTGAGTCAGAGAGCAACATCCGCGATATCTTCGACAAGGCTCGTGCTGCCGCTCCTTGTGTTGTGTTCCTTGATGAGTTGGATTCTATTGCCAAGTCTCGTGGTGGCTCTGTTGGTGACGCCGGCGGTGCTTCCGACCGTGTAGTTAACCAGCTTCTGACTGGTAAGTACTGCATATAAAACAGCATTTCAACCAACCTCTTACTAACACTATAACTAGAAATGGATGGTATGACCTCCAAGAAGAACGTCTTCGTTATCGGTGCCACCAACCGTCCCGAGCAGCTTGATGCCGCTCTGGTTCGTCCCGGTCGGCTCGACACCCTGGTCTACGTTCCTTTGCCCGACCAGGCTTCTCGTGAGGGTATCCTGAAGGCTCAGCTCCGTAAGACCCCTGTTGCTTCTGATGTCGACATTGCTTTCATGGCCAGCAAGACCCACGGCTTCTCCGGTGCCGATTTGGGCTTCATCACCCAGCGTGCTGTCAAGCTCGCCATTAAGGAGGCTATCACTGCCGACATCGAGCGCACGAAGGCCCGCGAGGCTGCCGGTGAGGATGTCACCATGGATGATGGCGAGAACCTGGGTGAAGAGGACCCCGTTCCTGAGCTCACCAAGGCTCACTTTGAGGAGGCCATGAAGAGTGCCCGACGATCAGTATCTGACGTCGAAATCCGCCGCTATGAGGCCTTTGCTCAGAGTCTTAAGAACTCCGGCGGTAGCAGCTTCTTCCGCTTCCCCTCAGCCGGTGAGGTTCAGGACAACGACACTTTCGGCGAAGCCGGCAACGATGACAGCCTCTACGATTAAATGGGTTCCGTTTGTTTTTGAAATTTTTCTATGTCGCTCTGGGTCACGATTTCTCTGCTACTTGCCATCCAGTCTCTATAGGGTGGGTTTTCCTGGTTTGAAGATTCATCATGGTTAGATCGTTTTTTCTTAAATAGGAAACTTACTTCGAGATGGTTCTTTTTGATTTACTACCCTTGTCTTTGCCCATACAATGTGCCATAATCGCAATAAAGGAAGAGAAAATCCACTCTTGATTTTTATAAATGCCTTCTATTACCTGGCCTCGTAATTTTGGAACTTTAAGACTTTGTCCTGATGATCATGAGTATTAAGAATGATCGTCCTTGCAAATTAGGTAAATTTATATAGTTAGTTTCTCTTTTACCCCCATTCTTGGGATGTTCTTGGGGCAGAAAGGTGTGGAATTGTCGTCGGAAGACCTTAATCTCCAGAACCTCGGAAACTTGAAGTTATCAAAGTTCTATACAAGTATACCTATTCATCCAATAATGTATTTACATACAATGTCAAGAAACAGTCAAGTTGCTCGAAATATCATATTATATTTCCTCTCTATCAAACATTAAATTATAACTCATAAAAAGGCAGGGCCATGAAATTTTCTATAAAAAAAAAAGCTCTCAACACGCTGATGCGAAGGGGGTTTTAACGGAGAAGTCATAAAAGATCCTAAAACTTCGGACTGAACCGGCTCATTGCCCGAATCTTGGCTCCGTAGAAGAAGAACAAGATGGGGATGGGGATCATCGCAATGGTAATGAAGCCGAGGACACTGGAGGCCCAATCCACACCTAGACGCTCATACATGGTGGTTGCAAAAAGCGGGAATCCACCACCAACCAGCGATCGCACAAGTGTGTTAGCAGCAATAGCTGAATTGGCGAACATCATATAGACATCGATGATATAGTTCAAACCCTGCATGAAGATAACCAAGATGCCCAACCCGATTGGCACTCCAGCAATCACCTGCGGTACCCAGGAGATGGAGGGATCAGAGGTCCAACCGAACCAGAAGAGACCGATGGGCAAGAGGACGGAAGCGATCATCATTGGAATGAGACGTTCCTCGGGGACGACGCGGCCATGCTTAGCTAGTTTGCGGGCAAAGCGAGTTTTGGTTGTGTAGATGATTAGGGCAGCACCCAGAAGAACACCGATTAAGATGCCGATGAAGGGGAGGGCGGCGACACCTTCCTGCTTCCAGCCGCGGACTACGCTGAAGGAAATGGGATAGGCTTCGAAGAAGAGGTAGAGGATACCGTAGACGAGGGCGAGGTAGATCGTGATGCAGATCAGGATGGGCTCGAGGACTAGCATCTGAATAGGACGGAGAAGGTACTTGGCGACGATATCAGACCAAGTAGGCTTGTGTTCATCGAGGAAGGAATGGAGGGCCCAGTTCTTCGTCTCCTGACGTAAACGAGCGGCTCGGTCCTGGAGTAGTTTTGGGCCGTAGGTCTCCGGAACGATGAAGAAAGCTACCAGGCCGAAGAATGAAGAGGCGATAAGAGTGATCCATGCAGTCCATCGCCATCCTAGATAGGAATCGGTAATGAAGCCACCGAGGATAGGACCGAGGATTGGACCGAGGAAAGTAGCACAGCTGAACATGGCGATGGCTACGGCGCGGTCTACTGGATCCCAGATATCAGCCATGGCACCGCCAACGACGGCGAGTGGTGAGCAGCCGAAGACACCGATGAGGAAACGGAAGATCATAATTTGCTGAATATTGTGGGCGACTGCGACGGGAATTTGAAATATGGCGAAGATGGCATAACCGATAAATAATGGGAAGCGACGACCGTATAGTTCGCTCATTGGAGCCCAGCAGAGAGGACCAAGAGCAAATCCAAATAAGGATAGACTAGTGCCCAGGACCATAACCTCGGTTGATACATTAAATTCCTTAGCAGTGACGGTGGTGGCAGTTGAGAAGACACTGGTAGCAAATGTAATCCACATAGTCATTGAAGACATAGATACTGTAATAAGCCATTTGCGTGATTTTGAGAAATTCTGGGGGTTTTCTGGATCGTCGGGCCCATCCCATTCAACTAGATTTGGGTCTTTTTCTTTGGGCTTCTCAGGTATTGTGTGTGTATGGGCGCTTTCGATATCGGATTCTTCATGGGGAGCTGCAGAAGGCTCCAATTCTTTATCCAGAACGCCGATGGGCGCATGAGGCTCATTAACGGCCGTGTTGTGGTCGCGGACGTCCATGCTGATCCGCGGGGTAGTTTGATTTGAACTGAATTGATTGGTACTCATGTTGAGTCCAGTGTTGTCAAGACTGGAGAGTAGAATGCTCCAAGGTTGACTTTGGTAATTTTCAGTGGTGGGCAGGTAGTTGAGTGGGTGCCTAGATCTATAAGATAGGGTCGAGGTTTCTCAGTTGAAGTTGAATTTGAAGGTTGATAGTGTATTCCACGTGGATCTAAAGGGCTTTAAGAATGGGTATTGTACACAATTTAAGGGTCATCTTGACTTCATAATTGATTTGCAAGACTCGGCGCGGAGCTAAAATAACATGCTAAAACAGTACGAACTGGGACCTAAGTCCGTTATTTGATCCACCGAGACCGATTCCGCGTGCCGAGAATTCTAGAATGGCTCCAATGAAGGTCTTGGCTTACCTGCTAATTCAGACTAAATGAAATGGCTAGATGAGTGGAGTGGTATTCTGTCATCGAACAACCAAAACTATTCGTCACTTGATGTCGGTGCTCGTGCTTTGAAAAGTTCCGAAAGGCCGAAAGCCGCAGAAGTGGAGCTGCTTATCCATGAATGCATAAGCCGGAAAAAAACAGTCATTAGAGCCGGAGATAATTTATGTACAGTTCATGGATTACCTCCGTTCACATCGATTTTATCTTCCTGTAGTCATTTGAGCCCCAGTTAGAGTCATGTATACCCGATGATCAGAACCAGGATAAAGTCCATCACGGAGTCCGATATTTGTATTCCATGGTTAGCACAAGCCGGCCCCCGGGAGCTGCTCGCTCGACAAGAACATCTGTGTTCGCTCACCAAGAATAGTAATACAGAAGATATTCTGAGCTATATAACAGAACTCCGCGTGGATGCCTTTAGCGATATAAAGTGTCTTAATCGGGGCTTCCATCGCATAGATCGGGCTTCGAACACTGCTTAACTTGTATTTACTCGACCCTCTTGAGGTTTCCATATCATGAGCACCTTCATTATTGACATTCGCAAGTATAATAACAAGTTTGAGAAGCTCTAAGCCGTACGATGCTCGTACTGGACCAAGCCCTTTGCGGTGAATCATGATACTTGAGTGTATGAGTATAGATCTCGAGTTTGCTGACGAATGACATAGTATGCAGACTCTGGACAATGCTAGTAAATCACAATGTCTCGAATGTATGATTGGAGAACAAAGTTACCCTTATGCCATTTTCCAATATCATTTCCAAGTCTCAAGAAAACAAAACAAAAAAAAAACAGCAAAGGAAAGAACGAAAGGTGAAGAAGTGATGATCAGATCTGGAGCTTCCAAAGTGTAGGGCAAACGCGGTCCCGTGCGACGCGTCTGGGCGGTCAACCTCCATCTCCACTCTCCTAGTACCGCGTCAACTTTGTTTCTCCCCTCCCATCTTCTATGTGAGCCTGATTGTCGCAATTATGCCATCTCGCACTCGGCAAGGTCCTGCTGACGAGGCCGAGGGGGATTCTGGCCTTCCTAGCCTGTCTTTCAATCAACCGTTGTCGTGGCGCGTGGGGCGCTCGGCTATCCCCATCGCTGATTTACTCGAACGCCTTCACACCCTCGCAAACGAACTTCGCAAGCTGGAACAGGAGGAAATTGAAAAAGAGTCCTTGCGTAAGGTCTCCCAAGAACTTGCGAGTGCCCATCTTCTGGCCCACAAAGATAAGGGTGTGCGAGCTTGGGCCGCGTGCTGCCTGGTGGATGTCTTGCGACTATGCGCGCCGGACGCGCCTTTTACAAGGAATCAGCTTAAGGTATGATTGCTGAAGGGAATAAAGCATCTGATTGGGGTCGTGAAGCTTCCCGTCGAATTGCGCTAACATATGCCACTTCAGGATATTTTCACCTGTATCGTGACATCTATTATCCCCGCACTTGCCGATCCTTCCAATGCCTACAATGCACAGCACATCTACGTCTTGGGCTCGCTCGCCGAGGTCAAGAGTATTGTCCTCATGACTGATTTAGACCACCCCGACTCCTTGATTGTCCCTCTTTTCACTGGCTGTTTCGATATAGTCTCCGGCTCCTCTAAGTCATCCACTGGTGAGGAGGTGGCCAAAAATGTGGAATTTGACATGACTCGGGTTCTTGTCACAGTGATTGACGAAATGCCTGTGTTAGCGGCCGAAGTTGTTGATACAATTGTGGCCCAGTTTCTGCGGGTGGACCCTCGGGTGGAGGACAATCCTCGAAAGACGAAACGACAAGACGCAGTCCTTGATGCCAAACAAGACACTCTTTTGTTAAAGGACTATCCGGCAGCTTATAATATGGCTAAAGCAATTTGCCAGGCTTGCCCAGAACGGATGACAAGTCATATCAGTCAATACTTCAACAATGTTATTATTGATGCATCTGCACCAGCTGCCCAAGCGAACGGAGCGAAACATGCATCTCGCAAGCCCAACCTTGATGACTCAGACGAGGAAGGGGAAGATATCAAGGAATTAAGCAAGGCACACCGTCTTATTCGAGAGCTTTGGCGGGCATGCCCGGAGGTTTTGCAGAATGTCATTCCGCAGGTAGAGGCCGAACTTTCCGCAGAATCGATAGCTCTTCGCTTACTAGCGACCCAAACCATTGGTGACCTAGCAGCCGGTGTTGGCGTGGCTGGACCACCTCCATCGGCGCCAATGGACCCAGCAGCTTATCCTGCGGTAACTCTTGGAGAATATGCGCAGCTGATCCCACAGCCGAATGTTCTTCTCATGCCGGTATCACCAAAGCCATTTTCTCATCTTCATAGTTCGGCGTATGAGGCATTCTTGAGCCGCAGACTTGATAAAACACCTTCGATACGTGCTGCTTGGGTGACTGTCGTAGGACGAATCCTGCTGACTTCTGCCGGAGGCTCTGGCTTAAGCGAAGGAGAGGAACAAGGGCTTGTGCAGAATCTCGCATCAATGCTCCGAGACGCCGATGAAAAGGTTCGTCTTGCTGCTGTGGATACTGTGGGAAGATTCGGATATACCCATGTCGTTCATAAGCTTGGTGTTAATGGCGGCTGCGCCTCCCCAGATTCAGTGTTAGCAATTCTCGCTGAACGTGTTAAAGATCGCAAGCCTCAGGTGCGTGAGCATGCCATGAAGATTTTAGCACGTATTTGGGCGGTTGCCTCCGGTGACATTGAACAAAATATCGAACCTGTTGCGTCCCTTCTGAAGGATGCACCGTCGAAAATTTTCGATGCCTTCTATACCAACGACCAAGAGATCCATGTCTTGATTGATCGTGTTCTATTTGAGACACTTCTTCCATTAAACTACCCCCCTATCAAAACAAAGCTCACTCGGACCGGTTCCAACCAATCTCAGAAACAAAAAGAGAGCCAGCCTTCTGATGCCGAGGAAGATAGTGATGTGGACAAAATCCGAGTCCGTCGTATTTTGACACTAATTCGGGGTCTGGACGAAAAGGCTCGACGAGTTTTCTTTGTTATGCTAGCCCGGCAGCTTTCGATGAGATCGGCCATGACGCTCTATCTAGAGGCATGTGAGAAGTTCAATGTAAGTTTTCGAACTGCTGCGGGTATTTAGCCAATATTAACAGTCCTATTTACAGGGTGGCGTAATTGACAAGGATGAAGAACAGACGAAAGCCCGGCTTTCAAGCATTATTGAATCGTTGTCTAAGACATTTCCTGACGTTTCACGCGCATCTGCAGATTTGTGGAAGTTTGCCAAGGCCCACGATAGACGCAGCTATCAACTTATCCGTTTCGCTATGGCCGCTGTTAGTGACTATCGGACGGCGACGAAGGCTATTCGAGAACTTCAACGGCGCACGCAAAGTGCCAACAACTCTCCTATAATTGAGACTGTGACTCCTCTTTTATATCGGAGTGGCTCTCTGATATTCAATAGAAGCCATATCCCGGCAATCATGAGTCTTTCTCGGACCGACGAGAACGGCTTAGCTAATGCCGCGCAGGAAATGCTAAAGCAAATATCCTCACAGAACCCCGAAGTCCTGGAGGCGCAGGTCCAAGAGATGTGCAAGGATCTCGAGTCACAAGCTCCCAAAGCTTCGTCACCTGGAGACACGAGCAGCGAGGAGATTTTGAAAGCCTGCGCTGGGTTTGCCAAGAAGCTCCCAGGGAAACTGCCCAAGGAGCGCAAATTCTATCAAGCATTGTCAAATTACGCTTTATACAGTACTTCACCACATGCTGCTAAGCATGCAGTGTCAATTCTTATGGCTACTTCCGATCGCAAGGAAATGTACGCAAAGGATCTTGTTCAAAAGTGCGTGAAGAAGTGGACCTATGGTTCTGACCACTTTCTTGCTCGACTTGCCACTTTATCGCAGTTGAATTTGCTTGTACCACGACAAGCCGACGAGGAGACAGGCGAGATCATCTCCATAGCCATCAACCAGGTTCTTCTGACCAATCGTAACCCTCAAGGCGGCTCGGATTATACTTGGTCAGATACAATGGATGAAGAAACACAAGCAAAGGAGTGGGCACTCAAGATTATCGTTAACCGTCTCCGTGCTCAGGATGGTTCAGACAATGAGGATGATTTCCGTGCACATGCTGAACCCGTTTATGACACCTTGAACAAACTTGTGGCTGGAGAAGGTGAACTTTCCAAGAAGAAAGATACACCGGCGAATCAAAAGTCACGGTTGCGCTTGTTAGCGGCCAAGTCACTGGTCAAACTTTGTGCATCAAGCACTCTATGCGATCACCTCTTGACTCCCATAGATTTCAATGCGCTAGGGTTGATGGCTCAAGATCCTTTGTTACCAGTGCGAAGTGGGTTCATGAACTACCTCAAGAAAAAACTGGTGCAACGATCACACCTTGGATTTCGCTGGTACATCGTCCCTTGCTTGCTTGCATTTGAGCCTAGCATTACTTTGAAAGAGAGCACACTCACATGGCTTCGATCTCGCGCAGTGTTTTTCTCGCAACAAGCCCAGGCTAGTGGAAAGCGAACTGAGCAGACGATGGTTATGGAGTTGGTCTTTTCGCGCCTTCTTTCTTTACTAGCCTACCACCCTGACTACCCATCCGACGATCTGGGTGAGACGACAAAGCTCGGTGATCTCAGCGATTTTTCCCGATACATCGTCTTTTATCTGTCAGCTGTTGCCAATGAGCATAATTTGTCACTGATTTTCCATGTTGCTCAGCGCGTCAAACAATTCCGCGACGGCATCACCAAATCAGACCAGATATCTACTCGTCTACACACTCTGTCTGACCTGGCTCAAGCCACTATTAGACGATTTGCCGACATCTATTCTCAACAACACAAAGTTGGTGGTGGCAACGGAGGCACGAATCTTTTACAGACATACCCAGGCAAAATGGGTGTCCCAAGCTCCCTGTTCGCGAATATGGGTAGCCACCAAGAAGCCCAAGAGGTTGCGGACAAGAACTTCCTTCCAGATGAGCTGGACGACATGCTTGATCGCGTTGTGCGAACTGCAATGAAGCCCAAGAGTGGATCTCATAGCGCCCACGGCTCAGGTAAAAAGAGGAAGCCCGAGTCCTCTGCTCCCAATAGGAGTGAGTCAGCCAAGAAGGCTCGTAAGGAGAAGCCCGCTCGCACCCCTCGCAAATCATCTTCGGTGGGTGTTTCAGGCAAGACTTCTCAGCGCAAGCGGAAGGGCGATGACGGATGGTCCTCTGATGTGGGCGGAGAAAGTGTATCTACTTCCAACCGTCGGCGTAGCAGCCGAGGTACCGCCAGGGTATCCGTGAGCTATGCAGACAAGGATAGCGACGAAGATGACGAGGAAATGCAAGGGTGGGCCCAGGATAAGAAAGATGACAATGCCGAACTGGAGGAATCGGAAGAGGAAGACGAAGCTGATGAAGATGGAGCCGGAGACGGGGATGAAGACGAGGAAATGCAAGATGAGGAAAGCGAGAATGCTGATCAAGAAGAAGACGAAGAACAAGTCGAACTTGAACAGGCTAGTGAGAAGGAGAACTCTCCTCCAACTCCGCCAGTTCGTTCAGCTCGTGGCAAGAAAACACCGGAATCCAAGCCTTCTCGAGGCAAGAAACCAGAAAAGCCGGTGACAACTACTTTGCCCACCCGCCGATCTTCCCGTCGGGGTTAAATCCGCTTTCCTCTAGGTGAAAAATGGATGAAGATGCCTTCTATTATTATCACCTTCGCATGGCCGTGACTTTCTTTGATATGATCTGATTGTCCTAATACGTTCTTGTATGCCATATGTCTGTTTCTATCAAATTTCCTGTTTCCAGTTACCGTTTTGCGTTTATTGCGTTCTTTGCAGTCGATAACCATTCGAGATGTATACCCAATCCGTTTTGATGTCTCTTCCGCACGCTGAATTGAATTCGTTGCTACGAATACGTCCGTCTCTTTTTACCACGAGTCAAAAACTATCATCCCACCCGTAAATGTACCTAGTTCTGAAAATCCACGATCCATTCATGATTAATTAATGATATTTCACTGCAAATCTTTACTCTTTTGATCCACATCCGACATCAATTCTGTTGAAGCCTAAGGCAAAGATCTGATAACCGCATGGCCTTCCCTAATCCGTGTTACAAGCTCCATAGTACGCACCGATGCTCTCCACCCACAATATTCCCCGTATTGATGGGTCTTAGCCCCAAATTATTGCTAATCAAAACCCCCTAATGAATTGTGACCAATAAGAATATCTTTTATGAAAGATCCCAACGTTTCTATCAAAGATTTGCAATGTGCTGCCCTCCGTTAAACGCCTGAAAATTCCCCTTCTGCACAGGTTCTCCACTTTCCCGTCACCCCACAGCATTAAGGCCCACAACAATAGAGCAATGACATCGGATTCCTCTTCATTTTTCCTTCTACTTTCAGACTAAGATCTTCGAGTTATTATGAGGCAAGGCATTTTGTTAGTATACCCAGCAGCTTCAGACCGATGACTTGCGTTAGCTCTACCCGAATATTCAATTGAATTTGATTCCGATACTCTCAGTATGAACCATGCACTAGTATGCCATTAAACAGAATAAGACCGGAAACCAAGCTGGGATTTCTGGAGAATAAAGGTATTACATTCAAGGCACAAGGGATATCCTACATTGTATCAACGAGATAAGAGAAGAAAAAGAAAGATCAAACCGAGAGAGTAAATGCTTTAGATGCCAACGAAATGGAGACCGAAATCAGATATAATAGAATGATCATGACTTGATCTTCGCCGTCGCAGCCCATGAATCCTTAAGACCCCAAACACCAGCCATGAAACTGATCAGGCCAATTAAATTCTCCGGAATCCCGATACCCTTCTCAAAGCACCAGTGAATACACAAAGGAGCCCAAATAGTGTTATTAACCAGACTCTTCTTCCAAGAGCGGATCTCTTTGCGTACCTCCTCCGCTTCTTCAGCCTTGAATTCTTTGGCTTTCTCATCATTGGCCGCCGCAGCAAGCTTAGCAGCCATACGGCGTTTGCGCAGTACATGCTCGCGCCATAGAACGAACCATTCGAAAAAGATGTGCCCGAACCATCCTCGTGTGCTCCAAATGTACCATGCATCGACGCCTCCGTACTTTTCAACCCACTTTTTGGAGACGACGCCCTTTTCTGCGAGGTAGGCGACGTTCTCGAGGAGTTGGTAGATCACATTGGAGATCACTTGGAGGATGGCTAATGTGTGAAGGATTGGATCGGCGGGTGGTGATTTGAGCGTTTGAGAGCCCCAGACCCAGAGTGGTAGGAGGCCGAAGAGGCGTAGATTGTAGCGGGTCTCGGAAGCGACAGAGGATAGGGCTGACCATTTTGATTTTGAGGGAGGGGAGGAGGGTTTGGAGGGTTGTGAAGCGGCTTGGCCTCGTAATCGCGCGAGGAGTCCTAGGCGGGTTTGAAATGCATTCCAGGGTCCGGATGCAGAGACATGGTGTAAAATTGATGCGACATAGTTAATTGTTGCGAGGACTCGTTCTTGACCATCGGCGGAGGAGAGGAGTCTGAAGATGTTGTTAGTTGAGTAGATTATAAGAAAAGATGTAACATGATTGCGACAGATGTGCTAAACAAAGAATGACCTCTGGAAGAACTATCTGAGTAGGAGGAACTCACAAATCTAACCGGCGAATAGTGACATCGGTCGCTGTAAGGGCTCCTAGCAATTGCCGTCGGGTTGGTTTCCCCGCGGGTATTGCGCTGGTGCTCTTCCCCACATGTGAAGAGTCGTCTGCCACTGATGGGGTATCTGGTTGGGGGTTCGGATCTGTCATGGTGAACATGTACGTGGGAAGGAGATGTGATGAGAAAGAAGACCAGCTTCTTCTTTTTTTTGGAGTTGTATGCACGGAAAAACAAAAGAAATTATCATGCGTTTATCACGGAAATCGCGCGCGCGGTCATATCGGAAGAAACCGAGGCTCGGAACAAGGTTGGCCTTTCCTTACTCGGCGACCTCCACTCCGCGCATATGGATCCCTTGTGAACATGGACCCGTTGGACCGCGTTGGTTGTGATCGTATTTCGATTGTCGCATTTTCTCTGGGTTTCAACTGGTTGATTATGTGTCGATAGCAGAATCTCCCTAGCATTGTTATTACCCTTGTCTGACTTTCCCCTTGAACTAGTAACCTCGCCCGCATAATATGTGTCACCATGCATCGGTATGTGAGAGGCTGGGCCCACAATTCTTTAAAGTCACCGGGCATTACCTCAAACACAGCCCTCCTTAAGCAACCAACAACACACCAAATGTAGCCGGATCATTTGAGATTATTCGGCCGCTCTCTTGAAATTGCTGTCGAGGGCACTCTGGTTGGGCTCGGGTTTGTCCTTATCGTGTTGGAGATCAGCCAAGGCAGCTCGATTGGCGCTGAAAAGTCCTGTATTTCTCAGCTGAACTGGTCTATACATTGCAGAATAGGATAGATCATCAGAATATTCCCAGTCTGGTATCTCAATAAGTTTGCCTTGCTGCTCGACTTCCTCCCAGATCGGGCGGGAAATGACGGAGTCGTACGGATCTAGTGGCTGGCGAGTGCTCCGCGGCCACTCCTGCTGCTGAGGAAGAGCTCGAGAGTCTGCGAGAGTCTGGAGGAAGTGTGCAACCTGTGATGGGGTTTTCTGGATTTTCCAAAGCCAGGAAAATGTCTCTTTGGCTCGCTCAGCGGTTGGACAACGGTTAATGAACCACTCCATCAGTTTCTTGAACTGAGAGGGACCCAGATCCATCGACTGGGCTATGCCTAGTGCCATGCTCATATTGTAGGGGAGAGGGCGTCGGAATCCATCCCACCACAGTCGAAAGGCCGTGCTGTTTTTCCAGTCGTAAACGTCCATCTCGGGCAAGTTACGAGCGACGCGAACATCCACAGGTCGTCGATTGAGATACTCTGGTATGCGAGGAGGCTCTTGGTATTCTTGATTGACGATAGCGTCGATGCTCTCCCAGGCGCGATCGGCCCAGTTGGGTCGGCAGGCTGCACATGATCGGCGTTGGCAAGGCATACGGTTGGTATCGATATCGTCTGAGCCGCTGAGCCCCTCAGTGCTGGTTGTTGTGGCAGAAGCAATCACCGAAGAAGTATCAGCAGATATTTGTGAATCCATTGAAAAAAAGAGTAGAAATTCATGAGATTGGGAGGATTCTTTGTGTTGGTCTCTTGCTGTGGTTAGAGCTCCCATTCTCTGAGCGATCAGCCGGTGAATCTGGTCCTCTGCATAGTGTTCTTCTTTTGCAGCCTGCTGGACTGATGGACTGAGGGTGCTGAGATCTGGGAAAGGCACGGAATCGCCATCGTCAAATGGTGAGAAGTTAGGTGTGTCGGCGGCACAGACATAGAGAAATCTGTTTGAGCGGCCACAATCATCACAGAGGAGCAACTCATCTCCAGCAAAATAACGGACGACTACATTGTGCTGACAGCTTTTTCCAGGGCGAAATCGGTATCGCGCCTGGCGCATTTCCTCAGGGGGGGTATGCATATCGCTTAAAATGGAGTTGTGTGGAGGATGGAATAACTTCTCTCACTTCAATGTTGGTATCCTCCGAGAATTACGGCAATGAGCTGTCACAGTTCCAAGGTTCTGTAACAGTTGCTACAATTGTTTGTTAATGTTAGTCACCTTATGTAGGGTATAAGATCGTGATTTATTAATGAAAGGATATTGGAGTTCTTTAATATATCTGCACATCCAACTGTCTCTTTATCCTCTTTGCCCATTTACCTTTATTGCCTTTCTTTATAAATGATACAACAGTGAATAAGGCTTAAATCTACAGGATTGGCCCAAGATTGAAAACCTGAGGGTATTTGACTATCAATAAACTAAGATAGAAGGAAAGCAGAAGAGGCGAACCAAGCAAGTAATGTGATAATATAGAAATCCGTTGAAGATCACGCGACTTCTACACATCACACCTGCAAGCTTGGATAAACTTATTTGCGTACAAGTACACAGATCATTCCAAAAAGCCTTGAGAACCTACAAGGAGCTTGGACCTTCTACCCATCCAATCATCCGTTCAATCATTCATCCAACCATCCTTCCAGCCACCTTTCCAACCCTCTTTCCAACAATCTATCAACTGAATATCGAATAACTGCTGCATAATCAGCGGCTGAAGCAGCAACACCACCCCCATGCTGTGAATTAATGCCAGTACTGCATCTAATGCCCAGGTATGTTGTGTAGTATAGCATTTCTTATCTCCATGACCACTGTTGTCGACTATGATGCCGCTGAAGGTCATTGCGCTGCCGACCAAGATACATCTCAACAGACACCGGCGTCCGGGTGGGCCTCAGAATCAAATTTGCGTCTTCTTCGATGGTCTCTATTGTGTGTCGCATTCAATACGGGGGGGAATGTTCTTCAGAATATCTTGTGGCAGAGATCAGACTGCAAGGCTAGTCAACGTAGGAGTGAGAGTTGGCTATAGGGGAGGGTATCAGAACCCGTAAGATAAGGATTCAAGGATATGAAGTGACTGGAGTCATAGGGTTCAGACCAGTGACCCCTCTTCGACTACGCAATCCATAGTATCTGTATTGCGTTGCAAAACAATTACTCCCTAGACCACTAAACGATACGATGACACGATACCTTGCGACAACTAAGTAACCTACTACGAATATGAGTATGCTAATGAACAAAGAATGTATACTACTGTATACTATATAGCTGGGCTTTTATAGTGTAATCACGAAAAGGTTGGCTGTTATGTTCTGCTCAGGCTCTGAATTGTTCAACCTTAAGTAATTTTGAAATTCAATACCAGCCTGAGTCTCTCCTCAATATTTCAGTACCTATCTTAGAAGCATATTCAAGATTTGCACACAACGAATACGGCGGGTTGAAAGAACATCTATCTATTGAACACAAGCTGTCACAAGGACTAAATTAGGGCAAAAGGCTAGAATCACAATACAAGTTCAAAGAATTTGGCCGCTTTAACAATTAATCCGGAGTGAACTATAGGAGGACTAGTACAAGTCCTGCAGTTCGTCTTTGTACTTATTCATAATACGATTGAATTACTATACGAAAGAGACAGTTACAATAAGGTAGTATCTTGCAAGGAGCTCAAAATAATATTCACCCAGGTAATTAATGCTGATTACTGTAGCTACATGTATATATCAAAGCTTTGAATTAGCTTAAAATGTACCTGCTTCCCCCCTATAAGCAGATGGCCCTAGCTGCGGCTATTGTTGCCGATAGCCCTGCCGGGGACCTCGGTACATCTCTAATGTTTGTACACTTTGACAGGAGTCATAGTAGAGACAATATCGCTCTGATTTTTCGATACAGATGAAATAGATGCAATAAATGGAGAGATACCTGGGATTTATCCTTCAAGTTGTACCATGAAGTCTAGTATTGGAATCTCGGGAACATCCCCGACCCTAGAACTCTCTCGCATATCTCGGATCATAGATTCCGAATGATCATCTAACCATAGTAAAGATCATGCAAGGTAAAATAAGCGTATAGCATAGCGGAAGATAGACACCTTTTATATCTGATGGTGAAGTACTGGGATCATGATACATGTACATAGCAGCTGAGCTTCCAAGCGCGTGTATGTCGTTGCACAGCGCAACCGGAGCGGGCCCTGGTCGGGGGTTCCGATGCGGTCCACCAATGGATCAAATGGATCTCGCCGACTTTTCTCAGGAAGAAGTCGAATCTCGCGGTTTCCCCATATGTAGCAGGTTCCAAAGTTGAGGGGGTTTGGTACTTAAAATCCGGTGTATCTCATCTTAGTCTGCCGTGTCCACTACATATGTGTGTGTCCACCGCTTTCTTATATGTGACCCATTTCCCACCCTTAGCCTTATATCTCGCTCTGCTATTCTCTTCCTTCCCCCCACAATAGCCCATCTATTATCAATTCTTATAGACTTTGAAGGTATGTGGATCCCTTTCTTTTTCTAGAACGTGTTTCGGATGTACTTGGACAGAAGAGAGAGAGAGGGAGGGAGAGATGGGGAGATTAGACTCGGCCCAGCCCCCTCTTCTCTCTTCTCGGGCGCCAATTTCATAAACAAACACCTTTCCCGCCTCCTCCCCAACTTTGCTTCTCCATACTTTATCGTCCTTTTGGTTTCTCCATTCTTCAATTAATTGACGTGTCTTTCTTTCTTCCTTTTTGGATTTAGGCGCTTCTGGGCATTGTCTCTCTACTTAATTCACCATGTCTGTCAAGTTCAAGGAAGAGACCGTCCGCGCCGTCACCGGCGGCAAGTCGGAGGATCTGGCGCACCGCGTTGGTGAGCGATTGACTGGTGGCCACACAACCACCGGTTACCTTCAGGTATGACCTTCTAGCTTGAAAGATGGTATAATGGGGTGCCATGTATCACTATCCCCCCTCCCCCGTCATTCCATACTGATCCGAGGAATGTCGATCGCTGCAGGCCTACCTCAAGCAGCTCCAGCACAACCCGCTGCGCACCAAGATGCTCACCTCCGGTGTGCTCTCTGGTCTGCAAGAACTCCTCGCCTCTTTCCTCGCCCACGATGTCGGCAAGCATGGTCACTACTTCTCCTCGCGTATCCCGAAGATGTCCTTGTACGGCATGTTCATTGCCGCTCCCCTCGGCCACGTCCTCATCGGCATCCTGCAGAAGATCTTCGCCGGCCGCACCAGCTTGAAGGCTAAGATCCTCCAGATCCTGGTCAGCAACTTGATTGTACGTGATCCGCTCTTCTCTCATACCTACCCTTGCTCCTGCTTGCGCGCGATTCAAACTACAATGGCGAATCGATTCGCGACCGCTGCGCTTGCCGCACGCGATAACAAATGTGAAATGCAAAGCTAATCTATTTTCTCCACCAAACAGATCTCCCCTATCCAGAACTCCGTCTACCTGACATCCATGGCGGTTATCGCTGGTGCGCGCACCTTCCACCAGGTCCGCGCGACCGTTAAGGCTGGCTTCATGCCCGTCATGAAGGTTAGCTGGGTTACCTCCCCGCTAGCTCTGGCTTTCGCCCAGAAGTTCCTTCCGGAGCACACCTGGGTGCCCTTCTTCAACATCATCGGTTTCTTCATCGGAACCTATGTCAACACCCACACCAAGAAGAAGCGTCTCGAGGCTCTGCGCAAGGTACGTTATCCCATAATTCCATGGCTTGCTACGATATACCTGCTAACTTCATGACTAGCGTTATGACCAGCGTCGCGATGGCTACGAGAAGCGCGACTACCCTTAAATAAGAATTTGGATCGCGCTCTGCAGATACACTTTCGAATGCGGAACTTGATCCGAGCGATGAACTGAATTGGTATTACCTGGTTCTTCCGTTCATCGCGCATTTGATGCTTTCGGGTTCTCTGCCGATATCTATCCTCCCCCTACCCTTCCGATTTTCTTGTGTATGATGCCCTCCCCTTTTATTATCTAGTTCTGGTGTTTAAATCTCAGTGTACACATCTTCGCATCTCGGCCATGCGCTAAATACCTTTCTTGACGTGATGTTATTTCAATTTTATGACGAATGGAACTCTCGATACCTCTACAATATCATGTACTTCCATATACAGATGTACTAAAGTGTTTTAATTGAATAGCGGTACTACCGAGTTCGAGATGAAAGATGCTGCTCCAAGTAGTCTTCTAGGCGTAATATCCCATGTTGGAGCAGAAGTATTTCTCAAATGGGCATTGAGCTAACTTGAAGTATGTGATATTTGAACTGCTAAGCATAGAGGCATATAAATCTCAAAGCCCCTTACGATTCAAAGGAAGTTATAGTTTTCTCGCGCGCAATGTTCATTTGAGGCACGACCCCGAATCACTCAACCTCCATCTTTCCTCCGTCTCTTTTCGCGTTAACAAAAGCCACAAAATCATCCACAGCACCAGGCCATGCCGCATCAGGATTCCACCACCCAAAGCTCTCGTCCTCGTGAGACTTGCGCATGAAAACTTCAAACTGTTCCCAAAGATCTTTGTTTATAGGCTTCTTGCCTCGCTCCTCCAAAAATTCAATCCACCAATCCAGCCATGGCGTGGTGCTTGTGTTTCCTGCTACACCGCCGGATTCGGGACTGAAGAACATGCGCCATTGCTCGGCGGCAATTTCAAATTGAACGTTGCGTTGTCCTTGCATTCGGGAAAGAAGGAAGCAGTATCTATAGACCCGTCGGAAGGTGTCAGGTTGGGCAGGGATGTTTTGACGGAGTGTCTTGACGTGTGCCTTCATTTTTTGTAGGTTGCCGCATCTAGCTTGGGTATTAGTACGTGATACCATGTGAACTTTAAGTGGAGGGTGGAGGGTTTGAGAAATGAATGATTTAGAGAATTATGATAAGGGGTGTATCGATGGGAAGTATGGGATTGGTAGACGTACTGGACAGCTCGCCAACCATCCACGAAGCCTTCCTTGGTGAATTCTCCCATTGCGGGGCATTTGCATAGCTCTGCGACTCCCAGACAGGCGATTTCGTCGAGCTGTACTTCCAGATCACTAAAGTACTTCATTGCGCCGTCGAGGCCAATCTTTTCTGGCTCATCTGTTGATGCATCTAGGATCATGTTATTATACATTTTCTTCTCATTGACCAGATTGGTGGTCATCATGATGCTCTTACTGTGATAGCTGTCGAAGACTTGTTTCAGAGAGACAGATACGGTGTCATTGCCGCCGTGGTCGCTAGAGTAGTACCTGCAACAAGAAAAAAAAGGTAAGTATATCGCAAAGATTTTACATGTAGAGGTTTGGGTAAAGAGGTTCAGTCGGGTTTATTCAGAATCCCAAGAAATGGGAGTGATCAGTCGAGACCGAAACCGGGAATCACCCGGAGCCAGTGCAGGAATGTATACATGAACGCGTCAAGATATTTTTACTGGAAAGATAAAGAGAGGACTCACAGGTCAACAGCGCGCTGTGCATCCCACTTAGCGGTGCGCAGGAACTATAACGTCATGTTAGCTCTGTTCCGCAAGGTATATGAAAAGAGCCTGGTTGTCTCCAGACTCGAATTGAGGGGCTACAAGGATAAATTCCCGTAAATGGCCAATAGCCATACCTTTATAGCATCAGTCTCAGCGCATCGAGTTATCTTGGCTACTTGGGAGATAGCCCGCTTCTGGTCAGCAGTGTAAGCTGGCATGGCGGGGTTTGTGATATTGGAAGTTGTAGGCTTGGCGGGGTAGCAAGGAGGAGAATGAGGGGATCAAACGAAGGGGCCCTCGGATCGGAATAGAATGACCTGATCTTGAAGATCAACACAAGATGGAGTGAGTATTATGTGATTTTTCCTTTTATTTTCTTTTACCTGAGCCTGACCCTGCCTGGTTATCACAGGCTGGAGTGGTGATTACTCAGCCTTTGCCTCAGGCCGCTATCTTATCTACGATCCGATACTGTACAAAGGCATGAATGGATTAAGTGCATAAGATGTCTATACAATGTTCTTATTTTATTTATTTCAAGGTTGGGGTTGGATTTAAATATAATACCACTGTGATGCTTTTGACATCGGGCGTATTTATTAACTGGGATGACACTTTTACAGTAACAGATCGTAACTCCATAAACTCCAATTTCCATCCTGAATGCTTTTTTAAGTAGTGAAAAGGGTATCCTCCTGTAGAAAAGGTTAGCAATAAGTCACGCAGTAAAAAGAACATCAGACTTGAGTCAGGACGACATGCCTCTCGCAAGTATTCACCTGTAAATAAATTAGCATTATGCAGAAAAAAAAGCTTAGTTGGTCTGGGTTAAACATACCGACATCCGCCTGGCGGAACAAAACAATAGCGGTGGGTTCAAGTTTGCGCATTTCACCAGTGGAGCGAGCAGTAACTATGATTATGATTAGCAAGACATCAATATATCAGGATTAGAAGCGGAACTAACCTCCAAAGCCCTGTTTCCAAGAGGAAGAGCCTTCGTTAGTAAAGATTCTATCGCTATTTGCGGATAACACAAACGTACCAAGGGGGTATCTATAACGCACAAGGGTTAGCGCAGTCTAGAATATATGAATTGAAAAGAAAGAACTCACCATCCATCGAGTAAACAATACAGCCACTGTGTTCAGGGCAGTCCTCGGAGATCTTTCCGACGTGGGCCTTGACGACTAAAATTCTATATCAGAACGAGGTTCCTCGAATGCTTGGAATATAAATCGAAATCCATACCATTGGAGCCGTAGAGGAAAGGCATCTCTCCGTTTGACTTCAGCCAGACACGGTTTCGGGCAAAGGGGCTGATAGTATCCAATCTAATACAGAGTTAGACCTTCAACTTGACATGGTATGCTTGGTGTGCTTACGCTGTGAGAGCGAGACGGAATTTGCCAGTCTTAGTGAACTTTCCCATCATTCTACCGCATGAGAGCCTAAAGATAGTTAGAGGAGATGCTCTTCAACCTGCGCGGCGTCTGTCCAGTCTCACAATTTATCGCGGGGAATTGATGTGGCCAGGTTGGCGAGGCGGAGGGGCATGTAAAAGACACGGTTGCCTTGAATTCTGAATACCATCCTGCTGTTCTCGTCCGTCGCGCCATCCTCTGAAGTTCCCTTAATCAATTCGGAAAGATTGTTGGAGGTGTAACTAGAAATAAAAGATGTGAGATATAGAAGAGCAAGTGGGTAGGATAGTAAGAGGTTAACTTACGTTGCGAGCTTCCGGAACATAGTCTCGGTCTCGGGCTCTGTGAGGGACCTCATCTTGGCGGTTGTTATGAAGAGTTCCTGGGGGAAATTTCGAGCGTAAGAGGCTGTCAGTATCAGACAGTTGAAGCAGCAGATATGTTTGGTAAAATTTGGCGGAGAAGGGAAAAATTAGCGGCAGAAAAAAATTAATCTGGTACCGCCTTTTTTCCACCGCAAAGCTTTACAATTCTAACTCCCGCAGATCAGACTTGATCCTCGAAAAAGAAAAACACCAGCAATTCAAGATGGCACGCGGTCCGTCAGTGAAGAGGCGGAGATTGAGCCCTCCTGCTGAAAAAGGCAAAAATGCCTCTCGCAGTAAAGCCGATCAGTACGAAAAGGACGAGGAATGGGACGTTGAGCAGGATTACGAACGCCGGCCACGAAAAACGAGCAAAAAAGACGGCGAGCGCACTCGATTGCCCATCAAGACATCCGAGGGCTTTGTTCAGACCCATGATGATCCTGAAGAACCGACAGAAACAATAGATGAGAGCGACAGCTTTCTAGGGACCGACGATGAGGATATGGAGGACGAATCTGCCGACCAATCCGAGGAAATCGAAGAGAAAAAGCCCAAAATTCCCATCAAGGTGCAGGTCATGCAGGCTAAGGAGGATCTGGCCAAGATGGCATCATTGATCAATGAGGATCCCGAAGAACACATCGCCTTATTCAAGACCATGGCTGAGATGGTCAACAACCCAGAATCGCCTGTCACCGTAAAAAAGCTAGCACTCGCGACGCAGGCTGCAGTTTACAAAGATGTGATCCCTGGATATCGCATTCGCCCACTTACCGAAGAGGATAAAACTGCGAAGGTTTCCAAAGATGTGCGCAAACTTCGCGATTTCGAACAGGGCCTTGTGGCAGGATACAAACACTACGTCCAAAAACTAGGTACGCTGGCCAAGCCTGGCCGTGGTCAGCTGTCCGAGAAGGATGCCAGCCTTAAGACCGTTGCTATCAACTGTGCTTGCACCATGATCATGGCTGTGCCTCATTTCAATTACCGTGCGGAATTGTTGAAGATCATTGTCAATCGCCTAGCGCGACGCAATGTGGACCCTGACATGGCAAAGTGTCGTGAAACAGTCGAAGATGTCTTTGCAAAGGATATCGATGGAATTGTTTCTCTTGAGACTGTCCGCTTACTGGCTAAGATGATGAAGGCTCGGGAGTTCCGTATTCATGAAAGTGTATTGGACACATTCCTTCACCTACGTTTACTGGGCGAATTCACATTCAAGGCCTCGGCACAGCGTATCGATCGCGAGGGAGAGGATCAACCCATTCGTCGTAAGAAGCAAAAGGAAAAGCGCGAATTCCGTACCAAGCGTGAGCGTAAAGTGCACAAGGAGCGAAAGGTGGTTGAGAAAGATATGAAACAAGCAGATGCTCTCGTGTCGCATGAGGAGCGTGATAAAAATCAAGCTGAGACTTTGAAGCTTGTGTTCGGTCTTTACTTCCGCATCTTGAAGCAACGCATTCCCCATCTCATGGGTCCCGTTCTTGAAGGTCTGGCCAAGTACGCCCGCCTCATTAATCAAGATTTCTTTGGTGATCTGTTGGAGGCCATGAAGGATCTGATTGGTCATGCTGAGCGCGAAGAGTTGAAGCAGGAAAATGGAGAAGGAGAAGAGGAGGATGAATCAGAAGAAGACACACCCGACACACCCACTCGTGATGCTCGGCGCGAGGCTCTCTTGTGCATTGTCACTGCTTTTGCCCTACTAGATGGACAGGACACCAGCAAAGCAGCGACAACTCTTCACTTGGACCTGAACTTCTTCATTAAGCATCTTTACAGAACCCTGTACGGCTTATCTATCAACCCTGATGTTGAATTCAACCCCAACACCTCGTTGCGTCTTCCCGACCCAAATGCCCCGGAGGAGTCCACCAGAATTCGAAACAAGAACAAAGTCAACTTCCAAACACCAATGGTATTGCTTCTTCGTTGTCTCCAATCGACTCTCCTCTCGCGTGCGCATGGCACACCGCCACCTATTAGACTTGCCAGTTTCGCCAAGCGCATTATGACTTCCTCACTCCAACTTCCCGAGAAGTCCGCCCTTGCATCACTTTCGTTGATGACACAAATGTCTAGACACCACGGACGGCGTATCTCTCCACTGTGGCATTCAGACGAGCGAAAGGGTGATGGTGTTTTCAACGCATACGCAACTGATGTTGAGGGTACAAATGTGTTTGCTGGATCCATCTGGGAAGGCGAGCTGTTGCGTCAACATTACTGTCCACAAGTTCGTGACGCGGCCGTGGATATTGAGAAGATGATGCTTTCCGGCAAATAGACGATAAAAGAGGTGCTCTGTGAATATCTATAGAGGATACCAAGGATGAATTAATGTACTCATTTATTCAAACGGATCTACCAATATAAGTGGATCAAAAACGATCTTGTCTGTTCAGTAAATAGGTTGTTTAATGTATAGATCCCAAAAATTTTGATATGCCCGAGCTCTTGTGTTATGAAGCAATTAAATCATTTAAATAATTATCTTCAAGTTCCTTAAATCATTATTATGACTAGATATCAATTTCAAAACAATTCATTATCTGTGGAATAAGGACAGGCTAGTACTTGACAATTAAAAGTACACGGTCATTAAGAACAATCCACCGATTCCATAATCCCGTCCTCGTTTCCCTGTCTTGTCCTCCCTTTGTTCGAAAACATGCTGCGCCTTCCACTTCATCTCAAACGGGTGAACTTGTCTCATGGACAGAAACATGATCCCAGTCCTGCTCATGATCAGTAAGAGCTGACTGGTCCTTATTTTCCTCACTAGTGCGGTGAAGAATTGCTCCAGTAGAGACATCATCTGGAACAGATAGACGCCCCTCAGATACAGGTGTAAGATTCCGGGTGGAGTCAGGACGGTCAATCGGTGAACTCGATGCCGAGTCATTCATCTTGGCAAATGTATCAGCAGATTCATCGGATATCTTCTTCTCCAAGCTAGCCCCAAACTTCGAGGCCCGATCTGCCTCCGGAGCGGTTTCATAAGAGGTTGTGACTGACTGATCAGCACAAGTCTCTGGCGATTCTCGAAGTGCCGGGTGAACCGTGCTTGCTGGGAATGGAGTGGGGCTCCGTTCGATCTGCTCAGCAGGAGATGGAATACTTCTTGGAACGAATGGAATCGGAGGCGTTATAGAACGTGAGCACGTGCTGTTGGTATCTTCGGGAATCACAGGATCCTTGATACGCCGTGCGCGAGGAGACCAATTAAACTTACTGACAGCATCAGTGAGCTCTCGTTTCTTTCGCAAACCAAACACATTCCATCTTTTGGTATCGTCGTTACTGCTGGTCTTGGATAGAGGTTTCTCCTTGGGAGGCTCCAAGGGAGTGGAGGTCATATCTTTGATACCCTTCAAAATACCCTTCTTGGTGAGAGAAACACTGCGAGGGAATGCACTGAGGGGCTGGTGGTCTGGCATGGCAATCATTCGATTATGGTCGTAAATGACATTCGTAGCCTCGGGTGATGGCCTGGGATTTCGAACAATCATATTTTGTTTGATTAGGGGCTCACTACTTTCGCGGCTGGAGAGACTTCGACGAGAAGGTATTCTTGGCTCAGCAGCAAAGGGAGCAATTTCATGCGAGATGAAGTTCTCCTGGCGTGCCTTCAAATACGAAAGTTCCTTCTCGATTTCAAAGTTTCTCTGCAGCTGTTGGTCGATGAATCTCTCGGTATCAGTAAACGAATACTTCTCCATGATCATCTCTGTTTTCTGGTTCAAGTCTTCGTATGATCGGGCTAGAGATCGAATTTCTTTCTGTAAGTCATCTAAGACCTGGTTCTCGAGGAGACACATTTTCCGCTCCATGGTCCCGATATCCAGTCGAATATCCAATTGAAATTTCATCATCTCACGAGAGAGCTGATATTGCTTCGAGAATAGATCCGAATTGGCACGGCTAGGGTCCGAGTTACTCTCGATTTGATTCTTGAGTTGATCACCGACCCATGTGGAAAGATCTTCGATTTTCCGGCTCATGGAGATCATGCTAGTGTCTAGCTGGCGCTGGATAGAGCGTACCAAATTCACCATGTCATCAAGTTGAGCAGCCGTGCTGACTTCAGAATGCATGTCCTTATCATGTGGCATGTTCTCTTTGTTGACACGTTCCATCAGAGACGGTAGATGTTCTGTCATTGGGCTCACTGGCGTCTCGCTCTTGGAATAAGCAGTAGGTGAAGGTGTTTTGAATTTGCCTCCAGATAAATTGCGAGGCGCACTCAGCTCATCAAAAGGCTTGACTGGAGCTTGACCGTCGCCGAGATAACGAACGGGTGAAGGAGATGAGTCTTTGGTGACAGTATGTCTTGGTCCTGAAGATGGCTTTGCAGGCAATGGCTTGCTGGATGGCGTCTCAATAGAGGCACGGGATGAAGGGCCACCCCGTCTAACTTTTTCATTGACATCTGGAGCTGAAGAATCATTTGTTGAATCCAATTTTCTTTGCATCTTTCGAATATATGACGTCGTTACCGAGGCCTGCTTTTCGATTGTGCTGGTTCGACGACTCGGGATCAACGAACTTAGGGAATGGGAAAAAGTCCCAGATGGTGGCAGAGGAATCTTCGTATTAGATTGCTGCATCTGTGTCATCGTGGCAGAGGAAATTAGGGCAGGAGAAGATATTTTGCGGCCACTAGCTGAGTTTGTCTTCTCTCTCACCCGGGATGCTGGCAAACTGGAAGCCGGGGTGGGAATCGCGCTGCCGGTAAATGCTCGACGGCCTTGAGGAACAGGAATCATATGAAACTCCTGTCTGGCGCTTTCCTTGCGCAGGTCTTTGAAACTGAGCTTTGACTTTATCATATCAAGTCGAGATATCTTCTTGTTGTCCTCGGCATCATGAGAACTACCACTCTCGGATGCAGTGATATCCACAGAAATGACTGGATCAGTAGCCACACGTTTTTTCTGCTCACTGTACTTTGTGATTTCCCCTTCAACAGAGGATGGGCTCTCTGGGAAGCTGCCCTTTGGATGTCGTGGCTTAGGCATAGGAAGAGCAAGGTTCTCATTGTAGTCAAGGCTTGACATTTTGCGCAGCATTGGAGGATGTTGACTGCCATCACTGGAGGTATTTGATTCCGAGCTTCCTGTAATGAGAGTGATTCATGTTAGCTGATGCACTCGATATACATTCAGGCTGGTGAAGGCTCAGGGTCGACATGACGGGAGGATAAGGATCAGACGCGTGGGGCTCACCTGTGCTTTTGCGTGGAGGGAGCTTGTTCCCATATGCATCTGGAAGCTTCATGAGAGCAAAAGCATTCCCTGGCTGGGCAGTAGGACTCTTCACTTCGAAGCCTAGGTCAGTCAGAAGAGAAACCGTTGGGCTAATTGGAGGGTCGTTCCTTTGGTTGGTATCGACGCGAAGGTTGTCATGACTCTCTGGATTGTCATGGCTCTCTAATGCATCCTGCCAATGAGACCCAGAGTCAACGGGCTTTTTGTTTTCCTTTTCCTTTTCCATATTCGAAAGAAGAAAACACGCGGACATAGGATCCATAGCGTCGTTATTGGATAAAGACGCGAAAATGTAAGCGTAGACACGAAAAATGGTGGTAGGGAGGAGAGATGGGAGATGAAGTAGTGAGAGGTAAAAGAACATGGGGGGTGCAACAGAGATCAAAGACCCAGCCAGCAATCACTCGTAACCTCGGAATCTTCCTGCTCAATTCAATCAAATATTTACAATTTACTTTGGATTACAAGTTCTTTAATACCAATATTACTTGCACCAACCAACAACTTCACCTAATCTCGACTACTAAACACCAACCCGTCCACGATTGTCAGGATCACTTATCTTCAAACCATTGCTCGCTCAAGATGGCATTCCCAAAGCCAGATGTTAAATCTTTAGATGAGATGATTACCAGTCAGCCATGCGCTTCTAATGATACCGACGTTGTCGAAGAACTGGCGAGCACCAAATCTTCACAAGCAGAGCATCTGATCCCCCAGCCATCACTGAATGAGACCACCCAAACTATATCAGCAAAAACTGCGGATGAAACAGCCAGTTTGGAATTAGCCCAGGAGAACTCAGAGCCCACAACTACGGATCTCATGAAAAGCATGGTCGATACAAAATCGGCGGAATCCGCGAATACCAGTCGTCCTCATCCGGCCGCTTCCACTAATCCGAGCACTACAAAAAATATAGCGCTGTTCAATCCTGTGATATCTGACAAGAAAAATACCCAGGTCGATGATGAGAAACAAGTCAAGGATACGCCAAAAAAGTCAAACAAGCTTGCTTCCAAGAACAATATCGCACCCCAGGACACTGCTAAAAAGCAGCAGAAGACTACAACTGGCCAAAAACATGAATCCAAACCTGAGTCATTGAAGAAGGCACAAAGCCCAAAGCAGGCGAAGACTGAACTAAAATCTAACTTTAAATCCACGATGGATACCAAACCCAAATCAGAAAACATTGTCAAGCCAAAGCAGGCTACCCAACGTAAAGTTGCGACAAAAAGCCAGGCTTCCACCAACGCCAAGGCGTCGTCTGTTAAAGAGAATACCAATACCAATGCTTCAAAGCCAAATCTCAAGTGCGACCCTTCTAAAACATCTGGTTCAAGTGCCAAAAAGCCTGAGACCAAATGCGGCTCTTCGAAGAAGGCACAAAATCGAAAGCAGTCAAAGGTTGAACCACAATCAAAATCGACATCCGTGATCTACACCAAACCCAAATTAGAAGATATTGTCAGGCCAAAGCAGGCTCCCCAACGCAAAGCCGCGGCAAAAAACAAGGCTTCCACTAACGTCGAGGCGTCATTTACTAAGGAAATGCCGATACCAAGGTGCCAAAGCCAAATCTCAAACGCAATCTTTCTAAAACATCTGCCTCAAGCCTACCACCATCGCCTAAGAAACGCAAAGCTTCATCTAAGCTCACTGGAACTGATATTCTGGACACTGAACATCCAATTCTACAAAAAGTACGGGTTGTCAGCTCTTTGAGTGCAGGGCTCAAGGATATCGAGCAAAGACTTAGCAAATCAACGTCCAAAGTGGTTATAAAAATGCTGGCTGATCGGAGCGAGCTTCTTCGGTCGATCGAAGGGAAGATGATGACTATATCCGCGGACATTTACCAACAACCACAAAAAACGCAATTGGCCTTGATTGAGGCATACCGTGAGCAGTTAGAAGAAGAGCCTCGCTCACATATAAAATGGGATGAGTTTGAGTCTGATGATGACAATCCTCCTACGCCTATGATTTATGATTAGTCCTAAGAGAGATCTAGTCTATTATCGTCTCTATGAAACTTCAAAATTTGAACGCTCCAGCGGCGATTTATTTTCGCTTATTCGGTCTGATCCCTTCTTTTTTCTTTTTCTCCCTTTCCATATTTATTTTAACACAAGAGTTAATGATATTGTCGGTCGTTATTTTGCTTGCTTCTTTCCTTTGGGCTCTCTCTGCATTTACTAGAAATATTCATCGCTCTTTCAGCATAGTGTTGGTTTCCCGTATACTATTAAAAACTATAAAGTAACTGCTTTATTCCTAAACATCTCGATGAAATTATATGTAGAGACTATCATGCCCTGTTATCTCTTCCATAGTTGCTTCTAGGCAATGCATGGATCTTTCCTGTAGTTGAATTTCAAATCTCGTCACTTTTTCTCCCTAGAAGAACAGTATATTAGTCACTTGATATCTACGCTATTGAAAGTTTTTTATGACTATGGGGGTCTGTGGCCCCGGTCGTAGCTCGTAGAGGCCCAAAGAGCTAATAAGATAGTCCGGACGCATCCTTTGGGAGGCTCCAATGCGCGTGTTCTCCCCGTGTATTATTCGCCTCACTTTCCGTTACGCTCTAGACCCACATATTTCTATTTGAGTTCCTGTAATCAACATTGCAGTTAGCCAACGACCTCGCCGTTCAAGCCTTTGTGGACCAGCTGGTTAGATCCATCCGTAGATAACGGAAACACTTTTCCATTCCTACTCATGCGAGCCCCATATTGCCCAGAGGTATATGATAAAGCTTAATTCTAGATCTCTCAGCCCGGAGAGGTTCCTTCGGGATTGTACTTACCTTTTATGACAAATTAATGAGCATTAGTACGATTTCAGAGCTCTGAAAATCGTATAATCATCAATCAGGCTTCCACGTGCACATGTACTGCGGGAACTACATACACTATGTGACTCGGTTATCCTAGTTCTTCATGGTCAAAGAGCCCTGTGTACGTCATTAGAAAGGCTATTTGGAGAGGCTCTTGGGGTTGTCCCAGATGAATCTTACCCCGAATCTTGGAGCAGCCACGTATTTTCGGGCCGGCCCCAGTACTGTCATGAAAAAAGAAACTGAATCGAAAGCCATGCACCACGGAAGTGCTTCAATATGCTGAAGTCTTTCAGCCGATATTAGGCGGCCGCTGGATACAATAGATATGATGATTTTCACGGAGTGTGCGATGCCATTCGAGAAAAAAACCTGGAGGAAGATCATTGTGGATCTTCGGACTTCTTGAGGTATTATCATCGAGAATCAAGTCTCTAGATTTCCGGATAGCCGAAGTATATCAGTTGAATGGACCCGGGGGCGGCTACAATGCAAAGCCACGCCCGAGTAGCTATACTAATCTACCACGATTATTATTTTGAAGGAACTCTGGGAGTGGTGATGCGGCATTTTTGAGCCTTTTGTTATAATTAGAAAGCTAGTAGTACTTGGAGATTCCACGTTAGAGACTGAGCTTTGAAATCATGGATATAAATATGAGTCAATGGTCGCTCCAAAATTATTCCTCATCAGCAACATTTAAATAAATCTTCTCAATCCATCCAGTTAAATCAAATTCCTTCCAAATCCAACCCACCAATTCTCATCACAATGAAGTTTCTCACTCTCTTCGCTTTCAGTGACCTGAGCGCCAAGACCACTGCCGCAGCTATCAACGACAAGGTGCAGCGAAGCTTCACTCCCGAGCTCGGGGCTCGTATTTTCGACCGCCGTGATGCCAACGGGGATCTTATCTTCAAGCGCTGCTCCTCTGCTGAGGGCAACGAGGATTGCTCTGTCGAGGACTGCAAATGCATGTACTCCGGCTCCTATTGTACTTAAGGTATCGCTTGTCTGCGTGCTTAGACTTGAGAAATCTTCAAGTATGCTGATATCTCTGTAGAATGCGTCCCACGTTGACACCAACCCCAACAGTATCTTATTTTCTTAAGCTTTGGATATTATGGTACACTTTTGGTAACTGAGAAGCTTTTGAAGTGATCTAGGGTATTTTTATTTGTGGATTTTATTTGATTTTCGAACATCATGTTATACTATCCATCATGTCAGATGTCGATAAGTATTACTCGGGGTTTCAGCTCTTGGAGCACAGAACATCTTAACTTTCCAATATTAGCTCAGAAAGTATAAAACCTTTTAGTATATACTACCGAGGTCATGAAAACAGTGCATTAAATATGCTATAGAGCGCCCATATTCGCAAATCGGAAATAGGTAGACGCCCGGCAATGCTATGCGATTTATCTCCCGACTTCGTCTCTATAAAGTATGGCAATATATGGCAGCTACGTAATTTCGGGGGCTGATAATTTAGGACTGGTACAATAGCAAATTCCGAAAGTAGATAAGCTTCGACAGAAACTCAATTTAAGGGCCTATATAAAACTTTGACTAACACTAAGCAACCCTTGCATCAAGGGGACCTCAAGGACTAGTATCGAGTAAGCAAACTGCCTGTCATAATGATTGGCCGGTTAGTTGACACTTCAAAACATAGGAAGTCTCTATCATCGACATTACAATACAAGAAATGATCGTGTTTTATCAAATATCCCAATTGTATTCCTCATTCCTCAACTTCCATACAGTCCGCGACCATCAAAACTTTACAGGCTACCACTCTATATTACATCTCCATTCATTAATCTTCAAAAAAAAGAAAAGAATATGGTATAATTAATACGTATACGAGTCACCATCGACGATCAATTTAACACCGTACTGCCAAAATCCACCTAAGCAAATACCCGTGGACTTTAGGGTATACTCACCCTGAAAATAATCCCCCAATGACGCGAGAGACTTATGCAAGCCACACTAGCCTCATTGTTTGCGTGTGTACTGGACCATGTTTCAATGGTTGATTTCCTTCAGATTTACACGCTCTACTGCCTCTTTGAGAGGTAAGAGGAAGAGGATTAACCCGGAGTCTTAAAGGACCCACTCAAACCATCCTATCACGATACAAGCTTAATATACACAGTTCCACTTATAAAGCCAAGACATGATAGCAAGATTTGAGGGATTCCCAACATTGACGATAGTGATGCAATGCAACATTGGCAAATAGGACCCATAAGAGAATGTCTCGGGCTGGTTAGTATTCATCCACCTCGAATCATCCTCGAGGTTCTTCAGCGGGTACTAATCATGACTCCATTAGCGGGTATTTCGTGATCTTACTAAATCCCTTCGTAAACATTATAAGTTTTACCTACTTAAGTAAGGGGTCCAAAGGTAAACTACATAAAATGTATAGTAGTGCATTAATGAACCCGAAATAAAAGTATAAAAAAGCCGACTCGGGCCCTTGTTCGGTTCCCCATTTGTATGGTTTCGGCCCGTTTCTGCAGACACTGGGAACTAGTAATCGGGGAATTTAGCACAGCCTATTTGATCGTCATTCATAGTGGACATATCTGCTTACTGTATATTCGAGAAGAAATACCCGTGGATATTGGAGCGCGAATGGTTGGACCAGGCCGCGTCACATCTTGACTAGGTACATGCTTAGGCTCTCTATAGATTCTTGGCATGTAGAGCCTGGTTTGTTCTTAGCCACCGTGGCCCAGACCTAGGACATCTGGAGCGAAGCAGAGAGAAGAACCAAGTCAGGTACATCCAATCATATTCTTATGATTCTTAAACTAGAGCGTATTAGACCCTCGGGTCTAGCGACTCTAATACGAAAGGGGGTTTTCGTACCCGCTTGAATCCTTATACTTGGATTTTCAACCTGCATAAAACATTCTAATCCTTCCTTCAGGCTTACCATTGCATACTCGGTAGTATCATAATGGTAAAGATTGTCGTTGACGGGTATAGATTTTCCCTGCTATCTATCGATGAGATATTGTAGTCTTCGAAATAGTTTAGAATAGGTATAAAAAGGGTTTCCGTTTCCCTGTCTGTTGAAGTTAGAGTAGAGTATCGGCCATTGAAGAGTTCCTCGTTCTCCCATCTATTCAAATCTACCCTTTCCGCGATGCAATTGCTTCAATTCCTGGCTTTGGCTACTGCTGTTGGCCCTCTGGTCTCGGCTCACCCTGGTCACCACGAAGAAGATGCTACTCCCGAGTTGAAAGCGTACAAGTCTCATGTTCGTCGCTCGGCAGAGAGTTGTTCTTTCCACTGGGAACAGAGTGGAATGAAGGCTCGTGCAATTGCTCGTCGACAGGCTACTATCGATATGCACCGCCGTCGTCTTAGCAAGAAGGACACCAGCAAGGTGTTGAACACTTCTCATTACGAGGAGAACGTTGGTCTGAACTCTGCATTCGAGGAAGTTTGGTCTGCAGACAGTATTCCTCTTAACCCTGAGGGTGAGAGTGGACCTTACTGGGTCGTTGGCGAGCGTCTTCGCTCCAACATCCTTGAGAGTCAGCCCGGTGTGCCAGTTATCATTGAGGAGCAGGTAATTACAGTAACCACAACCTACCACTAGAAAGCACCGACTAATATATTTATTTTCAAACAATAGTACATCGATATCGAGACCTGCGAGCCTATCACCGACATGTTTGCCGAGATCTGGGGCTGCAATGCCACAGGTGTCTACTCCGGTCTAGTTGCAGATGGTAACGGCAACACCGCCGATACCGCCAACCACGACACCACTTTCCTGCGCGGTATCCAGCGAACAGACGAGGATGGAGTTGTGACCTTCCTCACTCTGTTCCCCGGTCACTATGACGGACGTACTAGCCACCACCACGTTGTTGCTCATCTGAACACTACTCTGCTGCCCAACAACACTCTTGCTGGCGGTTATACTCCTCACATTGGTCAGTTCTTCTATGACCAGGACCTTATTGAGAAGGTTGAGTCTACCTACCCGTACAACACAAACAAGATTCCTCAGACCTACAATAAGGTTGATCGTGTCTTCTCGCAGGAGACTGAGGGCACTACCTCCGACCCTGTCTTGCACTATGCGTATCTTGGTGATAAGCTTGAGGATGGTATCTTCGCTTGGGTTCAGGTTGCTATTAACACCACTGCTCACCATTACCCATACTACACCAATGTTCTTACTGCTGATGGTGGAAAGAACGTGACTGGAACTGATTGTGGTGATTACACTGTTATTGATGGTGGTCTTTGCGATACCAGCTCTTCTAGCAAATAGATCAGCTATGATGTTGGTGATAAGTACTGGATGTTCAGTCCTTAGCAGAGCTGGAATCCACATCAAGTTGTGCCTAGTTCTGTCTACCTGAGACTAAGAAAGGCCAATACAACGAGGCATGGGATATTCCGAAACCTCGGAATTGCCGACAGGTACGATAATACATAGTTTGATGAGAAAAATGGATTGAAATATGACTCTCAGTATCTGTCAAAGCAAAATAGGATCGCCTTTTCCGTGAGTACTCAACAACTTCTTAGACTACCTAGGCAAATCTGAGCGCTCTCCAGGTCCGAGTCGTATTCGGGAGCGCGCCAAGCTTATACATTGATGCACGTTCATCGTGATGGGGTAGATCAGCAAGGAGCATGACTTGGCATATATCAAACTGCAATCTGATCGCAAGCTTAAAAGACGGTGAAAGATGATCTACTTAATCCCTGCTGCAGACGGGAATCTGCAATTGTCCCGGTCGCATGGACTTATTTTGATGCTGGCAAACTCGGATCAGTCGGGAGATGGATGGAGATAGAGAGGATCCTGACCGAGCACAGAATGCATAGTGGTCCGTGTGGAAAGCTGCACGCCATGTAAACAAAGGGGTTCCCTATTTGTTATGATTGGAAAAGAGCACAGTTTACTCTTTAACTCAATAGTCAAGACTTCTTATGTTCGCATCAATCAAAGCGAAACATACAACATTGAAGTGTGTCCACTGTGTGTCATGCCATGTCCCATGGATCACTCTAGGGCTCAACCTCGGATAGTTTGATTGCGGATTGAACTCTCTCCACCAATTCCAATTCAGCTAAAGAACAACATACAAAACAAGAACCCAAAACTACCTCAAGACTGAGGGAACTCTCTTTCTCCCCAACCTCAGATGATATCTCGTCCTCGCAATGAGTCAAAGCAGTTGACAGGTGGAGAGGACAATCCCCGGGAAACCGTCCACGTCCATTAGACCATGATGATGATCAGTTAATGGATCCTGCACCAACTAGTGGCTTGATTTACTCCACTCAAGGTTTTTTTTTTCTTTTTTGGGCCCTTCCTCTGCTCGCATGAGCTGTTAGATTGCCAATCCTTTGGCGCTCAAGGTTTGCGACCGTGACAAAAGTCGCATATACCTCTTTGAAATAAAAGGCTGCAGGTTCCGCATGTTGCACATCGGGAAATCACTTGCTTGTTGGAGGTACCAGTACCACACCGACTACTGACTTCATAGAGAGAGTTTACTTTGACTTTTACCTAGAAAGAAAAAAAAAAGGAACTAATGAGAACCTCGGCGGTAACAGCTTCACCGCATGTTGGGTTCCCAGTGGAGACCATGATGGCCCAAAAGCTGACTTTGTTATTGGGCGTCAATGGTCACTAGTAAAGAGTTATGGCCATCTGATGGTGTGCCGCTTGACTAGATTGGAGTCTAGCACGACTTGATCACTGTGCCAACTGTTGTAATAGCCCCACTATGACTTTTTTTTTTTTTTTTTTTATACAGTATTATCGTTATTATTGATGCATGTGTTGTTGTACAGTTGGGCATCGGGTCAAGATTTTTTTTCTTTTTTAATTGGCCTAAGCTTCTTCCCTGTACTTTCGTCTTCTCTTTCCTCTCTTCTTCCCCTCCCCCAATCTCTAATATACTCCATTGTGCTCTTCCCCTCCATTATCCTTCATCGTGCTCTGTGAGCTGTGTTGTGGACTGTACAGCTAATTGCTTTGATCCTGCGTTATCCTGCTTTTGCTGGTCAAATTGCGAACAAAAAAAAAATACTTTGTCCATAATTCCCTCTCACCTCCCATATTTCACGACCGTCACGATCTAACGACCTAAAACCATGGCGACCGCTGCAATCCATAATGGTAAGTCTGACAGGATGGCAAGGAGACCCCCCTGCTTGAAAACAGAGAGCTAATAAATCACTATAGTCTCAGACGAGACCCTCCCCAAGGATCCCGTGTCCATAACGACCAACCCAATCGTGGATGCCACACCCGAATCTACCGAAGCGGATACTGGTCCTTCTGAGAAATCCAAGAAGAAGAAGAACAAGAAGAAGAACAAAAAGAAGAACAAGTCTGTTTCGGAACCAGCCGCCGGTACAGAGGAGGCTACTCTCGGTGATGACCAGGAAAAGGAACCAGTCGAAGAGGAATCTGCTCCTACCGCAGTGACAGAAGAGGCTCCCGCAACATCTGAGGCTGAGAAACCGGCCGAAGAATCTGTTCCCGAGCCCGCTGAAGAATCCAAACCCGTCGAGCCTGCATCTGAGCCAGTCACCGAGACCGCTTCTGAAGAGCCTGTTGCTGAGAGTACCCCGGCAACTAATGGTGACTCTCACGAAGCTCCAGCTGAAACCGAACCCGAAATCGAAGCACCAGCTCCTGTGTCCGTCGAAGAAACCAAGGTAGCAGAAGATACCCAGGATGTGGCCAACGCCGAAACTACCGTCGAGCCCACTCCCACCGAATCTGTTGACGAGACTCCAGCTGCTGCCCCAGAAGCTCAACCTACCGAGGAACCCGAGACTACAGTGACTGAGAAGACTGAGGAGACAGCTCCAGAACCCGCTAAGGACGAGCCTGTCGAGGAATCTAAGGCTGTCGACCCCACACCTGAACCGGTTACTGAAGAAGTTTCTGAGGATACGACTACTGAGACTGCCGCCGAGACTACAGCGGAGCCCGTGGAAACTGTCGCCGAAGTCCCAGCTACCGAAACCGTTGAGGAAACTGCCAAGACTGAAGACGCCCCTAAGGTGGAAGAGAACGCCGAAGCTGTTTCTACTACAGAGACACCCGCCGAGGAATCTACCCCTCAGCCAGCTGTCGAAGAGTCAAAGACCGAAGAGACTGTTCCTGAGCCAACCAAGGAGGAAGCCGCTCCTGAATTCACCACCGAAAGCGTTGCTGAGCATGTTTCTGAACCTGCCAAGATCACCGAGGCAGCACCCGCCGTCGAAGCCGCTGAAGAAGTCGCCAAACCCGAGGAAATTACACCTGAGGTTGCATCGGAAGATTCTACCGTCGAAGCTACCAAAGAGGAAGCGGCAAAGGACGCCCCTGTTGAGCATGAGTCTTCAACTGAAATCGCATCTGAGCCCGTCGAGGCGGCTGTGGCTGAAGAGCCTACCGCCGAGAAGGCCGCGGAGGTTGTTCAAGACGCCCCTCAAGAGGAACCAGCTACCAGTGAGATTTCTGAGACTGTCGTGACTGAGAAGCCCGTAGAGGAAGTCACTGCTCCTGAGACTGTATCCGAGCCCGTTGTCGAAGCCCCAGCTACCCCTGCAGCTGAGGAGAAGACGGAGGAGGAGAAGGTTGAGGAGACCGAGCCTGTTGTTTCTGAGGAGCCCGTTGCTGAGAAGGCCGTCGAAACCGAGACTGTTCCCGAGGAACCTGTCAAGGAAGAGACTCCCGTTGAACAGCCTGCCTCTGAAGAATCTCCCGCCGATGTCCCAGCTACTGAGCAGCCTGCCGTTGAAGAGGTTACCACCACCGACAAGCCCGATTTCGTTGAGGAGCAAGTCAAGGAAGAACCTGTTGTTGAGCAGGCCGCTGTTGAGGATGCCCCTAAGGAGGAAGCTGTTGCTGAGCCCGTCGCTGAGCCCGTCGCTGAGCCCGTCGCTGAGCCCGTCGCTGAGCCCGTCGCTGAGCCCGTCGCTGAGCCCGTCGCTGAGCCCGTCGCTGAGCCCGTTGCCGAAGTGGTCAAGGAGGCTGAGAAGCCCGAAACCGAGGAGCCCGCTCAAGTCGAGTCTAAGGAGGAGGTTACACCCGAAAATGAGATCTCCGCTGAAGCTGTGACTGAGGATAAGGCTGCCGAGGAGGTTTCTGACGCTCCTGTTACCGAAGCTACTGAGCCTGTCGCTGCACCTGCTGTTGAGGAGAAGCCAGTTGAAGAACAACCAGTCGTGGAGTCTACTGAAGAGACTACTCCAGAGCCTGTCGTGGAAACACCCGCCGAGGTTGAGCACAAGGAAATTGTTGAAGAGGCCCCTGTTGCTCTTGCTGAGACCACCACTGAAGAGGCTCAGCCTGAGGCTACCCCGGAGCCAGCTGTTGTGGAAACTCAGCCTGAGACAGAGGTTACTGAGCCTGTTTCCGAAGAAACCCCTGTCCCGGTCGCTGAAGCTCAGGTTGAAGAACCTACTGTTTCTGCTGTTCCTGAGGCTGCTGTCCTCGCAGAGGCCCCGGCTGTCATCGAGGCTACATCTGTCCCCGAAGAGACCAAGACTGAAGAGCTTCCTGCTGCTACATCCGCTGTTGTGGAAACTCAGCCCGAGACAGAGGTTACTGCGCCTGTTTCCGAAGAAACCCCTGTCCCGGTCGCTGAAGCTCAGGTTGAAGAACCTACTGTTTCTGCTGCTACCGAGGTTCCTGAGGCTGCTGTCCTTGCAGAGGCCCCGGCTGTCATCGAGGCTACATCTGTCCCCGAAGAGACTAAGACTGAAGAGCTTCCTGCTGCTACTCCCACTGTTGTGGATGAGCCTATTGAGAAGGCTGCTCCTGTTGAAGAGCCAGTTGCAGAGCCAGTTGCAGAGCCAGTCGCCGAGGTGACTACCGCTGAAGAGCCTGTCACCGAGGCTCCTGCTGCTGAAGAATCAACCATCCACGAGCCTGTGGCTGAGGCTGTTAAGCCTGATGAGTCTGCTGTTGAAGAAGCTACTCGGGAGGTTGAGCCGATTGCTACGGAAGCTACTGAGTCTAAGCCTGAAGAGCCAACTGAGGTTAAGGAGGAATTCAAGGAGGACGTCGCTACCCCTGAAGCTGTTGTAGAGGATTCAACCCCTGCAGTCGTTGCTGATGTGGAGCCTTCTACCGAGGCTGCTGTTCCCGAGACTCCTGCTGCCGAAGCTGCTCCTATTGCTGAGGAGACTCCTGTAGTCGAAGCAGTTCCTGTTGAGGAGACTCGTGCCGTTGAGGAGACTCCTATCGCCGAATCGGCTGCTGTTGAAGAGGCTTCTGTCCCTGAAGCAGCTCCTGTCGTTGAGGAGACACCAGCTGTTGAGACTCCTGTTGCCGAAGCTGCCCCTGTTGTCGAAGCTGCCCCTGTTGTTGAGACACCTGTTGTCGAAGCTGTCCCTGCTGTCGAAGCTGCTGCTGAGGATACTCCCGCCGCCGAGAAAGCTCCTACCGTCGAGGAAGCTCCTACCGTCGAGGAAGCTCCTACCGTCGAGGAAGCTCCTACCGTCGAGGAAGCTCCTACCGTCGAGGAAGCTCCTACCGTCGAGGAAGCTCCTACCGTCGAGGAAGCTCCTACCGTCGAGGAAGCTCCTACCGTCGAGGAAGCTCCTATCGTTGAAAAGGCTGTTGTTGCCGATGAGACCCCTGTTGTCGAAGAGACCCCAGCCGTCGAAGAGAACCCAGCCGTCGAAGAGACCCCAGCCGTCGAAGAGACCCCAGCCGTCGAAGAGACCCCAGCCGTCGAAGAGACCCCAGCCGTCGAAGAGACCCCAGCCGTCGAAGAGACCCCAGCCGTCGAAGAGACCCCAGCCGTCGAAGAGACCCCAGCCGTCGAAGAGACCCCCGCTGTTGAGGCTCCCGTCGCTGAGGAGACACCCGCTGCTGAGACTCCTGTTGTCGAGAAGGCTCTTGTTGGCGAAGAGGCCCCTGTTGTTGAAGAGGCTCCTGTTGCTGAGGCTCATGTCGCTCCCGTCGTCGAAGAGACTCCTGTTGTTGAAGCTCCTGTTGCCGAAGAAGTCCCTGTTGCGGAGACTACCGAGGCTGAAGCTGAACCTGTTACGCAAGAAATTAGCCGTCCACACTCCGCAGAAAGCGATGTGTATGGCGCGCTGCTTACTGGCCTACGTCCACAGACGGCTTGGACACCAAGCCCTGCTGGTCAGGAAGAGTCTGTTGCCGAGGAAGAGACTGTGACGAAGGATGTACCTGCATCGGATGAGGCAGTAGCAAATGAGGCTGAGCATGCCTCTCATGATGAGCCCGCTGAAGAGTCTAAGCAAGAAAGTGTTTTGACCCCAGAAGCCATCACTGCCGGAGTTGCTGCCGCTGGCCTCGCTACTGGTGTTGCTGCTGTCGCTGCCACACACGAATCCGAAAATAAGACCGAAGATAATACTAAGAGCGAGACTCCTGCTGAAGTGCAGCCTGAAGACCGTAAGCCTTTGCTGTCGATTCCCGCGAATAACGCATCTGTGCCGTCCTTCGAAGCTGATCCGGATCTTGCAGCGCTCGCTGGCGATCGTGAAGCCCTTCTCCGCAAACTCAACTTGCCCTCTACCGACCAGCTGACCGCCGCTGTAACTGCCCAATCTGCTGCCACCGATGACAACAAAGCTCAGACAGCTCCTGAGGCTCAACCCGCCTCCGAGTCGAGCAAGAAGCCCACTGCCGCCCCGGGTAGCACCCTGGAAATCCCCTCCGGTACTGCACCAACAAATGGAGATGAAGATGCTCGCCCACCGAGCCAGAGCCGGTCAGTGACTGCTCTTTCTATGAATAATGCACCTGACAATTGGCTCAAGGTACTCTTGCGCACGGTCTTCAAAAGCATTGGACGGATCATCCGTCCTTGGTCCTGGGGCAAGAAATAGATTCTTGTCCTTCTGGTTTAATAGCTTTTCTCCAAAGAAGACCGTGCGAAAGAGTTCCATCATTTCTATTGCCCTTGATGCTGTAACCCGGGGAAATTCCTCGGGTTTATACATAATAAATCACACGCGTCGTAATCGCAATACTGACACTGTTATCTCAGGTCCCTTTTATGGATTGCCTTTGCTGCAGTGCCTTTCGTTGCGGTTGTTTGGCGCTCGTTCTTCGTCTCCCAGTGAGATGCCCCTGTGGATTTTCTCGCAGCTCAACTCAATGACACCAAATCAATACGACGAGAAAGAAAAAAACAAAAACAAAAAAAAGTTGACAGATTGTTATCTACACCCTTGATTCCCCTGTATTTGATACCTGCGACTTGTTATTTTTTACGATTTTCCTATCCTCTCGGCTTGTGTTTATCTTGATATCATCTCCTCTTCTGGGTTTGATTTTCTGCGTTTTCTTGTTTCTTTTTGTTTCTTAATGATTTTCCTTTGTCGTCTCACGTTGGTATGCTTGGCTTCTCACTCGATAGATGGCTTTCGAGGTGTGGCCTGGTTATCTCCAGGATGTATGTAATGACGCCTATGATCTTATCTCAATAACTTTCCGGATAATTGTGTTTCCACCTGAGTAAAGAATTTCTTCTGAAGCCGTGTAGAGTCCAAACGAAAAGCACTGGGTCATAAGAGTATCAAAGAGCAGTAATACAAGGTACAGTGCAAAGAACATGCAGCTGAGTACTTGTTTGCAATCCGCAATCATTATGTAGGGAGGGAGGCACGCACAGGGAGAACGGATAAAAATTATACTGGAAAACAAGAACTCAAGCACTACCGGAGTGTTTCTCTTGATACATGAATCACACATTTACTACCTTAAATTCCTCAAAATCAATCTCCCCCATCCTAACATTTCTTCCAATTCAATGATTCAGCACTCGGGTCCATCGCAAACCCCTCAAAGATCTTCATCGCCTTCACAGGCTTCGTCTCCTCCTCAAACAATGGTCCTCCACTTGGAACATAACATATTTTATCCGTAAGATAAGACCTTAGCTTCTGAAACGAATATTCAAAAGACCAGTGCATCTTCCCCAGCTTTCCCACATCTTCCATAACCCGATACGCAAGATGATTGATCTCCCTATCAAGCTTCACATATTGCACATAATTGAGTCCTCCCTGTCGTCGTTGACCCAGCTTGTGCCGGTGCACGGTAGCTAATTCCCGAATTCCAAGAATTCGATCCAGTATGAAGCTATTTTCGGTAAAGATTTCGTCTAGAAGGGACCAGAGACGCGGAGACGGCACTTTGATATCCGGGTATGCGATTCGTCCTCCCGGACCATCTTGACCTGATAAGATCAAACTGGTTTGACTGATTATATTAGTGTGGACTGAGCAGATATGTTCGAATACTTGATCTTTGGTGGGACTTTGAAGATTTTGCAAGAGGGTAATGGTTGTGTTGAGCCATTTCGAGAACTCGTCGGTCTGGAGCATGATAACCCATAACTGTCGACATAGAAGGAGGAAAGAAGTCGGGTAGTCGTGTGATGAATGTTTCCTTTTTCTGCCTCGGTTCAATTGAGTTGGAAGAATCTCGCTTGGGTCTGGAAATTCCGTTTCCAACCCTGATCCCAATCCTGATCCTGAATGCGATTCCAATTCAACTTCTGCATATAAACCGCTCGATTTGTGTTTCTGAATCGCCTCTGTATCAACTATGTCACCGAAATCGGCAGCAAAGCACATATCCTCCATCAGCGAAGAACTCTTCTGCTTCTTTTTTGAGGGAGGCCAAGATCTTTTGGCGAATTCTTCGAACTTAGCTCGCAATTTTTGGTTTGTTGCGTAGGATCGCTGCAAAGTTGCCCGGGGATATAGCGGGATAGGTTCTGTTGGCGGAAAATATGGATATGACGGTCCTTGAGATTGGAAGTGCATGCCAAATTGCGGCGTAAACGGGGTAAGCGTTACAGGAGGTCGCAAATCCTTTGGACAGTTTCCTGGTACGAAGATTGGTGGTCCCATGCTTGATTGTGCCGGAACCCAATACCCATTCCCTAGGGCAGGATGCGCTTTCACGGAGACAGACAGCGGAGGTGTTATGTATTGTATTGCCGTGGGATATTGGGGTCGTTGTGGTGGTGTCATAGCATACTGCGCTTGCATAGTTGATGATGTCGGTACCGGAGGGCTGGAGTGGATGGAGGTTTGCGCTTGGTGAGAGTACGGGGCTTGCATGGAGGGAGAAGCTCGAAGGTTAGACCATGGTGTCCGTAATGGGCTTGAACTGGTAAATCTAGTATCAGAGGATGGACCAGCCACCCCTGAAAACTGGAAGTGTTCATCGGTGTTAAATGCATTGAAGCTCGAACTGGGTGATGGCTCAGACATGATGTCTGGTTGACACGTATCACAACGCTGATTTTCAAAAAGAAACGGTTTGAAATACTTAGCTGTAGAGAGTGTCTTTGAGCAAAGGACCGGCCGTGCTCCACGCAAATAAGGATGATGTTGAGCAGAAAGATCGTAAGGAGTGGAATCTAGCACAGAGCCAGCTGTGCCTCGTGGGAAATGAAGATTTCTAGGCTCGCAAGTGACGTAGTCAAATATGTGATCTCGAAGACATTGAAGAGAAGGTAAGAAAACAAGGATAGAGAAAAACATATAAAACCCAAGGACAGCCAAGTTGCTCATCGATACCAATGGCCTCAATAGGCAAGGTGATGCTGAAGGCCGCCTGTTGCGACAGTGGGGTTTTATGCAGCCTGTTCAGTTCATGTTGTCCATGCTCTAGGTTGAAAGAGTTTGAAGTTGAATCAATTAAGGACAATTGATTTTCTCGTAACTTTCAATAAGTGCACAACAATACTTGCGGGGTGGCAAACGAATACTAGTAGGCAGCTCATTGAGAGTACGGGAATGATAGCAAGAGTGAATGAGACGGCAAACATTTCATACCTCACACATTAGGCAAAAACATCCAACTACATCTATAAGACTATAGATTCTTTCAGTATTATATAAGTAACCGCCTCGCATTAGATTTCATAATAATGCGAGGATTAAAAAAACGGACATACACAGTTCTAACCCTTCACAATCAAATCAACAAACCCGCATCCCCAGCCTATAGCTGTAACTCCCAAAGCTCTCCAGTCAACTTGATTCCAAACGAATCATGATCCTCCGACTCAACATGTACAAATCCTTCACCAGCATAGATATGCCTCGCAGAAACCAAAGAACTCTGAGTCCACAACCCAATCCGTGAATAACCCACTTCTCTCGCAAACTGGATACACTGACGCACCAATGCACGACCTAAGCCAAGCCCACGCGCAGTGGGCTCTACTAATGAGAGACGGGTTTTTGCGACATCTTCCTTTGAAGCGTCCTTGACTAGCATTATGGATCCGAGGAATTCTCCATATCTCTCCGCAATCCAGCAACGTTCAACTTGCGGATCGTAGTTTTTGATGAAGTCTGATGCGACACCGGCGACAAGGGCCTCGAAACGCTCGTCCCAGTCGTATTCTTTGTTGTAGAGGACTCCGTGTCGGTGGATTATCCAGCCTATATCGCCGGGGCGGTGGTTTCGGAGAGTGTATGGGGTTGAGATCTGTGCACTTCCCATGTTGGATATTGGTGGTGGGGTTTTGGCAGATTCGGGGGTTTAGGATTTTGTGGATATTGCGGTTTTTTCTCTCCGCGTTTCTTATATCGTGGGTTATTCATGTAGTAAGTATGAACTGACTTCTTGTCAGAATTAGAATGTGGAATCTTCTAGGCTTCCCACTGTCATCCATAGGGCGTCAACGGGTAAGATCTAGATTCTCTCCAATCAGCAAATCAACGAATCCGACTTTTCGTTGCAAATTTAGTAGAAAATAAACTTTAAAATTAACTCCACAATAACAACAATGCTACGCTACCTATCTATAATTTCTCAGTATAATGGCTATGTAGATTTGTTCCCTCCCAATTGTCCCACCAGTTCCTCCGCCCAACGATCAGAGCCGAGATAGCCCATGCACAGAACAATGTCACCATCTGTAGCTATCTTTGATATCAAACTCGGTAACTGAGCTGAATCAGGCATGGAAATAGTATCTTGACGCCCATTGTTCTGCAGACACTCAACCAGCATTTCTCGAGCTTCAGCAGCCGACAACGAATCACCTCCCTCACCCTGTCCAATAATAATATGATGCGCCCCTTCAAAGGCAATAGGATATTCTTTAAGCCACCCTTTCACAATCCCAGGTCGTCCGCTTGGCTGATTAACTGCGATAATCTTTTGCGTACAGATCTGCTTGGCCATTTGGATTGTCGCTTGGATTTCAGCTGGATGGGCGCTGTGATCGTCGATAACCTTGATTCCGTTCGCTGTACCAACGTGCTGGAATCGATGAGCCACACCAGGAAATGAACTCAGTGATTGGTTCATGTTTCCTATTCCAATTCCCAGTTCGGTGGCGATTACAATCGCTGCGAGGGAATTCCGAACATTTTGTAATCCAAGAGCCTTCACTGAGACAGGTCCAAATACTATCTTCCGAGACTTGCTTTCTGGATCTGGCATCGAGACGGTATAGGTACATTCATCGGGTAAATACTTGATCTCCTCTGCGCGGAAGTCTGCATCGTCTGAAACGCCGTAGGTGAGAATAGGCCGATCTCGGATCAATGGTAGAATTTGACGAACACCAGGGTCGTCAATACACATAATCCCCAGTCCGTAGAATGGAACATTGCGCACAAACTGCGTGAATGCCATTCTGGTATTCATTTCATTCTTCCAGTAGATGATATGGTCGCTATCAATATTGGTGACGACCGTGATCAGATGCGGCAGACACGAAAAGGATCCATCGCTCTCATCTGATTCAGCGACTACCCAATCTCCCGATCCAAGATGTGCATTTGACCCGTAAAGGTTCATGGTCGCACCTGTAATCACTGTAGGACCCAGTCCACCGGCTTCCAGTACCCCGCCAATCATGCTAGTCGTGGTGCTTTTCCCATGGCTACCAGCAACAGCAATCGATTTCTTATTCCGCATCAACTCCGCTAACATCTCAGCACGATGTATCACCGGAATACCTTTCTCCCTTGCAGCTTCAACTTCAATGTTATCTGTAGGTCGGAATTTAACTTTCAGAGCTGCAGCTGAGGCGACGACTAGCTTCGCAGACTCCACGTATGAGGTATCATGGCCCAGGAATACTTTCACGCCTGCAGCTTCTAGTCTCGCGGTGTTTTCGCTCTTTTTAGCATCGCTTCCTTGTACGGTATAGCCCATCTGATGAAGGATCAGGGCAAGTGCAGATACGCCATGGCCACCAATTCCGACAAAATGGATCAGACCTATTGATGGAGGGAACGAGAGCATGGAGGATGGCGCCGCGTGCAATAAAGACTGTCTAATTTTGGAAAATTCCATCTTTTCTGATATTCTTTGTGGAATGGCGGTTTTGGGGGTATGACGTTGCGTGAAGAAAGAGTAAATGAGTTGGGGGCTGTTTCTCTAGATGTACGCCGATCACTCTCGACCCCCGCACTTCAGCTGACAAGTACATCTTGTCTCCAATATTTTTGACAAGGCTGCAACTCATTTGAAGAAAGGGTATTAGATCTTGAGATTAGTGTGATATATCAATTTTATTAATATTTTTTCACCATCTATCTGATAATGTTTACTTCTGGCGTTAATAACAATCCAAGTTGAGCTTGTACATCTCGCATGATCAACTCCGCCAACCAAACAATCTCACGACCTTCTGCCCGACCAAGATTCACAAGAACTAGTGCATGACGACTCGATACTCCGACATTATCAAACTGTCTTCCTTTCCATCCACATTTCTCAATCAACCACGCCGCAGGTATCACATATGTCCCGTCAGGATTGCGATAAAAGGGTGTATTCGCATCAACACTCTCGATACTCCTGCGAATCGAGTCATCGCAGACCACATTCTTGAAGAAACTTCCTGCATTTCCAATACTTTTGGGATCAGGTATTTTTCGTTTGCGCAATAAACATATCGCCTCACTGACTGATCGAATTGTCGGTGTAGAGATACCCAGTTCCAATAAAACATCTCGAATCAAACCATAGCCAGTATTTACGCTGTAGAATCGCGCTTTGACTACCCTGATTGTGACAGCACATATCATTACACTTTTCAGCGTGTCCTTGAAGATGCTCCCTCGATACTTGGGTTCGCATTCATCCTTCGGCATCGTTCGAGCTTGCCCAGTATCAAGATCAAATACCTCGACCGCTACCAGGACATCGCTGAGCTCTGCACCATAAGCACCGATATTTTGAACAGGTGCTGCACCAACTGTGCCAGGTATCAAGGAAAGATTTTCAATTCCTCCAAGGTCATTTTGGACACAATAATCCACCAGAGAGACCCATTCAACGCCTCCGCCAACACGGAGCGTTACGTGTTGATCATCCTCTGATTGGATCTTGATACCTTGTATCTCATTCTTCAAAACAATGCCGTCATATTGGGCATTCGCGAATAGAATGTTGCTTCCGCCGCCAAGAATTAAGGATCGCTTGTTATGGAATTGGGTCGAATTCACAAGCTCGTAAAGATTGCTGATGTTTTGCACGCGAACAAGCCATCGCGCGGTAGATGGGACGTTGAACGTGTTATATGGCTGGACATCCACGTTCTTTTCCCATGAAATGCCCGACATTTCTTTGGTGGTTTGATAAAGCAAAAATCAAATCAAATAAAAAAGCAGACTGAATAGATCGCGTGAGTCGCTTGCTCGCTGTTCAGCTTGGATGTGGCCGTGGTGGATAATGATCGACACTAAGCAATCCCTTCTGGGACGCTTTGTTTGTCGATCGATCGGATCCCTCATCTCACCTGGTGGTAGTCTATCTCGGAATTGCCCCTGTAGTCTTGGTCAAAGTCGCGTCGGTAAAAGGTAAAAATTTCTTCATCGTGATATATCGGTTCAGTTTATAATAACATGATAGAAGGTTACACTCGAAGCAAACAATGCTGTTTTAATGCATTTACTTCCCCCGTATTAGGAAATAAAGCTTAGACAGGTCTAAGACGCGCAAACGCCCTTGTTTCAATATTTTGTTTTGGAAAAGAATCGATATCCTTGTCAGCAAGTTATATCTCCAAACCCCAAATCCTGCACCATGACTGTGGATACGGCATCAGACCATATCGCTATCAATGGTGGTCGCGACGTTACTGGAGACATCCACATCTCAGGTTCGAAGAATGCAGGACTAGCGCTCATGGCGGCGACACTGCTCGCGTCTGGGACAACCACGATTGAAGGGATTCCACCTGTATCAGATGTCAACAACATGAGTCGAATCCTCCAGTGTCTTGGCGCGAATGTATCCCATGTTGACGAAACTCTGAACATCGACACAACGCGAGCAAAAAGCCATCCTATACCCGAAGAGCTAGGTGGCCGTTTACGAGCATCGATTCTCATTCTCGGACCTCTTGTTGCGCGCTTTGGATACGCCAAGTTAAGCCTTCCGGGTGGCTGCACGATAGGAAAACGCCCAGTTGAGGAACACATACGGGGCATCGAAAAGCTGGGTGCTTCTGTCAATGTGAAGGATGGGTATATCGAAGCACATGCTTCAACTCTTCGCGGGGCGTCGGTGCATTTGCAAACTCCCTCGGTGACGGGGACAATGAGCGTGTTGATGGCGGGATGTTTGGCGCATGGCGTGACGCGTATACAAAATGCTGCGCTTGAACCAGAGGTCGCTGACTTGGTCAATTTTCTTATCAGTCTCGGGGCAGATATCTCTGGTGTGGGAACTGATCAGCTCACTGTTGTCGGTCGAGGTGCAATGCTGTCTCCGGGCCAATATAAGGTTATGGAAGATAGAATCGAAGCAGGGACATTTTTAATTCTGGGGGCAATGTGTGGGAATACCCTGACGGTTCATCGGTGCAAAGCAGAGTATCACATGGTCCTCATCAAACAACTTCGAGCTGTTGGGGCTCTTGTTGATATTTCCGTCAACTCGATTGTTGTTCGTAAAGCTGAGAGACCATTTCCTGTTGATATTGAAACGGGACCATATCCCGCTTTTCCGACGGACTTGCAGCCGCAGTTTATGGTGCTTCTTTCATTGGCGAGTGGACAGAGCCATGTCGTGGAAACTATTTTCGAGGAAAGATTTGGTCATTGTTCAGGGCTTAAGGCAATGGGTGCCGGTGTCCAGATAAACGGCCAAACGGCTGTGGTGTCTGGTGTTGAAAAACTGTCTGCTGCATTAGTATCTGGCTCTGATCTGCGAGCTGCTGCTAGTCTGATTCTTGCGGCTATTGCTGCTAATGGCGTCTCTGTTGTTAGCGGGATGAAATATGTTAAAAGAGGATATTATGATCTAGAAACTAAGTTAGAACAGATCGGAGTGCAACTGTATCGATTGCCAGCAATTGAAAAACAGCAGGTGCCAACCCAAAAACAACTGTGAACATAACATGTTGTTTCACTTTCATAATTTGGCTTGAGTGGCAATTGTACATAAAAAGGAGGGCAAGAGAAGAAAACCCTTTCCCTATTCTAATATTCCCCGCTGTCACTTATCTCGGAATTGCATGGAGTACAGTGTACAGCCCACATCATCAGGGCATGCAGGGCGGTCATTGGCTCACAACAAGACATTTATAATTGATTTTGACATTGGCAAAGCATACTCAAAATAGCATTTCAAGCACGCTATGCCCGTTGAGTCTTAAAGAGTGGATCAAATCGAGGGGAATGAGATCTGGGGAAAGCTGTTCAGTGTGTGTGTGGCACTACTACAACCGAACTAGTCTATTGCTTATATGGAGAGACAATTCTCCATTGTGGCTTTAAGAGTAGGGCACGGGAGCTGCCCGAGGCACCGATGGATCCATTTTAGGTCTTGCAAGCGCCATTAACAAACCAAATACCAGACACCGAGGGCCAGAAGCTTAAGAGGCCTTGTTGGCCATGCATCCAATCAACGGCGTCCAGCTATCAGAAATTCAAGATTTAATAAACATCCTTCTATTTTGCTGTCATAATACCAACCACGCCGTATAGTCTGTCCAGTACTAACGTCTTTATCAAGTTAGATGGCACACTGTAGGTAGCATGAAATGTCTTCATCGGGAAGCAGCCGATGTCTATCTACTGTAGTCCTGGAGCACCTCCAAACCTTGAGCTTGGTTTCCAAAGAAACAGACGCCATGTTCCAAGGAGTTGTCCCGGGCCAGGAAACTTACCACGATACCCTGAATCAATGCCGTTCTGCCGTTGAACTGTCTCGTGAATTTCAACAAGACAGCGTACCTGACAACAACGCTGATACAACCGTCCCCTGTACTCCGTACTGTATCGCGAGGACTGGGGCGTCTGGCCTGGTACAGATCCACCGCCCCATCAAGTGGATGCCGTCGTCACCCACTTCCTGTTGAGAAAGGGAGTGAGGGATCCGACTTTCGGAGCTGGATCGTTGCTGGGGTGAGAGCACCATTCTGGCCATGCATCTCTACTGATAGGAAATGGCCCAAGTGATCAGTCCTGTACGAACGCACTTCAGGAGTCAGACGTGATCTATCATGCCCCTCTGTGAGACTGCTATGTATCTTTATGGACATGCAAGCCATATCATCAATGAATTGCCAGCTGGCCTCTCCGATGCCAAGGAATGCCATCCCCATGACCTCACGGCGGGTCATCCATGATAGGAGGTATCATTGATTGACGAGTCGAGTCGTGGTATGGTATTATATACGGTATTACATGTACCCTAGAATACCCGATATCCACTCTTCCGAATCTCACCCCCTATTACGAGCAAAAAAGGATACACTCCGTAAAGCTACATGGTTTCTCTAGATGGGTAGGCAATTGAACTTGAAGCTATTTCCAAGACACCATAAACCCAGAGCATTGTGCTCAGAATAATCCGTAGCAATGATTTTTTGTTTGTTGTCATCTCCAGCAGCATAGTCCAGCTGCAAGGGCTCAATCAAACTAACACCCGGAATGACCCTGGATCGAGCTTATGTGGGTCCCGCCAAGCTCAGCGCCTGCGATCAGCCGAGCTGCAGCCAGTTCGGTTTTTTTTTCCCACGGAGTTTAAGCAGAGCCTCCGGAGCCCCTAGGGTCTCTTTATATATGTCGAGGGGAAAGGAGTAGAGGGATTCCGGGTGGTCATAAGAGAGCTCATTGTGACTTTTGGGGAACGCTTTTCATCATGGGGCAGTTTGTAACCTGGCGGTTCCCTTATTGGAGCGAACCGGGTGGGTGACTGGTTTTGCGTGTATGATAATCGGGTCCTGGCGGGTCGGTGGAAATTCATTCTCTGGTGGAGGCCGAGGGAAGCGACACCAAACAACTCGTATTTTTTCTTATTTCATTTTTACCGGTTTATTTTATTTTTTTATTTTTCTTCTGGGAATTTATGTGGAATTTATTTTATTTTATTTTCCATTTTTTGGTTCCCAAGAAGAGCGGCCATCCGACATATAAAAGCCTTCTAGATCCCTGCCGAAAATGACCAAAAGTTCCCGCTGGATGGTTTGCCGGGCTGCCGCATCCAGTGCAGGGATTAGTGACAACTAAATAATCATAAAATAATAAAAATTACCACCACCCCCTATATGAACAAAAAAAAATATCGGGCGCCGGATCCGGTTTCCCAAAATTACGTGTTCCCTAAAGAGACCACTCGGTGTGTGGATTTCCGAGGAAAGGGAGAGTGGAAAGAATCCACATAGTGGCCCTCCTAGATAGACCGGTTGGCCCAGTGAATCCGTAGTTGGTGGACCTGGAATCCGACTCGGCCCGATTTGGGCAGACGGGAATTAATCCAGAAACACCAACCTTGGGTTTGCAGGACCCGATTACATTATAATTGGCTGACTGTGAAGTGGAACCAGTGGATTTATGACCCACTTATTTGGAACAGCCTCGATGATCCACACTACATACAGGGAGAGTGAGTCTGTAAAAAAACATTGAAATTTATGAGCTCCATATCTGGGAATTCCCCAGCTCATCAAGACCCCCTTTTCTTCGCCCATACTGCGTACCTATACACATTATGTACCTAGATATAGTAGAGATTCAGATACATCTGAAACCAATTGGCTAGCTGAATATCAAACTAAGTAGGGGGAAGGGAATCTATCTACTATCATATGCATGTCCAAGAAAATAATTTCCCAGCAACCTGATCCACTTTTAGACGCCTGTATTCGAATCCCAGCTTCCCGAACGAACCCGACAGGAAATATACACCGATTTACCATGTTCCCAGCTGTGTTGTATGGTAAGAAATTGAAAAACCAATGCGAGACACTGACCACCCCCAGCATTCCTCATACACAGGGGATTTGCGAATGAAAATACACTCCCGGCGTCCCGCACAGAGTAGGGCTTTTTTCTCAAGCGCGCACTAGCCTCAACTAGGAGGCGGCCGGGCGAAAATTTGGCCGTAGAGTATTTATGTCCTGGGCAGACCTTCTTCCGTAGTTTCCCAGCTTTTTCCTCCCTGAAAAGTTCCCAATCCCCCCATAAACCAAAAAACCCAATCCCTCCTCTCTTTTCCTCCCTTCCCGGAAAACCACAACCATCATCACAATGGCCTCCCGTGTCTTCACTCAGCGCCTGGCTACCGCCATGGCCCAGTCCTCCAAGGTCGCTCGCCCTGCTGCCCGCGTCAACCTGAACGCTGCCACCAAGCGTACCTTCACCCAGAAGGCCCCTGCCACCACCTTCTCGGCCCCCAAGCGCGTCGCCTCGCCCACTCTCCTCCAGGCCAACGCCCGCAGCGCTTTCCAGAACGCCGCCCGCCGTCAGTACTCCTCTGAGGTCGCCTCCGCCATGGTCGAGGTCTCCAAGAACATTGGTATGGGTTCCGCCGCCATCGGTCTCGGTGGTGCCGGTATCGGTATCGGTCTCGTCTTCGCCGCTCTCCTGATGAGTGTTTCCCGCAACCCTGCTCTCCGTGGCCAGCTCTTCTCTTACGCCATTCTGGGTTTCGCTTTCGTCGAGGCCATGGGTCTTTTCGACCTGATGGTTGCCATGATGTGCAAGTACGTCTAAGCGTTTGATCGAAGGGCTTGAGGAACGAAGAGAAGAAAAGAATTATATTATAAAGAAAAAATCCTCCTGAAAGAATTTCCTTTGTTTTGTTCTTTTTTTTCTTTTCTGTCCGCCGGGGAGGGTATTTGGTCGTGATGTATTACCATGTACTACTTTTCAGCGTCATCTACAACACCTATTTCTTTCTGTACATATAGAGTCTATATGGCCCACCCATCCCAATTTTCCAACGAGCCAAACCAAAACTCTGTGTGTTGAGTCCTCCGGCCGTATCAAATCTTGTCTTCATTAATATTGGATTCTGGCAATCCCTCTCTCTCCATCTCATCATTCTGGGCCGTTTTGGCTCAAATTAGCCTTCTTAAATCTGTGTATGATCTAGTTTATTTTAAGCTATCAATTACTCCAGCTTTCCCCAAGCTTTTCATCGGCTTGTCATCGGGAGCACTGGATGTAGACCCCCTTTCTCCAAGATTGATGTCTCCGTTGTCCCGAGCGTGCTACGACATCGTACCTCGCCCAGTTCTCAACGCACATTACGAATTTATGGACAATGCCTTGTCAATACCTTCTATGGATCAGATTTCATTGTTCTAGCTACTCTTTAAGCTCTTTTTCGATGTGTTGGGGTCTTCCTTGAGCTTTGAGGTCTCCCCGGCATCCCCAACGTGAAAACTCGCAGCTTCCAGACCTCGGGAAATGCAATTCCGCTTTGGGCCGGCTGAGTCATCTCCTAGTGACATCAACGATCCTGCACATGCATTCGATAGTTCATGTAACAACATCAAAAATTATTTAAATTACAAGCAATCAAGATAGCAAAATCACTGTGCAGTTACCTGTGAATCATCAATCCAAATGATAGCTCTCTACGTGTATCGATCTCTAAGGCAGTGTTCTGCGCTCTTTAAAAGTTCCCGGTTGGGTAGTGTCATGTAGAACTTATATATCCCCATTGCGGCCCGGGATGAAGCAAAATTTGAACTTCCACTCCAGGGCTCAAGTCAGCAAGTAGTACTACCCCAAACAGTTTTAAACAATCATTTGAGATCGTTATAATAGGCAATAGTATCATTAAATATGCTGATCTGAAATCTTTGCACCAAATCATTGATACATAGTTGACATGGTATCATTCCCATATGTAGTCTTGCTATGCATACCAGTACTCGGCCAGGGTACTGAGCTGCATCGTAGTAAGGATATATATATATATATCATTACTGAATGCTTCTGTGTATCTTCGAATGCTATAGAACATTGTATTTTTGTGTTTAATTGTATTAATTGCCAACATAACTTAGTCTACAACACATAAATTCAAAGGTCCCAAGAAAGATAGCAAGGCAAGTTCCACTAGGTAGATTAATGTGATACAGTTAGCATCTAGTCTGTTCAAAAAGAACATTGGTTCTACAAGGACAAGCCCTTTGATTATTTCTACAAGAAGGGAGTAGATACTACCAGTGAGCCCAGCGTACCATGTATATGCACCGGTGACAGCTACCTCAATGAAAATCAAATATTTGGAAATAATTAAAAAGTGAAAAAAGATAATATGTTATCTGCAAGTCCAAAATCGACTCCAGCCATGCCACAAAACTCGCTTGCTGAAACGCAGAGAAAGGTATCAAGCACTGGGAAACAGGAGGTTCTCTCAAAGTATCAAACGCGAGAGCAGAATAAATAAATCCAAGAAGTGGCGACGAGCAAAATGCCAAATGACAGTAAGAAAAAAGCAGGGAACCAAAGATCCAAACCCGCCAAGACCATCATGATACTGACAATCTAGAAGATCTCCAAATCTTCAAATTCCACAACCAGCCCATCACTCGTTCCAGACGAGGACGTACTATCCATCGACACCCCATGCATAGTATCCCACATTGTCTGGCCGCGCCCAATACTCGTCGGTCGACTAGCATAAACACCCACATGCACAAACTTATCTTCCACCCCATAAAAGAACCATGTTACCTCCCGCAACTTCTTCCATGTCGTTCCAACAGCACCAGGTGACAATGAATAAGGCGACCCCGAAGGCACCTGATACCAAATCCAAAGTGCATGGCCAATGCGCTCCAGCTTAATGCGGAGTGAATTCACCACAGGGCCTTGAGGAGATTGCACAAGTGGCGATAGACACCAATCTGCACCATCTGCTGTCGCACTAACGGAAGATGCATTGACTGCCCCTGATGAAAATTCCATGCCTGCTTTTACCCATTTGCAGGGTGGACGCGAGGCGTTGAGGCGGCGCGCGGCTAGGGCCGGGGGATCGGAGAATGACTGGGGCGCAGCACCTGCGAAAATGACCAGACCTCCTTGGTCCCATTCCATTTCCCAGTCTGCGCTGACTGTCACTTCGGCTACGACGAATGGATGGCGGAGTGAGGTGAAGACGATGGGTGCGGTGGATGTATCGCCGTTGGGTGGTTTGCGCCATAGATCTGTGTTTGGGCCGGCTGGTAGTGTGAAGTATTCCATGCATTGTGGGAGGGCGAATGTTGGAGGAAGGTTTAAGGTTGTGAATGATGAGGCATCTGGAGGCATTTTTGACGATGTTGTCTTTGCTGCTTTGCTTCTTGAATCGATTCTCTAATAACTTGACTTTGGCCACCTTTTATCACTTTGGATTGGTAATTGATCGAAGGTGGAGTAGTTGCAAGTTATAGAATAGCACAGAGGATGGATAGGGGTTGTCCCTTTGAAAATCAATGGAGTTGCGTTTGGGGGGAGATTTCCAGCTTCTGGCGTTTGATGTCTGTGCCAGCAGTTCAAGTAGGTGGAATCGTAGAGACACAAGGGGCAAGGATTGAGTTACGGCATTTGTTTCAAGGTATAAGTTGAAATTGACCAGGTCAAAGAGCTAGGCACCAGTATAATGAAGCGGAAAATGCGGTACTTGACGAAGAGATTGTTGGGATATGATGCAGTTGAGATGTACGGATGATGCGGATGCCGAATGCGGATTGTGTCGAATAGATCGAGGCGTATGCCACCGTGAAAAGGAAAAAAAAAAAATGTAAAGGGTCGAGTGAAACACTTTAAAAAAAATCCCGACACTGGATTACGAGAGAATTGATTATTGATTATATCGTGACTAGAAACTATTTATATGGAATTTTTGGCGCACCTCCCCTGGATCACCATCTCAGGGGATCAGGAGACAAAGGTCCGCTAAGACTCCATCATCACCTAATACACTGGGGACAACCAGACGACTGGAATCCCCAAGAGCCCAAGAGAATGGAAAGCCCCTCTCCAGATGCTGCACAAATTGCCCCCAGAAGCGAGCTTGTTCGCTCTGGCGACAGATGGCTGTGGGCCAGTTTGTAAGTGGCGGGTCATCATGCATATTAGAGGATCAATCACAGTTATGCCGGAGCAAACCGATGAAGTAAAGAAGCGAGAGAAAAGTAAAAATCAAAGACCCAAGACCCATAAACCAAGAATAAAACAAGGGTGGAGAGGGAATTGAACGACCCATGAAGACGACAACAGGCAGCTGAGGGAAACAACTCGGTGGATTAATTCCTTTTTACTGAACCACTCGTGCAACCTTTGTTCGTTCGCCACGGGTGGCCCACACGATTAGACTTTCGGATCTATTGCAAGGCGATCGCCTGGGAGTGTTAGTACGAACATGTTTCGGTGCGACTAGTGCCTGAGCTCCATAGGAGAGCTGAGAGGCAGCTTTTGTAGGATCTTCCTGGTCGCGTCTGACAGCTTGGGGAACGGGAACGGGAACCACATTTCAGCTGCAGGTGGTTTCTGGTGGCGGTGGACGCGACTCAGCCACAGTTTGTCTCTCCGCAGTCTGCACGGGGCTGAAGAAGGCAATCTCGCGACAGACAGGGAGGTTGGTCGAGGTCGGACTTGCCGAGGTGCTTTGGGTGGGCGGTTGGATAAAAGGGCGATCGTCCCTTCGATCTTGATCCTCAACAAGGAAGGGGGGGATGACACGAGGATGAGATCTGTGGGTCTAATTATACTTCGTCTCCGAGGCCTTTGAACCTTTTGCTGCTACTTTGATCTCTACCATTTATTGGTGGTGTTGTTGGCAGACCCTGCACGCCACAAGGCCCCAAGAGACCTTTTAATTTCCCGATGTTTGTCTAATCCAAGAGAATTTTATTAGCGCAGCAGCACACTTGCTTGGAAGCTTGGAAGTTTTTCTTTTTTTTTTTTTTTCTCCTCCCTCTCATGCCATTGTATTATTTTTTTATCAGTACCAGAAAAAGTTGTGCATTTTGATTAACATGAAAACATACTAATCGAGACACTACACGAAAGATGAGAGCTGACAGACGAACAACAATAAACTACCGAAAATCACGAGAATCACGAGAATTCGCGAATCACACTAGTATGCTAGCCTGGGGCGAAAAAAGGAGGCGCTCACTAGAGCACTCATGCCAAGCCATCCCGTATCCTCAAATGCCCTACTAAGCACCTTTAACCAATGAAGAGTCAGTAAAAGCCGCCTCAGGGTCGTATTTGGGGCCCAAACGGGGCTTAAGAGCCTCTTGGTCTCAAATATTGTACCCTGAAAGTACCGAAGCAAGTCGTCCTTTAAAAAGGCCTAATGACAGCCAAAACCCACCGGAAAACTTTGCGTATTTTCAGTGCTTACTATCCGTCGCCTACAAAAACACCTATTGAATGGTCTTGTTTCTCTGTTAGATACGTACATGCTGATCTCGGGAGCATAAACAATATTCGACGCCAAAATGGGTATCATCCCCAGATACTACTACAACTACTACGACAACCCCAACCCCTGGAATGAGGAAGTCCTCGTATCATACGAGCAAATTATCTATCAAAAGACTTTTTTTGTCGAGGTCGCGTTTGACTGCTTGATCTTGTTGGCTCTATTTTCTTTTGCCATTTGGGCATGCACCATTCGAAATGGATCAGGCCCACAGCGGGCCACGATTGTCGTATTGGTGATGTTTTTAATGTATGCATGCTACATACTCATCGATACATATGGAGCTACAAAGCTAACAATATGATCCAGTTCACAATCTCTTCAAGTGATTGCTGATATCCTCTACCTCGCAATTGTGTGGGTGAAGCAATCATATGTCATCGCCTATATTCTAAATTACGTCTTCGGCCTGGCCAGTTACTCTTTGCTATTCGCGGTCTTCTATATGATCATACATAGATCACTGGATCGTCTCACCGACTCGGGCAAGCCCGATACAGCTGTGAAAGTTGTTCATTGGGTTATTGTCGGAATTGTCACGGCTGTTTCCATTGCTGATTTTGGTCTATATACCGCTGTCACAGTTAAGCAAGTCGAATCTGACCTTACTTACGAGCTCGTGAAATCTCAGAGAAATTTGTATGCTGCTCGCTGCATCATATACTTTATTGTGTCTTTTGAGATACTGGCTTGGTCAATCTTTGTCGCTGTGAAAGCTAGGACTAGTCAATTTGTCTCCAAGGTAGGCGGACAACAATGTTTGTGCTATTATATGGATGTACAATAGATTGCTAATGAGTCTCTGTTATAGACACCAGTTCACTGGATCGTTGCTAGCAGTCTTTGCTGGTTCGGCTACAATATAATGTATGCCATTGTTGCGATCCGCTATCAACTGAATTACTCGGTTTACAGAATTGTTCCGTCATACCTGGGAATCATCGAGGTTGTGTTCCAATTTGTCTTTATTGTCGGAATCTTCACCGGTATTTTGCTCAGTATTATGAACTGGCATAAGTTTGGTGGTGGAGAAGTATATGGCCCAGCGCCCGTGCAGTATCCCTACAACGCTACGCAGGGAGCCTACCAACACCCACAACAAGGCTACCAACATCAGAGCTACCAGCAACCCCAGGGCTATGTACAGCAGCAGCAGACTTATTAGACTCAACCTATGCCTCGGAAGGACAGGGATATAAGAGCCACAAAAGGGGAAAAAAAAAGATTTCTATTTAATTAATAATTTGGAAGCAACCTGGAGTCCTCGGTGGTACTTTTCAGCACATGATATCCAACACGAGATTCCTGATTACCCTAAGGAAATGCTGGATCATGTTAAGCTGTTTGGTTTGGGATGGTGATACCTTAATATGCCCTTTTTATATGCATTATCTATTCATTAATCTACATGTGTTTATGATTCAAAAATTCCAATTAATCTCTATTAATTTCCGCCGAATGTCAAATTAGTCACAGGGGCGTAGATACAGCATCTGTGAAGCCAAACCCAAGCAATTAACTCCTTATTCAAGAGCTGTCGTGCTGTTTGGGGCAATATACAAGTCCAAAGTGCGGGGGCTGGTCTTTGTTTTCTAGTTTTCAGATGCGCGGGTCTCTACCATGGCATGGCTAAGAGCGTCTTGCGATCTGAATCCAATTGAAGGGGTTTAATTTAAATGAGTTCGATTGACAGTACAAGGAAATAAGTCTAGTTATACATGGCATGCGCAATAAAAATATATGCAGTGCGTTATTAATAACGCTTTATGCCAGAAACAGGTCACTGGTTTCTGGTCCAACATCCAACTTTGCTCTCCGCTCTTTTCACAGACCGCATCAACCAAATATATGGTCCTGCTCACTCAAATCACTAGGCAAGTCGAGCATGATTGACTTCGTTCCAACACCGAAGACGTTTTTTAGCGATCAGCCAGCATATTCTTGATATAGCTGTAGTATTGCTGGGTCACAAATTGTGGGATTTCCTCCTTTGAGAGCCACTTGAAATCCTTCAGCTTCTCCACACTGGCGGACAGATCAGCCTGTCCGGCCATGATACGGGACTTCATGAAGAATGTCTTCTCGCCATGTGATACGGTTCCAGTGGCCTTGTCAGCGTGGGGTTTGCGGTTGTTGTAGACATGGTGACCGGCGGGGTGGAAGCCGACCATCCAGGTGTTCATGTTAACACCTGCAGTCTGCGAAAGAGTGCGCTCGGCAGCCTAAATGGAAAGAAAAAATCAGTTAATTCCGCTTCACTTGAGGGCGCGTACTAGATGCATGCAGCTGCTAGAACTTACCTCGCGGAGAGTCTCCTCTGTTTGGATTGGCGTGCTGGGGAGTTTCCAGTATCCATCCTTCGACTGAACTAGCAAATACAAAGTCCTGGGTAACAGACGATTCAGACTCTTGTAGTCACCCTTCTTATCAGCCTCCGTCACCCGTGGGTGTGGTCGTGGGATCTCCTCCTTCTTGCTGGTATCCTGCGAAGTCGCATTGGCAGTCGATTCCGCATCAAGTACCAATTGCTCAACCTGGTATTCAGGGTCTGACTCCTTGGCTCCTAGGAGCAACTCGTCGTTCCATGCATCCTGAGCGTACGCGTTGTACTTTCCAATGTCACGTGCGGGAGTCTGACGAGCCTGAATCTTCTTCTTCCAGTCTTCGTCCAGCGGCGTACCACGCTTAAAATAGAAGTATTTGGTGAAAGGAAGAGCCAGACGCTCGTTCAATCGCTTCTGATAGAAGAAGTATGCTTTTTCGAAGGGCTCGAGGTCACGGGTGATCTGGGGAGGGCGGGAAAGAACCACACCGGCGTTGATAGTGTAGACGGGGCTCACGACCGGGAATGCGGAAGAGGGAGGGGTTGTTGATGCCGTTGTCGATCCGCTTGTAGCAGCGGAAGCGTAATTGCGACGGCCTATTGTTTCTTGACAGCTTCGGCATACGCCAAAGTCGAGTCTTGATGGCCCTGAGAATTGGTCAGTATGGGTTTGTTGCAATCTGAGCTATTGGCGAGAGTCATACGCAGCAGCGATACAGCGCGTCGAGCGCCATTGGTTCCAGTCGCCATCACCACGGAGTAGATGAGGTCGGCAATGAGAATCTATAGTCCCCTAGGTTAATCGAGCTGATCCCGTCTATGTTGAGACTCCGAGAAAAGTTCCCCCGGTCACGTTTGCGCTATACCAAGATAGGACTAGCGTTTCTCTGGCCCACTCCTTAAATTTCGAATCGAAATCACAATTGCTTCTTCTTCTCTTCAAGCACCCATTACCTTATCGTCACTGTGTCTAGTTTTTCCCACGACCAGTCGATCATTCAGCGGTGCTTAGAACGATTTTCGCGGCTGATTCGCTAGCGGTACCTTCTTAAATTTCCCCAAGGTGTACTGTTAGATAGATGCGGCGAACACTTCGACACTGCCATTATTCAAATGCTATTTATTGATTTGCTAAATTCGAGAACTGAAAAATAAAATCCGATAGAATGAAAACGATGAGAAAATTTCCCTACTCAATTTGCCCCTCTTCTTCCAGGGCTGTCTTAGGTAGACCAGCTGCCCTTCCCATCTCCCAACGGAACAGCTCAACCGAAGTCAGGAATCCCGCCCATGTGAACCACTCGCTCCGTCGTACCAAATACTCGCAACTTGTTCCCGTAAACCTGCCAGAACTCGCTGCCCAGACGAGGCACCAACTCTCCCTTGCGGACCTTACTGGCGATCTCAGCACATCCCGTCTCGACCAGAGGGTGGACTCGGTGTCGGTATGTCGGTGGACTCGCGTCATCGCTGAGGTCGATCAAATCGTCAGGGTCTGATTCGGCAGCAACCATCTCTTCTTCCATTTGCCGTGCAACCTGCTTCACGACCGGTACCTCTTCTGTAACGGCAATCTCAAGGAACTCTAATCTTGCTCTTTCGGAGTACTCGATTTTGCCTTTCTGAAGCTGAGTGGAAAGCTTTATGAATGCAATCGCTGCCATCATGCTATCGTAGCCAGCTTCATGAGCACTTTTGCGATAAATGTACTTCGAATGCATTGGATCGACTTCTAAAAAAAAGACATATTAGCAAGTTCGTGGCCAAGGACCAGCATTATCAGGACACTCGAAGAACATACTTATGGTAGGTGTCGATATCATTGCTAACTTCCGGTTAATCTCTTCCAGAGAAGAAAGAGGGTTGATAGAACCGGCCTCGTAGGTTGCGAGATATTTCGTGTCAACCACAATTGGGAACAAGCTGTGCATGACAGTCTGAAACTCCTCTACGGTGTTTGGCAGGGGGCCGAGGAAACCCCGGTAGAAGAAGACCAAATCCATGAAGCAATTGTGTCCTACCAAGATTGGGCGATTCTCCTTCAGACGGGACCTTATTCTGTTCGCGAGATCTGCCAATGTGAATGATATGTCTTCATGAAATCCCATCAGAGGATTGAAGGTCTTGTCTCCAATATCCGTGAGGTCTCCTCCGACTAGCGCTTCGATAATCCATCGACATCCCACGTGCTTTCGAATCCGCTCTTTCATCACTTTGGCTTTCCCGTCATTGTCTCTCCTTTCGCGCTCTGGGTCGGCGAATTGAATCTGGATGAAACTGGATTTGCTTTTCGATTTGAGCGCTGGATATTCTGCAGTGACAAGCTGGTGCACCAGCAGTTTCTCCATATTGCTCAGAGTCGTTGGGAGCAATGAGTCTCGGGACCGAACAAATCCTCTCACACGAGATGATGGCGGGATGTTAAGGTAATCAATTCGCTTTTTCTATTGACATATTAGACCGAAAACTGTGTACATTTGATGGAAAGAAACATACCTCATCCTGTGCCAGCCAATTGTCGATAAGGCGTCGCACTTCCTTGAGAAACTCGAGTACCTCTTGGTCTGTATCATCGGTGCTTGATGTGTACAGTGCTCTTGGGTCACTGTATTTAGTGTCGGCAATTTTTAGGGAACAGACTTGTTCTTCTCGCGAAAGATACCGTACTCCTTCCTTGCACACGGTATCAATGCTGAAGTTGTTGGACGTCAAGAATTCCATAGCTGGGAAAGGTTAGCAATAATCTTTTCAAACTTCCGGAGGCTGACTTACACAAGCTCATAAATGACCAGTCACGATTGATATCCAACGCTCGATCCACATAGGGACTCAGGTTGATGTTGTAAGGCTTGAGTATATAGGATGCTTCCTCTGCTTTGTATACTTTGAGCTTGTCAAATCATGATAATTGAAGTTGGGCATTCATACCATCTTGTATATCCTCCTCACAACATGTCAGTCCAATCTGAAGAATCTGGTACTTCTCCGCGGCGGCCTTGATCTCTGCATAACGCTCTTGAAGAGACTGTTCCCTGGAACCTCTGCCCACAGGGGAAAATGGAATACCGGAGAACTCCAAATCGATGGAAACAAAGCAACCGCAAGAAATATCATGTAGCACTAATGGTAGGTATGTAGAAAAGTTTGCTCCCGTCAAATCCATCTTGTTTTCCGGCGTTATAGAGATATTTAATGTGTTGGATGGAGATGCAAAGAAGTCTGTGTCAGAAGAAGAAGGAAAAGAAAGCAAGAGGTGGAAATGAATATGATGAGAAGAAATGAGCAAATGATAGCTTGGACTGTTTCATGATGTGAGAAGGAGAAGGTAGAGCTGCCTTCAATTTTAAAGTGAAGTGAAGTGAGGCAACTGCCATCTCGTATGTATATATACACACATGTATGATAGATCCCGTGACCAACCCCGGACTTGGACGAGCCGAGGGAAAACGAAAGCCGATCAACACCATTCCCGTCCCCGACTTGCCATCTCCATGGAACTCTTTCTTCTCTCTTCCTTCCCCTTTTCTAATTGATTTTTATAATCTCATGATCCATTCTGGCAATAGTCGACACTATGTCATCTCATACTCAACTTTCCTCCCCCTCCTCCGTCTCTCCCACTAAGCTGTGCTCTCGGACCTACAAGAAAGCTTCCCAGCTGTTCCTCACAAGGCGATTACCAGAAGCGCTATCAACTCTCCAGACTATTCTGCAATCTCAACAATCCTCCGATGACCATCAAATCAATGGCGACGACTCCGCGGCCGTTGCGCCAATCGCCACCGCCTCCAACACGTGGAGAATCAAAGTGTGGAACTTCTACATCACCCTCCTGAGTTCGATCGTAGAGCTCGGCGCAGAAGAAGGCAAGACTCAATTTGGACAAAAAGAATGGAAGGAATTTGCAACACAAGTCCGCGAAGGTGGGATATGGGAAAATGTTGTACAAATCGGATACCAAGGCCGAGAGGGCTCCGTAGACGCAGAGGTGGTCTATGTCTTGTAAGCCTCGGCAATACCCGTCACAGCCAATATCGATAATAGCTAATATCGCATAGGGCTACATTGCTTTTGAACCACTCAGCCTCACAAGCATTGAACCAACAACGACTTGAAACATACCTGTCATCATATGGACAGCCCAACTTGGACCTGGCAGACCGACTCCAAAATGCATCCACCGATTTTGAACAACATCGAATCTCCGCCACGAGTGGAACGGATACCCCCAAAGATCTCGCAGCCCGAGTACGGATTATCGAGCTGTTCACCCTCCACGTCCTCCCCCGCAACGAAGAATGGGAATACGCGCAAGAATTCATCAATCTCAGCGAAGTACTAGATGAAGAGCGCAAAGAACTATTCCTTCAAACGCTGGAAGGCCTGAAAGAAGAGAAAGAGCGGGGAGAATTACGTGCTGCAGAGCTACAACGGGCTAAAGACGCCGAGCTCGAACGAGAACGGGACGACGAGCGCCGAAAAACCGAGGATGAAGCCGCTGCAGCGGCGCGCCAACAGCAACCAAATGGACATAAACGGAATACTAGCGAAGTCGATTATGGGATTGAAAAAGGAAGCCCTCGCAGTGGCTCTAAGGGCAAACCATCCAAACCGGCAGACAAGTCTCCTAATGGCAAAGCAACGTCTCGCACAAGTTTATCATCGTCCAATTCTAAGAATTCTAAGAAACCCGTTAAGTCTGAGCCACGGAAAAACCAAGTACTGGCGGCGGCTACGGCTCTTCGAAATCTGTTCCGGAGGCTTATTCAGAACGTTTCGGGAAACCCCTTATCACTAGCACGCACTCTGCTCTTCGTGCTTGGTATTTTGATGGCTTTCAGCCGGCAGGATATACGTGACCGAGTTCGCAGAGTCACAGATTCCGGATGGCAGAAACTTAAGGGGACAGTTGGAATGGGTGTCAAGGTTAGCTATATTTGAGATGTGAAGATGTTGGATTTCCACGTCCATCCCTTCATCCCTTTTCACCTGCACGATTATTCTTTTCTATATATTTCCTTCGACTTTTCTTTTTTTTTTGATCTGGATATCCCTACTTCTCAGTTATCAGTGATTGGATCTGTGACGCTGCATATAAATTTTTATCATTTGTTTATGATCTCTATCTTTATTAGTGTATTATACATAGGTGTCATTCATGTCTGCAAAAATTCCCTCTTTTAACCAGGCCTTTTTCGCAGGTGCTGTGATAACATAGTAGAGTTCCCGTCCATAGTTGAGAATGGCCCTTGGAAAACTATTAGTAGTAAGTGAGATGTTGATAGTACAGGCTGCAGCATTTATTTGTTTTGTCCATGGGCATGCATGTGGCTAATCTGTTCACTTGAACTAGACATTATACCGCGAGCGGCTTAAGTTTGAAATCTGAAGCTTGGAATGTATAGAAAACTTCAAGGGTTGTTGTCGCAAAAGGGAATGAGATAATTTGAGATTGTCGGTATTTAAGACATATTATATAACAGAGAAATAAATTCGTATCCCTTGGCTGAAAATCTGATATAAAAGAAAACAAATCCCTCGCAACTCATCGCCGATTGGAAAACAGAAGAGGGTGAAAATGAGGCTCCAGTTGAAATCCCGCCAATATAAAACACCATCACGTATGGCTTAAAACGCCAGATGTGTAGTACATCATCCATAAAAATATTCGGAGCCAACCCGAATTCCGCTAAGAAAAAAAACGCCTTGAAAATGCTAGGGTCGTATCATTGCAATCATAATACATCTCCGTCGCTGTCAGATGCTATCATAGGCTCCTTGCCTTTCCTTCTGCTAGGTAGAGAGTCGACAGCATCCTGTACTTCGCACTTCGCAACTTGCTCTAAGGCAAGGCGAGCTTGGAGATTTATTGACTCGACAGAACCAACACGCTCGTATAGTTTCCGAGATATAGTCCGATTTATTTCGGTATATTGCTCTTTGGAGACTGTCTTTGCGCGATAATGAGGTTTCAAGGACGAACCAACCATCTTCTGAATGGCAGATTTCACGGTGGAGGAAGGGCCACTTCGAGTAGGTGAGGTCTCCGGTGATGATTGAGCTAGTTGAAGAGCACGCCGGGGAATACGCGAGGTTGGTCGGGCGCGATCACGTTGTGGCACCTTATCATCGCTAGTTGGTGAAGTATCCGGGCTTCCGGAGAAGGATATTTCGGGTGAAAATGGTGGAGAGGAAGGTTCAGCCGGCGAGGATATTTGAAGAGGGGAGATGGGCCGGCTACGGGAGAAGGGTGGCGGGGTTATAGATGAATACCGCGGCGAGGAGACGTCGGATGAAATGGGTGATAAAGAGGGAGAGGATAGACCAGAGGTAAGATGGTCAGTAGGAGCGACAGATGTTGGAGCTGAAGGACCCTTGGATGTGGTGTGGCTTGGCGTGGTAGATGCATCTTCCACCTCCCTCAGGAGAGATGATAGAAAGCTCGGCTCGGCAATACTTTCTTCGTTAGATCGAGAATTCGATGCTGCGGCTCTGGAGGATTCTGCGTTTTGATGGGCCATAGCAGCCAGTTCCTGGGGTCGCCGCGTGCGGGGCCTCTTCAGCTTGCGCTGAGGCTCTGAAGGTTCCGGGGACGGTGAGAGCGTCGGTTCTTTGCGTTTGCGAGAAGCATTGGGGTTATTTTCTATTTCACGAGCCCTTTCAAATGCATTCCACGCCCGCATCTCTTCCAATGACTCGGGTTCTGGAGTAGGTACTCTGGGGGCCCGAGGCCGGGATGGCCTGGTGGGCTCAATATCAAAGAGCGAAGCTGCATCTCGAAATCGACGACCACCGCCTTGTCTCTCGGCAACCTCAAAGCGGCGTTGCCATGCCCGAAATTCACGTTGGTTGGCCTCTTCGCGGCGACGCTGTTGTATAACTCGTTGAGCAGAGCGATCATCGTCAAAAGGAAAGTCTAGATCAATGTTGAGATTGTCCCACACGGACTGCCATACACGAGCCCAGTGAAGCGAGTTGACGTGGTTTCGGCTGTTGAGTCGTCGTTCTTGTCCTCTGGTGCGACCCCGTCGCCTGTTTGCCGGTGACCCAGCAGCCGATCTAGCATTTGATGTCTCCGCACGTCCAGCCACGCGAGATGACTCGCACGCTGAGCAGTACCATGACCCCGAGGGTACTGCGTCCAACCCGACACAGTATGAATGGGAAGGCATATCACACCCATCGCAAAGAAGCAAAACATCCTCGTTATCTGCTTCCCCACAGATTGTGCATGGTTGGTAGTCGGCGATGTCATCATCGGCATATTCAATCATCATAGATGGGTCGATCTCTGCGACCTGTACTCGGTCTTGGACAGCATAGGAAGAAACTACCGGACCTTTGTTATAGCAAGTTCATGTTAGCGAAACCGAATAGTCATGAATGTATAGATGAAAATACGAAGATCGTATTGAAACTAGGGGATAGCCAACCTACCTCCAGGACGGTCGCTTAGCTCCACCATGTTGAAGCTACGCCGACATATTGGACAGCTATTCGCGCGCTCTACCCAGGGCTTTAGACAATTATCATGCAGTATATGACCGCATGGTAACAACTGAGCTATCTGACCCACATCCTCCTCCTCGAGACCCTCGACTTTGACGGTGGTAGCATCATCGTGGAGATCGGGCTTTGGCACGAACTCGGGATTACTGACGCTTTCGCCAAGGTCGCCTAAACAGACAATGCAAGTGTCGGACATGGACAGGAATGGAGCCAGGAGAAGGAAGGCTGGGAGGCGGCATGAAGAGCGTTTCGGAAGCCAAGTGTATGCAAGAGGGAAAGAAGATGTGGGGAGAAGAAAGCCCGGCCTTTTGAAGGTGGGCCGGGTATTCCAGTCTAACGCAAAACAGGACGGCAACGTGACGGCACCGAATCATCCGCACTCCAGGGCTGGGCACATTTTACAAATCATCTTATTTTAGAAGCCACAGAGGGAGAGAAATTCTCGAGGTTCTCTTGATGGGGACCAGATATATCTTCATCGAAAATCCCGATTTAATTCAAGGCCATCTATCGAGAATGGCGCATGCTTCATTGTAGGCGCCCAGATATTTGCGATCGTCCCTTGCTGTAGCGCCGCCCTCAAGGTTGCTGTACTAATGCACATGACTGTCCACGTATAAATTGAAAAGGACAAAATTTATGATATTGCCAGATATAACGAAATCTTCCCAGGTCCTCTGATCGTAGCTTATCTATTCATAGATTCATCTGAAGCGAAGAAGTGTGATCGAGTACTTCAGTTTTCTCAGCTGATTGCAAGTCACCTGTTAAGAGGTGGGCCCCGTGCGAAAAACACCCTTGATACGTAGATAAAGAAAATTTGGGAGCCACTACGACGCACGTCATTTATATTGGGGACACACTCAGATGTAATAAGTAACGAGTATTCGGTTTATTTCTGCTATGAGCGTCAAGCCCTCCTGATTGCACGGTCGCTTCTCAAAAATATTGGCGTAGGCAACTACGATTACTGCCCCGAGAACCTTGGTACATTGTCGAAGTGCATTAATGTCACTTATGTGGGAGTCCGAATCTGCTGGTATGCTTGAAGCACGGTCGCAGAATCCCGAAACCGAAGCGAATCGACCGTGGTATGATGTACGAGAGGCTGTGTTTATTCTGATAGACTGCTGCCATGGGAGGTTCCAGATCAAAGAATAATCGAAATTACGTGGTGATTCGTGCAAAGCGAGTCCATTTAGACTTTGATGTTTTCATTTTTGGTATTCAGACGTAACCGTAAAGTAAAAAGGGAACCCATGTGTCATCCAAATTTAAACCTCAGCGATCTCACGGAGACGACGGATGGTGGAGCGGGTGGCAGCGGCAGCAGGGGTCCTAGATGAAATTCTACTGTCAGTTCCAACATTCCCAGCATTGTTCCCGTAAATGCGACCGTCCAGTATTTCGCTGGAATGGTCTTCCCAGGTAGGGCTGGGTGGATCGTTGTGGGCGACTTACGAGACGGTGTAGGCACCACCGGCGACGGTCTTGTTGCAGCCCTTGCACTCCCAGATACCAACAGCGCGGCGCTTGACGGTGTTCTTTCCGCAGAAGGTGCAGATGTAACGGGCGTGCTGGGTGACTTCCATCTTCTTCACCTGCTTACGCAGGGAGGCACCGTATCTGTGGGATTAAGTCAATATTCGGTTTCCTTTTGCGTCATTGATCGCGTTTCTCGGTCGAGGAATCATTTTCGTTCGAGGGCGAGGGCGATGTCGAGGAGCGGGCGATGAGCATACCTAGTACCATATTTACCGGTGATACCGACCTCTGGAAAAAAAGTTAGCTATCTGGCGAAAAGGAACAGGCTCAATTAAGGCGAGATATGAGGGTTAAAGAGACATACTCTTGGTGCGCTTGGTCATCTTGTCTGCAGTGCGGCTGTAGTTGAAGATGGATACAAAGCAGTTGCGAGAGAGGCCTCTGAAGAGTGGTTGTGGGTGGGCTCGCTTAGGGCTATTGGGGCTTGGCGGTAGTGTGGTCACCTGATAAGAGAAATGATTTCCTATATTATGTCATCGTAGGGTCATCATGTGACTTTGACCAGTGGGTACAATCTAGTACCTGTCGTCATCAGTGCCTTAATACCTTGATGTCTTAATCATGGGGCTCGGTGTAGCTGATCGGCCCACTCTTGATATATCCACATCGGGAGAATGAACTGGTTCGGAATAACCTGCTGTGAAGTATCTAATGTTTCTATCTACGATGCCTCGCCAGTGATTATTGTACATGGGATATTTGCAATTAAGTAACACATGTTTTCCTGGGGACATGGTATATGGACAGGCGCTCGGTTAAGTTGTACGAGTATGTTGATTGATGCACGAGATCTGGTTCATAGGTTCAAAATGTTGAGCCCACGGGTGTGCTTAACCTGCTAACCTGCGAAGATGTTAGATGGTGAGACGGTTGTAGCCCGAATATGTATTATATACTACGTACTAGTATTTGACGACTCTCATCCGTTCCAAATGTCTGGGCCGAAGGGCGTTGGTCGCCTCGCCCAGAATATCAAGGGATGAACGACCTAGTCCGACGTCATGCAGAAATCTTAAGTTGGGTTTCCATTCGAGAAACAAAAATGAATTAAAATATGAACTAGAATATATATATTTTTGTGCGACATTGCAGAGATTCGAACTCTGGCATCCGAAGATATACGCTTAGCAGGAAACTGTGACTTGTCTTCAATTTGAAGTTTGAGCATTTTCTTCCAAATACTACATGAAAGTCTGATATTGGCCAAAGCCTAGGCACACCCATGGATATTAAAAATGAAATTCAATTAAAATTATACGCAAATATACTTACCATGTATTAAATGAACTTTTGAGGGTACTAGGTAAGCGTCAACTTGAAGTTGGTACTATAGTAACTTGGAGAACATATACCATTCGATGTGCGAATAAAAATATACCCAAAAAGATGGCTAGAACCGTTCAACAGCAAAACAAAATGCCTAGGTGTTATCATAAAAAGTAAAACTTTAAGTACCGAAGACTTTGAATCACCTTAAATGATGCTGTAGGGTCAATTGAAAGTCGTAAAAGAACTGCGCTTTGGAGTCACCGATCGTGTCTCCGTCAATAAGTACATTTGCTCGTATTGCGATACTCCAAGTGTCAAACTTCACAGAATTCCCACTGAATTTCTCAGAATCAAAGAGCGAGGATTTTGGACGACAAGATGGCTTCTGAGATTGTTGAGTTTGAAACACTGTGATTTGATTTTCCAGGTCGTTAATCACAGTCTTAAATTCTTTCGATAGTAAGGCACGGATCTGCCCAAGTTGCTCATCTGCTGCCAGTTTAAATAACGAAAAGAAACGGAGGTCGGGTAAAGGAAGTCGTAGCTGTATTGGTGATTTTGTTTGACTCGGTGTTCACACAGCCCACAGGTGAAGACTGACCTTTCGAGTCCGTGTTGATCTCTCGCACGCAGCTTACTAATGGCTGTCAGGGTGGAAGAAGAAAAGGATGAGCCTAGAATAACATTACGGTGCCTATCATAGACTGTAATCTGGCAGAGAGTCGTGCAGATGAAACGAAGAGGTCTGGAGAGGCGAGAGAGCTATTTAGATTAGTAGACCTCAGGCCGTGACAGACATGATCTTCCACCTCTGACTCTCCGTAGACCTCTCTTTATCTACATCCCTCTATGATCATTGCTTTTCTTTGATCCTCCCTTCCTAGAACCCGAACTACCAGCCCTCTACAGCCGGCTATTTGAACAACATCTACAACCGGAGATACGCGAAGTGTTTGCGAGAGACCTTGCAGAGTGTGTATCTATATGACCCTCTTTGCGTAGTGACAAAGGGCTAATCAAGCATACACAAGACATTTGCTATGGCCCAAGTGAGCCACATACAAGCACCACTGGTTGACCATGGTGATCCTACCCATGGCTACTGGGATCAAAGGGGGTGGGACAATGACGAGAACGACGATGAGGACTATGATGACGATGATAACGATGACGACGGCAAAAGTGAATGCGAAGAAGATTTCAGTCAAGATTGTGCTCGGCGTATCCGTCTTCGGGGGCTTTATAGTCAAAGAGCTTCTATCCAAAAGACCCGTATCGCCAGAGAAAACGCATTCCAAAAATATCGGCAGCTTGCCGCAAAAGAGCTACAATTTTTGAATTCTTCCAAAGCTTCAAGAGTGTCATCTTCTTTGATTGAGAAGAAATGCCTCCTCGAAGGTCATCATCCGCTCAGAAAGGATACTATCGGCCCTCTACCGCGGGACGAAATTGTCCAAATAACGATTTCGATTGCAGATGTGCAGTATGGGCAGCGCTATGGAGGATTCATTGATGGTACATCTGGACTAAGTGAACAGATTGTGGAGGTATTAACCCCTTCTGCAGTATCTGTGCTATGTCTGCCATCAATCTCCGTTGAAGAGTAAGTCAAATCTATTATATTGGATGTCAAATTCCTACTATTAGCTTCTAATAAACCATTTAGTCTTATGCGTATCGAAGAGATCCGTGACTGCGATAGAGATGCTGGTGTGTATCTCCATATCCTAAAGAGATATGTTGATCAGGTGAAACACTTCTACTTATATGCTGGTCAAGCCGATGATCTTTATGAGCGTATGAGCCAGCATAAAACCCCAAGCTTTCGCCTACGACATCCATCATTGCACTGTAGTGTATGGGAGTCGATTTTGACTAATTGGACTGATGTTGAGTCCAGATTCGTTAAAATTCCTGATATACTTCCGCACTACTCAGACCCAGAGGACCTGCAACTCTTTATGAATTTCAATGAGATGCTTGCGGCATTGGCATTCCAAACCCTCCAGCCTAAGGACCTCGACAAGATTCTCCCGGCCAGCTTCTCAAAGAACTAGTCAGGATGTGGCCTCAATGTGGCATTGCCTTTATGGCAAGGGCTACATACAAGTGGATTTATCATCGGACAAATGACCAAGGCAGAGTTCTTTGAAGCCCTACATGATTCAGATGAGATCAAGAGAGCGTGGGCGATCATACACCATGATCAATACATTAGCCTCAGAGACTCCCGGGATCCCCTTAAACGGAAGTATTGGTGGTCTAATGTCCGCGAGACTTTCATGAGTACTCGAACGCCTTGCTATGAAGCTCAGCAAAAACTTGAAGTTGAATCATATCAGGAATTGCTTGATCCTGGGGTGTTATGCTCGGTATCACACGAAAAAGGCAACTATTATGTTTTATGGAAACACTTTGAATTGTCTCTGCTATCTGCGTTCCCTAAATGGAGTCTGCATGCAGAGCCAGACATAGAGGTAAGTAAAGGGAAAAAGCAGATTGACAAGAAAGCCTGGCTTCACGCATTTCTCTTCTACGGGCCATCACCTTTGTCGTATGCTCAGAAGGCTCTGCCAGACGATCCTTGTAATCGACTGGTTTTCGCGGTAAATATCGGCGATGCGGATAATCGAAGAGTCGTTATCCTGGCTGGCAAATCCCAAGGCAGGAAACCACGGTTTCCAATGAAGCTTAAACGTGTGGTTGATGTGATGGAGGGAATTTGGTGCTACAAATCGATGATCTTACCACGTCGGCTTTGTAAGCTGAGCGAGAAGACAAAGGATCAGTGGCAGTCGGGGTGGGTTGAATCGCAGCCATTCCCTGGGGGGATCTAGCTGAATAGGCCGAATGAACATTTTGGCCGTGTGTGGGCGTTTGGCGGCATGCGACGGATGAACTTGCTGATTTAATACCATTTACTGATAACATATATATGTATGTAACAAAGACTAATAAAATTCATTTCTAATAGTATAGTTAATACTTTATACAATCAGAATTAGTACTATTTTAGGTAAAATCTGATTGATCTATCACTAAAAATATTCGAGGAAAGAAGAAGGTGATCGGAATGTAATACCTAATCTACCTAGTTGATTGGGCCCCTAGGAAACCTCGGGAGGATATATCACCACGGACTTCTGTATTTAGACTTGGATTATAGCATTATTGTCGGAATACCCACAATATACACTCCTTTACACCTCTTGAGTCTTATAGTGTCAGGTCTGCGCTGTGGGTGGTGATATTACAGATGTTGTGGTGTGGGTTTTTCTGAGCAGATTCCTACTTTAGTCAATGGGAATCAACAATTAAGATTATGGAAATTTCGGAACATTACAGCTAAGGCACTTCGGCGGAGTGGTTATCGCGAAAGTATAAAAAAATTCGACACCTGTGAGATTCGAACTCACGCCTCCGAGGAGACTCGCTTAGCAGGCGAGCGCGTTAACCACTCCGCCAAAGTGCCTTGCTATAGACGTTTGTGGCAAATTTTTAATTAGCGACGACAGGTAAAATATATCTATATATAAATAAACCACAACGCTATATTACCCCTGACAGAAAACTCCAATATAGTGCGGGCTTATAGCCTGTTACAGCCCACCCTCGGACCAATCGTCTGATTGGTCTGTATCCGAGAGTGGTCAAACCAAGCAAATGTCCAAAGATGCAAATATGCCCGCCGGCCGATCTCCTCCATGTAGCTATACTACAGGAGAAAGGGAGGAAGGGTGGGGAGGTCTGAGAGGTAATTATATATGCCAGTAAGGCAGTGGCGGCCGATAAGGCAGTGAAGATCTCAGGATGAGGTAGTGATGACCGCCTGACGACGGTATTGGAAGTTGATCTAGAAACTTGGGAGGCCCAGGCGGGCACTGTTCTACACCCTAACAGGTTAAGGCTTAATATTGAAGAAGCTTTATATACCCGAGCAGACTTACTTATGGAAGAAAGTCCCTAAAATAACCCATTAAGACATAATTAAGACATAACACTAAAAGCTTATTTACTATACTATGATAGAATCTTTCTGAACTTCATCACTTAGTAGACTATATTTCTTAATGAATATAAATATTTACAAGCGAAAAAGAAAGAAAGCCCCACACCAACAGACAAAGGCTCCCCTCTAATTGTGATACGTGATATGTTTCTTTTTAAAATAAACCCAAAAAACCTCGCTATACCAGGACAACTTTTTAAAAAAGAAAAAAAATTGAGAAAAAAAGAAACTCACTCAACGTGAGTACCTACAGACATCTTCTTGAGGCTATGGGCTAATTCGCCCGGGGAAGTAGCTCGTGTCTGATAAAAACCAGGGGGCGACTGGTGGGAGAGTGTGGATGGGCGGAATTGGAGAGGCCAACACCTCGTTGGCGGTGTTGGCAATAGGTGGAGCAAGTTCCATGTCCTTATCGGAGTCATTATCATTGCCAGTATACCCTCTGGCAAGGGCGAAGGCGGGGGGTTTTGTGCCCATAGTGGGCAAAGAGTCAACGCTGGGTGGTGAAAGAGGGAGGGTAAGATGACCAACGTGTTCAACATCACGGCCCCAGGATTGCGATTGACATAACTGGCCGAAGCCAGCAACACGACCAGCCCATTCTTGGATCGGCAAACTGTCGACAGAGGCACCGACAGTTGTCGGGCCCACAGGGCCAACAGGACCCGAGCCAAAGTTGATCACAATAGGCTGGGAAGAGAAAAACCGTGTTAGTCTGCTATGCAGCATACATCATCGTGTCTGAGCAACTCATACTCCGGACACATTCGCGAATCTGGGGATGAACCCCCGAACAGCATGAATCGGGGCCAAAGCCCGAGACTGGTTGGCGCGAGCGCCAACGCCGGCAACAGAAGCAGCACTAGTAGGTGCTTTGCCGGGCCGAGTATCCTTGCGTCGCCGTGGGCAATTCTTTTTTTGCTATATGGAAGAATATGTTACAAACATGCTATCGTATCAGAGCAGAGTGCAACGTACAGTGGCCACGACGGCCACACTCCCAGCACTTTCCAGTCTGCTAGTATCAAGATGTTAGATACACCTCTTAATATTCTCTAGAGAATCCTGGAATATAAGAAGACGTCTTACAGAGCGTTTCTGGCCCTGGTTGGGCACAGCGGCAACAGCCCCAACAACACTAGCAGCAGTGGCGAGGGAGCCGGCACCTGCGCCTGCACAGGCGCAGCAGAAGGGGTCATAGCGGGCAAGTTGCTAGGAGCACCGGAAGACATAATGACCACGTACGGAGGGAAAGAAGAGGAAAAGAGAAAAGAAATCTTAAAGACGCGTGCCCAGTTACTTATTCAGGAACATAGTTGATACAGACCGCGTGCTACAACTCTATTGTCTAGACCCTCAAGGCAAAGTCGATTTCAAATCTTGACAGTCTGATCCTGTGTTTCAATTGGCTATCCAAGAACAAACCGATCTAGACCAGATGAGAGGGTACCTGGGTGGCCCCAGGTGCCTGTATGTAAGTTGATCCGATACTTCAATTGGTCCTATCGGTTCACCACTTCACTCTAATCCGACGTGTTAATTGGTCATCTAGCCGAAGCTGATCTAGTAGACTTCACATGTACACTTAAATGGACGTGATTCCGATCCGACGTGTTGATTAGCCATCTAGCCGGAGCTGATCAAGTAAATTGTACATTCAAGTGGACGCGATCTTGATCTGACGCGTTAAACGGTTAAATAGCTATATAGTTGGACCTAGTCCACATGCAGCTGACCTGAGCCACGCGCAGCTGAAACACGCGCAGTGGACCTGGTACACTCCGTAGTTGAATGTATAAGGACTTGAGTGGACACAATTCTGATCCGACGTGTTAGTTGACCATCTAGTTAGAGCTAACCTAGCAGACTGTACAATTAAGTGGACGCGATCCTGATCCGACGCGTTGATTGGTTAATCAGCTAAAGGGAAACTTATTTCGAATGTGTATTGATACTACATATACTAAGTAGACTATGTACTGTATTCTGACTGATCCTATTGGGTATGTTCGTTGATTATTTCAAGTTTGTGTGATCCTAAGTGTTTACTTATTTCTCGACCCTATTTTAAGATCAATCTTACTAAAGAGAAGATAGGATCAAGCTGTATGCATGGATGTATATTAGTTGGTCCTGAATGGTGGAATCAGTGGAATCAGTGGAATCAGTGGATACTAGTGGACCCACTCCCGTAGGGCTGCATATACTGTGCCACAGGTTCGGACCGTTGACTGTGTAGTCTGTGACACCGCGAACGGCATCCTCCAACATCCCGACGGAATCTGCAACTAGAAGAACAAGAAGTCACTTGTCCAATTACCCAGTTGCGTAGAAGGTATCTATTTCTCGACCAGTCAGAATCAGCCTAGATGGCATGTGTGAAAATGATTGATTGAGGGGCTCTTGCTATCTATAACAGCTATCAGATGCAAAAATACAGAGATTGTAAGGATTGTATTGGGCCTGTAATAAGCCTTAAGCTTATTGTTACTTATGAGTCCTTATTGGTATAAATCTTGTATACATAACGGCTGGAAAAGTAAACGGTAAAACCGTCGTTTTAAGCCCAAGAAGGAAGAGTCAGGGCTTCCACGGGTAGTATCAGTATAGGAAGCTACATGATCAATATAGATAGAGAGGTGCTATTCTTCGTCTTCTTCTTCTTCTTCTTCTTCTTCTTCTTCTTCTCTCTAGCTTTCATCTTCTTTTCTCCATCCTCCATCCCCCGTTACCTGTTGCCTAATGCCCATTTGTCTGCCTATGAGTTATATACTACCCACAGGTCATTATGTCTGACGAGGCTGCTATTACTCTCTTTGTGGCTCGGTCTTCATCTATGCATGGAAATACTGCCGATGGGACTCGAGAGCGGCTGAAGGAGATTTGCCCACGTCGCCCACAGCACCTAGCCCTGGACTCGGGGGATAGCCCACCTCCAGCGAAAAAAGCTAAGAAAAGTCGAGGACCTAAGCGTACGGCACCTTCTGTTGCAGATACCACCTCTGATGGAGGTCTTCTTCTTTATAATTCCGTGACCCCTGAGATCGCTATGGGACTTCCATCCCTCGACGAGGCCAGCCCTGTTGAAGATCCTTTTAAGGGTGAGATTTATTGTAGATGGACGGGTTGCGCAAATCGAAAGAAGCCCTATGCTGAGTCCTCGAAGCTGATTGTCCATTATATAGAAATGCTTCAATTGACCTGACTAGTTAGAAGTTTGCCACAAACGTCTATAGCAAGGCACTTTGGCGGAGTGGTTAACGCGCTCGCCTGCTAAGCGAGTCTCCTCGGAGGCGTGAGTTCGAATCTCACAGGTGTCGAATTTTTTTATACTTTCGCGATAACCACTCCTAGTACCTTCAGCTTAGCATCGCACTACTATACTAAATAAAATAGCGGTCTGTGGCTATTATTTTAAAACTATAACAGGCTATAGCCGCACTATATTAGGGTTCTGTCTTAGGGGTAACTTAGCGTTGTGATTGGTTTGTTTACAACGCCTATTTTAGATATGTTTTGCCGTATTGAAGGGTTAAAAATTTCGGAAAATTGTATATACCGAGGCACTTTGGCGGAGTGGTTAACGCGCTCGCCTGCTAAGCGAGTCTCCTCGGAGGCGTGAGTTCGAATCTCACAGGTGTCGTATTTTTGTATTCTGAATTTTCCTTTCGCCTTCTTTCTTTTTTAGGTCTTTCTTTTTCTTCTTCTTTTTTGATCTATTAGGAAATCGTCTCTTGAATGCTATAATTAGGCTGTCCTGAATTTCAAACTTGATGACGTTTATATAGTGATTTCAACTATTAATATAGTGAATTAGGCGGTCGAAAATCAATATCTAACACTAGGTTTATCCATATACACATATGTACATACTGTAGTGGTAAAGTTATCTCTGCAACCTTTTCTGCGGCTTGCTGGACCAAATCCTTATGATTGGCTATTGTTTTAAGGACATGCATGTGCCTTATTATACATGGATCAATACATGGATAGTGGTTGATATCTGCATTGCATTTATGGGTGATATGCATTCGTGGAGTCTAATACCTGATGCGACCAAATCATTCAAATTAAAATCAATAAAAGATTGCTCTTAATTTGAACTAAAGCACATGCAAACTTCAAGACCTTTAGCAACGTGCACAATCAATCGGCGTCATTGATCCCCCGGTCACGTGGTAGATTTGAGGCGAGTCGGATCAGCATTACAAGACGGCCTCGGTCGAACCACGTCTCCGGGTTTACAACTTAAAAGACAGTCAGAGAAAAATATCCTCTCACCTCGTTAGTCGGGGCACGGCTTTTTGAACTCCTCTCCTGTGGGAATTGACATTTGAAGAACTGCATTCCTCGTCCTGGGCCCCCTGTCAATTTAGCTCGGAGCAAGTGGCGAACCGCCTACAAAACACAACAACCAGCAATAATGGCTTCTAGCAGAGAGTATGACTTGGTTCTACTCGGAGTAACTGGGTACACTGGACGGCTCTGCGCTGAGCATATCGTCACAAACCATCCGACCGATCTGAAATGGGCTGTCGCAGGCCGCTCGGTAAATAAGATCGAGGGCATCGTTCAAGAGCTCAAATCACTCAATTCTGACCGCCGTACACCAGGTATATAATGATGTTACCAACTATGTGCGATTGATTTGTTAATCTTGACCTTGACAGATGTACTTCCTCTTCAATTGAACACTGACGAGCTAAATGAAATCGCTCAGAAGACAAGACTGATAATAAATTGCATTGGCCCCTATCACCTATATTCGACACCTATTGTAGAAGCTTGTGCCAAAAATGGTACTCATTATGTGGATGTGTTCGTATGCCCCAAAACATTTGCATTTATTCTCTTCGCTGACCATTTTAGGACTGGTGAAACACCGTGGATCAAGCTGATCATTGAAAAGTATCATGAAACTGCCAAAGCCAATGGCGCTATTGTAAGTTGAATCTACTATCTGTCTCGATACATACTTTGTCTAACTAGCCATTCTGTAGATCATCCCTTCTGTTGGTATGGAAAGTGCACCGCCAGATATCCTGGCATGGGCTCTTGTCAAACGAATCCGCGAGGACCTTTCGTCGCAGACTCGCGAGATCCAAAGCTGCATCAAGGAGATAAAGTAAATTTCCTACCCATTCAAGCTTTTTTTCGAGGCTGACTTTTGCTTTACAGATCTTCTGGTGCAAGTGGTGGCACTCTTAATACCATCCTTAGTATCTACGACTGGCTTCCCATTTCTGATCTTGTCAAATCATTCGGACCATTTGCGTTGACCGGATCCGGGCCACTCAAGCACGTTCCAAGCGAACCTCTCCTCACCAGAACTCTTGGTGTGCAGTCAGTACCCGACCTAGGAACCCTAACTACATCCCCCAACGGCATCGCCGATATGGCCATTGTGTACCGCAGCAGCGTCCTAATGCCCGAGCTTTACGGCAACCACTTTGTTTTCCGCCAGAAGCTCTCCGTGAGTAACGCTTTGAGAGGTGTCCTATTGCATATCGCTATCAATCTTTTCTTGGCTGTATTGGCGATACCGCCTGTGCGCTGGCTGCTGCGCAAGGTGGTCTTTGCCCCTGGCGCAGGTCCGACAATGGAAGACTCTCAGAATGATCATACAGAGTATAATGCTATCGCGACTGCTGATCAGAACACACCGAACCCGAAGCGCGCATTCGGCAAGCTGACATACAAAGGCACAATGTATGTACTTACGGGTGCCCTTGTCTCGGAGGCTGCGATGGTTATTCTCAATGGAGAGGAGAAGGTCCGGAAGGTTTCTCGTGGTGGTCTGGTTACCCCTGCCACGTTGGGACAGGACTATATTGACCGCCTGGATAAGGTTGGCGTTCATATTGAAACTAAGATCTGGGATTATTGAACGGGCTGAAAATAAGGGGATTGCATGCGTCTCCCAATTGACGACTTCATTGCCTTGTTTGTTACTGTTTCAATTTAAGTCTTAGGCTACATTAAGTTACGACAAACATGTATGATATGGCACCAAATCAAATTTCAAATTCCATGGAACACAATGTGATCCATACTATGTAGGTTGAGTCAGGATTCTCAATAGACAATTGCCTAATTTCGATTGAGGCACCGGGTTTATAGTTTCTGCGCCGATTTGTTTGCAAATACAACCTCATTCAGCCAGGAAGCTAATATAGCATTTACCTCCTCGGGCTTCTCCCATAGCGCCCAGTGAGAAGTATCGACTTCCTTCAAAACAACCCCAGGAATGTTCTTCTGCATAGACTTTGCCATATGAGGCGGCAGAGCCGGGTCTCGAAGAGCCTGAATGAAAAGCGTAGGCATGGTGATACCACGGCCCAAAATGCTCAGCTCATCATCGAAGTTGACCTTCCGAGTTCGGTACCAGTTCACTTTATTTTGCGTTAGCTGTCAGATATGCAAGTTTAAATTAGCAGAATAGAAGTAGTTGACGTACAAGGTCCATGGATTCCATTCCTTGAAAACTCCGTGGCGTAATACTCCAGCTCCTAGATGATAAGCGACATTAGTTCAAATGTTCCTGTATCTCTAGACTAGATGCATGCGAAAAAAAAAAAGACAACTCACCTCCTCACTCAGCAACCGCGAAGGCTGCAGTTTCATGACCTCATCCAACAACACACCCTTCTCTGCTACGAAACCAGTCTTCCCTTCTGCCGTTCTGCCTCCATACAAAGCAAGAAGAAACTGCTTAATCTCCTCCTTGGATTTGATCACCTTCTCAACCTCTCCACTGTAAAATTGCATCTGATACGTGAAGTTCGGCGCAACAGTTTGGACAATATTCTCCAGAGGAATAAAATCCTTCTTGGGACCAGCGTAAGGCACACAGACCGTGAAGAGGTGGCTGATGAGATCGGGATGCCAGAGAGCAATGCGGTAAGCAAGAGCAGCGCCCCTACAGATATTAAGATATCAGTATACATGCAGTATATATGGAAATAAATAGTTGCATATGTAGCATACGAGTTACTTACCAGTCATGCCCACCCAATATGATGCTCGATTCACCCAGGTGGGAAGCGAGAGCTTTGATATCGTCTGCTAAGCCCTTGTGTCCGTAATGGATAGAGTCCTCGGGGGCGTCCTACGACAATGTTAGAATTTAAGGCACTCCGATTTCTTCTTTTCCAAGCTTCAAAGGCTCAAAGATGGATAACTGGGCCAGTTCAGATCCTACCGTGCGGCCATAGCCTAAGCAGTCTGGAGCCACGACGCGCAGCCCCATTTCCACCAGCATTGGAATCTGGTATCGCCACCCCATTGAAATGTCGGGAAATCCATGGATCTGTATTTGTATTTTGTTAATTACCATTCGGGGATTTTTTCTTCTTCTAACCGCCTTAGTTGCGTTATTGAATAGGGTGGCTGGCCCACCAAAAAAATAGTTGCCCGGTACTGGCCGGATGGTGGTTGACTGAGGAGGTACCCTATGCGAGCGCATTAGGTCAAAATATGGTTCGAAGCGTTTTGTTGGATATTAAATCATATTCAAGGCAAGCTCACCATAATTCCGACCATTCACGGTGGCAGACTCGTACTTTACGCGTGGATCGTCTTTGACCCCGATTTTGTCAACGGGCATTGTGATGGATAGTGTCTGGTATGCTTGCTTAGTTTTTGTTGAAGTTAAGAGCTGAAGATGTTGTCTTCGGATATTCAGATGTTTTAATCTAAAGGAGTGGCTTGTTTCACGAGATCACTCGCAGTGGATATCTCTATTGCAGAATCAGCGCGAGTGATTTCATTGAACCGTTATCTAGTGCAAGCGCCTAATCCATAATCTAGACAAACAATCGCTCTTACCTGTTTGTTGAGATATCTGAACAGCCGAGTGAAATATTTTCACCTATGCAAGCTATTGAAATGCTGCGGGGGAGAATGGTGGTACGTGATTTCCAATGTTTCAAACCTTAGAATAGTGTGGCCCCTCTGTGGTGTTCTGCCTCGGTACAATCGTAGCCGGTCCCACACATCATCATTGATTTGAGTCACTCGATAATCTCAGCTTTGGCTATTTACAGCGTCTCAATAAATCACAGTATCTTCATTGTCCTCCACTACTTCGCCTCCATCATCGTCGCGATGAGTGTCATGCTGCTCCTGGTCACCTTCATATACAGCAGGCTCAGTGTTATCCTTATTTTCTAGAGCAGACTCGGCATGCTCATCGGAACTTCTTACTTCCCCTTCAGGGTTTTCAGTCTGGATTGAGACTTCCTGGGGGACCAAGTCTTGTTGTACTCCAGTAACTTGCTCGGTCTTCTCTTGTGTTGGTTGTGCTTGCTCTTTCGGCTCATCTTTAGATGCCGATGCGGGCTCTATATCCTCGGGTATAAAGGCTTCAGATGGATAACGCGCCTCGAAGTCAGCCACTTCGCGGGCAACGGACTCTTTAGCCTCTTTAATCTGATCTTGAATTATATCCTCATCGCCAGGTCGATATTGCCATGGCTTGTAATACTAGAAAGAGTCAAGTCAGCTTAGAGCAGAATTTGAGTAGAAAGATGAATGTCCTACCAAAACGGGGCTCGTTCGAGTCTTTAAGAAATGTGCTGTGGCAACCATATTGGCATGTCGAGTTTGTGTCTGTTGAACCGTCAATACTAGTATCTCTAAATGCGATTGTAAAGAATAAGAAATAGCGGACAAAACTTACAGCTTCACGCGCATAAAACGGCGTTTCCTTCTTGCGAATAAGCTCACGTCGCTCCTTACTTTTTTTCTTCAATCCATCGTACTCGTTTGCTTGTGATTTCAATTTATCCTGTTGTCTCTTCTCGATATCTGCTCGTCGCTTTTGAGCCGCTGAGCTTGAGCTCTGCGAGAGAGTACCTAGCAGCCCACCAAATAGCCGCTGTCCTCGTTTGCGATCCTCTTCTCTTCCACCTTTCCGTGCAGGCTGCTTTTCAGTAGGTCCATTTTCTACTAACGTGGACGCCGCTTTTGAGGGCGAGGGACGCAGGCGATGCGATTGTGGAGATGTTTCGTCTTGCCCGCTCAATCGCGGACGTTTTGGGTCATGATCTGTTACTGAGGAATTTCGTCGCTTCGTAAAAGATGTGGGTGATTGACGTTGATTATCTTGATCCGGAATAGCGACGGCCGAAGCAAGTGTACTATTTAAAAATAATATGTTAATAAACACCTCGAGTCAAGTGCATGTGAGCCGTTGGGTCAGCCTGGGACGAAGCCGGGAAGTTGCCATACGCTTCGGACATGTTTCTAATGCGCAAGTGATGCGAGTTGATATAAACCCCCAAAAATCAATTCCGTCAATCAAAATATATAAAGCTGACAGATTTCTTCCTATAACCGAGAAGAGTTCCTCGTAGTGTGAGTTTCTTAAGTCAAAGGCCAAGAGAGTGGCCTCTCGCGCTTGCTCGAACGGTGTTACGGGGGCCGTGCACGGGCCGAGCTTAACTTCTTTCAGCTCTCGTTTTCTCTCTCCCGGGTTTTCTATCTCTTCCCCAGACATACCACCTTTGCCTTCCCACCATCCTCCTCTTAAAACCGAGCCTCCACCAACCTATAATACAACGCGTTAACTCTTCCATCCACCATGTCTCGCCATCACCCTGATCTCGTTATGTGCCGCAAGCAACCCGGCATCTCTATCGGCCGCCTTTGCGACAAGTGCGACGGCAAATGCCCCGTGTGTGACTCCTACGTGCGCCCCACAACCCTTGTCCGGATCTGCGACGAGTGTGCCTTCGGAAACTACCAAAACAAATGTGTCGTGTGTGGCGGTGAAGGTATCAGTGATGCCTTCTACTGTTTTGAGTGCACGCGTTTGGAAAAGGATCGAGATGGATGTCCAAAGATTATCAATCTCGGAAGTTCGAGAACAGATTTGTTTTACCAAAAGAAAAGCTTTCGAAATCATTGATCATGACCTGGGAAATTCTACAAGGCTTGCCTTGCGGCTTGGAGGGGTATCGACCATGTTATTACAGTGTCCAGTTTAGGTCAGAGCCAGCCAGAGGGGGTTTTCTAACGTCATATATCTTGGGATACTTTGAAGAAAAAGATTTGGTCCGATTCTTCACGGTGTTATGTTGAGAAAAGCTACCTGGTCCTACGGCTGCGATGAATATTTACTGGGCCCAAAGGGACTGTCATCGACATTATAATCTACCGACCTGGGCGACGAGGACGGGCGAATCCGCGCGTGGTACCCTGGTTTGTCGGCGGGTTGACTTCTTCCTCCAGCCGCTCTGCGGTAATTTCATCTGACGCCGAAGCTTCAATCTACCGTTCAACCTGTTAGCACCACTTCCCGACGCGCATTCAATAGCATCCCTCTCACCTTCTTCAATATCTTGAGGCCTTCGTTCTCAGCGACCGTGATTGCAGTCCTGCGCGAGCTGGCGTGCAGCATGCGCTCTTTAATTGACGAACCAGTGGGGCAGGTATACACAAATACCACGACATCCGAGCCGGGGTAGTGATAGAATGAATACCGCGGGGAAGTCGAGGATATATGGGTGGAGACTGAACCAGGATCGACGCTCGTTTGCGCATCTGCGAGCTTAATCGTCTCCGTGGGAATATCGACCGTCTACATAATTACCATCATATTAGCACTGCAATACCAAACGTCTCCATTTTGACACCCATTCCCGTAGCTTCCCCACATAGAGAAGATACATCAACAGTAAGACAGGGGAGTAAATGGAAATCGCATACCAGTTGTACCAGACCACCATCTTGGAGCTCCTTCAACGCAGTCTTTGCTGCCTCATCAACGGGCATAGATATCTTCATGCCAGACCCAGAACCAGGCCCAAAGGTACCACCAATGCCGATATCTCTCTGTGGTGTACCGCTACGGGCTTCCGCCTCCGCTCTCCTAACAGCCTCCAGCTCGCGTTCTTTCTCACCCATCAAATCCTCCCGGCGAACACCACCTGCAAGCTCGCCATCTCGCTCACGCCACGCATCCCGGCCAAGGATCTCGTCTTCCTCTGTGGCGAACACAGTCGTAGCGAACTTCTCCGTTCCCAGCTCACGAACCAGCGACGAGCGGGTCGATGCGAAGAGCATCTTCGGACGAACGGGTGCATTGGAGGGGATATAAGTCAGCGCAACAAGGGTAGATGATGCATTGATCGGGCGGCGGAGCAGAAGGTAGATCGGTGTCTTGGGCTGTAGGACTGAGGAAAGCTGCGGGAGCGAGGTGAAGAAGTCTTCTGGGCTAGTGGAAGATCCAGAGAAAGGAATTGGCTCCTGGGCCGTTAGACTCTCCGATACGATAGTTACTGGGAGACAGAAGAGGGAGGAGTCGGAGCTAAAGCGGGTGAAAGCATCCTGGAGCTCCGATGAAACTAAGATTGGTTGTTAGAGTCCGTCGTTATGTCAATGGACATCTGGAAGCAGAGATATATTTGTCTTGTATCGCTTGACATACCTGAGATTCCCGACTGCATGACGCCGGAATGCTTTGTCTCTTCGCGGGGAGTTGGGGATGGTATGTTATGGGAGGGGAAGCCGCTTAGCGGTGAGTAGTCAATAGAGGGGGAGAAGCCGCTCAGCCTCAGCAACGGGATTGTCTTACTTTCTACCCAAAACAACTTGAAGATACCATTGAACACAAATGTCTACCTGCTACAGATGGCATGAAATATATATTTGAAGTTTTTATTTGACTTGAATTTTTGTTGTGCGGCTTTATTAACCTGGAAAACGTGGTATACACAAATAACACGCAAAGAAAACAATATGTACAGAAACCATGCCAACCAGCCGCTGGCTGAGTGATCTCCTTCCGAATTCTTGAGGAGACCAAGGGGAAACGCAACGCCCACCATGCGCAGTTTGGTATCACATTCCGAAAAAAAGATAGAGAAAATTCACTTCTTGATATACTTTTTTATTTACTCATCATACTTACCACCCACAAAGGCCCAGTTGGACGCCTCCAACTTGCCCTTGAGGTATTCGTATACGGTGAAAGTGACAGCCTGTCCAGGAGCAACACGCATCACACGAGGGGTGATACCCTTGTAGAAAGCACGAGCACCCTCTTGCTTGAACATATCCTTGGCAATGAGCATGATACGGGTAACAGCGGACTGTCCGGGCTCGGCGCGGGTCTTTTGGAGACGGGTCTTGATGGTATCGATGGGAGCGTTGGAGAAAGGACCGACGGCACCGGAAATGAGACCGATAAGAGTGGTCTGGTATGAAGGAAGCTGAGCGTTGGCATATTCGGGTTGCAGGCGCTGGAGTTGGGCCTTCAACTCGGTGTATGCGGTGAAGTTAGCAGCCTGGTTGGTTCCCTGGCGCAGAGCTGTGAGAGAAACACCCCGGTAGAGGGTGCTGAAACCCTCTTCCTTGATCACGGTGAAGAGTGCGTGGGGGGCACTTCGGTACTTGGGGGCGTCGAGTGGATCGGCAAGACTGTGATGTTGGGCCTGGAGACGAATCTTGATCACCTCCATAGGGTTGACGACGGCAACAGCTTCAGTCACACCAGCGGCAAGACCAGCTAATCATACATTTATGAGCAATTGAAGAACGAAAACCACGGAGAAAGCACACTTACCGAGGAAAGTAGCCTTGCTTGTGACATTTCCGGTCTCCTGGTCGGCAAGCATGCCCTTATACGACTCATATGAGGTGAAACGGATCGCCATCTTAGGAATGATACCACCCAAGACAGCACCCAAACCCTTGTATAGACCCATGGCGGTCTCCTTGCGCACAATCTCCGCACCGGTGGCAGCGAAACCGCGAGGCTTGGCCTATGAAGCTCAAAATCAGCAACAGTCCTCAATTGGATCTCTCAAAAACTAGAGGACGTACACCAGGAGCACGAGCTCTCCGTGAAAGCTGCATGCGGACCTTGATGGTGTCTGAATAGGCATGCTGTTAGCGTTCTCAATTCTCGATCTCTAATGTTTTCTCATATGACAGGACATCACATACCTAGCGGATGACACACGAGAGCCTCCATCATACCGGCACCGCCTCCCGCTATTTTTGAAGTCAGTGTCAGGTCAAAGATCCAGCGAGCAGTACGTCAATTTACCAATCAGGTTTACGGCGGGAGAGGCCCTCTTGTTTCCTTGTACATTCTTGGCAGACATGATTCCAATTGATGTTCGATGTGTAAGAAAAGGTCCAGAAACTGTCCACAGGAAAACAACGACCAATTTCTTTTTCGACAATCTCTTGGACCAATGGGGTCTAGTTGATCGGAAATATGCAATTGCCCCGAATGTCGGGGGTGGAAGAGCGAAATGCGGAGGGAGTCGGAAGTATACAATCCCGGGGTTGAAAAGCCGATGATGGGACCGGGTATGACGCAAAAGATCTAATAACTGAATTCGAGATCAAATGGGCTCAATTGGGTGAAAAGGAAAGGGTTTTCCAATCGTTGATCTTTCTTTCTGTCTCTTTTAATTAAGAGTTCCAGGTATCCGAGGATAAAATGTTCGGTTGAGGTGGCGGCACCCAAACTTTGTGGGGAGGAAATAGCTATGACGGGGAAGCGGAGGCAGCTGGACAAGCGGAAGCAGTATGTAGAGTCTTTTGCCGCTGGACAACCGTAGGTCTACACTAGTCGTACAAAAACGAAAGTAAGGAAAAAGGGAAAGATAAAATCAAGTTCAAAAATCTATCGAGAAGAGCCGAGGGTCATTCGACAGTCTTATAAAAATATAAAGAAGCGTCAAGCGTCATTCCGACCAGTATCGCTTCAGCTCTCTATCCCGAGGCCTTCGGGACGATGGCGGGATGACTGGCTACCCCCGGCCCTGCAGTACGGTCACGGTCAAACCCCCCAGGATCGCCAAATGATCTGACTTCACATGCGTCTGCAAAGTTTCTTTCATTAATTGAAAACTGTCGTCATATCATGGTAGGACCACATTATCTATTGAAGTAGATTGCTTGTGAAAATCACCTGCGATTCATGCTTCCGACCTAAAGCCACAACCATTTACTTTATCTACGTACATCACTACAAATACTACAAATATTTCGGACCCAAGGGAAAAGAGCTAAGAAATGACCCGGTAAATTCCAAGTCCTTCGCTACAAACATTTGCAGTTTGCTCCGCACTCCCGCTGCGAGTTCCGCAGCTTGAGACCCTTCGTTCTGCCCCGGGAGAATTCGGGGCAACACCCAAGCTCCTCACAGCCGAGGCCCATTTCCACATAGCACCAGCCATCCAGCTTAGGTCATTTGACGCGTTATTGTGAGTCACAAGACCTTTAGAGAAAGTGGCTATATACATTCCGGCGTCATATCATGTATTCTGGTTATTTAACGCTCAAAAAGGACCATGTTGGGGAGGAAGGGGCTTATTTTCATTGATTTACATACAAACGGTTATTCTCTAGTGCACTATGTCATCGCGGAACGCGGCCGGTTGAATGTTTTCCCCATCACATAGATCGCAAGTTGAGCAGATCATCTTCTAGGATTGTTTGACGATCATAAAAACTATATATACTTTTACTAAGAAAAATCGCTCCTATACGCAGGTGTCTGTATTAATTTTATATGTGTTCTGTGAATTTCACATGCAATATCGTTATCAATCTGTCTGTCGTTCTACTTGTCGGGATTGTTGCCCAGGTGGGTCGGTGCTCAATAGACTGCATAGAGTATGAGATGAGCAAAATCCAAGTGCCGAACACCAACATTCTGTCTACTTTACTGTGATCCGGAGTACCATGTCTCACTCAATCCTAGACAGTCATGTACAGACCGCTCTAGATATGCATTGTCTAATAGATATTCTGTGCTGGGTATCTTGGAATTGATGTGACCTCAGGACTTGGCCAAGTATAGAGCTGCACCCCGGACCAGCGGAGATGAAGGCCCAAAGGATTTTATACAACCCGAATGGTGTTGCTTTCTTTTCTGAAGCTTCCGCTCGCAATTGATCTCGAAAGTCAGCATGTCACAAGAAATCTCGACATGTAATAATACTGCGCGGATTGAAGAGGTTCGCTACAGTTTCTCGTTCCGTATACCTCGTCGCCCAGAAATATCGAAATCCTCCATTTTAAACGGTTGAAGTCTTTTCAGTTAGTTCCTGTCAATGTAAGTTATTCTAGGCAAAATCCCATTTAACCACTAGGCGTGATCAAAGTTCAAGTTATTGTGGAACCTTCAGTCACTTGGTGCAGGTGGGTACGATAATGATCAAGTCGGGTAGCCGATTATCGGTGGGATTTAACTATGATGTTTATTTTAGCCCGTTTGTTGCCGAAAAGCATATGTGGGCATGAAATATAATTGCTAGATTGTTGAAAGTATATCTGTATACTTCATTTACACATACCTATGATGTTTGATATTGTCGGGGAGATCGGTCTCCATTCCGATGTACATTTGTTGGGCTTTTCAGATACACGGCTTAAGGATTCGCCGCTAACAAATTCCGTAATGGGCGAACTAAACCCCGAATGCACAATATTATCAATTTTTGAAAAATTTCCCCTTCCTTCTATTGCAATCTCAAATTTGGCGGTTCGGGGGAACAAAAAATACCCAAATGATCGCTCACACTCTAATACGAAGATAAAAAACCTTGGAAGGTATTTTTGACAGGCCTCCGAGTCCTTTCCGAACGCCTAGAATAATGGTAGTCCCTCCTATGGATGCGGGGAGGGGCCCGTCCCCCACGCCAAGATGGCAGGCTATATCAAAGGCTATACTAAAGTATATCCTGAGCCAATGGCTTCTTATCGCAATGGGAGTTGCCTGTGTTCTGGCTTACTTTTTCCCTGAAGTCGCGAAGCATGGTGGAATCATCCGATCCCAATACAGTGTGCTGTACGGTGTTATTGCGATAATCTTTCTCATATCTGGACTCAGCATCGATCGCCAAAAGCTCTTATCGCAGCTTATGAACTGGAAACTACACCTTCAAGTGCAGATTATCTCCTTTTTGTTCATTCCGTCAATTATATTGGCCGTCGTTTATGCCATATTGGCTGGCGATCCTACTGAGAAGATCGAACGATCGGTGTTGGCGGGGTATATATTTCTCGCTTGTATACCGACAACTATTGCTTCGAATGTAGTCATGACTCGAAACGCGGGTGGCGATGATGCAGCTGCTCTAGTCGAGGTTTTGATTGCGAATGTGCTTGCGCCATTCTTTACTGCCGCTTGGACTGTTACTCTGATTCCTAACCGGCCTGAATTTGAGTTATGGAAGCATGGAGGTGGTGACATGAGTAGCATGTACAGGAATGTTTTTCAGCAGCTGGGTCTCAGTGTCTTGTTACCCCTATTCGTGGGACAAATCGTGCGATTTACATGGCCGGACCAGGTCGCTTGGTTTATTCAGAAGACAAAGCTACCAAAGCTGGCCTCAGCTTGTATGATTCTACTGATTTGGTAAGTAAACTTTGACATAAAAGGAAGCCTGGGTGTTGTGTCTGACTGGTTTTTAGGACTACATTTTCTTCGTGTTTTGCGACAGGGTCTCTTCAAACAATGAGTACACCAACTATCGTCTTTGTCGTGCTATTTAACGTTGCCCTGTACGTCTTTCTGACCGGGATCTGCTTCATAATTGCCCGCCCTCCTCGATTCTTTCTTTCAATTCCATGGACGGATGTTACATTTGAGCCCCTAGCCCCTAGAGAAGCCATTGCAGCTTGCTTCTGTGGCCCAGCAAAAAGTACCGCACTTGGTATTCCACTGCTATATGCGATGTGGCAGCCATTAAATAATGACGCCAAAGCACAAACATCTGTTCCAGTCCTACTTTACACCACTGAGCAAATTGCAGTGGCTCAACTCTTCGTCCAAGTATTCTGGAGATGGCATTCCTATGTTGAGAAACGGAACAGACAGGAAAGCGATCAGGGTGATTCTGCTGAGATTGACTTGGAGCAGCATCGGCCAGCAGACAATGCAGTGATTATAGGAGATGACAAGAATAATACATTAGAGACTGGACCACGCCAATAGATATCAAAGAATGCATGAAACACAAAGTCTAACCTCTTGTCACCTATCTGTGAAAATATTTGGATCAAGAAGTACAAAAGCAGAGTTAAATAGCTACAAAGCTAATCAAACACCCAACTCAAGCCTTGCACATTTCTAAATCCGACCCGATAGTAATGTTTTAATACGCTTATAAATCATGGCGAGATTGCACCCGTCACCGGCAGAGCACGAAGTACGAGGCTAGGTATTCCCTAGGCACATGGTAGCACATATTCAAAGTTTAGTAACAGTAGTCATACCTAATTATAGAACTATTCATGCCCAGGTGGCCGCGCCGTTTACTATTTCCCAGAAAGGTTAAATGTACCTATTTCATTCAATTTGTGAATGTTATGACATATCACACCTTCAAGCCCCAAGCTCAACATACTTCTGTCTCTAGTCTCAACTGCTTGTACAATATTTGGGATCAAGCTTCAAGTTGGAAGCATCCGTGGATGGGGTTAAAATTTCCAATCGCCTTGGTGCCAGTGAAACCGTACGGGCAATCCTTCAGACAAGGCGGATTCAAGCAAGAGCTAGCGTGTTAGAGGAGCCCAAGAAATTCCGACCTAACGCTTTCAATTTCCGCGAAGGTCCCGCTCGCAATCTACAGAGGCTCCAGGCTACGTTTGCGTGAATTTGTCAAGATGTATCATGATTCAGTCAACCGAGATTCAAACTGTCGAACCACTATTCTTCACATATATCCGACCGATGGCCCACATCCCGCGCTCGTGTGTATACACAAAACGCACAATATACAGCCTAATCTCTCCCAAATTGCATTGCCGAATTGTTGAAAATAATCAGCCGCAAGAGCATCCACTGCGGAGAGCGAGGTGGACCCGAACAGGGTATGTTAGTGCCGATCACCCCATCTCATAGCGTCGTGCGCAAGTTCAGACAGAGAGGCAGCAGCGCGATTGTCCCCACAGACTAGTCATTGGCCGCCAACACCCCTGAAAATTCTTCTTCGCTAGACCTCCTGGGGCCGAACAGCCACGAGCAAGTGCCGCTATTCCGTCATAATTAGAAAGCCACAGGGTCCGGAATCCAAACACGGGAAAATCCTTCAAAATCTGCTCCTGGCTGCCTGAATTGTCGCATCCTGGTGCTTACAGGCACAGACTCCTAGTAAAACACCGGCTTTAATCCTTCCTGGTGAGTCACATCTGTCTAACGATTGATAAACTTTCATTGGCTTTTGGACGGGCTCCTTAGTATTGAAATAATGCGCTGTTCCACTTACATACATCACGAGTCAAGCCACTCCGGTTCCTGTGAGATTGAGATCTGCTATCCCGTTCGCCAAGAATCCCAGTGGCTTAAGGTGGGGGCTCGGCTTTCCGCCGTATATCTCGCAAGCCTATCTGGTGCCTTGATCGTGGTCTCCAAGGTTGTATTGGCCCCCTGGATTTTGCTCCTTCTCCGTATCAAAAAGCCCGGATGTCACTTTAGGAATGACCTGAATCACCAATCATGTACTCTGATACACTCACAGACCCCTGTGGGTCAACATGTAGGAAAATGAGGTTGACCCTGTCAAAAGCTAAGCTCATTAGCACCGATACATGTAGTCCCTGCAGGATTTAGGGGAAAAAAGGGAACGACGTGGAACATTGTGGAGCGCATTAGATGCTAAAATTGAATGTTTTGTGGATTGTAGCCGACCATATACTCCGTACTCGATCCTGACGTTGATCCTATCTAATAATGGTATAGCTCGCCTCGTTCCCATCACTGTTTGTAGTCGTCCTAAACGGCATATTGGCGGAGCCCAACGGATGCCCGCTCACTGTAACATGCACAATTGGCTACAGCCTTGTAGCCTGTTCCAATGCCTTTTGAGGAAAAAGATGAACAGTTTATCAGGCCATGGAGATCAACAATGGTCATTTTAATAGATAATAATTTTCCTTCTTTATGTCTACTTTGTTCTCTCTCCGTAATCGTCACTCTTTTATACTCGATCACGATCTTTAAGCTTATATATTCGTCATTCACTCTAAATATTCGCCATTCATTCTAACCCCATACAATCTTTACTATTATACACCTTATTTTTAAGCGTACCCACAATGCGAAGTTCCCTCTTCTCTGCTTGCGGAGCGCTGCTCTTCTCCGCTGGCGCCATCGCCTCCGATGCGCCTTGGACTAACTACACTTACAAGACTGGTCCTTGGCAGCCTCCCCAGCTGCTCATCGACAGAACCGATGCTGTCGACCCGGGCTTAATTTTCATCCCCGTTCGTAACAGCAACACCGATGGAACTGCAGTGACCATTTACAACAATGATGGCCAGCTTATCTACCAGGGTCCTGAGGAGATTACCATGGACTTCAAGGTGCAGTCTTTGTACGGCAAGAATGTCATCACTTTCTGGTCTGGTACTCCTCAAATCTCTGGTGGCTTCGGATACGGAACAGTTCACATCCTTGACGACACCTACAATGAGATTTACACAGTCACCCTCCAGGAGGATTTCCAGACTGCCGATGGCAAGTCCTGGGACTCTTACATTGACGTCCACGAGCACATCATCACCGACCGCAACACCCTCATTGTCTCTGCTATCAACGTTACCCAGTATGACCTCAGCTCTGCTGGAGGCCCCAGCGATGGTTGGATTACCGTCAGCCAGTTTTACGAAATCGATATCCCTACCAACAAGGTTGTCTACAAGTGGGATGTTCTGGACCACCAGGAGGCAATCCCCCTGTCTGGTTCCAAATACCCTCCTCCCTCTAACAACGCCCGCGAGACTCCCTGGGATTGTTACCACTTGAACTCCGTTGAGGCCACCAACGATGGCTTCCTGGTGTCTTTGCGCTTCTACTGGTCTGCATTCTACCTGAACCAGGATGGTACCGTTCGCTGGCAGTTCTCTGTAAGACTTCCCGAAAGAAAAAACAAGACAATCGCGAACTATAACTAATTGTTGTCTCGACTAGGGCGCTGGTGACGACGAGGGTGACTTCACCGGTGATGATAACCTTTTCTCCTGGCAACACCATTTCCGTATCTATAACGAAACTGACGAGTCTCTTGTCCTGAGTGTGTTCAACAATGCCAACGGCCAACAGCAGTCTCAGAGTATTACTACTGGCATGGCCTTCGACGTGGACCTGACTAGCATGTCCGCAACCCTGATGCACAACTTGACTGACCCCAATGACCCCCTCAAGACCCAGACTCAGGGCAGCTTCCAGTTCCTGGGTGCCGCATCCACTGCCTCCAACGTGTTCATAGGCTACGGCTCCATCCCCAAGGTCAAGGAATATGATGGTGCTGGCAATGTCGTGCTGTCCGGCCAGTTCGACCCTCTCGGCCATGGCGAGTCTTACCGTGCCTTCAAGTCTGAATGGACTGCCACCCCACTCTGGAGCCCTGTTGCTGTGGCTGAGAAGTCCGACAGCGGCGTTGATGTCTACATGAGCTGGAATGGTGCTACCGAGTATGACAACTGGGCTATTTACTCTGTTCCCACTGCTTCTTCCAACTCCACAACTTTCCTCACCACCATGAAGCGTACTAGCTTCGAGTCCCACGCGACCCTGAGCGATGTGAAGACCGGCTACATTAAGGTTGCTGCTCGCAAGGGGAACTCTGTCTTGCGTTTCTCGGATGTTGTCAGCGTTTGAGTTGACTGTATCTTGGTTGCATAGGGCGCCAGGGGCTTGGGGCTGTCATTGCCGATATGATCGAGAGATTGTCAAGAGTCATGAATACCCCTAATACCTACGATGATTCTGCATTATTATTTATTTTAATTGTAAATTCATTTCGTCATTCGTTTTGATATATTAATAAATATCTTTTATTCCCAAAAATAAATACAAGGCTTTTGCCGATAGGCAAGGTAAATTTAAAGCATTGATCTCTCACGAGTGGTTCCAAAAAAGGAAAGAAACGTCTAATAAAGCACCAACTGACTAGAAAATTAATATCAATGGATACATCATGATACCGCAATCTTCTCAAGCTCACGATCATATAAAAATGTATATGTGTTTGTATATGATTTCTTGTATTGCATACATGTTTGCTTAAGTGCAGGTTTCTCAAAATTCATATCTTTGATCCATGGATGCTCCGAGGTGCTGTGCAAAGTGAAAGACAGATTCCCTTTCAAGATTGAGTAGACTCGGAGTTCAAAAACTTATTTCTCACATAAACTTATAGTATAAATTATGCGTATTTCGAAACAAGAGCCTTCAGTTCTTCATCGCTCAGCTTTCCAACCCCCAACAATTCATTCGACAGGTTCTCAGTGGGGAATAGACTGCCAAAGCCTTCGCCAAAGATGGCCCGCTTAAGGAATCCGTAAACAAAGACAGGAACATTGGGCTCGGGCTTCTGCAGCTCAGCAAATGCCTCCTTCTCCAAGTCAGCCGTGGAGACATTCTTGCCGTTAGAAACCTGTTTACCTGCAAGCTGAAGCAAGTCCTTCTGGCTCAAATCAGCCTCGCGCACAAACACAGTCTTGTTCTTAGTAGCATCCAAGTTCTTCAAGACACCAACGACTGCCTTTCCAATACCAGACAAGGTAGTCACGCTGATCTTGCGATCTCCACCATCGTAAAGGACAGGCTCAGGGCTAGAAAGGTCCACCAATAACTTCACCTTTAAGCCCCAGTCCAGGAATGGGCCGTTGACGATGCCTGTATAACTTGTAGTTGATGAGGAGGCGACAGTTTCATTCAACTGCTTCTGGATGGCAACCTTATCGCCGAAGACGGGCGAAGCGGCGGCATTGGGGTTGGTGGTATCTGAGCCAAATTCGGATGGGATGATGCGCTTCACGTTGGCGGCGACGGCAGCCTTGATGAGGTTGGCGTGAGGCTCCAGGCCGACAGCACCGAGAGCAATTACCAGTGCGTCTTGGTTGGCAAGGGCTTTCTGAATAGACTCGACAGATTGATAGTCGATTTCGGCGACTTTGATCTTGGAATCGAATGAGTTGTTTGAGGATCTGGTCAAGACAGTGACTTCGAAATTGGCAGCATCGAGCGCCTCGAGAATGGCAGGACCAAGGTTACCGGTGGCCTATACATATATTGTTATCAGCAACTAGAAATATCAATTGGTGCTTCAGAGAAGCAGCTTTGGAAAGTCGACATACACCGGCCAATGCAACTTTGAGAGACATAGCGATAGTAGGTTTAATAGAAGGCAGAGATGGGATATTGGAATCTTGTTTTAATAATTGATAAATTCAGCTTGCGGACATTACTCTTAAATATTGCTATCTGGGTATATTCTTTTGGTAGATTTTCTCTCCATTGCGTGCGTATGTACTTAGATGTTTAACCTGACAAATGGAGACTCAAGAGTAAGGTGAATTGGTCAGAGGGCGGAAAGTTCGCGCGCCGAAATAGGGCGGAGTTGCCGCTTTAGGATGGGACTCCGGGCTTAGCTACCAACTCGGGGTCGGTGAATCAGCTTTCTCCCGAAGAATGAACGCAATATTGAGGATTAATTATAAATCCACATTTAGTTCTTTAGGAATGTGTAATATTTCCTCTCATTTCTTATGTGATTGCCCTTGATAATTCCGAAATGAGAGCATTGAGCAAAATCGCCAAGCAAAATCGCCACTACACAGAAAGTGGTACAGAAAGAACAAATCATAAGCTAGGCCACGAAAATACCAAAAAATATGATTAGGTGATATTTAAGCTATAAAGTTAATACCAAAAAAGGAGCTGGATATATGAGGCTCCATCATTTTATTTTTTACATCGTGTTGAATCCGTGAGCAATGCACCAACCAGCAGTCCGCGGACTGTGGTGAGGGGCAGATGCTTAGATTCTTAATCTTGAAGTGGGTCCGAAGCATCTGGTTGCGTGGAAGAATTCCGCGCACCAACAAGAACAAACACATATGGCAAATTCTTCACTCAGTCTAGCTTTGCTAGCTGATCTATCATTAGTGAAGAGTCAGTGGTGAATGCTTTGGACCTGGTTGAGCAAAAGGATGACCTTGTCATGATATGACCCTTGAGTTGTGGGATTCAGACCGGAGTTGGGCCATGTTATGAATGTTGCCGATGCTGGTCCGAATGGTCGCGTGCTGGTTCTTCGGATGGGAAGACTCGGGTTGAGTGCTATCATGACCGCCTATTATTACTGTTGACCACCACGAGTCGTGCTTGATCCTATCACGAGAGATAGGGACAACTGATTGCCGCAATACATAGCTCAGAGGAAAGGTTATTCAAGTCGCAAAAGCACCTGAGACTGCTAGTCTGGACACCCTGACCCACGGTTTCATGACTAGTGGGAGGTAGCTCGTTCAAGTTCAAATGTTGTCTTGATCGAAGATGATGCAGTTCAAATAGAATCAGATATTGAACCTACCGTAGAAGCTGGATTCATCTGAGAAGACCTCGTCCGGGGAGGGGGGGGTATGGAGGTATCTTTAGAAGACATGGCGATTGCGTGATGTGAAATAATAAAGTGAGATAGGGAAGTGGAAGATGGAAATTTGTTGTTGTTGCGCAGAGCCCCATATCGACGTGGGGAAGGATTTCATCTGCGGCTCCACAGGGTATGGCTGCCTGGCCGGTACATTCTAGTTTCAAGTTGAAAACACAAAGTATTTTGTGGTGCACAGAATAAGCCTACGTACACCCAGGTATAGTCTTCGGTAGATATGTTAGCATTTTGGAAGATCCTCTTTTGATAACGGATTGGCATTGTTGAACTGAAGAGTTCTATCTAGGTTATTATACATGCGTGCTCCAGCTCCTCATTCCAGGGCTGTTTTTTACAGAGAACATGAATAGATTGACAGTTTGAATCAAAGCTCAAATTGCGACTCTTCACTTCGGAATGTACCATCTGCGATCAAGGAAGGACTTCAAAAGTCCAGAGAAAGTCTATTGCGCATAATATTGTTCCAGGTCAAGCGCTCCATGGTGCGGTATGTTTTCCTTCATGGATTCCGAGGCAGATAGACTCAAATTGAGCACACCGAAATTCACCACATGTCCATCGTACGTTATCCCATCCCAGTCTGAATTTGGAGGCCTGTCGGCTACATTGACTTGCAAATAACTGGCTGTATGTTCAAACATCGCTGCACGCGGCGACACCTGATACTTGTATTTGCTCTCCAAGTCCTTGCAACCCCGCGAAGGAACTTTGGCTTCCATATCCTGAGTGTAATGTGGATTTCGGCTGTCTCGAGCCACTTCCATGAGCGTTGTATCGGGGTTCACGTCAAGCAGGTCATATATCTCCCGGTAGTCAGCCATAATGCATGCTCGGGCGATGGAAAGCTTCATCTTTGGCTGCCGGTGGAATAGCGCTTTGAGAACAGATCTTTCAGGAATTGATGGGTACCAAATACAGTAAGGCAGGTTTGTCTCAGGGGTATCAGGTGTTATGCGTGATATATCGCCATTCATTATGAATCGAGCGCTAATAGCAGCTTGGATCTGGTAGGATTGGAATCGCTGTTCTGTTTGAATCGAGCACCACTTGGCGAAAATGGTATTGTTATAGATACCCCTTACCAAGCATGTGCCTTCGCTCGAACTAGACGACACCTGGCGCATAAGACGTGCATATCGATCAATATCACCGTAGTAAGCCGCGGTCAAAATGAGAAGGTCTTTGTTGAGAGTCGGTAGATCAGTGGGGAGTGGGCTATAGAGTAATGGAAGAACCTCCTCGTCTTTGATCTCGAAGGGGGGCTTGCCGGGATCGTGGTCCGCGTCACAAAGCCTTAGATCTTCGGTAATATCGAAGCTGTTTTGATTCATAGCCCAATGAATTCCGGGATAATCATTGTAGGTGCCCCATTTGTACGTAAACCGAATGTCAAGGTACTTCTGGACGACAGTATCACCATTGAGGCGCCCTTCAGTGGGAGTAAAAGTCTCTCTCGTATAATCATTCATGGCATTGTACTTGACCCGGCACTCCATAATGGAATCATATATGGCATTGTGTCCGCTCTCCCGCGCCTCTTCAGCAATATGACACTCGGGCAGCAAGCCCAGCTCCTGAAAAAGAGCCGGATAGCCGGCGACTGCGCATGCACGCCCCACCAGGTACTTGAGCTGGGGATAGCGCTGAGCTAGCTCACGGTAAGTTGCCTCTGATGCGGTTTCCGGGTGCCAAATACAGTAAGGAAACTCCTCGGGGCACTTAGGATCCATCTCAGGAATTTGATTGCTCATAATCTCACGGGCGTTCAGGGCGCGCGTAAAACCTGGGAGCAGACCTCGGAGCTCAGTGCCAAAGCCCGGATGGTATCTTATGCCTCGGATCACGCATCTTCTGGTGTTCTCCTGGCCAAGAGCTTTAGGTACTTTTTGTCCATTGAGAGCCTGCACGAGCTCCTGGTCTTTGATTTTGTTTATGCGGAGATTGACGTGAGTGAAAGTCTCCATATTGAGTACTGTCAGTCTTTGTGGGATTTTGAGGTGCCTCTTTTTGGCATACGTAGCCGAAGGGTAGATATGTGCAAGCTCTACGTCCATCACGATGTTACAGGCTAGCGCACAGGAGACTGGACCTGCCGTGTTGCCAAGACCTAAAATTACCGGGCCCCCGACTGCAACCTTGGCGACTTGGCAGGGCCTACATTTGGTGGCTAGCGGGGCTCAAGGTTCCAGCGGCCCCAAGTTAAGCTCCGCTGCACTTACCGTTAACCCCTTGGCCCGCATTTTGCATGATATCCGCACATGTACAGAAGTTTTTTGTTTTTGTTTTTTCTAAAAAAAAAAAAAAAAAAAAAAAAAAAAAAAAAAAAAAAAAAAAAGTGTTGTTCAAACAAAGAAAGAACCAACACATGCTAAGTTTAGTATGAAAATGCTGAGTTTCTACGAGAAAACTCATTATTCATAACAGAATGCAAAATATGGAGTAGTATGGACACAGTTAGGCACAAGCCCGGACAAGTGCTATTTCCATCAGAATATATACTAACATATTAAAAATCGAACAGTGGCCGTATGCTCACTAAATGCAAATAAATCCGAAAAAGACCATGAAAAGCGCTATCGTGCCACCTTTTCTGTATAACATAAAAAACAAGAGCTCTCTGCTGCCAGGACTCGGCCATCGCGATCTACAAGAAAGATCAAGGATCTAGAATGTATTCAACTTTCAAAGGAGTCGATGGAGCGGCCGCTGATGAATTAATTGTTACTGCAAGTCCGAATGCCTAGCATAACCTCTTTCGCAGATTGAAGAACCTGAGAGTGGATGTTCATCTTGCCCCATTTTTTGTCGTTACCCTTTTTTCCAACAAAGCCATCAAATAAGTCTTCCCAATCCTTTTCTGACATGTTGGAATTGGCTTGTCGTGTTGCCTTGACGTTCACGAAGTCCGCTTTTTGACTGTTGGCATCGCTGGTGAGCTGCTTTGACTTTGTTTTGACTGTGTAGCCCTTGTTTTCTAGCCCAGCTTTCAAGTCATCCGCGAATTCGATATTTCGCAGAAAGTGCACGCGCTGAGAAGCCGTTCGCATACTCTTGTAGTTTTCCATGCTCTTTTCCTTCGCGTCATTGATGAAGGCTTCTTTTCGGAACTTTTGGGCGATCTATGAACGATGATTAGCAGATGCGCGAAAGCACAGGACGGTTTACTCACTGTCTTGAAGATTCGAGCTGTGGTTTGCTCGTCATCTGACTCTCCCTCAATAATATGCGTGCCATCGTATTTTCCCTTAAAGCCCTGATCATAGAGCTTCCCGGCCATTTCATCGACGCCCAGGTTGTTCGCAATTCCTCTCGGGGTGACATTTGGTTGCGATTTCTCGATGTACTTCATGAACTGCTCGAAGGTGCATCGCCCCTTACGACTGCAGGCGGGGGCAACAATTTGAGAAAGTCCGCCGTGTATATCGCAATCAATTTGGTAGGCATACCAAAACATCACTCTTTCGTACGCTCCATAGTTCCCGTATGCAGAGACCATACAAGCCATCCACACAGCTAACAGAGCTTGAAGTAGTAGATTCCTCATTATGAGGGAGGTCTCGAGAAATTATTGCAAAAAGTAGGACAGGCGACGCCCAATTGACCGAGAATGGGAAAAGAGAGACAAGTTTACTTCCAAAACCAACGGGCTATCCTCCAATTTTTATCTAACCTACTATGTCTCCTGCATAGCTGAGTGGGGCAATTCCTAGTATTCTCTGTACTCCGTAACTCGCAAAAGGGTTTTTGATTCTTTGCCAATTTCGCCAATTTCGCCAAGCGTATCGGTAAGTAGACCTTGGGTTCCTTTGCACTAGCCAAGCGTGTCGCTTGTCTTCTATGAAAGGCTTCTCTGATCCTTTGGCCCCTCTATGTCTAAGGTTAAATTGAACACCAACCTATAGCCCGTGGGAGATAATGGGTAATTCAATCTTGACTCTTGATCAGGAAAGTTTTATGTTGATCATGTTTTGGTCCTGCGCAGAACAAGACAGGAATTCTGATATGGCGTTTTTAGTGCAGGTCTAGCTTGGGTGTCTGTTGCTGATCATGATTTCAGGGACCATTAATGGGCAATTAGTTGACTCGGATAGAATAAGATAAAAGGGGTCCAAGATTCATTTGCGAGATATACCACCCCGCCTAGGTATAGTACGGAGTACAGACCCAAGCTATAAGTTCTCCCGCCTATACCTGGCTTGGCAATGGGGTGCAGAAGGCTTGGCGAAGACTCTCGGAGATGGCCTTCAAGTTGGCCCCCAAAGCAGCCGCACTGGGAATCAAGTGCGCTACAGCCAATGAAATACATATTCCCGAGTAAGGTTACTTCCTTGGCGTGACCCCCGGGGCCGCCAAGTATTCATGAGTACTCCGCCAAACCTTCTATACTTGCCAGTTTTCCAGCTGGCGGAACTTGCGTGGATGCTGGCCCGCTCCTTTTCCCTTGAAAGAGCGCAACTCAGCGGGTTTCATGAAAGAATTTCAAACCCCTTCGGATAGCCTCCTCACTAGATCAGGTAGTGGCCCCTGCCAAGGAGTCTAATACTCGGGGGTGGTGGACCCTTCTTGTGCCTTCAGCAAGCCATTTGGAGCTCCAGTCCCAATGCTCCATGGCTAAGTGGGACATGCTAGATATTGCCAAGGTTCAGGGCCATGAAGCGATTTCAAATGTCACTTTGGCGATGGTAAAGACCGATACGCTCTATTTTCGTAGTAGAACAGGATGAAATCTAAATATTAATTTCGCCTAATTTTAGTCTCTACTCCTTTCACTCAGGCTGATCGGTAGAATAAATGCGTTGTTTATATGGCTAGAAGATCCCCTATACTCCATCATCTGCGTTCATTTTTTTGAACATCATTTATTTAAGATCTACAAGATCAAATTCCTCAAAAATGAGGGCTTTTTTGCCTACATTGCTTTGGGTGACAACCCTTAGCTCACTTGCCAACTCTGAATTTCTCTCAGCCCTCCAGGCCTGCCCCCAGGAGTGCGGCGATGCAGTGGGCGATTCATCCAAATGGACGCATTACAGCCGCGTTAGCAGACTTGCTGTATGTGACGAGACAATGCTTCTCGATTTTGCAATTCATAACCCTCTACGCAACTCTGAGACGCCGAACAAACTGCTCGCCTGTACGCTGAAAGATGGCGGAAATGTTCACAGCGACAAGTCATTCTCTTCATGCGATTCCGGAAACGAGATTGAATCATTTGAGGCCTCCTCTGATTTAGTTCAATCTGGCGAAAACGACTTCACGGACTCTGATATGGTTATCAACACTGTGAGGACACTGCATTATCAGCTTCAAGAAAAGTCTGGATGCAGAGCTGCAGTCAACTTTGCTTCCCGGGACGAAATAGTTGTTGGTCTTTACGCCGGCAATCAGCTCGAGAGGCAAAGTGTTGCCGAAAACTTCCTCCCGAAGATTATTGAATATTTGCAAGAGCACTCTATGCCAGATCGTCTTGCACTTCAGCATTGTGCGAAAGATTCTGCTCATACCGTGGGTGTGGTTATCGACACTGCTGGAGATTATGCTGGTGTGCAGGAAGTGGTCAGGGATTGGAGCCAAGCAACATGCCCTTCTGACTGGAACAGCAAAAAAGAAGGATGGGCTACTGTCAGTCTGAAGGCCAGCCAAGAACATCCTGAAAATGCCACCCGATCCTCAAAGCTCGCCACGAGAGATACCTGTGACTACCGCACCATCAGTTCCGGTGACACCTGTGTCAGCTTGGCCAAGGACTGTGGAATCAGCGCAGACGACTTCCTCAAGTTCAACCCCGAGAACGACTTTTGCACCTCTATTACTCCGGGAGAAGCTTTTTGTTGCTCTGCGGGTAATAAGCCCAATCTCCGCCGCAAGCGAGACGATGATGACACCTGCAAAACATACACAACCGTCACAGATGACAACTGCTACGATATCGCCAAGGCCAACGATATCACGCAAAAAGACATCGAGTCATGGAACAAGAACACATGGGGTTGGACCGGTTGTGGTTCTCTTGGAATAAAGCAAATCATGTGTATCAGCAAGGGCGACCCCCCACTACCCGCAGAGCTTCCAAATGCCGTCTGTGGTCCCCAGAAGCTGGGCACCAAGAAGCCTACAGACGGAACAAAGCTTGCAGACTTGAACCCATGCCCAATCAAAGCCTGTTGCAATATTTGGGGTCAATGCGGTACCACCGACGACTTTTGCACCGTCTCTGAATCTGAAACCGGTGCGCCAGGAACTTCTGCCAACGGAACGGATGGGTGTATCTCCAACTGTGGCACTGATATCAGTGATGGAAACACCCCTCTAGACGAGATCAAGACGATTATGTACTACGAAGCCTGGAACTATGATCGCCCCTGTCTCAACATGGAGATCAACGATATGGTGAAATATAAGGGAAATTTCACCCACGTCCACTTTGCCTTCGCCGGTATAACCGATGACTTGGAGGTCAATGTCAGCTCTGTCCAGTCAGTTTTCAATGACTTCAAAACAATTAAGGACTTCAAGCGCATCATATCCTTTGGTGGATGGTCTTTCTCCACTGAGATCGATACATATCCAATTTTCCGTCAGGGTGTGACTGACGCTCAACGGCAAAAGTTCGCTGATAACGTGGTCAAATTTGTCAAGGATAATGACCTCGATGGTGTCGACTTTGACTGGGAGTATCCCGGCGCTCCAGATATCCCTGACCTTCCTCCTGGCAGCAAAGAAGACGGCGCGAACTACGTCAAGTTCCTGAAGATGGTCAAGAAACAGATGCCAGATGACAAGTCCTTGTCTGTCGCCATGCCTGCTTCATACTGGTATCTTCGGGGCTTCGATCCTCTTACTGACTTTGCCGATGTCGTGGACTACGTCATTTTCATGACTTATGATCTTCATGGTCAATGGGACTACGACAACCCGTCTGCCGTTTCTGGTTGCCCGAAGGGTGATTGTCTTCGGAGTCATGTCAACTTCACGGAGGTATTGGACGCCATGACCATGATCCAGAAAGGAGGTATGCCCGCCGAGAAAGTTATCGTTGGCCATTCCAGCTACGGTCGCTCATTCAAGATGGCTGAGAAGGGCTGTACGGGACCCATGTGTCGCTATACAGGCCCCAAGTCCGGTGCCTTGCCTGGTCGTTGCACACAGACAGCTGGATACCTTGCCACTGCTGAGATCAACGAGATCAGAGCCAACAATCCAAGCCATAAGAGCTGGTTTGATAAAGCGTCCTACTCCGACTTCTTGGTGTACAATGACACTGAGTGGGTTGGATACATGAGTGAAGACAGAAAGGCAGAGCGCGAGCTACTCATGATTGCCGCTGGATGGGGCGGAATCGTTGACTGGGCCATTGATCTAGTGGACATGTACACCCACCCAAGTGACGAGGAGATCGAAGTGAAGCTTTGCACTGATAACTTTGATACATTGGAAGATCTAGCCGGGGCTGGCAATGACGTTCCCGAATATTGCATTGACATTTATGCACTGCAAATTATGAACAGTGACTTCAAGACCGCGATGTCCACATACAATGACTTGCTTGATGATGGATACGATAGCAAGTTCGACACTTACGAGGATTATATCAACAGCACCATGTACGATGAGCTCAGGGAATACATGGTTAACCACGCCGAGGACCGTTTTCACTGCGTTCCATCCCCCTGCCCAGACAACCTTGAGCCAAGTACGAATGGCGGCCAGACATACAAATTTGTGCTTGATGACAAGGAAGGGTTTTTCAAGGACATTTTCGACGAATATGGCATTGACGAGTCATGGATCAAGTTCGGCGAATTATACGCCGGTGTCAGCTCTGGAGGTTGTCGCCCTACGCCGGATGATCCGAAAGCCTGCACTATGTATCATAGTGGCTTCCCTATTCGAGACAACGAGCATATGAAGATTCCAAATCCCAAAGAGACCATCTCAGGCGCTTACAAGAACCTTACGGATTTTGGTGACCAACTCGACGATTCCGCAGCTGATGCAGCATGGTTCATGTACGCCGATGATGTCGACGACGCAGTGGTCGCAGCAGAGCTTCCTCTCTTCCTAGCTGAATCCGCTGTTAAGCAAATGCAAAAGGTTGTCGATGCTGCAGATGACATTGATGCGGCGGAGAAGAAATCTTTCATCGTCAATTTCGCAGCATCTCTCCTGATGTTGGTACCGGCCGTTGGAGAGAGCATAGGTGCTCTGGGGCTGGCTACCATTGGAAGGGTCGTCACTCTTGCTGGCGATGTTGGCAACGCTGCTTTTGGTGTATACGGTGTTGTTGAAGACCCTCAAAGCGCAATCTTTGGCGTTTTCGGTGCTCTCATTGGAGTAAGGGGTGAGCGTGGATTTTCTGACGCTGCTGAATCGAGACGTGGAATGTCAGAAAAAGAAAAATCGGCCTTGGGCAAGTATTTTCAGGAACGCACGGATCAAGTTGATGCCGTGAAGAAACGGACTTGCCCCGCATAGAATCAATCATGCGCTTCATTATTCGACCGGATGGAGCTTTTGTTTATTTTCACTCATTGTATTTAACAATTTTTCATATCTATTTTAAAACTTCAAAATACATATCTTTCAATTCAAATTCAAGATTTAGTCTCAAGTATCCATTCCCCTTTCATGACTACGACCCAAAGGCTGTACCATGAAAAGCATGCCAGGAAGAGCTGCTAAGTTAAATTGAGTCTTTGAGAATGATCACTTTAGAATGGTTTGATGAGTCTAAGTAGACGTAAGCCCAGGAAATAGTCACCAAAGAATTTCACGGCTCGTCATAACATATAGATATCAACTTAGGCTTATTTCGCGCCCAAGATCTTGACCACCCTGTTAGCCTAGTAAGCAGCCATTCTTTCTTTGAGGTAGGGGAGAAGGGGGCTGTAGAAGAAGCATCGTAAATCGTACCTTGTGATGCTGTCCCCAGTATATCAGGTTGCCAGTTGTCTCTATCCACGACCTAGGCAGAGGAGCCAGCTCTCTGGGGAAGTGCGAGAATCCCATGGGCTGCTTAATAAACCAACGAGGGTCATTAGCCCCGGGGCACAGTGGATAGTATAGCTACATGGAGGAGGTTGGCTGGCGGGCATGTTTGTATGTTTGGACGTTTACTTGGTTTGACCCACTCTCGGATACAGACCAATCAGATGATTGGTCCGAGAGTAGGCTCCCTACATGTCCGTAGTATAGCTCTCTCTCTCTCTTCTTCCCTTTTCTTCAATGTTGTTATTCGTTGGTTTTGTACCCTTTCTCCATCCTGATAGAAACGTAGGCACCATATCATACAATATAGACCACTTAGTCCTCTCAAAGAAGGTAGTCCACATAGTCTTTATTTAACTAAATATAAAGCCTATTCTCAGAGGTTATTCACTATCTACAACGCCTTATCTAGAGAATATCCGCACTTACTTTCACCAGTAGCACTCTACGACAGCGATATCTTTTAAGGTATTGGGTTTGAAATTTGGAGGTAGCCATCTGATGCTATAGAACTATTTGAGCCTAATTCGAGTCTCCTTGCCAAGGACAGGATCGGTCTAGTACTTGTACTTCTTACTCTGAGCTGACCGAACGAGTGGACTTGCTATTTCGGAAATCCAAGGTAAGTGAGCAAGGGTGGAATCTGGAGATATACACAGCAAGATTGGCTAGGTCGGCTGGGAGGTTAGAACTGTGACGAGATCGAGAGGAGGGGGGAGAAGGAGTATCTTATAGGTGCCTCGCCGGGCAGGGCGACGAGGTCACCTAGATAGCACTGTAGAGGGGAGCTATTTTTGCTGTCGTTTTAGGCTTTGTTGGAAGCTAAGGGAATCGAGCACTAAACACAGGGGTCGGGTTGGTGATGACTAAAAGGTGCTTGGTGCAAAATAGTGATGGTGCTGGATAGCGCCCGCGGTGAAGCGCTTGCTTGCCCTCTAAAGTTATGGGTGGAAAGGCGCCCGTTTCTGGCGTCAAACGCTGTTATTTTCATATTCTATATGTAATTTACGTATTGGCCAAGGTTGATCCTGGCGCTATGCTTGTTCTAAGCCTCTGCAATTCGCTCTTACAGGGTTTGTTAGTGTGAACTAACGCTGTAATTGACAGTATAAAGTAAGCACTAGTAACGGGTTAATCAACCCCCGCCGCTAACCTATAGGGTTGACTTTGGCAGGTCTGGGACGGGTACCGGTACTGCAGAGTACTACACGTATCTGTGGATGAATTTATTAGACACCTGGGCATCTATAGGCAGGTCAAAAGAAAGAAAACTGAATAGAAATAACACGATAGAGGCACTTTCATAAATTGTGTGCAAATGTTGTAGTTCTGATCAAATGGCACGGGTCTAGGATGTGTTTTAAACTCAGCTGGTGGGGGCCGGTATTACCCATTGTATTGACTAGTTCACCAAAGCGGGCCGCCATTTTTCTAGCTTCTGGGCAGTGCAATCAAAACATTCAGGAGCGCAAAAGTGAGCTAATATTAGGGCGTCCCGTATAAGGCACTCAAAATCTAGGTGTTCATCTTTTCTTCCCTCTGCCACGCGACCCAGATTCGGACCACAGGTCCCTTGTGCGACCATCATGTCGACTAACGGATACACAGACTGCATCGAAGGGACATTCTATGGGTTTACCGACACTGAAAACAATGAATTTTACCCTGGCCAGTCCCTGAATCTGCAGTGGGGCCTTATCCAAAATGGCACCATGCCCTTGAATATTTCGCTAGGCCGTGTAGGAGGAGCATTGGTGGACAATATTGTTTGTTCGTAGAATCTTTCAAGCATATCGCAACGGATAACACTAACTGTTGATTAGCGGATGCAGCTTTTTCTACGACCAGCACTCTCTACCAGATAGTCGCCAATACGACCGCAAACTGTACCCTTGAACAGTATAGCTGGGCTATACCTTCCGACTTCAACACTTCCAACCCCGAGTACCAGATTGGAATATTTGACGGAGGTGCAATTCGGGGCGATAATAATAATGGATGGAGAGCTTGGAGTCCGGTATTCTATGTGCGCGACAAGACGAGTGCAGTATCAGCGTCTCGCACGGCTACTACAACTGGCCTTTTAACAGCAACCGCGGAAACAAGTCCTATAAACACTGCTACATCATCGTCATCAGCTTCAACATCAACCTCATCGTCTTCTTCCGATCATAATACTGGATCATCTAATTCGACGGCGATAGGCATTGGCGTTGGCGTGGGAGTAGGATGTGCAGCACTCATCGCACTCGGCGCATTTTGGTTTATCTGGAGGCGAAGAAAGGCAAGAGCTGCCAGAGGTAGTGTTGGGCCGAATAAATCTGGATCTGCAGAGCTGCCTGGGAGTGGGAGACACCCATCGGAGCTTCCCGTTGCCGCGAGGGATAGTACAGGCGCAAGGATGGAGCAGGTACTTGACAAGCCACAAGAGTTGGAAGGTGGGAAGATAGCCACCAAAACTTCTCAAGTACACGAGATGGAATAGTACATGTCATAGTATCAGCCGGCACATATGGGATTGTAAGATATAAAGAAGCTTATACCACACCTGGTCAAGGACCATATAACTTCAAATTCTGAATGACCTTATTCAAGTTTTCATTATCATATTGACAGATTTGACTTCTAACCAATGACCCGGGTTTTAACACCCTGTAAATTGTTTATATTGTCACTCAAATTCTCAAAATTCGTTTATGGTAGGATCAGATCCCTCTCAACATTGAAATGCCATAAATGTCTTAATTAACCTGGCTAACTTGAACCCGCTTTCCAACTCCAGCCTTCTCGTAGGTGTGCCGTGTAAGATTGACTTGGGTGTCTCCACCGGGCTGCATGATCTCAACTGAACCATGTTCGTTATTAAGGCGCGGCGTAGAGTGACGTATATATCTGTCGAAAGGCAACCTGAAAAAATGACTCAAACCTTTATCTCAGTATCTGGGGATGGGCTAGAGGGGTGCCAGGTCGGTTCAATAGAGTTCCAGGCTCTGTATATTTTCTATAATCCAAGGCCAATTAAACTGCCACACTTCGTGCGAGTAGTCGATGAAAAAGACTGTAAGTTTTGCAAAGTTGATTTTTTTCGCCCAGGTTAAAAGTTGAAGTTCATGAAGGAATGATGGTAGGTAGGCATCAATCAGGCATCAAGCCCCCGTTATACCCCTTGGATACAGGGGTTCCAAAGATTGTTTTCACACCTCGTTACTTTCACTGCTCCACACCGCCTCTTTTTTTACAATACGTGACACTAATATCACTATCTTCTTACAATCATCCACCCATCTACCCAATACCGTATGCCTATTTTACACCGTGATCAAAGACACGAGATTGTAATCCTACGTAACAACGGTCTTACATATCAGCAAATACACAAGAAGACTGGTTATACTTATAATCAAATACGTTATTCTTTACGTGATTCTGTTGATCTTACACCACAGAAAAAGAAGACCGGTCGGCATCCAAAGCTCTCTAAGAGAGAACTCGATGAGCTTATTACTTGGATACACAGCTCTCTCGAACGTCGAATCCTTACTTGCGAGCAAATCTATTGTCTTAAACAGCTCTCTATCTGCTCCGAAACCCTTCGAACATCGCTTAAAAAACGTAGAATAGTAGCCCATCCAGCAGCCCAAAAACCTCCAATTAAAGATACCCATCGAGTCCAACGTCTTGAGTAGGCTTACGAACGTCAGGATTGGGGACATAAAGATTAGAAACGTATTATATTCTCTAATGAAGCTTGGGTTAAATCCGGCTGGCATCGAATGCCTTATATCCATCGATTTAAAGACGAACGATATCATCCAACAACTGTTGTTCCTCAAACAAATCAAAGATCAGGAATAATGATTTGGGCTTGTTATGCCGGCAGTAAAAAGGGCCCATTAATTATTTGGAATCCAGCCTAGGGAAGTATCAATTCTCAAAGTTATATCGATCATATTCTTCCAGTTGTTCGTCGCTTTAACGAAAAGCTTTGGGAATCTGGTATTGATGCCTTTTTTATGCAAGATAATGCTGGTGCACATGGCTCTTATCAAACTACAGCAGCTCTCTATGACTACGATATCAATATTGAAGATACCTGGCATTCTTCTGTCTCTCCGGATTTAAATCCACAAGAGAATATATAGGATTGGTTAAAAGACGATATCTCAAAGCAATGTGGTATTGATAGTATTGCTCCGTCACGACATCATATATTACATTGTTATATCGAGACAGCATATGAACGTCTACCAGAGCAATTTCTAGAGGATCTAACACATAGTATGCCACGGAGAGTAAGGCAGGTGATTGAGAGGAATGGGGGTGCAACAGATTATTGACGTTGGGAGGTTTGAGTGTAATTTTACTGTATTTTACCAATATTACTGGCAGAAAAAACGTAACTTGGTGTGAAAACATCCTTGGAACCCCTGGTACACCCACTTAGCAGTGAGACTAGTACGGGAGGGCGGTGAACATAGTAAGAAAATGCGATTCTCTTACGTTCACACCCCACGTGACCGAGAACGAATCATATAGCTTGTAGCATACCTGGGTCTGCCTGCACATGTGAGGTCGCCCAATTGACTCGAAGGTATCTATTGTTTAACCCCCACCATGAATGTTAGATCAACACAGATTTTAACATTGCAAATCTTTTCTCTTCTTACACATATTCTTTCTAGTCACTTGCTAAAACGCTTCACTTGAAACTGAACAAGATAAAATGGTGAATCCCGAAGATTCTTCCGGCTACTCCACAGGATGCCCGGTGTGCTGCAAAGCCGACGATTTGCTCCGTTGCTCAGGATGCAAGGTCCTTCGTTACTGTGGTCGAGATCACCAGACAGCGCACCGCCAAGCACACAAATTTGCTTGCCGTGAAGTTAGAATAGCCCGTGATGACCTGGAAAAGGCAAAGCAAGCCCTGATCAATGATCCGAACTTCAAAAACGACAACCCATTTGTGAATCATGTTGGCTACTTTTGGAAGATTGTCGAAACCCGACCCTATATGATGGGACTGTCGAAGCTCGTCAATGCCCTGCAGTCGATCGATCACAAGGATTCTGTGCAGGCAGAACTAGACCTCTGCATGGAGATGCTGCGTCTCTGCCCAAGTGATAATATGGGCGTTCGTTCTTCTGTTCCAGGTGTGATGTTGCGTCTCGACAAGGACCAGGAGTGTTACGATTTTGTGAAATGGTGGGCATTGGCATCCATAAACTATGACTGGGAAGATCACAGCCGGTATTATAATATCAAAAACGCGGATGCTTTTGAAGCCATCGACTTTATGGGTGATAATCCTCTCGGGGAACTACCTCACTTTATATGTTTGATGATCTTGAAAATTAAGCTTCTGTCGGAGCTGCTGAAATTACAAGAAATGGAGGTTACAATCAAGCAAATGCTGGGCGAAAAGCTCGGTGGTGGTATCCAAAATGTCCCAATTCCCTCCGAAATGTTCAGAAAGATCGTCGATGATTACCCTGGCATCAAAATTCACAACTCAATTATTCGTTCACGGGATGATTTTATGAAGGGCCAAGGCCTCAAAGACGCCGTATGGGGACTGAAGGTACAGATTGACGAACTCTACGATATCATTGACAAGGCGAACAAGCATTTTTGGCCTGCTATGAAGGACGCCGAAAAGGCTCTTCTTACGCCTCCTTCCAATATGTTTGCAAAGGGAAATGTGGAAGAGATGAGACTGGCGTTGAATACGACTTGGCTTACGTGGGTCTCAGTACCCGCAGCAATTGACTTCGCTCAAATGTTGATTAAAAAGAAAGAAAAGGATTCAACTCGTTAGCTCGCCTGACCCAATCACCTGCTTGGATTTCGACAAACTACGATAGATCTACTCTTACACTTTTTACTTGAGCTTAGCAAAATGAATAAGCCGCTTAATTGAATAAATTGACATGAGATAAATCATCGAACCATTGTATACACGAAAACCCCTTTATAAAGTTTCTTAAACAGGAAGAACAACCTTCACACCCATATACTCTCGTTGATGCACAATCTTGCCATTGATAAGAGTCTGGTCAGCACCAACGCGGTTCCGCACAGTATCTGTAGGATCAGTTGCAGTGGAAATTTGAATTTCACGCCACTGGCGATTAGTAGGTACCAAGCGTCCCTGATCTGTGAGACCCTTGAACTCCTTATAAACTCCCTGCTCCTCGACACAACCCTCACGTTGAATGAGTGGGGATTCTAAAACCAATATTTAGTAAACATGCCAAGTTAATGGGCCACTTTGAAAGCACTCACCGACTGCAGGAGTCATTCGCAAATCACCAACAGAGCTGTTGAAAAGCACCAAAGAAAGACGCTCTTCGTTTAATTGGTCGACAGGTGGTTTGTAGACACGGTGACGAGTGGCCTTGAAATGTCCACCAGAGACAATCTCCAGGGTATCTCCAATGTTAATAACAAGCGCACCGGGTCTGTAAGGCACATAGTACCACTTTTCGTCTCTGCCCCAAATTTGAAGACAAGAGATGGGAACAGAGAATAGCAATGTCGTCAAACCAAAGTCTGTATGTCCGTGCATACGAAGACCCTTCGAGGCTTCTTGGGTTTTCTTCTGAACGGGCCGGAAAAGCGCATGGCGGAAGTATCCCTCGCCGGTAGGGCAACCGTGTGATTGGACATTGTCCCATAGATAGTTGTCTGGCAGCTCAAGGACGCGCGAGAAAAGGGTTAGGAGGCGACGATTGACGGAACCTGTGAGATAGTCGCAGAATGACCGGATCTCATCCATGAAGGGGTGCAGACATGAAGGAATCCTGTTGATATCTTCCCAGTCAGGCTTGTACCAGTTGAACTGCTCAATGCCATCCTCCGGTCCTGGCTGACGCTAAAGGGGGTTTTAGTTATTTGAATTCCGAGATGATTAATGTTCCGGGCTATGCCATACCTTGAAACCATATGGATGCTTATATCCGGACCACACACCGGTTTCGGGGTGGAAGAGAAGGCGCTCCTTATCTTCTTCACTGATATTGTGGTATAGGTACTGGGCAAGAGAGAACTGACGGTGGAGCTTTGAAAAATATTTATGGTTAATGACTGATTGGACGTCTCGGAGAAATAATAATCAGTCTTACCTGTTCCAAGGACACTCCATAGTTCTCCAGAAAGAGGAAGCCATCATCACGAATGGCGGTCTTGACTTGCTGAATTAGATGATCAACAACAGCTGGGTCTTCAGAGTCAAGCAATGACAGATCGATCGATTTTAGCTGTGCAAATTCCTCCTTTTGGTTCGTCACTGGAGGTGGGACCCATCCGGGTACTGATGGTTTACCAGGCAAATTGGCCGCGGGTGGGTTGAAGGAAGCTGCAGGTGCCATGGTGGATAGTATACAGAATATGATTGGAATAATCGGTTATCTGATGGAATGATCATGAAATGGAAGGTATTTCATGGGGCTTAATATATCAATGTAGCCTAGATATTAGCGAGGCCAACTTCCCACTTTCGTGAAGATAGATACCTTCGTCCCGCTGGGTCCGACGAGCTCCTCAGAGACTTGAAGGCTTCTGGGGTAAACTCCATGTCTGTGCTCCCGTCCCATTGCGATATCACCCCATCTATCTCGGGGCACTTAGACTTTCCTTGAAACCAGATGCTGAATCTATCCCGAAACAGTATGCGGAGGTAAGATTAGAATCCTTGCTCTATCAAGCGATCTCTTATCATTGAGAGCTCCTCCCCAACCCCACATGATAACACATATGTGCAACTATTGAGGCTTATCGGGCGGCAACCATCGTAATTAGGCCAGACTTGGAGATGATCTACTAGCGTAATCTGGGGAAGAAGATGGAAGGGGATAAGAGGAGGTGGGAGGAGTTGGGAGGAGCTCCTCCGACTTGGACGGGACGGCCCGGTACATTGTATGACCACCTGCTCAATAGTATGCCAAAATCAAATCCGACCGAATTATCTATCTATCACAAAACCCCTCTATTGCTCCCTAGCTAGAGCTCCTCTAGCTCCTCTACTCCTCTACTCCTCCATTTACGGGCAGTAATTTCCCCACCAACTGATTGGACCACGGAGCCACTATCAGTGCACACCAACCTTGTAACATTTAAGTGTCCTTCAACCATTCTCTTGTTTCACAAATTAAAGCATCCAACTCTCACAACTTCCTTCTTACACAAACACAAGTTCTCCAGGACCAATCAAAGTCAAAATGTCTCGCCAACTTATCTCCAGCGAGAAATTCCCCACCAAGCCACACAACTGTACGCGATGAAGACCCCCACATTCACCTGAAACATCGCTAATACATTTCAAGGCCCGGCTGTCAAGGTCCCAGGCCTTGTATTCTGTGCCGGTCAGACTGCTACAGGAGAGATTAAGCAGGCAACAGTAAGTGCAATTTAGTGAAGATTTTGCTATTGATTAACATATCCGCTGACCACATTGCTCTTCTTAGAAAACCTGCCTCCAAAACCTTAAGGAAGTCCTCGAACTATCGGGGTCATCTATTGACCAGGTGGTCAAATATAATGTGTACCTTGCCGATATGAAGGACTTTGCCGCCATGAACGAGGCTTACATCGATTTCTTGCCACAACCTATGCCCTCCCGCTCTTGCCTTCAGGCCGTTCCCCCCGGCAACGGAACTGTGATTGAGATTGAATGCATTGCCCAGGTCTAAAGAAAACATGAAGGAAAAAAGAGACCGGGACTCGAATGCCGACAGGAAGCTCTGCATGTCTCCCATACCTTATGATATGAATAAATAAATGAATAGAAAGATTATAATAGAAAGATGTCTATTTCTGCTTGGAGATCTTATTTACGTGTAGCATCGGAATGTTCACATAATAGGCATAGCTTCTTAGTAGCAATACAGTGGGTAATATGGACATTAGGGGGATCTGCATAAGTCATTCGTCGTCCAGATTTTCAAGGCAAGAAAGAATCAATCTTCCCAACTGCCATCGTGCTCTCCGTTGGAAAACAACTTTAGCCCATTTCAAAGCTCCACTCTTATCCCCGCTCTGAACGCCAACAACAGCCATTGCATCAGGGGCACCCCCACACACAAGTTGCCAGGCAATAAGAAAAGCCTTGTAAGCATAAAGCGTAAGCCATGGCGCCTCTAGCTCGGGTACAGAGTTGGTATTCAGATAACGTAAGAACCATGTCACATGAGGTTGAACTGCTTTGGCAGTATTAGGTTCGGATAATAGTTCGCAAAAAGGGGCAAGATAGGTGGAATGATTCAAGACCGCATCCATACTAGCAGCTACAATGCCACCCGTATGTGAAGGTGACCACATGTGTAGCTCAAGCATTGCAATTTCCCAAGTTGCTTCACATAATGCTATATGTTCCGATGTTGATGATGGTGATGGGGCTCGAATAAAGGGTCCAAGTGTAACGAGTGACGATCTTAGGGCGCCGAATCGTTCAATACTGAGCATGCCTGTCATAGTCGACCAGCCTGATATCTCTCTGGCGCTGGAGATAAGAAATTGCGCTATGTTTATTGCGCCGTAGGGATCAAACGGCGGTATTGAGTCGATTTCACCACCCGGAGAAAGGAAGCGACGGACTGCATCTGAATATTGTACTGATGGACCTGAATTTCCAGATAGAAGGCGGCGATGTGCCCAGTCTGCAGAGGATGGTGCAGACCACTGGCCCTCTGGACAGGGAAGATCATGTTTGATCTCTAAATGCGAGATAGAGCGTGGGATTGATAAGAATTGATACCAGAGGGCATCTATTTGGTGAATAGCGAAGAGTGTCCGCTTATGGGATTCCGCACGAACAAACTCGCGCCATAAAGAATCGAGATCTTGGGTTGTAGAAGATTCGATCCCGAGAGGCTGCATCAGGCCGAATGACCGAGCGAGAGAGATCATCCTAGAATGCATATCCAGTCCGATTGAGGACTCATCTCCACAGAAATACATCATCGCAGACAATTGAAGAATTAAATATGACTGGACAATATGAATCCTGTCTGTGGCTGTTTCGTCATTTGATCCCTCACTAGAACTCAAAAGGGACCGACTTTGGCGGAAGAATTGCTGTGATAGTCTCACTCCAGAGCCCTGCGCATTGTCATGATCGGGATCCTCTCCGTATTGATACCCAAGGCAGAGTACCGCGAAAAGCAGGCATTGGGAAATTTTAAAGGGCTCGAACGTCGCTCGGTGGAGGAATGGAAGGAAGTGCGCGACATGATTGAAAAACAGCTGACATCCATGTGTGATCTGAAGGCCAGAAGGTGCCCAGTCCTCCTGCGGTACTTGGAGATCCGCCTCGAATAATCTGTTAGGAATGACGTGGGCGATATTGAAATTATTTTGGTCGGTATTGAATAGGTTTTGATAGGAGAAGGCAGTAGATTGGGGATTTGACGGTTCGGCGGTCATTTCAGGTAGCATGCTGCTTCCAAAGTCCGGGGTTCCTGGGAAAGAGATACTTTCAAGTGCCTTTCGGTATATCCCGTCTTCAATTTGACCACTTTCATCACCTGTGAATTGTATTTGCATAACGCCCCCGGTGGATTCGGGTGACGAGGAGCTGTCTTTGTCGCTTGAGCTATGCCGACTGATGTACCCTCTAGGCGTAGAAGATTTTCGGCGAACGGTCTTTCTAGTTGGGCTTGGATCGTACTCCGGGTGTTTTCGCTTCATATGACGATTCCGCAAGTCGGGTCTTGAGAAGGTAGATGGGCAGTAGTCGCAGGATATGGCAGCTTCGGCCTGCGATCGGGTATGAAGTGTGGCATGCCGTTTAAGATTTTCATGACGAGTGAAGCGACTTTGGCAAATTATGCATTGGAAAGGATGGTTAGATGGCCTTCTTTCCGGTGATGGGAAGTCAGCCATGTCAAACTGCGTCTTGAGACGAATGTGCATGAATTATTTCGGACGGGATTCTTTGACACAGCTCCAAATCCGGGGGCAATCTTCCCCCGCAATATTCGGAGAGTCTCCGCTGCCTCCGCGCGCTGTCAAATCGGCTAAACCTGAGATGGGTAAGCGGGAAGACTTGGTCCAAGGTTTCGTTTTGCCGCCTCGTATTGACAAATTTCTTCGAAATTTGCAAGGTGATTGAGTTCTATTTAATGGTCGTTCATTGAGAGAATTGGAAGAAGTAAGCAAATCCAAAGGTTATTATTACCTATCAATGTTTATCGTGTCTACGAATCGCCGCCGACGAAGACTGTAATCAGTGAGTGGGGCTTCACCAACGCCAACGTCCAGTCAGGCTGCGGCGAGTTATCAGTGAGCCAGTTTAACATCCGATTGACCCATAGGAAGAGATAGATTACATAAAATCCAACATTTGAAAAGTACAAATAAATTCACTATAACTTAACAAACACAGGTAGTCATTCGTAGCAGGGTGTAATGTGCTTATCAAAACATTTCGTAGCGCCAGTTGAGCTGTATCATCTCCTCTGTTACACCACCTTTGATCACCTTCGCGATTTGGTCGGGATCACCAGAGTCCAAGCGTCTGTTCTCTCGCAAGACCAACCAGCGGTAGACAGTAATTGTGATTGCAAACAAGAAGGCAGCGCCCATCAGGGTTCCAAAGGCAGCATAGAAATGAGGCTCCTGGTAGTAAAGATACGACGCCCAGATGTTTGATGTACCTCCAATGGCATTGACTAAAGCGGAGGCCGCTGCTCGCTTGGAAACTGGACGAGCCAAATGCAAGTTGAGGGTCTTGTATAGAAGGAGCTGGGGTCCGACCGAAGCGAAAGGCAGGATCATCATTGCGAAATAGCGGGCACCCACGTTTAGAGTAACCATGGGAATGATGTACATGACGATTGAGATAGAAATACACACCATGATGAGAGGGTATACAACATTCTTGCGATCCGAGTAAAACATCAGGCAATAATAGACCGCTCCGGCGAGTATGTAGGGAGGCGCGGTGAGGAGAAGGCTGATGGTGCTGGAAAAGTTGAGAGAATCAACAAGCGTAGGGAAGTAATTCGCAATGGATCCCTGTGCCTGTGATAGCATGTTGCAAAGGATGAGAAGAATGAGCTTCCAGTCGGAAAGAGCCTTGAAAAAGCCCTTCATAGTGCCTTCTTTCTCCGATCCCTCTGCAGCACCTGACTCTGACTCAATTCGCCACACGGCAACATCACGCTCTAGTTGGGAGAGAATACGGCTGTTGTGAGGGAATTCTGGCATAATACAAGCACAGATAACTCCCACGCCAACAGTAGCACTTCCTTCAATGATGAAGAGCCATTGCCATCCAGATATGTTGTGAACGCCATCTAGCTGAAGAACCGCAGCAGCGAATAATCCACCAAATGCATTGCCAACTTGCTGGGCAATGTATAGACCAGCGATTCTTTTCCCCAGTTCCACCTTTGTATACCATGCCGAGAGGTAGTAGATTGCACCTGGGAAGAATACAGCTTCGGCTGCTCCCAGGATAGCACGAACCGCAAGCAGTTGACCATATGTCTTCACAGCAGCCGTTGCAGCTGAAATACCACCCCAAATCGCCACTGCTAGACAGATGTACATGCCCGGTCGTGAGATCTTGGTAATGAGGAGGTTGCTAGGTATCTGGAAGGGCAGATATCCAACGAATAGGATGGAAACCGCGGTGGCGAATTGCTCTGTAGTCATGTTCAAGTCTTGAGTAATTCCTTGGAGTTTAGCGGCAGCCAGGTTCTGTCGGTCGATGTAGTTCAAGATGTACAAAATGCCAATCGTCGGTAGTACAAGGAGGTCGATCTTGCGTACAATCTTCTTGTTGAGACTTTGAAACTCTTCGTCGCTGAGATTCTGAAGTGATTCAGGCATCCGTTGATAGGCAGTCGTCGTATGGCCGACCTGCCCTTCAGCAGATGACACATTGTCATCGGTGTGGACCGAGCATGGACGCTTCTTGAGTTCCAATGCACTCATTATATAGACAAATAGAAGGAATAAACCCGTTCAATATAGAAGAAAGACCAAGTTCGAAATAAGTAGGCTTGGCACAGAAGCGTGACTAGCTGTGAAATTTCTTGGATGAAGGAGATTTTGGTGAGACGGCCCCTAAAGTAGGCCATGGCCCTTGGGATTCATATCACGGACGGATTCACTCCTATCTGGCATTTGATATCCAGATCTGGCCATAGATTGGCACATGAACGGTCAAGCCTCCGTCACAACGGACCCGACATGCTTTGCGGAGGCGTTCCAGTAATCTGTGGCGTTTGATTGGAAGGAGGAAGAGCTTCCGATTCTTATCATCCCCGATTAGTTTAGTCTGTGAATACCAGCAGATTGGTTGTAATCCGGGGTACAGGCCACAGGCTAGGTGGGTCAATTGGGAGGAGTCAATGGAGATAATAGAGTATGAAAGCGTTGAAGAAAGTCGGAGGAGTGTTGGGGGAGGCAAGAGGAGCTCCTCCCGGTGGAGTCAAAAATGAAGCTGCATTGTGATTGGTTCCCGTTCTTTGTATAGAGATTTGGATCCACAACTGCGATGCTGCTCCTCTCCTCCTCTTTCCTCCTCTTTCCTCCTCTCACCTCCTCTTCCCTCCTCTTCCCTCCTCCATAGAGACATTCAGGATTACCAAAAAAAAAAACACATTTTCGAGACATTAAGCTAAATAGATCCGTTTATCAAGTAGTAAATCTTCAATTCAATTCAATTCTCTTTCATCAATCTTCACATCCCAAAAAGTGTTTTCCAACTATCACAATGAGTTATCCTACCCCACAAACCACCAAGATTGAGAATTCTCGATTGAGACTACTCAATAAGATCAAGAATGACGAGTACCCATTGATGACCTTTGTGGCCATTCCTTCCATACGCCAAGCCCAAATCGTTGCCTTGACTGGCCTTGACGGTATCATCATCGACTGCGAGCACGGCCACATCGGCGATGATGCGATGCACAATTCCGTCTCAGCCATCTCAGCCCTAGGAGTCTCCCCTATTATTCGAATTCGCGGACCATCCCACGACATTATCAAGCGCGCTCTTGACACTGGTGCCCATGGTATCATGGTCCCTCAGATCAACAATGCTGAAGAAGCAACACAAATTGTCGCATCGGCCAAATTCCCACCGCAGGGTGTGCGTGGTCAAGGCTCAGCCTTCCCAGCTATTGGCCATGGGCTCACAACACCTGAATATATGAAGGCTGCCAATGAGACCATTCTGACCATGATTCAAATTGAGACACGCGCCGGTGTCGAAAATGTGGACGCCATCTGTGCTGTTCCTGGCGTAGATGTGGTTTTCATCGGACCCAATGATTTAGCACAGTCTCTTCTGGGATACACACCTGCTCGTGGTGATGAGCCAGAATTTGTGGCCGCCATTGATAAGATCGTTACCGCCGCGAGAAAACACGGCAAATGGGCTGCACGCATGGTTAATAATGGAACAGTTGCGAAGGAAGAGAGGCACAGATACGATACGGTGGCAATCACAGGTGATACCAAGGCCATTCAAAACTGGTATATGGCTGAGTTTGAGATTGCACGCTCATGAAGAGTTGTCGAGTCCTTATGAAGAAAAGAAGAAAATAGAAAGAAGGAATATTAGATAGCAGCGGATTTCAAGACAGCTTTAAATGTTCAATCTAATTGTCTTATCAAATAAGTCACCCCCCCTCCCTTTGCGAAGTTTCAGCAGCCAAGGTACTTGTTTTGAAGTATCATTGATTAGATATTCAATTGGTAATGTATTTGGTATGTAGTGGTAAACAGTTTATCCATTTACGCTAGCACTCTTGGTCATGCCAATGCCTACTGCTGCGGTGGTACCTGCATCAACCGGAAGAATAACACCTGTGATCCAACGCGCATGGGGCCCCACCAAGAATGCTACTGCACCAGCACAATCCCATCCGTTCCCCTCAGTACCCAATAAACTGCGCTTGCGTCTTGCCTCTCGTGCTTCTTCACTCATACCTTTGCCGTACATCATAGGTGTGTATAACATCTGTTTGGCGAGTCAGCCTGGGAACACGAAAATAAGAGTTAGGGTTATGCCTTACTCCTGGACAAACACAGTTGACTCGAATACCATCCGTGGCATGATGTGCAGCCATTGCACGCGTCATATTGACAATTGCGCCTTTAGCAGTTGGATAAAGCAGATGCGGCGTGCCACCTTTCAATCCAGCAACACTACCCATATTCACGACACTCCCCTTGCTTTCTCCTTCGTTTCTTTTCATAGCTGGGATTGCGAACTTGGCCATTTGAACCATACTTGAGACATTCACTTCCATGCCTTTAGCCCACTCAGTCATTTCCACTTCTACTGCGGTTCCTGCAGCACCCCCAATGCCGACGTTATTAACTAGGATGTCAAGACGACCGAACTTGTCCACTGCGATCTGCACTGCTCTTTGACAGTCGCTTTCGGAGGTGACGTCTGCTTGAAAGGAAATTGCCCGTCCGCGGCCTGGCTTGGAGTTTATCATGTTGACCGTTGTGTCTGCCCACTCCAAACTCAAATCTAAACAAACCACGTCACAACCATCATCCGCTAGGAGGATTGAAATTGCGCGACCATTGCCGATTCCGTCACCCAGGCACCCTGCACCTGTTATAATGGCAACTTTTCCTTTTAAAGAGCGCGAAGGAGGCTCGGCCGTTATGTCGCAAGTCATGATGTTTCAGTGTCTCAACTCAACAATGGGTTGTTCTGCAAGCCACATGCAAATTGCTTCTCACAAAGCTATTGTTAGAAAGTCTCTACCATCTTATTTGCCTGGTAGGACAACAATTGCCCACTTTGAGCCCAGGATTGCGGGGTAGCGAACGCATCATACCCGAGCCGAGGTCTTTGCGCGCCTTGCTCATGTAAGTATCCTGGGCTAGCGTACGTTGAATAAGCCAGCCTGCGTTTCAAATATGAAACTGATATGATCCATTTTTAGTGTATGGAGAATATCGGGTGAATAACTGGCCGAGGTCCCGCACTGATGAAATGAGTTTGCAGACTTGCATAAGTTGGGCTATGGGGCTTTCATAAGACGACGATCATCCGCAATTCCTGGGATCTTAACCCCCACTACCAAGGCCAAACACTTCTCAACATCCCAAATATTTTATTCAATCCTACCATATGGCTGATTTCACTGAATATGGCGTACCTAGCGCCGAATGGCTTGCTTTGGTGCCTTCCCTGCCCCAAATCCCCGATCTCACGGCAGAGCAACTGAGGGATCTTAGCAATGAGACTCGTGAGAAGACCTCAGCTAAGGCCATGGTTGAGGAAGGTCAGTAATTCTTTTCTATATGTGGATTGAACAGTCATGTCCCAAATACAACATTGGCAACATTGGCAACATCCAATATTTCGTTCAGTGGGAAACTCAGCAAGCTCACACTGTCCAATTCAGGTTTAAGTTCCAAAGTTCAGATTCACGACTACACAGTTTCTAGCCGTGATGGAGCGACATTGGAAGCCCGGACTTACCGTCCTGCTGGTATCCCCATTTCGCAACCCCTTCCATTGTATATCCATCTCCACGGAGGAGGCTATCTCTTTGGGACCCTCTCCTCCGAAGATGCGATCTGCTCGCGCATCGTCGTATCGAATCAAGAAAAAGGCACCCCCGTTGCCGTTTTTCAGGTGAACTATCGCCATACTCCGGTGCATAAGTACCCGACCGCCTGGAATGATGTTGAAGATGCCTTCATTTGGGTTCACGAGCACATAACTGAGATAGGTGCCTTCGCTGACCAAATCGTTGTGGGTGGAATATCGGCCGGTGGCCAGTTATCAGCATCTTTGGCACTTGCCCAGCTATATGGAGAGAACAAACGCCTTGCAACTCTTCCCAAACTCAGAGGTCAAATTTTGATGATCCCCTGTCTCACGTTCGCTCCTTACTATGAGCCACGCACATCAATGCTCAGGAGTCCGGAACTGTCAAGTCTGGTACAATGTATTGAGGCGCCAATTCTGCCCGTGAGCCGTCTTCAATTTTTCGGGGACTTGCTTGGATTGGAGGGCACAGATGGTGCTGGTCGCGATATCCGGATGAATCCTGGCAATGCCACCGCGGACGAAGTCAAGAATCTACCTCCCACGGTATTTGGAATTGCTGGCTTAGATCCCCTTCGGGATGAAGGGCTTTTCTATGCCAAGCTGCTTAGTGAAAATGGGTAAGCAATCTCGATTTTTCGTTGACTAGCAGCAATGATTTCTAATATGCGACTAGGGTGCCCACTGATACTACGATCTACCGTGGTGTCCCTCATGGGTTCCGTCGGTATGGAAACAGTTTAGAGCGAGCATCTAAGTTATGGGATGAAACTGTTAGTAATGGGATAACCTGGGCATTGAGTAACCCCCCAGCCAATGCTTTCGAAATCAAGACCGATTAAGTGTTGGAGTGAGAACAGCGTATTGGTGGGATAGAATAGCTCAATATGGAACCGCACATTGAAGTCCCTGTCACATTATACACATACATACTACTCTCTTAATATCCTCTTTTCTTTAGCTACTGATGTTCCTCAAAAAAAGCCTCTGCATAATTCATCATTCTATTCATCTCATGGGATACCCCAGGTACAACGTTTAATTTGCAACGAGCACCAGCTGTACGCCAGGCTGCTTCAAGACGAACGATCCCCCCATACCGACCCTCTTCAGCTACCTCAATCCACTTCCCACGTGCTTTAGTATAGAGAATACTGGTATGTGCATCTCCCACAATGAATAATGTCGGAGCAGTACATAGTTGTTTCCATTGCATTCGCAATCCGAACACTCTTTCCAAATCCTTCACGCCCTGGGGATATGGCTTAGTATCATCTGGAAACGTTTTCGATCCAGGCGCACCGCAAACAACTGCCTTTAGACGCTCTGTATACAAATATGCAAATCTGTGAACAAATTGGCCTCCACCACTAAAACCAAAAAGAAGGAAGCGATTAACGTCTAGCTCAGTATAACGCATGTAGACCTCTTCTACCATTGAAAGTAGAACCAGGTCATACCGAATTTCGCCAGACTTCAGAACCTTGTAACCTGCAGTATCTTGAAAATCCCCCGTCTCGACGGGGAATAGCGGGGAAAGGATCATGTAAGAATGTTTCTTAGCGAATGGAGCAAATGTCTTGCGCATTTCGGGGGCATTACGTTGGCTGCTGTGAATTAGAACCATGAGTTTCAAGTGATTGGGATTGTAATAGTTTTCTGGCACGTAAAGGAAATAGCAAAATTGTTTATTTGCATTACATTTCCATGCCGGGGTATTTCCCAGATAGCCCAATTCTTTAGCTATGTGGGGGTCAAGGTTATCGACAGTCGTGAATTCCATACTTTATGAACTGGCTGTTTCTCGAATATCAGAAAAGGCCAATTGGTAGAACATCCGCCATATTTATGACAATATAATAGAAAGAAAGAGCTTGAAGTTTCGCAGATGATACCTGCCCGGGTTGTACGAAAAACTGAAATGCTTTTAAGTTCGAGTCGATGCAGCTTAAGCATCGGTTCGAGCCGTTTTATCCGGAAGACTAATTCAGGCCCAAATGCTACGGGTTTGTTTCTCATTAAAATACTCTGAACACGTCACATTCCTGTATATTTGGTAAAGAATCAATCGCGCTATGATCATTTCATTTCTATGAACGTTCGAAAGATCTCTTTACAAATCCTCCTAGTCGCATGCCCAGGGAATATGATCTCACATCAAGATCTAGCAATAAAGGAAGAGCCCCATCCCTCTCAGACTTCGCTCAGAAACATGAAAAATATCCCGGAGATTCAAGGATAAACTGCAACCCCTGACTTGACAAAGGAGCAAATTGTTCTTGACCGCAAAATTCTACGGAAAATTGATCTTCTAATATTGCCTCTTTGCACCTTAAACTATTTCTTTTCGGCTATGGATCGCTCTGATATTGGAAATGCCAAAATTGCTGGATTTAAAAAAGACAATCATCTATCGGCAACCCAGTTTTCAACTATCGTCTCCCTCTTCTATACAGGATACATAGTCTGTCAGCCAATCGGCGGGCTTCTTATTCAATTCGTGGAAGCATTTCTCTTACTGGGAATAGCAAATATAGCCTGGGGTATTTGCACGATCATGATTCTCTTTTCAAAGGGTATGGTTTTTCCCGGAATATTACGAGTCTTGATTGGAGCAGCTGAAGATCTCACCCAAATAGATACTGTATTCCTCACTATGTGGTATACAAAGGAGGTAGCTGTCAGAACGGGGCTATGGTATTCGTTCGGGTCATTAGCTGCCGCGTTCAATGGGCTGATTGCTTGGGGAATTCAGCATAATATACACTCCAGTATATTCAAGTCATGGCAGCTTCTCTTCCTAATAGAAGGAGCGTTTCCTATCGCGTTTCCTCCTTTTCTGATATACTTTTATCCTTCTTCGCCCGCGAATGTAAAGAAGTTCTTTACAGAAGAAGAGAAAACGCTGTGAATTTCCTGCTCTCAGTGAGCAGGAAACACCATTGGAAGAGCTGTCAACCCACGTGAGGCATTCACTGTGTTTTATGCTCCCGAAATATATGGCATGTTCATCGCCTACTTCTGCGTTATCTGGTCGTCATCGGGCTATGGAAGCTTTTTACCTGCCATCGTGAGAGGCCTCGGTTTCAGCGCAGTCAAGAGCCAGCTCCTTACGGTGCCTATTTGCTTTCTGGGATTTCTCTCTGCTAATTTCTGGTGCTATATTAGTGATCGGCTTCAAATACGTGGTCCACTCATCATAGGCCTTGCCATGGTTGCAATGATTGGATTCGCGATATTAACTGCCATTTCCAGTGCGAAAGTGCCAAGAATATTTGCTCTTTGTCTGATTAGCTGTAGTGTCCAACCACTTATTCCACTGACGCTTTCATTCCTTTTTGTGAACACCGTTGGACTTTCTCGACGGGCTTTACTCATTCCAATTCAGAATGCTTGTGGTCAAGTTGGAGGTCTTGGTGTAAGCTACACGTATGTGGACGGACCGCGTTATCTCAAGGGGACTATTGCAACCATTCTTTGCCTTGGTATATTGATGTTTATCCTTGGGGCTTTGGACTTATATTTTGTTGCACGAAATCGAGTCAAGGCTGCAAGTACTGGTTCGAGGCGTTGGGAGGAGGATCACACCAAGTCGTTCGATGAGCTGGGAACAGACCATCCTAACTTTTTATTTACGGTGTGAACAACATGCAAAGCTATTTTAAAACAACTACTGACAGTTCTTTATTTATATTCTCGGGGACGATAATTTTCCCCGGTGTAATGCCATTGTCTATCCATTTTGATGGGAGGGCGCCCATCCAGCACATGCCCAGAGATCGTAGATATAATCTGATGCCGTAGCCATTCATGAACCCAAGTAAATACTCCGCGGAGAAAGCCAAAAAAAAAGAAAAAAATCAGAAAGGAATTCGATAAACATAAAGATCAGTCACCACCATGCAGTTTCGTATTTAAAATTTTCAATGGCCCAAAGTTCCATTGTTCATTTCTTGTCGCCGTTAGGAGCCTCATCTTCGAGGTCAACCATGTCTCGCAAAATGTCTTTCAGTCCGCGTACACCTTCATCCACCACGGAATCTGGAATTCGAACATCCACATCTTCAATATATTTCGATGGATCGTATGGGGTATCGTCTGCGTTTTTCTTCTTGTCCGAATCTCCTTTCTTTGTCCCGTTTGCTTTCCCTTCTTTTGCACCATTCGTCGTCGCATCTCCGTTCTGTTCTGTTGAGCGTTTTGAGCCTAGGGCTGGGTGGCTTCTACCTTCCGCTGAGGCCACTACTGCCGCCATCACATCATCAAAGCTCTCGCAACGGCCAGCGCGAAGAAGTTCTGTTGCAAGGCCGGTCACTCGTTCTGTCCATCCAGTACGATGTAAAGCGCCGAGTAGGGATTCTTGCAAATCTTCTAGTGCAGAAGTGGCAGAAAGTTTTGTGAGAAGGTCAGATTCGAGGGCGTCGGGGGTGGAGGATGGCATGATGTGGAGAGCTGTGTGTTGGCGGGGTTCAAAGCCGCGAGAAGAGGACTGGGGCAGGTCTGTCGTGTGTTTCTGGGTGTAAGGGATTGGACGAGGAGGGTGTACTTGTAGCGACCACGTATTTAATTGTGTAGGTTCACTTCAAAGTCACCAGGTAAGGACTGTGTGGTATGAGGGTATGCGCCGAGATCGGTTGAAGTTGGACTTGGAGTCGAGATGTTGCGAGATCAGCAGAAATGAGAGGGGATCCTGCCCCTAGTGGAAAAAAGACTTTTATTCAAAGAAAAGCAGATTATGATTACTCGCAAAGCTGGAAAAGGTCGAATCCAGTGCGCGAAAAGTGGATATGAAGAATGGGCGACCGTTTCGCAAACCAGTCTGTTAATCCGGCGGCGACCCAATTAGCGCTGTGGCAATAAGGCCCATGCGACGGGGCTGGATCAAGGGAGGTATAGGTTGCGTTTAACAAAAAAAGGGCAGCGGCTAACCTAAGAGATGTGATTGAAGCTTCCTGCACATGTGATGAAGGCCAAATTCCAGGCGCAGAACGACTAGCAATGCGGAGGTGTGGTTGATGCGAGCCGGGGAAGAGAAGGAGAGAATGGGGTCGGCCAGGAGAACAGACACCGGGTTAAATAGATGCACCCATTGCACACAATGGAATAATTTCTCGCGCTCACAAAGGAACAGAGGCAATGAACCTTAAAAAGTCAATGGGCGAGGTGCAATGTTCCAATATTGGAAAAAAGAATCGAATCAATCCCCGGTCGGAATCTCCAGCACAGGCCAATCGGCGTGGAGCGCGGGCGGTGAATAGATGCGGCTTGGATGGGAACGATTACAACATAGATCTACTATATGTACTATGTACTTAATAGCTAACTCTGATTATTACGTTGATATATTTGATGGTAACTCTGATGCGCTGACCTTCATGAGAGTAAACTTCGTACTCGTTACTCAGATCCAAACTTGGATTTAAGAAGTCATGTGTACATATTCTCAATATTCTCAACACTATAAACCTCAGAACGTTTAACTGGACCTTCAATGTTTGGAAGTATTACTTCTGTGAGATAGTACTGACTATCCAGACCTCCATGGAACACATTTGAAAGACATAAGCCCCTATTCTTAAGACAAGTTGGCTTTCGAATGTGTCGTGCATGAAAATGTGCATCAGATGGAGATGACCTGGACTCAGCATTCAGCCTCCATTGTATACTACCGACCTTGGAAGCGTGTATCAAGATAGATTTTGAGCCATAACCCGGCCCTTGAACTCCATATTATACTGCCCAGGCTCATTCTGTCTGTTTGAGATCACCCTCTAATCAGTTGAGTTATGTGGGGAAGAGCGTAGTGCTTTCCCACGTTCTGCACTTTATTTTTGTTGATCAACCTTGAAGATCTAAGACATGACGGGTCCCACCCGGAGAAGGTTCCCTGGGGAATTCGGAGTGGGCATGGAAAATCGTTCCACGCAAAGCTTCCTTGCCTTTGTGTTAGAACGAAACTTGAGCCTTCCCCCCCCCCCATCTACTTGGCATAAGAGACCAGGCCTTAAAAGACATATTTAGATATCGCGTACTCCATCCATCATACATAAGTCCCCCGGCAAATGGTTCAAGCGACTCCGAATCCAGACCCAGTCACGTGCAATTTGGCTCGTCCCGCGACGCTTCGCCTTTTAGTCCAGAATCCCTGGACTCGGCCCAGTTTCTCTCCCATCCATATAAACGACAGCCCATAGGATTTGCCTCTTCAACCTAGGTATAACCTGGGAGTATATACACATTTGAACCTCCGAAACCTCTTGGGAGCCAAAATCGCCTCTTCGCGCCGGGCAGCTTTCCCCGCTCTGGCTACCCGCGCCTACCCAAAGTTGTCATTCACTCCCGGGCGGCTATTCGCTACAACACGTCGCCGCAGAAATTCATCTTTCGATTGACACGCCCTTTCGTCTGAATTCTTTACCATTACAACCTTAGACACTTCGATATTGATGTCCTCGAACACCTCCAACTTTCCATTCTCGCCTGCGCCGAACCCTACCCCCCTCCTGCGTGTTTGATTATATCTGTCGCATATCCTTCCAGAGCTGTCATCCCTCGCAACCTGGCGACGCGGCGCTAAATCAGATATATAAACCTGGTCTGAATGTTTCGCAGCCAAGAAGACCATCGAACCATGTCCCTCCATACATCGTTCCACGATGGAGATTCTGATGCGGATGACGAGTACGAGCGCAGTGTGATAACGTCGCCACACCTCCAAACGGATTCTGAGGCTTCTCCTATCGATTCCGACATTCCTTCCTCTGAACATACGCCCACAAAATTTGGATACCCCAGTGATATTCCTCGTACCCCCCGTGCGATAATCTCCGAGTGGACAGCCAATGAATGCATAGAGTTTCTGACATCGCAAGGATTACTCCAATATTGTGAAACTTTTCGTGGTGAGTAGAATTCCCATTCTCTGGCAAAGCTTTGGTATACTTGATAGTCTAACGGGTCACCTGGCAGAAAATGGAATTGTGGGAGAGGCACTCATTGCATTGAGGCATGACGAACTGAAAGAAATGGGAATCAACAGCGTGGGCCACCGATTGACCATTTTAAAGAGTGTCTATGAGATCAAAGTTAGACAGAATGTTCCACTCGACGTCGACCACTATATACCACTTTGTAGGACTTCCTTATGATATCTGCGAATATTTTATTCATTCGTTGGGGGGGGGGGGGGGTTTTTTCTTTACTGACTTTGCCTATACAGCCGCCGATCAGAGCATGAATGAAAACGCCACCCAAGATGATATTGCTCGTTTAATTCAATCTATCCAGATTCGAGACCAGAAAATATATTCAGTCGAAACAGAATTGCGACGGCTTGCAGACGAGTATCGACGGTTACGGGAAGAAATCCTACCCATGATCAAAATGGCTAAAGATCGATCTCAACCGCTGCCTCCCCCTTCTTCCTCAATGGGTTCTTCCACAGACAACTACTCTGATAGCGCGACTCTCATATCGCCCTCACAGATCACTGTCACTGACAACTCCTCGTCCTCAAAATTGGCTCGCGCGTTCTCGAAGCGCGCATACGGCGGCAACACACCTAAGACTAATTCCCCAACACACATCCCACCTTCGGTCTACGAAGGTAGGAATTACCACGATGGGGGGAATCTGGATCCATCTGCTGCGGCGATGACTGCATCCTCCCATCTGTCCGCTTCAAGAAATAGTGGTTTACAGCCTTCCCCAGGTGTCCCATCACCAACTTCCCCGAATGCACATATTTCTCAACATCAAACCCTCAATCCCCGATCGTATAACCAACCTGGCTCTACATTATCTCGTGCGATGTACGACCATCCCGAAGAAACCCCTAGGGCGCCCTCTCGTTCAGACAGGCTCACACCCAGTCAGCCGCTGACCGCTCGGACCGAAACACCATCATCCGGGTCCAGAATTGATTCCCGAGGTGCCGGCCCTTCAAGTGTGGAGATATTCAAATCATTTCGCGTTTCTTGGGAGGATCCTTGCTACAAAGTTCTACCGGCTGCACTGAGGAAATATAACATTAACCATGATCCCAAAGATTATGCGCTCTACATCGTCTATGGGGATCAAGAAAGATGCTTAGGGCTGGATGAGAAACCGCTTCTTCTCTTCAAACAATTAGAGAGAGAGGGCCGAAAGCCAATGTTCATGCTGCGAAGAATACATCCTGAAAATCCGTATCCACCACCCACCGGCTCAGCTCCCCCCAGTGCTGGATTTGAAAGCGGCGGAAGACCTGGACAAATCAACCTACCGGGAGGCGTTTTATGATCTTGTCAATCCTCCCTTCCCGCATGTGTCCATCGCTCAATTTTGAGATACCCATGAGTTTTGCGACAACTTTGGTATGAGACTTTCTCTTCGTTGCATCTTATTTATTTATTACCCCTTCCCTTCTCATACTGGTCCTATTCCTGCATTGTCAATGCGCTCTCATATTCCTCTACTGTAAAGTTACGACAAGACTTTTGCAGCATACAAATTCTGGACCCTTGGAAACTTTGGTACTTGACTTGCTTTTTTCCTTCTTCTTTTTTTTTGGCGGGCAAATTTACCTTGTGGCTTTAGTCCTCCTGCATTTGGGATCCTGCATCGTGCATAAGCCCTGTCTCTTTCTTTGTTTAGATATTATTATTCTTGAATATTGTGTCTTGAACGTCAATAAAGCGCTGCATATCCACAGTCTTCTGCCTCGGTCCCATGTTTCATCTATTGATCTACAAGTGTTTTTACTATATACGGTCCTGATCACTTAAATAAATTTATATTGAATGTTTATTTCAAGGTAACAACAACTGTTCACAAAAACCCAAATGACTGCATCAAAAATAAACTCCACTCATGCCGAAATAACTTCTAACGGGTAATATCAAGATCAAATCGCAAATGCAAAGAATAATTTTTGACCCAGCTTACAATTCGCTGAATCGTCCGGGTTCCTGGCGCATGCGCGTTCAGCAGAAAATAAACAATAATCTTACCAATTCTGGTACCCAGTAGTGCCTGGAAGTTAGGCGTACCATGCTCAAAAACCTTGTAGGGCGCGTCCTTGATAGGGTCTTCCTCACCGAAGAAGCCTGGGTAAATGTAATCACGAAAGAAATTTCTTGTCTCCTCATTCGCGACGGTGTCCACGAAAATATGTCGCAGATTCATAAGGGCGATTCGGTCATCATCATACGAAGCCTTGATTAGCTGTGACATGAATGGAAGCTGGGAAGCAGGAAGCGCTGCTCCATCTACGCGATTGACAAGCTCAATGATTAGTATATTAGGTCCGATAATACCATCCCACTCGGTATAAATGTTTACGTTCATAGCGCCGACCCGTTCAAATGTGGTTTGCGCAGGAGTGATTCCAACTCGGGACACTCGGTTGTTGTATTCGTTTGGTAGATCGTCGGTTTCTCGTCGGATAATCCAGCCTTCGGATCTCAGTTCATTTAGAGTTAGTGTTGAGATGGTAATGGGGGGTCTAGCGTTCGGGTTGGTGAGCCAGTTTTGCAGCTGTGCTCCGATCTGAACGAGGTCATTGAATTCTCGACTAGCAGCCATGGTTATTGAATCGATATCGACTAGAGGTGTTAAAAGAGGTATATATCCTCAAGATATTCTAGTTGACTAGTTAATGGCAATCTTTATCTATGCTTCAAGTTCAGTTCGAGAGAAGGGGATATTGTTCGAGTGTCTAAAAGTCTTCTTGTGTGTTGTGTGCTGTGTGTTGGAGAGCTATCTGGGGGTAGAAGCCAGATCTTAAATAGTAGAATTTGAACCTGAGTCCTAAATTATCCACAATTGAACAAAGCAGGTTTAAGCAGTTTTAACAAAGGCATAGTTTTGGACAGATTTGGACATGAAACAGAATATGAAAGAGCTCGGGAGCGAAATAGACTTGAGTTTCATCCGTGAGCCAATACTAGGCATAGGGTATCATTGTGATAATAATAAGTACAAATCTGAAAGCACTTTTATAAAGATATAATGCCGTAGGTAAGATTTACTAAACTTTGAATAAAGAACCTAAACAAACCCATTGAGGATTTTCAAGGACATAAATATAGATGGAAATCTTAAGTAACACTCGAAGCAGACTCGGGCTTACTCGAGGATTTCAAGCTTTGTCTACCCATTCATTGGCCTTTTTTACACACGTGGATCAATGCATCAAGTCCTTTGCTATAATAATTCACCATGAAAGGCTATTTATGGCATATACCTGGATATTCTAGTACTAGTTGGCATATACTTCAAAGGTCCCAAGGTCTCATTCGAGTCCCCAGCAGATAGTAATAACTTATGTTGTAGGTAGAACCTTGGAATGAGAGGATTTGAACCCTGGAAAAAATATGAATATTTAATTTAAGCTGACCCCTGAAGGGTTAGTGATCAACTCAAAAATCTCACCGGCATCATGATGGGGATGGCTGCCGACAAAATGCAATATGAATATATGAGGGGATTCATTAATGTAATATCAGACAGACGAAGCAAAGGGCAAGGAAACATAAGCGGCACCATTTCGCTCTAAGCAATGCCCTTGTAGTCTTGACTTGCTGGTACATCGATAGGCAGATCCTTCCTCATAGCCCAAAGAATAAAAGCGTTTTCAAGATCCCACGTAAAAGGCGGACAATAACATTCACCCACAATTTGAAAACCTTTCTTCAACCAATATTTCCCATTAATCTCCCTGACAACTTTGAGCATGATTCTCAAATGAGCGTTTTCGGCAGGCTGCGAAAGACTTGATGTGAACCGTCCACGGAGTTCTTTCTCACACGCTTTTATAAGTTTCTCTGCAATTCCCGTTTTCCTGTATTTTTCGCCAGACTTAACAGCAACCAAGAAAAGTTCAAAATCTCCCGTACAATCAGCAACATCCAAGGTGCTGTCATTGATATAGGAACCCAGAATTTCCATAGAAGAAGCATCCTCAGGGCCTTTTCCAGCAAAATAGCTCTCTGGCTTCCAGGAAATGCCATCAGCCTCAGAAACCCAGTCCTTAACACTTGCAGTGCCAACAATCTCATTGGAAGCAAATGCAATAGCCGTAAAGCCACTAGTTCCGATTTCGTCGGCAACTTGAGTATCAGATTGAATTCGATAGCCGACCTTGCCTATAGGGTTTATGTCATGGTCGCGGTAACTGGCATTGATGACCGTCCGAAGCTCGGGTAAAAAGGGTTGAGAAAGCAGATCGTGCCTCGTAAATACTTTGATGTGATAGATGCACGATGAAAGTGCGTGTTTTTGTATGCTCTCGCTGAGTGGAATCATTGTACAGGCAGGTTTGGTGTCTTGAGTTGGATATAAATTGAATTGATATTTTCTCGCAAAAATTGATTCTGATGATAACGATGTGTTAAAAAGAAGTTTCCTACGAAAAACCGTAACTGTTCTCTTTGGAAGAACCGGGATAGTTAACTTAGCTTAGTTAGTTATAGTTTATGATTACTAACGAGCATGTCAACACAGGGCGTAGAACATCTAGCCAGCGGGCCCTTATCGTCACGTGGCGACGTGTCTCATCCAAACGCGTGTAGATAAGGACTTTGTTCTCTTTATCTCATTCGTGTCGAATCACTCGAGATGAGTTGGGATAAGGTCATACAGGACTCCGACGAGGACGAACCTCTCATTGAAGATGACTTTCCCGCCTCTCCTGACCCGCTCCAGACTACCCAGTCTCCAGTCATACAACATCATGATCATCCAGAAGAAAAGGAAACATTTCTCCCACTTCAGCACAATGCCAATCAAGGCTTCCCAGAACCGCAACTGAACGTCAATTTCGATCAATTTCTGCAGTCGCAAGGCACACATGTAACGTCTACTTCATCACAGCAACAACGCGAAGAAAGATGGATTCCCGCGACTTGCGAAGGCGGGGGAGGATCAATCGGTATGTTTTGATTAAATGGCGGCATATAAGAATTCGAGTCGTTGGAGATGATGCTAACTTCACTGATAGGAGGAATCATGACAGAAATAGGAATTGCACAAGATCAATTGTTCAACGATAATGCCTCCAGTGCCGCTCAGCGCCTCCCTTCTACCGCAACTCATTACCCTAGCGAAATATCTCAACCGGGATCTTTTCCAGCAATGGAGTCGTACAATCGCGAACAATATAATCCAGTGGCCTATGGAAATACTGCCCATGCGATGATTCCTCATGATGTCCCTTATGAAGCAACTCAACTTCTTGTTCCTGGTCCCGTGGTCCCATATGATTACAGCACGCTAGCTGCCACGACCGATATATCTTCACCGTCTGACGGGAACACAGCTTTAACGTCAGCTCCACTAAGTGAAAATATGCACACAAATCTATCCAAAGCGGCCCCGCATCGGGCTAAATCAATGCAATCAATGCAATATTCCCCGCATGACACTGAGCCATTCTCGTCTGTGACATCACCGCGCTTAAATAGAGCTAAAAGTGATACAGCAAGGCCCGGTCTCATTTCTCCCCGACACTCTCCATCTAGCACACATGATGAGTTGGCTCTACCTACCGTTGCCGTGGAGGTACCATCTGTTACAAAAAGGAAGCGTGGTCGCCCGAGCAAAGCGTCTCTCCAGGACAATGATGACGACGATGAGCTAGCCCTTACCCGGAACCCAGAGCCTATCCCTATTAAACTATCTGGAAATCAGCTCCCAGAGCAGATAGTCGAACCCGTTCCTATAGAGGCCACCCACGAGTCCAGCGTTGAACAAGCCGTCGAGCCCGAAAAAGAAATCCCAGACACATTAATCAATACAGAAGCAGTGGAGAGCAATGATCAGAATACCACCATATCGGCAGTTGCAGAAAACAAAAACAAGCGCACGGCTAAAGAGCCGAAAAAGAAAAAGGTCAAGCGAAGCAAGACAGCCTCTGCTGCTATGCAGAAGTCTCAAATATCTGATATTGACGATGATATAATCTGGGTTGACTCACGGCCTTTACAAGCCCAGGATGCGCAGGATGCGCAGGAAGAAAGCAAGTCAAAAGCAGACGCGCCACAAAAAGAGATTCCTCAGCAGGAGCCTACCGTTCTAAACGACACTAGCACTAATGTCACGAAACCGGGAAAGGCCCCCCCTAAGAAACGCGGGCGCAAACCGAAGAAGTCTGCAGAGCAAGTAGCAGAAGACGCACCAGACCCGGCAGACGAAGCAGATAAAGCAGATATCTCGTTGGACCATGCTGATTCCAATTCTGTCGGGGTTGATAAATTACAAAACCCTTCACTCCCGGACAAGGATGAGACGAATAACGCCTCAATCGATATTGCGCCCAGCTCAGATGTACATGCCCCAACAGATCCTCCTTCGATTGAAGATGATAAGACGTCAAACTCGACTGAACCGGGACTTCAAACGCCTCAGAGATCGGATCAAAAGCTGAGCACTCCCGTCTCGGATATTAAGGCTCAGAAAGGAGTATCAAAGAATAGTCCTATCACGTCAACTAGCAAAGTTCCGTACCGCGTTGGGTTAAGCAAGAGGGCTCGTATCGCGCCGTTGCTGAAAATCGTACGAAAGTAAGATTATGTGCTCGCGTTCGTACTGCTCCTGGGCATTATTCTTATTTCCCGTTAAAGCATAACGAATACTTTTTTTTGCTTTTTTGTTTGTGATAGCTAGGCTCTTTAGGACATCGCGTGTTTTCATTATTATACCCCTAAGTTATTTTCTACTGAATCTACGCTTTATATGTTACTTTTCCAAGTTGTTCCATGCTTCAATCCCCTGTCTGAAAGGAATGAGTCAAAATATACCCGGGCATCTACATAATTTTAGATCTACTGTCATTACAGTTTACAGTTACTTCTCTGTAGACCTTTGAGAATCAAGAGAAGTATAGACACAATGTTCATAAACAAAAGACACTAGAAGATAGAGCAAATTGAAGAGATGTAGTACTCGAAGAATCAAATAGGATTAAAGAATAAAGAAGGGCTACAAAGTATTGTAAGATGGGAGATCCACTTCGCTGCCCTGTTTTACGAAGAGCCCGAAGTGGCTTACATGGAAAGACGCGGAATAACTTTGTAAATACAAGGATCATGAACACGTATCTCACTATCTCACATACTGATCCCTTGATAAACAGAATGCGGCAAGAAAACGCTGGCAATAATTTAGAACAAAGAGCGACTGAACAAAGATGAAAATATCATGCGAAGGTATGAATATAATGTCGAAAGTAAGCATCGATCCAAAACGCCATAATATCAACATGAATGTTGTTGACACACCAAACAGTAATCAATCACATCAAAAGGGCCACGGCCAACGCTAGAAGCAAAGAAGTTACCGCTGCGGTGCCGGCAGCAGCGAAGTCAGAGTCAGCCTCAGACCTCCCACTCTTGCTTGTAAGGTTTGGATCCCACGCATCACCGTTTAGAGGCGCTCCTACTGCGCAGTATCCGTAATTCTTCTGACAACCTGACCCACAATGATTAGATGTATTCCCGCAAACATTCAAGCTACCACAACACAAGCCAAAGCTGGATCCGAGACAGGTAAAGTTTTTACCGCATGTGCCATCGATAGAAACTTGGGGTGGAAACGATTGCTTCGGTCCCTTCTTTTTGTGTCCATGCCAGCTAGTATCTTTGCGATACCAGTTTTCGCGCGGATCCCTGAGACATTCCCCAACAGTAACTGGTCTGTATCCAAGGCGAGCCATTGTCTGAAGCATGTGTTCTGTGAGGTTATGCACCGTCTGTTCATGGGCATCATGTGCAATGATCAACCAGGAATGAGAGATCGGATTAGCGGAAGACAAAGCTTGATCGAAGATATCCTTGGATCGCTGAATCAAGTTCGGACTATCGTTCTTGTAGTCATCCGTGTCAACATCGTATAAAGTGATGTGGTATCCCATACGACCGAGATCTTCTCTGCATCCAGACCCTGGCTCGCAGCTGGAGTATGGTGGGCGCATGTAGGTCGGGAAACTGCCCATGATGTTCCGCAGGGCAACTTCATTCTTCAGCATCTGGTCGATGCGCTGCGAGGGTGACACCTTGCTGAGATCTTCATGAGACCATGTGTGGCTTGCAATCTGGTGGCCACTTAGCAACATTCGTTCGATTAATGAAGCCCAAGGCAGGCTCGGGTCGTCAATAGCGCCTTTCCCATTGTTGATGCCTGTAATGAAGAATGTTGCAGGAGCTTCGTACTTGTCGAGTAGATCAAGAAGATCACCTGTGTATCTCGTGGGCCCATCGTCAAATGTCAACGCGACTGTTCCGGGAACTGCACAGGAACGAATCTGTTGGGGGCCATAAGGAACAGCACCGTTATGAGGTCGCATGATTTCTCTGGTCGGAGGGCCTTTGGGCGTTTTATGGGCATCGCAATTACCGAAATCAATCCTGCAGTCTGGAGACCGACAGTGTGATTTTGTAGTACCGCAGTAGCCTTGCATCAACCACGATTAGACGAGTTAGGAATGAACATCAATGTGTGAGATACTCTTACCTGCACTAGAACAACAAGTGCCACTAGGACATCTCCCGTATTTTTCACCACACCGATAATCCAAGTCGGTAGTGATATCTCGATGATGCTTTCGACGTGAGTTTGGTCCGACGGGTATGGCAAGTTCGCTGTCTTCAACTGATGTAGCAGATTCGTCTACAGCTTCCATTTTTGCATGCTGGAGGGCTTGAAACGGGACGTATTGGCGCTGATCGAGAGTCTTTGGTGATGATTGCACTTTTTTTTCCGTAATAAGCGTGGAACACCAACCAAAACAGCCCAGCGAAGTGACAAGAACGCCGGCCAAAAGAAGTAAAATGAAATGAGAATGCATCTTTGCATTCCAGACAAAGTATATGGGCGATAGTATGTATAGTAACTTGGCTATGCGGCGAAGTAAGAGATTCGGACAACTGAAGATTGCATGGTGAGAGCCATCAGCCTTTAGAATGAAAGACACAAACAGATGGAGACTCGGATATGAAGCAAGTGCTATCCGAATCTTAGTCTAGAGAAAGAAGGAACGAGGATAATACAGGCTGCCAGTCACGAGGCACGAGTCCAGGCTGAGATGAATCTCATTTCCATGGAAAAAGCGAAAGTTAATTAGTCTTAATGGGCCAAAATGGCTTGTAAAATACCTTGCATTCAGACCTATCTCACTCGAATAATATTTATTTCAAATGTCACTTAGGGTGAAAACATGGGTATCGTTAATTTTAGTCATGCCAGAAATCCAATTGACATTTAAAAGGAAGATAACCTGGAGGGGGATATCTAAAACTGCCTTCCATGCGACAACGTCATGAAAGTTCTAGCGCTGGGGCTGATCAACCGGCCGCATGCACGTGGCACAAATCTGATCCCCCGAAAAGCATTTGGGTGGTCTTCTTCTTCTTCAAACCCACGGGGGTAAAATAAAATGCTCGTATCCCATGAAGTTAATGTGTGATGGAATTGCTCAGTTGACCTTTGCGAGATCACCCTCTCCTGCTGCTGCAAAAACAAAAGGTGCTAAGCTATGCAGGTGTGGTCCGAATTTCGCTGGGGCAGTGCGAGCAATTGTGCCGATCGCAGCAATGAGGTGACGACGGTGTATAATAGTAATGGATTGAGAGGATAGGGTTTGTGTCAGCCGATTAACAAATGTGTTGAGCTGGTTATCGGAGAAATATAGCACTAGCGCTGAGATGGCCGTCAAAGCGCGTTTCGTCACAACAGTCCCCGCTGTGTCATTATCAATAATCGCCATGACCGGCTCTTGTAATGCCGCCAGTTCAGATTCCTTAAGGAGAGGACCAAAACATGTCACGACCTTGATGAGCACGTCGATCGCATCGCTGCTGAATCCTTTGGATGGATCTTTCTCCAACATTCCCCGTACAAAAGAGCCCCTTCGACCTGAAGCTGACTGGGTTGAGCCCGTCAAGCGGGGTATGAGGACCTTTGAAACGGCCGAGTATGCAGTAACGACGTTTTGGGGCGCGGGCTGGCCGGCTTGGGGTCTTGGAAGTGTATCCACGATAGTGCGCAGAGCGGTGTTTGGGACGGAGGTATCAATAGTTTGGGACGCGGTCAAGTTGGTTAGCTTCTCAAGAAGCGGTGTAAGCAATTCAAATGGCAGTCGAATAGCTAGCGGACCCAGGCTAATGAAGGTTAGAATTAGCTATTCGGACAGGCGCGCACGAGGGATTTGATGCGGGGATATACCATTTCAACGCTTGATTCTGAACATCGCCATGTTGATCATCCAGCGCCTTCAGAAGACCATCGGCAAGACCTTGTGAGGAGCGGTGGTCATTTGTTATAAAAGATGATTGAGGGCTGCTCAGAATGCCGAAGAGATCATTCAAGGACATGTATCGCAAATCGGCATCAGGGTCGTTCAGCTTGCCCAGCAGGCTAAGGATATTCTGTTGGGTTACCTGTCGATCCGCCATTTTTGAGAGAGAGCTCTGCAGATCATATATTTTTTTGTGGAAAGGTTGGAGAAGGGATAAGCTTGAGAGTTGTAGCTGTCGGGGAAACAACTGAGGTGATGATGGGCGATAATGATAGCTTGGTTGCAGGTGGGGTTCACGCCTGAGGCATCAAAGCCTGCTGCCTGAATTCCCCACCACAAACATCTCTGGACATGAATCATAATCAACACTTCTCACTTCTCTCTAGGCGTATAGAAGCCCTATACAACATTTGTCGTATGCGGAAACGTTATATACTCGCGGGCAATTAGAAGACATCCTTCAATTTACCCAACTGTACCTATCATGGATGTAGGTAGGCAAACTTGGGGAAGTGAGGAGAACCTGCTAGGCACCAATACAGTTGGCAATGACCATTTTGTACACAAAGAATTTAAAATTTTCATGTTTGAGCCCTTTTTATAGGACATTGATATGGCGATCTTATCTCTCTCCAGATCTTATCTGTCTCATTATGTAGTAACTAACCAGCTGGCCCGGCAAACTATCTCCACCGATCAGCGCTTCGACCAGGGAGACAATTGACCAACAATCTATATTGGTGTGGAGCAGGTATAACAATTTATAAATAGAGTTTGCTTTATACAAACTATTCTTATATTTTTACGCAACAGGAGGGTTGTGAAGCAGCCTCCAGCCCTGAAGGGTTCTTACATCACTGTCGCACAGACCAACGGAAGTGGCTGGGACCTGGTCTTACGACGTCGGAAACCGGCTCTAGCTCGCCATTTCAAGGCGAGAGGGGAAATCTGCAGTCCAGCTTAGCTGCAGGCTACGTCTGTGGGGAATTGTCACTCCAACTCTTCCCTCCTTTTCCCTCTCACCCTATCACACCACCTTGATTTCTCTATCATCCATTTCTATACACATACCTTGTGTCTTGCTCTCTCGCTCATAATTTGCGTATCTACACCTCATCATGGCTAGTGTCCTTGCACGTCGTTCAGCATTGCGTGCTGTGTCTACAGCACAGAGCTGCCGAATTGTCCCCGTGGCTAGCCGTTCGGCACAATTGTTAGGTCGAAGGCTTTATTCCAGTGGGAAAAGTGATGGGGGCCATGAAAATCACAGGTCTAGTGACCTGCCATGGTTAGTGCTCCCCTTCGGATGACATTGAGTAGTTTTTTCCTAGTATTCTTTCAACTGATACTAATAATCGATGGTCATATACATAGGCTCCTAGGTTCTGTGGGTGTGACTGCACCTATGGTTTGGTACCTACTTCAAACAGGCCCGGAGAAAAAGTCGCATGATGACGCACATGCCCATGGTCATGGTTCCGATGAGGCGCACAAAGAGGAAGCCGATGAGAAAGAAGCTGCCCCCGAGGGAGAGGAAAAGGAGGAGCCGGTTAAAGACAATGCTGAAGCGGAGAAATCTGGCGAGGGAGCGGAGAACGAAAAGAAGGATGATGATGATAAACCAAATGAGCAAAAAGAAGAGGGCAAGGAGAAGGGAGAAGCGCAAGAGAAAACCAAGGAGGAGCCTAAGAAGGAAGAATCTAAGAAAGATGAGCCTAAGGGGGGAGTCTAAGGAAGAGCCAAAGGAGGCTCAGCAAGAAGCCAAGAAGGAAGATTCATCTGCAGATTCGAAGAATGAACAGGTTTGTCAACCCCTTCCCCTTATTGGAAACGCATCACTAAGATCTGACCTCTGAATCCACAGTCTGGCGAGGACAAGCCATCTGGCAACGAAGCCAAGTCTGACACCGATGAGAAATCGAAGGATGAAGAGAAGAAATAGAAGAACTAGCAACCGGAAAAGTACCATAGCTTACGAGGGACTTTAATTTTATTGTATATCGACCATATATCACGGATTGACTTTCGAAATCGTATCATTCCTTCCAAGGTTAAAGATAGTCCATAAGAATGTAGGCAGGCTACATGATACATGATATGGATAGACTCAGCCTGGAAGTTTCATTCAATTGGAACCTTGGAATTCGTTAGTATTTTCATTTCGGCCGCATGAATGAGCATAAAAAATACAGTTGTCGATAAAGGTGACAGGAAATGTATGATGGATAAAAACAAGGAGGACAATTAGAGTGAGAAATAGAATGTGCACGAATTGAACAATAGCAGATTCAAGCCACACACCATGAATGACCAATACCGGGCACCCACCCACATGCATTGCACCACGATCAAAAAAAAAACCGAACGGCCGGAAAGAAATGGCTTGGAACTCAAACACCATGCGTGAGTTGTCCGATTCCTCAAATATGCATAATTATAAACAAGGGCGTTTGGGTAACCCCACAATATAACGGGGGACACAAACAGGGGGCGAAATCTCGTAAACTGGACGTTTGCCCAAAACAAAAAAGACCATCATTGGGCTATATTCAAAGCCTGGCTGTTTAGGCCTTTCTGCTGCGCGTCCGAGGACCAGGCTGCTCGGGGGTTTGCGGGGCTAGGTTCTCCTGCTTGGAGTCAACACCACTAGCCAGGGCAGCCTTGGTATCAACCTCAGCCGGCAACACTTCCTCTTCGGTCTCATCGTCACTTCGCTCGTCTTTGGTGACGCTGTTGAAGATAGAGTTGGCTAGAATACGAAGAATCAAAAACAACCAGAAGAGGTTCACGGCCTGGAGACTGGCAAGTAGACCAAATGTAATATACTGGCTGATCCAGCACTTGTATTGCTGTGTCTCCCAGTTAAGCTCAAAGGGGCCAACGGTGCGGAACTCAGTCAAGACAGCCCAGAGGATCTTCAGGTTCAGCACATGGCGCAGATAGATCCAAGTGCCGACAAACATGCCAAAGTATGGGATGGTAATGTATGCATCGAGGTAGTTCAATGTTTTCGAAGTCTAATCAATCAAGTCAGTGATCAATCCCAGTGCCCTTCTTGCATTGGTATTTGTACACGTACCGCGAGGAAAAAATCGGACACATCATGGGTAATATAGACTGCAAGGCCCATGTACGTGAAGTGAAAGCGGTAGCTCAGCGCAATCAACGACAGAGTGATGATATGATGAACAACCAACTCCTTGAAATCTTTCCGGGGTTTCTCGAGCTGTAACAAAAGCACGATAGCCTGTTGCGCCCAGTAGCTCGCCTCGAGAAGATAGTATGCCTTGAACAGAGGCTCGTGTTCACGATGGGGGAAGTTTTCAAACATGGCCGTAGTATTGAAGTACCAAATATCAGAGCGCTTCATGACGTACAGGCCAAACGGTCCGAAGATTCCGAAATATAGCGCGGTGTAGACCTGCTCCATGAAACGTGCCCTCTTGCCCTTGCTTCGAATGCCGCAGTAAGTAGCCAAGGGACGAATCAACTGCTGCATGATGAACTCCCGGGTGAATGAGAGCACCACCGTGTAAAATGCCACAAACGCGATATCTTTCTTGCCCTTTCCGTACATGGTGGGCCCGCCAGGGTACTTCGGTGGCTGCGGGTAGGAAAGGAAGATTGCGCTGTGCATGGGATTCGACGGGTTGGGACTAATGGCATAGAGCGCCAGCAGAAAAATAAGGATGATGAGTGGCAGTAGCCAAGTGTACTTGAGACAAGTGTCGGCGAACCGATGGAGGAGCGAACGATTGCGGCGGCGCTTTGTATGCGGTTTGCTTGCGGAGTTGTCTAAATGCGCGTCGAGTTGCTAAAAGTCATTGAGGGCTGCATTAGCATGCAAGTTCGTTGTTTTGTTCCGCGCTCTTTCTCATTCTCATCCGCGGAGGGGGAGGGGATTTGACTTCCATACCTTACTCGAGTCGGAGGAAACGGGTTCTATTGGGCTCACATCATTCATAGTGGACATCGCGGGGGCACTTGTGTCGCCACGGATGTCCACGCCCAGATGGGACCTACCACGAGGGCGAACCATTGCGAATGTTTTCTTCCAGGGTGGGTGTCGGGTGGAAGACGCAGAACGACGTCAAGGTCGAATTGATGAATCTCTCACGTGCTTTGGGGTCGCAACGGGAGAGAAAACGGAAAGAAACACGAAAACGATATTCGGATGATAGTGGGCCTCTTCAAGGTCAATCTCGGGGGATAAAAGAAAATTTCATTGGAAAAGAGAAAAAGAGAGAAAATCCAGTGACCAATATGGCATTGATTCTCCACTCGTTCGTGTTCTTATTGTTGACCCCCTATTTTCCCTTTTTTTTTCTGTGTTTTTCCGACCTCGGAAGCCCGGGAGGTTCTTGGTGCTTGAACTCCACTGGGGCTCTATTCCAATTAAGGAAATATTGGTGTATATCACTCATGTATGTCATGACTGAACTATGTAGCTCTGGTTTAAATAAGCGAATAATTCTATGTTCTCTTAATATGTAATCAGTATTGAGCATGAGTGGAGGAGTGGGTAGTTTAGTAAAAACTGATCCGTAAAGCTCCATCATGATACTATCACATACAGCAGATGGATCAATGTTTCCAGCCCTGGAGATGTCAAAAGTTATAAACTTGAATATTCCAATTTCTTTAAATGAAACAACCCGAAAACATAAAAGTTAGCCTAGGGCGCCCTACAAGTATGTATGTAGGACACCTTCCTCTCCTCTCCTCGTCGCTTTCAAAACGGTGGTTTCCTTTTTTTATATATTTGCTTCAGAGCCTTCAAGCAGAGCCAAATCAGGTCAATTTGTGTTTCCCTTTGTGTCTTTTTCTTTCTCTACTGCTGGTGTTGTTGTCTGTCATCAATAAGTCATACTATTCTTTAACGTCCGAAATACAGCCATACTTGGGGCTGGTCTATAGATTAAACCTGGCAAGGGAACACAGATGCAGAAGCCTGAAACAGCGATGCATCACCCAGGCAAAGCGCTCAATATGAATAAGGCTTCGAGTTCTGTGAGGCACGCCTGACTCTGCACTACATACATCTCTCGGTGTCAAGAATCAACCCACTGGATTTGAGCCTATATAAGCATGGCATTCTTATTGACGACCAAGCTCTGAAATACTCTATTATGACGGCTACTGTCATCTCTCCAGCTCGTGCCTTCTGATAGATTCTCTCTAGTTTGGCTTGTTTTTATGACAGAAGTTTTGCTTCTTAAAAAAGGTATACATTCACCATTTCTTTGAATTCCGAGGCAAATTTGAATAACGCATTTTGATCATCCTTAGACTCTCAGGACTACTTGCTATTTCCAGAGGGTCTTAACTTTTAAAACAGGAACCCGCCTGGCAGGGCCAAAGAAGAAAGTTGGTTGGCTTAGTGCAACGATAGCTTAGTTCACACCCGTTACATCCGGCCCCAACTTGCCGAACCTAGCCAACGATGGCTTTCCCGATCGGCGGTTGGACCATTCAGCGCCCCGCATCAACGCGAGATCTTGGCCCGACTCTATCGTACATTTCGTTCATGGAGCGTATACACGATCAATGCACATCATAGCGCGTTGGGATTCCCTAGCTGGGGTGATTGGATATCGATATACTCTTGTCCGTTCGAGGCTCCATAGTCATTCCAATGGTTTCAGCTCTTTAAGCTCATTGTTTGTTGACCCAATTCCATTGGTCCTAATAAAAGCATAAATACTCTGCAATCTTAATTTATAGGGGTAGGAAGCGAGGGCGGGGTCTAATTGAAGGAGTTGTGGTGGTAGAAAGTGGATATTGTTACATGCGTGCTTTGGATGGATCTATAATTAGCCTTTCGCGCCATGGTGTTAACTAGCCTTGTATTGAGACCTATTATGACCCTATTCATAAGGCACAGATATCGTCATTCCTCAGCCATTGTTGGTATTCTTGTTTCTTTGTACTATCTATGTGATTTTATCCAAGAAGCTAATTATACAAAGCGATTTGAATTGACACAGCCCTTTGGCCAATTCAAGTTCTCGCTGAACAGCATCTGGTTTTATTGATGCTGCTTCTTGGGGAAGGGGGTGTGGGGACTTTTTTGAACAGACTGCTAATGAGATTTTGGGGATCCCAGTGATCAGTGAAGATGTTTTACGAGGGTTGATTTATTGTCTATGGGAGCAATAAATGAGAGGCGAACTTCCAGAGTTAGGCTATTTACCAGAAAGTGCATGGACAGTCGTGTTGTACTATATCAATCTTGAAATTTCGAAGCTTATTTTTAAATTACTCTTTGTTTAAATATGATATGATTGCATTATTATCATAACATAATTCTGAATCATAAGATCATTGGCCCGTCTTCTAGATAGCTCTGATCGCCATTCAAGCAGTATCAGCAATGTTGTAAACGAGTTTCTGACCGCTGACCTTGTCATTCTTCAGTAGCTCAAGGCCCTCAATAACACCCTTCAAACCACCGGGGTTAACCTGCAGAGGGTGCACCTTGACCTTGCCAGCAGCCAATAACCCTTCGGCCTCAGTCCAGAATTTCTCCGCAAATGCTTTGTTCTCAGGCTTAGCCGGGAAATTATAGGGGCCGAAGTTGAACTCTTCACCAACGGCCGTGTAACCCAGAGTCCAGCGATCGTTCACATTCTCCCGCTCAATTTTAACAGCCAAAAGGGCACTGTATTCTCCGCCAGCACTGGATAGCGCAGTGTCACAGAACTTGGCGCTCGCCTCAATCGAAATAGTATCGAAAACAAGCTTCAGCCTATCATCGGTAGCAGCATTAATAGCAGCCGCTGCACCCGAGTCGTTATAATCGAAGACCTCATCCGCACCAAGGCTCTTGACAAGATCAAAGTTTCGTGGCGAGCAGGTTGCCAGCACCTTGTATCCAGATAATTTGGCAAACTGAATAGCCAGGGTACCTGTCGCTGTAGAGCCACCGTAGATCAAGATCGGCTCAGGGGTCTTAAGCGGGTTCAATGGCGAGGCGAGTTTCAGACTTTGATAAAGTCCTTGTCCGACCGTTGTAATACCCACGCCGAGTGTGGCGGCCTCCTGGAAGCTGAGGTTATCAGGAATGCGCATCTGCACATCACCCTTGGCAACAATGTATTCGGCGAATGCACCATCTTCATGCTGCACGGCATTTCCGCCATGAACGAAACCGCAGATGCGATCGCCTTTCTTGAAGGGTTTCTTGACGGATTTGCCAACTTCCTCGACGATACCGGCGTAGTCGCAGCCGATAAGGGCGCCTGGTGGGGCGAGGTTGGCGATATGTTTCCAATCTGTTGGGTTGAGGGCGACCGCTACGGTCTTGACGAGGATGTAGTCATCGCGAAGTGCTGGAATAGCTCGATCTGTGACTAAGCCTTCCTTCTGTGGGGAAGTGACGATAATGGCTTTTTGGGTAGTCATTTTTGAAGCTTGAAGGTGATAGGAGGAGGAAGATTGGACACTTGATTACAAGGTTGTCTGAGCTGTGTAGCAGGATTGGTAGTTAATATACCTATTCGTACTCAATTACAAATCAATGGAATTTCGACGAATGCATCAGTCAGGAAAGCTTCTTCAGAGCTACACTGATTTATAATACGTAATTCTTCGTTCAACCGCGGCATCGATTTGTGGACCTTGTTCAATATTGCGCTGGATTAGTTCATGCGATTGGCCAATTGGCTGATACATGACTAACCATAACGGGCTTGGTCGCCGCATGGCTGCAAGGGTTTGTTTAAGCTTGAATTGTGAAGAATGCATAAAGGATGTATGTAAGAACCTAGATGGGTTGCATGGCTTGATAGATAAATTAGGCTGACGAGGATCCCATTTCAATCAATTTCGAGCAGAACTATCCTGTTGTAATATTAAAATGATAGTGGAACTTTGGAGGAAAAAAGGCACTGGTACGGTGGCACCACCTATATCGGCAATGGCCAATTAAGAGTACTTTAAGTTCATTTAAAGCTCATAATTTAAATTCGTACTGATATTCGTCGCAGACACCCTTGAGCTATACATAGGTCCTTATATTTACATATGTCACACTCCAGCCCTCGAAAATGTTGCTACAAACTTAGAATCCCCTTATAACATCGAACCTCCCGTCCCTTCCGACTTCTCCAATCCCTGATCAACTTTCAAAATCTCCACCAGTTCCTCCGCAGTTAAATGATCATTCGCCCCCTCCATCCGATGCGCATACCTCAATTTTCCACCCCGAAAAATCCATTCACCCCCCTGCTGTCCCCAATTACCACCCCTCAACCCCGCCCATCCCCGCCTCCACATCTGCCTAAGAGCCGTCGTAAATGACCCTACAAAGGAAGCCTCTGTATACAGCGGTGGAGTAGTGAATCCATCCATCGTTCTTGTCATCTGTAACTTCTCATATAATTCGCCCGATGAATCCGAATATATGGGGAGTTCGGCGCCGGTTTCTTCCATGTACGGAACTATTAGGGAGTGGTCGCCGCAGCCCATAATTATGACTTGGGCTGGATTAGCGCCTTCGGGGAGTGTGGATAGGAGGTTTTGCATCATTTGGGATGCTAGTGTGCGGACGTAGGATTGGTCGTAGACGCAGAAGAAGTGGCGGACTAGGTTTAGAACTTTTGTGAGTAATTTGATGATCTGCAGACAAGTTGTTTCAATGATAGATTTGATGGATTATTACCGAAAACAACAATTGTTGTGACTGAGTCGCCTTTTCCTGCAATTAATTCGCCAAAACGTAGTCTTTTGCCTTCTTTCGATTCTATCTCTAGTTCGTATGCTTCATGTAGTGATTCATCGGCGAGAAAGCCAGGAAAGTCACAATTGAGGTCTGGCATTCTGCCGGTATCTTGAGTATTTGCTTGAATGGTGATAAGAATGATAATGAGAATGATAGTTGTCGTTCTGATCAGGTTTTATGTGTATAGAATAGCTAGGCCTAGCCGTGGCCACACGTAGAAATCTCTGGTCATGACATCACCACAATTATCTGTCATTCAATTCATCGAATTGAAAACGGCGCTTGCTAATTAAAGTTCAACTGTGAAGGTTGTCCCCGAGTTCCAAGGTTATCTATACAGCCTTTCCTGACAAACCCACCAATAGAATGGGAAAACCGGATGTCTTGTTATCCGCAACATCGCTTAAAAAGCCCAACTACAGACTCTTCATACTTCATACTTTAGGTGGGAAGATAGACAATTGAAATGGAAAAATTATAGAATTGATGACTGTCTATATGCAGCTTTATTTCATGATTACTTCTTTTTACATGATATCATTTAATATGTGCCATAAAGCAAGTTTCCAATGAAAGGATATATGCAACGCCTTGACCCTCAGCTCAACTTAAAACTTAAACCGAGTCGGTGGTCTCGGCAGTCTCAGTGTGGGTAGCGACGGTCTTCTTACCGGCCAACTTCTCACCCAGAACCTCAACATCACCCTGCTCAGCGGCAATGGTGCGCTTGGTATCATGGCGAGTCTTCCAGGCAGGAGTACCAATGTAAGGGATACCGTTGGGGTCCTCGAAGATCTGCTGAGTCTCCTCAAGAGTCTTTCCAGCGGTTTCAGGGAACAGGAAGAACACGTGAATCAACATGGCAGTCAAGAAAACACCAAAGATAATGTAAGTCTCCCAGCGGATATTGGCGAACGCAGAAGGAACAAAGAGACCCAGGGCAGTGTTAAAGGCCCAGTTGGCAGAGGTAGCCAGGGCGACGGCCTTACCACGCACGCGCAGAGGGAACAGCTCAGGAGGGTAGACCCATGAGACGGGACCCCAGGTAGGAGCGTAGGATGCGACGAACAGGTAGGTGCAGGCAATGAGGGCTTTGGCTGGGGCACCGCTCATGCGCATAGATTCTTCGGATACACCCTTGATACCACCAGGAACAACGGTACCATAGGTAGCCATCAAACCGGCATTGGCGTACATCCAGATCATCATGAAAGTGGCACCAATGAGGAGGGTAGGGCGACGGCCCCAACGGTCAACCCAGATCAAAGCGGGGACGGTGCAGACGACATTAATGATGTATTGGATGGAAGAGGCAAGAAGGGTAGCATTTCCAGAGTATCCGGCCATGCTGAAGACATAGGTGATGTAGTACATCATGACATTCATACCAGTCAGTTGGGACCAGATTTGAGTCCAGATACCAGTCATGGTACGGTGGATCATGTTGGGTTTGAAAAGTTCCAAGTATGAGACATCGGCGTTTTCGCGCTCGAACTCGCAAATGTCACCAATCTCTTGCATCTCAGCAACGACGAAGGGGCTGTTGGGGTCTCCATTGCCGTGCACGAGAGCCAATACAGACTGACATTCTTCCCAGCGGTCTTTGCGGGCCAGCCAGCGAGGGGACTCGGGGAGGAAGATCATTCCGATGAAGAGGAGGACAGCGGGGACCATTTGGATACCCCAGGGAATACGGAAGACGGAAGTGCTGTAGTCGGAGGAGGTCTTGCCACCAATGTAAGAACAGCCGAATGAGATACTATAGAGGAGATACAGGGTTAGCATTCATTCACAAATGGCGCTTTTTGTTTCAGTGAGTGAATAACGTACTAGTACATGATCAGGATACCCCAGGTGATAGCCCACTGCTGGGATCCGACCAGACGACCACGCTTGGAGGGAGGGGAAAGCTCAGAGATGTAAACGGGGACCTGGGCTGACTCCATACCAACAGCGAGACCGTTGATAACACGGCCAGCCACAAGCATGCCAATGTTCTGTGAAGCGCAGATGATGGTAGAACCGACAATCCTAAATCATAATACATGTTAGCAATGGAAACATGCGTAGTATAGTACCCTTGCATATAACACAAGAGTTCTGAAGTTTTAAAGCAATCCACATACCAGATAATACATCCAACCATAATAGAATAGCGACGACCAAGACGATCAGAAACGAAGCCAGAGATAAGAGCACCAAGCCATGAACCAGCAGGCATAGCGGCAGTGACACCACCCTGAGTCAAGGAACTCAAACCACTACAATCATCATCATTGTTGAATGGGGGTCCCTTGGGACCTTGATTGAAATAACACTTGTAGGCAGTTGTCTCAATAATGGCTGACATAGACGAAATGTCAAAGCCAAAGAGAGCACCGCCAATGACGGCGACGGCCGCAATGAAGTAAATGTTCCCTACGAGAGGCATGATGGGCAAGGTCTGAGATATCACGAAGACCCCAGGTCTTGAGGGAGGATATCAAGGAAAAAGGACCAGGTAAAAGAAAGAAAAATCCACGATCAACCAAAGCCCGCTTTGGGGGAAAGGGGGGCACTTAAATACACCAGGGCATCGCATATGACAGAGCAGATTGGGTTTCTGTTTCTTTTTTTTTTCTTTTCTTTTTTCTTCTTTCTTTTTTTTCGTAATTTATATCAAGTGGATTCAACAGACTGGGGCCGAAACCATATGCTGTACACCAAAACCCCCCTTGGATATGGAGACCCCGGGTAAAAGCACGCTTCATACCGAGTGCAACGTTTCCAGCCCTGGAGATGCTGCCAAGACCCTGTTCGCGTGTTCTCTGGGGGTGTAAATGGTCATGATTGGTGAGAGACTGGTATGCGGGACCCACCGACGGTATCTTGAGAGTCTCTTATTGGCTTAACCGAGCCGATCGCTTGAAGGGATCCGGGGAATTCGGCCTCGTGGGTTGCTGATTCTAACCCGAAACAAGCATGGCGCCGTATTGTCCCCCGTCCAAGCCGTGTTCGGGGGAGCTGGTACGGACTCGGCTTGATCCTGCTCGGCTTGGTGGTGTTGTGCTTTTTCTCGGGATGAGATTCTACACGGAAAGGTGTAAGAAAAGTCGGAATAATGGCATCAAGTCTGGTGAGCATGGTGGGAAGGGTTTTTTCCCAAGTGTCCTCGAGCCTTTTGCTTGTTAGCAGGTGCTCAATATGTAGGATCGATCATGCCATGAATGGCCAAAGTTCCAAATAGGCAATTAAATGTAACCTAAACAAGGACCAGAGCCTGGTCGCAAGACAATCATCGTCGCCATGGTTGGAATCGCGTCCTGTAATTAATGAAATTAACCGGGGTCTCCACTCGGGACTCTGGAGAGAGCCCGGGGCCCCAACACACGGCCATTTACCCAGAACGGGCTTGTCTCTGTGTCTCTCACGGCATCTCACGGCTTTTGAATGGTCGGAGCACGCCGAAAAAGAGGGGACTCGGAAGGGTCTGGTTAACCCGTAATAAGATCGGGATCTTTGTACATAATATGGACTACAGTAAGTTATCGGTTTATTTTATTTTATTTTATTATTTTTTCCCATTATTTTTCCCTGTCTCTCTGCCTACTTTCTGCCTTCTCTGCCTCAAAGCGTTTTCCCCGTTCACATTACTGCGTATCTCTCAGTCCAAGTGGAGTCCAAGTACAGTGCTTGGAACAGACCTTGATCTGTCAGAGTTTGTTTGTCGGCTTGTTCCATCTCCAACCCACATTTTTGTCTCTCCGCGCTACTAAAATCTGCGGAGAGAAAAAAAAACCTGGTTGGGGTCACCATTTTCGCACACCGGCAGCCCGTTCCCCAGACATTTCCCTCCACATTATACTTGGGGCGGGGAAGAATAAAATAGAATGAGGGGATTCCTATATATTCTCTGGAGAAAAAAAAAACACAATCTAATTTCCTTCCAAGTACCATGCCGAATCTCGGTTGTTGATCCACGGAAAGAAGCCGGTAGATATTGAGCGCCACATACGAAATACAGTAGACACTAGCCATCTAGCCCAGACCCCTATTAATCACAGATCGGGTTTTCCGATTCCTCCAACTCAACATCTCCGTTAATTGCCCGACGGATTATCACTACAACACTGAACTATAACTTAGTACAATAATACCTTAGAACAGTAACTAATGACAATAGCTTACAACAATATCTAAGAACAGTAACTTATGACTATAACTTACCTAACTTAGCTTTGACTTTTACGAAGGATTGAATAATGCAAATTCAAATGGCGTATATAAGCATTTCTTTCGGGTGAGGCTTTTTTATTCCCTACCGGAAACTTTGTTCTACCGATACGACACTCTCCTGCACACTAGTGTCGGGTTTCGCGCCTCCGCGTCACGGCGCACGGTTTCAAACCTTGGCACTCTCCATGGCTTGGATCTCCACAAAGGGTTTTCACCTTTGGCATGCATGAACGGAGAACCCCATACTCCATACGTCACCTCGTTTTATTGAATTATCTCCACCCCGGCATTCTTGTGTCCCGGCCTGGATTGTGTTTCATATATTTTTCAACGACCAGGGAACAATATAGGCCCAGGCCTGGGGCATCCCGACCGTCTTAATTGAGGTGTTCAAGATCATCGTAGCGCTGGAGGCACTTTCTTCATGTGGGCAATTGCTAAATCGAGCACATATTTAACTTTAATGAAACATACAAGCCCCCGTGTCATACAAAAGCTTCAACAAAACTTGATTGAAATACGTGGGTAGATACGAACTTGAAGCGAGAAAGATCTTCACGTTTACATATCTAGTTCTTTCCAATAGTCCAAGGCTTTTCAACGTTGTAGTACAAACTCGTCATCTAGATGGCACCATTCCCAACAATAAGCTCCCTCCCAACTAGAGATGCACAACCATGCTCAACTTCCTCAGGTTTGAAGAGCACCATCTCCGGATTATTCTCATAAGCTAGTCCAATCAATGTTTTCTCTGCTCAGGGTTAATACAATTGGACACATCATTGAGGAAAAATACAAACTCACCACTAGCATTATATTTTGGCCACCCGAACTTCTCCAGTCCATCATACGGATCACTAGCAAAAGCCACCCATGCCGAAGCCATATACCGAGAAATCTCAATTTCAGTTTGATTATCTGGAAGTCCACTGATCCTCGCCGTGTTTCCTAGTATCATCGCCACATCGGATACGTGATATGCTCCACTGCCTGGATAGAGGCGCATATTGTCCCAATCACCGAAGTATCGACTCTGCCACGCCGGAACACCGTGGGAAACTCGATCGCGAACGACCTGACCACTGGGGCACGTAAATGCTGCAAGATTAAACTCATCCCAGGCTGCATCGCTAATTGTAATATTGAGTGAGTATGCGGTGGCACGATAAAAGCCCGCCTCATTGTTGTTACAGGTGACCAAATAGGGCTATGGTCCGGTCCATCAGCAAGACATAAAGTATGGTCAGTCAATACTTACAGGATGGAAGAACGTACCAAGCGCGCAAACTTTCCTTCGGCTGATCTTTTCTTATAGTCACTGAAAACAACTACATCATCCACCACCGCATGAAACACTGGTTCGGGAATCGTAACCGTAGGCGTTAGGGGAACATTGTTAGAGGCATTGAACAAGGCTTCGAATGGCTGTTCTCTCATACATTGTACTACTTGCTCGGAGTTTGCGGTATCATCTCCACAGCCTAGCAACTTGGAAGCCTGGAAGAAGACACCAGCGGCTTGCTCTGGAGTGCTGGGAAGATAACTTAGTGCTGTGCCGGAGTGTGATATTAAACCGCTGACGAGCGGATCGTCGGCCCAGGCATAGGAATAAAGATCAACGGAGGTACCGCCAGCTGAAGATCCAAATATGACAATTCGGTCTGGATCGCCGCCGAAAGCTGCAATGTTCTCGTGGACCCATTCGAAGGCCATACGCTGGTCCAGAAGGCCCACATTTTGCGTGAGGCCCGGAGCGCCTGAAAAGCCGAAGATATTTAATCGATAACTGAAAAATTGGACTATTAGTAGGAGGATTTTCACATTTGATGATTTCATAGTAGTTCATCAAGATAGAAAGAGAAAGGGAAAGAGAAAATAATAGGAAGTTCGAACACACTTAATTGTCACCAGTATCACATCATGTTCTGAGGCTAAGGTTTGTCCCTCATAGAACGGAGTCTCTGAATTCGTAATGACGAATCCTATGGAGATTAGCATTGCATAGTATTCATTACACAAGAAGAGGTCATACGGCCACCATGAATCCATATCAAAACGGGTTTTAGCTTAGAAGGATCCGGCTTCGCCCAAATATTAAGGCGTAAACAATCCTCGCCCTGAGTACCATATGACGACAACAATGCGTGCAAAATCTTAGGGGCCTGTGGGGTCTCACCAGGGTAAGGAGGAAGATCGCCACCTTTTGCAAGACAGTTGCTGTCGATTCCAAATTATTGAGTACTCCTTTTTTTTGACAGAACAACAAAGCAAAAACAATACATACGGGCCCTGTTGCAACTCTTAGTAAGGGATCGAAGGAAGGAGAGGGGAGGAGAGGAGCCATACATAGTCATTAGCTTCTATAGTCTGGTTTGATGAAAACTTAACTGGCGCAGAAAATCGGAGCTGTCCTATTGGAGGCGAAGCATAAGGGATTCCGAGGTACTCTGTGACATTGGGGCCTTGAGGTCCTGGATGTCCTAGTATCACACCGCTGGTCGTTTTAACAGATTGTCCGAATTTGCAATCTACTCCTGGGCATGATTGGCAATTGGCAAACTGTGTGAGTGTCGCTAACGCGATAAGAGGCAATGTGAGCTTCGAAAATGTCATTGCCATGACAAAAGTAGATCTTGAACTTTAGCACTTATATCGTGTGTTGGATGAGATTCTTGAAAGGAAGAAGATAAACTCGGCCAAAGGAATACTTAGATATAATTTTGGGTATTCAATGTACTTGTCAGATGACGCATAGGATATTTTGATTTGGATCGATCTGCAAGAAATAGATATGCGTATCGTTGGATTTCAGAGAGTGTTTCCAAAAAGGCAACTTCTCAAAAGCATAGGAGAACCTTGGAAATAATTGGCGCAGACTTCGACGGATTTCTTGCTGCGGAGTTACTAGAGAATCAACGTTTGTGAGTATTCAATATTCTAAACATCAGATAAAAAGAGACTGCGGATCGCATACTTGATGATGTGATCGACAGAATAACCAGGAAGGGGATACCTTACAGACTTTTTTTCGTGTTACATTCAATGTGGGTGGAAACGAGCGTGAAAGGTTTCACGGGACTGAGCGATAAAGAAGTAGGTAAGACTGTTTTATGCATTCTTGGTTCATATCAGAACGCTCGTCCAAGAAGTTGTTTAAATGCTTCCGACGTCAAGTACTTTGTGTATGACCCAACGGGAATGGTTCCTTGAAAATCCAGTTTCGAAGTACTCGCTTCACACAATCACGGGGGGTTGTTTTGTCAGTATGTAGTACTGTTTGTATCTTGGAATTCCGAGAGCAGTGTTAATTAATGTCTACAGCAGATATACTGTAGTACTTCCAATACTAGTGGGGGAAATATGTCGGGATTACATATGTAATTGATCGGGTTTTAACCTTGTAGATGCATAGTAGGTATATCAACAGCTTCATATCGGGCGTGCAAGAGCTCGGGCTATGTATGTCTTCAATTTTACTATTTGCGAAAAAATATTCAACTAAAGTCAGCTGAGTCACAACAGAAGAAAGGCATATTTAATGCCCAACCAATGGATGTAGATTCCAGTACTACATAGTATGCATTAAAAACGGTGACGATTTTATAGGTTATTAGACCAAATCCCACTGTGCAATATAGGCCCATGCCATAGCCACACGCCCGCGTTTAGAATCATACTCCTCCGGAGTGATGCCACGACAATCTGTGCGCTCGCCAAATTTGGTCAACACAGCAAGTAGCACCTTCTGGCCCGGCGCTCCAAGCATCCGTGTATCAGGAACATCCACGTACCAAAACTCGCCACCGCCGCCAGGGCCAGTGCCAGCCACGTGTCGCAGAACAAGCTGATCATCTTTGCGTCCATCGACACTTTTTATCATGAGCAAGAAAAGAGCAGGCTTCACGCCTGTATGATGCGCTAATGTCCAGTGTTCACATAGTAAACCGAATTGGAATCGGAGCGGGCTTGGTGTGCTATATACAGAAATCTCACCACCAGCCGGTTGAAGAGTCTTGCGTCCGATACTGTGTTTATCGGCGTCACTGTAGGTCTGAATGGGCTTGAGGCCAGTAGGCATCTCGGGGTTTATAAGAATATATTCTTCCCAGGGGATGCTAGGGCGACCGTCGTCGCGGAAGAAGTATTCTCTATTTTCGGGGAAATGTTTCAGGCCAAACTCGTCGTTTGTCATAGAGAACATAGCAGGATTGTATCTTGGCTCATATGGCATGCCGTGGCCGTTTACACACCCAGCGCCCCAGCATGGGTCAATTAGCTTCCAACGTCCTCCGTCAATCTTAACAGCATTCCAGGCGTGACCCGCTTCATAAGGCGGTGCCCTCGCTCCTGGTGCGAGAGGCGTGTAACCGTATCCTTTGCCATGCCCTCCAACGACGACGGATTCCATACCCGCCCTGATGGCTAGTGCAGTAAATAATCCTGCATACCCTTCGCAGACTGCTAAGCCAGTAGCTAGTGTGTTTTGTGGTGTAGAAGGCTTGACATTGTCATTGAAGAAAGCAACAGTATCGTAAGCAATGTTGTGATGGAGCCATGAAAAAATGGCCCTAGCTTTGTCGGTTAACGATGGAAATGGTGCAGTCAATTCGTTAGCCAGCCATCCCAAATCCTGGGTTGGGAGGGAAGCACGCGGATATTGCGCGCCCCGGGCGTCTGGCGCAGAAAAGTCTCGACAGACCAAACACTCCGTGGTAGAGCTGACTGCTGGTTTTGCATTTGGCATAGACCCGTGGAGACGGGGTTTGGTGGCAAGAATCTTGGAGAGATCCGGGCGAGTTCCATGGGGAATCGGGGGTGGTCCACAATTTTGTACAGGGGCGTTGTCTGCTGGCGTGCTGCTGGGTCTTGCTGGAAGCCTCGGGTTTTTTAAGCCGCCAAACCCAGCGTTTCGGAGACCGTTAATATCCTCGGCAATCGAGGGCGGGGGCAATCTCCGGGCTGGAAGACTGGGGGCTGCCTCGTTCGTTGATTCATCTACTGGCGTTTGTTGACCAGAGGGTCGTCGCGGGGGTAAAGATGGTTGTGAAAGGGATGTATTGGATCCATTCGTGAGACGTGAAGGTAAATTAGGCCTTGCTGGTCGTGCTGGCGTTGAGGAAGAGGACCCAGGCACCTTGCCTCGCAAGGATGATAACTTCGAGGTTAAACCGCCAAACCTGGACTCGGAGCTGCTACTGGGCGGAGGCGGTGGCGTATCTAAAATATCTTCCTTGACACGCTTGGGCGGTAGAACAGGTAACTGCGTCTCTCCCCAGGCTGGAGCTTTGATGCGACTACCACCAGTGGAATTGACAGATGTTGATGACGCACCGCGGCCCAGGCTGCCGATTGTTGTCGCCGTGGTTGAGTGTGAGGCATCAGATGTGATTGACTCTATTGATTGTCTCCGTAGAGGCTCTTCAGTCGGTCTACGTGGCGGTAATGCTGGGCGCCGCTCGGAGAACTCAGAGCGCGCTGGTGGTGGAGGGGGAGGGCCTCGATCTCTTCGTGTTGGAAGCGGCGGAGGTACTTTCGGTTTAGGTTTCAGCTCGGGCCTTGGTGACGGTGTAGGAGGTGGGCGCGCAGCCGGACGATGTTGACGCTCGCTAGCGGGCTCATTTCTAGTCGATTCATCGTAGGATGGTGGGCTGTTGACAGGTTGACTGCGATCAGCGCCCGCGGGGAATAGTGGTGGCTCGGGGCCCGGTGCGCGAGCGGCTTGGGATAGTTTCAGAGCGGCGATCCGCTCGTGGATGGAGCCTAGCTGCGGTTCGTCGGCCATGGCTACTAACAGCCTTGTCCGGTAAATAAGTCTGACGACGGTGTAAGAGAGAGAATTAGAGTCGATATTAATGATAGAGGTCTGTAACGACTGTTCCAAGCGCCCGCGGCTTGGCGAGAGACTAGGGATTCAGCCTTGTTTGGGGTATCCTAGCACTGCGCACCAGTTGGCAGAGTCTAGGTGGGGATCCGAAGCATTAAGTCGGGGTTAAGTTGAAAGACACTTGACACAATCAACCCTAGTGAAATAACCTTGGGGAAAAAAGTCCAATAGGCAACTCTCCTAGGACAGGAACGCGATCCCAGCAAGACGAGGTACCAAGTCGAGCCCTGGAGGGTGAAAGTTTGCGCTCCGCTTGGACCATGGGTCTGATCTATATTTGGACCTTGAAACCAACGCCCTATACCTATACATATTGGTGTGTAGCGAAAGTAGAAGATTGATAGTTAGTCACTGCGTGCAAGTATCGCTAATTATAAATGGCAATACCCAGATAATCGGACTCTATTCAACCTTGATCATATTTGCCATAACAGATCGGTAAATTGGTGAGGCTTAAGACATCAACGCAAGTTTGAAGCGAGATGTTGAAAGCAAATTGGGATACTTCTAGAGATGGGATCAACCAACCTACAATCATTTGCACCTAAATTATGAACTTCAATTAAAACAAATTTTCGAAATTTTCCATTTCCAATATGTCGCCTGTCAGTTGGACTCCTGAACACCTGAAGGAGGCTGGAAGGCGCTCCGTCTAGGGAAGAAAGACACGAAAAAAAGTAACAGAATAAAGAAACCTAAGTACGTCCACTGGTTGTCTGGGGCTGCTTCCCAAATGTGCATAGGAGAAAAAAAAAGAATAATTCAAACAAAAGAAAAGTCGAGGAAACATCTCGACTGAATATTTCAGCTTCTGAATTGTGGACGAGGCAATATTGCACTGCACCTATCACTCAGTCAAAAGAGCAAAAACACACAGAAGACATAAGAATCATTGAATACATGATGAGAAGAATGGAAACCAAAGGGATCGAAAAGGAAAGAAGAAAAGAAAAGGTCATTCACAGAATTGAATGTGCCCGCATGGGCCAGGGGCCAGCATCGATCATCAAGAGCATCACGTCATCTCAATGTACATAATCGTTGATTTGACCAGACGAAATGAGACTTTAAACATTTTTGTACAGCAGCAGCGGCTCTCCAACATTTTCAATCTCTGGAATTGTACATTTGAGATCGAATGCCTTTGCGAGAACAATCTTGAAGATCTATGTGGGGGTCAGTGGGAAGGCACGAAATCACATATCTAGCTGAAATAGAACAAAAGCATACCTTCTGAACATTGATACTGTGGCTGGTGCTGCTGAAGATCAGACTTGCCTTCATAGCCTTGGCGAAGCGCTTGGCCTGCATCGAGATCTCTTCTTGATCTTCACGGGGGAAATTAACAAAGTGATCATACTTTGTTCCAACCAAGAACGGAATGGCCGTTTTATTGAAGCCCCGGCCCTGGCGGTACCATTCCTTGATAGAGTTGAGAGTGCTCTTGCGGGTGAGATCGAACATAAAGAGAATGGCGACAGCATCGTTGCAAACCAGAGGCAGCATGTTGACGAACTCGCGTTGACCACCAAGATCCCAAATTGAGAAAGTAATCTCGGTGTTGCGAATAGAAATAGTCTTTTCCATAAAGTTGACACCTAAGATGCGGCATGAGTATGATCAAACATCAAGAAGGTTTTGTTTCGGCTGATGCTTACCCAATGTTTGAATGTAGTCCTCGTCCCAACTTCCCTCCACGTACTTGACCATCAGACTAGTTTTACCTATTTGAGCATCTCCAACCATACCAACTTTGATTACAACACTATTCTTGGCCGCCTGAGAAGCCTGTGCTCGGTGAGCGACTTCTGACGGCTGAGGATGAGATACACCTTGTCGCTCTGGGCCACTCGAAAATCCAGACCCAGGACGAGAGGCTGTGTGAAGTTGAGGTTGCTGAGTCAAAGATGGTGATGAATTAAGACGGGAAGCTGGGTCAGCGTCTTGTGGAGTGTACTCAGGAACAGAGGGGTGGAAGTCGGTCGATCGAGAATGATAATTTGCTTTAGAATCGCTGGCATAGCCTTGTTCGGCCGGAATATGGCGAGTTGTCTGCTCTACAGGTATAGGATTTGACTCAATAGAGGGCTCATTGAGGTTATGAGTAGCCTGAACAGGGGCAGGCTGCTCTTGCAGTTGCTCTTGCAGTTGCTCTTGCAGTTGCTCTTGTGGCTGTTCGGCTGGGATGGGAAGCGATTGAGCAATCTCCCGCGCATGGAGTTCAACAGGAACCTGCTGCGGTTCCGCGACAGCAGGAACGTCCGAGACAGGCTGCTGCAGCGGATCCATTTCGGTACTCAAGGAGAGAGGTTTCCGATGGAGAAGAAGGGTTTGTTTACGTCGGGCGCTACCTGTATCAAACACGTCCATTAGCACCTGCGGGGAAAGGAGAGACCAGTTCACTGTGATATGTCACCACTTCCGCCCAATTTCTGGGCCAAGTGAGATAACCAGCAGAGAAGATCAGGGTTTTCAATCATCGCAATTTCCATGAACTTACTGTTTCCTCCGATTGAGGGAGGGAATCTGTCGAATTGCCAGAGGCTGGGTTTGGAAGAGTTGGCGCGAACCGAACAATCGAGGGCGGTGTAAACAGAGGGTTCAGCTTAGCGTTTGGTAGGTGAAGGTTGAAAAAGGGAAGAAAAAGAAAGAGAAGGGGCAGTTATGAGGGAGGGAGAGATGCAACGATGAATTAAAGCCAGATTTGGGAGTAAAAGCGGGCTTATGATCGGAGATTAAAATTTATCATACAAATTGGGACCTTCAGCTCCTCACTTTGGTCTGCATCTTACCAAACTCTCACTAAACAGCAATGCGGGAAACATGGGATCTGCGCTAGACCCCGATAGGCTTAGCGTGGACCACCCGCCATCGGCCAAAATTTATTGAAAAACTTCTTATCGCTTTCCCCTCCATTCTTGAACTCCCCACTATTTTACGCTTCTGATCCTCTCACGATGTCGAAGAGAGCGGCGGATCCCTCCGATGAGTACCCGGCAGCTCTGAAGGCCGGCGACCGTCCAATTGTTGACGCTAATCCCGACGAAGTGGGGGAATTCGAGGACGAATTTGAAGATGAGTTCGAAAGCGAGGATGAGATTCTGGAGGCTGGTGTAGACGGTCGCCCAGATGCGGAGCGAGAGGAAGAAGAAAGAGGTAGGTGCTCCCGTTCAATTCCACTGCATGATTGCCCCAAAATCGAGAGAAATGGAAGCACTAACGCCTTACCATGAGTAGAAGAAGCTATGGAGGTTGACAAGCAGACTTTTATTCCTGGACGCACGAAATTGGCACCTGGAGAGACACTTTCGCCCGATCCGTCAACATACGACATGCTTCACACTCTCAGCACACCTTGGCCCTGTCTGTCCTTCGATATTGTGCGCGATTCGCTCGGTGATAACCGCAAGACATTCCCCGCAACTGTCTACGCCGTTGCTGGTACACAGGCGGAGGGAACTCGATCTAAAGACAACGAATTGATGGTCTTGAAGATGAGCGGTTTAAGCAAAATGGAACGAGAGGGTGAGAACTCAGACAGCGAGTCTGATTCCGACGATGATGACATGGGAGAGCCCATCCTCGAGCACAAGTCTATCCCTCTGGGTTCAACGACAAACCGCATTCGCAGCCACCAGACCCCGTCGCAGTCGGCTGATTACTCGAAGCCTCCTCAGACACTTACCGCTACCATGCTCGAAAACTCTCAGGTTCTTATTCACGACGTCACTGCCCACCTTGCCAGTTTCGATGTCCCCGGTACCATTCTTCCTCCCTCTGCCTCTAAACCTCTTTCTACCCTTCGCATGCACAAGTCTGAAGGTTATGCCCTTGACTGGTCTCCTCTCCACCCCCTTGGAAAATTGTTGACCGGTGACAACGATGGTCTGATCTACGCGACTTCCCGCACAGAGGGTGGTGGCTGGGTGACTGACACTCGGCCTTTCGTGGGACACACTTCTTCTGTTGAAGAGCTTCAGTGGTCCCCGAACGAGCGCAATGTTTTCGCATCTGCGAGTAGTGATGGCAGTGTGAAGGTTTGGGATGTGCGATCCAAGTCCCGCAAACCCGCCGTGGATGTCCACATCTCGAAGTCCGACGTCAACGTCATGAGTTGGTCTAACCAGACTTTCCACCTTCTCGCCACTGGTGCCGATGACGGTCAATGGGCTGTGTGGGATCTCCGTCACTGGAAACCAGATGCTGCCGCCCCGTCATCTCAGATTGGCGCCTCGCCCGTTGCATCATTCGACTTCCACAAAGAGCCCGTTACCAGTATTGAGTGGCACCCCTCTGATGACAGTGTGGTTGCAGTTGGCTCGGCAGATAACACAGTCACCCTTTGGGACTTGGCTGTTGAGCTGGATGATGAGGAGAGTCGACAGGCTGGCATGGCCGACATCCCCCCTCAACTGCTATTCGTGCATTACATGGAGTCTGTTAAGGAGCTTCACTGGCAGGCTCAAATGCCAGGCACTTTAATGGCCACTGGTGGTAGTGGATTCAGGTACGTTATTTGGGTTCTTTTGTTTTTTGTTTTGTTTTTTTTTTAGCATTGCTAACATTTCTTCCCTTCTGTAGTGTTTTCAAGACCATCAGTGTCTAAAAGAGCAGATCGAGTCTTCTCATAATTACCCACTAAAAATTTATGTGTGATGTCCTGCTCTTATACCTTTCGAGTACAGTGAAATCTTTACTCGCTCATACTGTTTTGGAGTTGCAGTCGTGTCAATTGTCAAGTTGTTCTATAGACCTGGTGATGGAGCCAATGAACAAAATCTTCTTCACTACCCTGTTCCAACCTTTTACTTCGGATTCCTGTGCTCAACATTCTGAACACTTCCAATTTAAATGTTATATAGTTTTATCACAGTTTCAGAGCTTGAAGGTTTGATTTCCTTTACTACAGTGTCAACCCATTGAAGCACTTGAGAAGATCATTCTATGCTTCAACCAATCCGAAGACAGCGGAATCAGGATCCATTAAATTCCGCCATTGACTACTTAGCACGCCAACCAAAACAAACAAATATAAACACAAACGCTATTGTTAAGTAACATGGAGGGGCAACTGGAGCTGCAATGCAGAACATCTCGGGTGCGTGCGGGTACTCCGTCCAGCTACAGCTACGGAGTACATACAGCAACCAATCTAACGCATAGTCTTACTACTTCGACATGAAGCACTTCCGCGGACCAAGTGCGAGCCATGGCAATCAAGCTTAACTACGGATAATATGTTAGCCACAAAGTTAGGTATCCAGACTGTAAAAATGCCCTTCACACCCACACGAAATCCTCAGTACAAAGTCCCGGGCGTCTGCTTTCTAGCCTGTGGTTGTGGCAGTATGGTATCCGGGTACAGTACCCAATGTACATCCGGCGCCGTAGTGCCGTACACAATCCCGGGGAGAACAAGTAAGTACCCTGTACATTAACGAGACCGAGGAATTCATACAGTTAGCGCGGACAGTGCTAGTATCGGTAGAGTATAGTGTACTTTTATGTATTGTATTTTGTGGCTTTGCCAGGCATCTGCGCCAAGAGAAAGACTATTCTAGTGCGTTATTAGCTCTCGGCGTCTGACTGGGACCGACTCGGGTGCGACCATGCAGGAGACAGTCGGTTCTATAATACCAAGGTACTGTATGGAGTACTAAGTGTGTACAGTAATAACGGATTGAGTGGCGGGGAGGGGCCGATTGGGCCAGTAACGTTTCTGATAACTTGCATACATTATAGGAGGCTGCGACTAGAAGAGTACGAGGCTTGATGTAGCTGGCTAAACCTTTTCCCTCCTTCAGTTGTCTCGTTGTACTTTCCCTTTCTTTTTGGGTATTAGATTTTATTTTTGAAAACTTATGTTTTTCCAAATCGCTGTCAGGCGTGGCGAGTTCGCGGGTCTATTTCAAAGAGTAGTCCGTGCGATGGATCTTCAAGTTGCCTATTATAGGCATATTGTCCTTCGAAGGAGCGATGCTCGCCACTGTTGCTGCAAATTTTATAATGATATTACATGGAAATGGAATAGTGATGTTTTGTTGCGGATCTAAATGAGTTCAGGATGCAAATGACCCCAACGTGGCCTCTGCACATAAAAGGCCGATAGTAGATACTTATCATTTTGATGGCACTTAAACTCTATATTGGTAGTTGACAGTAAGTATATCGCCTTCAGGGCTGGGCGCTAGCCAATCTACTCAGATATTGGTAGCCGATGTGAGTTGAATATGCTGTCGTACTAAGTCTTAAGGTGCCTAAGCACCCATAGCCTCTGGAAGAGATATTTTGGTTATTTATTTAATGGAAATCAAGATCCTAATACTACTAAAGAACGGATTGAATAGTTGCTATGCATCCTTTCAGCGCTGATTGGGCCATTTTATCAACGAACACCTCTCGTGTACTATAGTCAACCCAGTTAGAATTCCCATCCCTTTTCCAAAGCAGTCAATTTTCTATTCCGATTTACATTAAAAGAAATGCAATTAGATTGTTTATTAGATTGTATATCAGTACAATACTGGTTATATGTAGATACCATCGAAAGGATTTCAGGATTTCAGGAATACTCTACTGCATGTGGTATAATGATCATGTGTAGACGATCTTACTCAACGAAAATACGCTGCATAGTAGTCAAGAATATATAGTAGAAGCCTTGGGGATCTTGCATACATACTTTTCAGAGTTCTATGCAAAAGTTCTGCCACATTTATTTACAAGAGATAATATTTATCCATGGATCTTTAGGCTGACTGTAAGTAGTAAGAAAAGCCTAGTTATTTGATACAGTCGCGCGGAGCCGCGAAATTCCCGTACATCATATTTATAATATCAATGCCTCAAACAATCTATCGTTGTGTTATTATGCAATTGAAATGCTAAATATCAGGACCCTTGTATATCGAGACTGGGCGAATGTAGGTTTGGCTGAGGTATGACATGCATGGATTTTAGGCACTTTGTTTGCGAGTCGAATACACATCGCTTCTGGTGGCACTGAGACCATACTGTAAGACGCCTATTCAAAGGATTAAAAGCAAATAGAACAAAAACGACCAAAAAGGTGTTTCGTCTGTGGCGCGCAGGTCAGACAGATTCCAGAACGGTTGTACTTGTGTCGCATTGAGACATCTGTCGTCAGAGTGGTTTGAGATAGCAAATGTTACTGTATCTTGGTTTGTAAATGTTTCCATAATTAAATTTCAATATTGTTTTGATTTTATCTCGTTGTCCAGGTGGTTTCCAATGTATTATGTAGGATCTGCTTCTGTCGGGTGAAGCGACGACGATGTATTGCTTTCCCCGGGTATCATTTAGGAAGAGACCATGATGTGGACTGAGTACAGTTATTTCGTTTAGACCATGGTTTTTGCGAGTAGTCGATCGTTTTCATCGTTTTTAAAGTTGTATTGTAGCTATAGTCTATCAAGATTCAAAACCAACATGGTATTCACTAACCTTTTTACATCATGGTTCGTTGTTGGAATTACAGCTGGCAGAATCTTGGAAAAGAACGTCGTAAGAAATAACACCAAATAATACGACTAATGCACGGCGAGAGACACCAGTCAATCACATCAGATCTAGCCGCTTCGTCATCCGAGGCCTGCACGTTCCGTTTGGTGATCATGCACTACAACCAAGTAAAGTTCGACGTGCTGCAGAGCGAGTCGGGCTAGGGCGCTCATCACCCAAGTCGGCATTCCTCCGTTGAAAATCGCCGAAATGATATCAGACGCAATATTGCTTTATTGCTTTGTGAAAAGACTAGCTGTAAGGTTGTTTCGCCTATTGAATCTCATGGTATCTGGTACGAAATATGATTTTCATCGATTATTTTACCTTGACAAGGCTGGAATACTCTTAAACGTGCTCTTATCGGGGAATGTCGCAATGTCCCGATTCCCGTATCAGTTGTCCGGTCAATAGCGAATTTACCACTAGGTACAAATGTACGCTACTAGTGGTCCACTTAGTTAAATTTCGTTGTAAATTTACGGTAAAAAATTTAATGGCGTTTCTGGCGTTATCGCCCTCGATCTTGAATTCTTGAATACTATGGCTTCTTCAAATGTGTCTGGTTCCGTGTCTTAGCGCTCGCCCGGGCCAACTTCTACCGCTGATCCCGCTCATCGATCGCCCCCAACTGTGTTGACTTGTCGCCACCCCAATCCAGGTGATTCCCTCCTGCAGGAATGGAATGCACCATCTTTTGAAGGCCTGAACATTCGTCATGAGCTATTGGGCCATACTATCCTATACGATCCGATCCCTTACTATTGGACCTTTTGATCGTCGGCGCAGGGACGCGAAGGCCCAGCGAGCTCCGAGTTTAATCAGCGCTTTTCTTAGCACGAGGATTAACTTTCGGGACATAGAGCTGGCTGTGTACACGCACTCCCAGTTTTAGTGGCAATAAATAAATGATTTGGACTGTGCATGATACTAAATGCCATTTCTTTCAACATAATTGATTCCCTTATTGTTTCTGTTTTTGGTTTCCCACTTTTCGGCCTCTACAGCATGGATACTATGTAGTAATGTACTGTAGGAAAGACAAATGGCGATTAGCGTAGCTGGGCATTGATCATTGCTGGGTCTAGCTTGTCAACAATCGGGCCTATCCGCACTGCACGAAGAAATCCCGCGTGCATCAACAATCACTCAAGCCAATCGGGGGTCATCAGACGGGAGAGTACCGCTTGTAGTTGCCATTATATCAGTCGCTTCACTGGCCAGAGAAAGCCCCACTGCTGATGGCTTACTGTCTAGACTCACTATGCATAGTATTAGGTGCTCCAGAGAATATGTTTCAAGTTGAATAATAGACAAGCCGATTCGCCCTCGGGAAATCAACGAATCCCAATTCACAGGTCTATGCGTTTAGTTTGCAGCAGCTATCTATGGCAGATTACAATTACAAGAATCGTGCCGGTTTTCCGTGGCCCACACTGGACATTCAGGATAGGGAACTGGTGCTAGAATGCCGATTTTGCGGTACATTAAGTGTTACTTATTTTAGTAAAAACAAGGAGAGAAAGAGTAACAGAGAAAAAATAGAATAAAACAATAACACTTGAAGCGGTAAGTCGCATGTCGCGTATCTGATCGACCCGAGATGCACATCCGTCAATGGCCCGGGCTTTGCCTGTCAGGATCAAGTGGAATCCTTTTGAATCCACTTTACTTCAATTGGCATGATAGGAAATGGCCTCCCGCACTGTCTCGAGTGGGCCATAAATGACGCATAGGATAAGAAAATAGAGCCTCAGAACAACTGAACTGACAATGTCAACATCTGAACGTCAAAGGGGCGAAGAATGACCAAATTCTTGTACATACATCACCTCCAAAGGCTACGCCATGCGGACCAACACGGAGCCCCACATGGGAACGTGCGGTGCTCTGCCCTTGCCTTTGCCTTGTTGCCATTTTAGCCATGCACACTGAGATCAACAGGTATGTCCACCACAAGCGCTAGGACTGCAGGATCAGCAGAATGCAAAGACGGGAGAAGAGGCAAGAGAAACGGCCCCTTAGCCTTCTACATATGCAAGATCGATTTAATCCACCCAATGACTGGCCAAACTACTTGCGGGT